CAGCGTCCGAGGCGGTAGCCGAGACGATGACAGTGTACTTCATGGCGTCAGCCTGCTCGAGGGTGCGGACGAGCTGGGCAATGGTCGAACGCTTCTGGCCGATGGCGACGTAGATGCAGTACAGCTTGGCCTTCTCGTCCTTGCCGTCGTTGAAACGCTTCTGGTTGATGATCGTGTCGATGGCGACGGCGGTCTTGCCAGTCTGACGATCGCCGATAATCAGCTCACGCTGGCCACGGCCGACGGGCACGAGCGAGTCGACGGCCTTGATGCCGGTCTGCATGGGCTCGTGGACGGAGCGGCGGGGGATGATACCGGGGGCCTTGATGCCGACACGGGCACGCTTGACGTTCTTGAAGGCGCCCTTGCCGTCGATCGGGTTGCCGAGGGCATCGACGACGCGTCCGAGCAGCTCCTCGCCGACGGGGACGTCGACGATGGCGCCGGTACGCTTGACAATGTCACCCTCCTTGATGAACTTGTCGTTACCGAAGACGACAATACCGACGTTGTCGGTTTCGAGGTTGAGCGCCATGCCGCGGAGGCCAGACGAGAACTCAACCATCTCCTCGGCTTGGACGTTGCGGAGACCGTAGACACGGGCAATACCGTCACCGATCGAGAGCACGCGGCCAGTCTCCTCGAGGGAAGCGCCAGAGCTGGTGCCGAGGATGCGCTCCTCAAGAATGGACGAGACCTCCGAGGTGGAGGGGCCCGAAGCGTAAGCGCGGACGCCGGCGCGGGAGCTCTGTTTGTGTGTGGAGACAAGATGGGGTGTGGAGAGAGATGAGTTGATGAGGCCAGGCAAGGGAGAGGGCAAAAGACAAGGGCAAGATGATCATTGTCGTGTGGTCTTTTTTTTTTTTTTTTTTGTTTGTTTGTCTTTTTGAGGTTTTTTCCGGATCAGAGCTGGCTAGCCCTCGATCGTCCGCACCCTCAGCTCATCTCAGCACAAACAGACGAGGAGAAACAAGTGAAGGGCGACATGGTGGAAAATGAAGAAGAAACAAGAAAACGAAAGAAAAAAATCAAGGGGAAAAAGGGGGGAAAAACAGATCGTGGTTTTTTTTTTTCTTTGATGAATTATTAAAAAAAAAAGGGCAAAAAAGCATCGACTTTTCGGCGCGTCGCTCCCGTCCAGTGCTTTCCATCATCTGCCCTCAAACCGACATCAAACGATGCCGACTGTCTTGTTGATTCCGAGGCCGCAGAGATCGGAGCGCCGACGGACGAGCCGAAAGCACAAGCAAAGATGAAAGGACTGAAAAAAAAAAAAGAGCGATCGCAGCTGTGGGCTTTTTTGTTCAATTTTTTTTTTTTTTTTTAGAACCGCGTTGCCGATCGGATGGAGAAGAGGCAGCGCTGGAATGGGCAGAGAAGCACTCGCGTTCGACGTATGAGCCTGAGCTCCGAACGCCGCCTCCGCTTGTGAAGGGTGGACGCCACTGCGGCTTGCGGCCTGCCTCAAGCACGATCACTGATCCTCGTGTTTTTTTCTTCTTTTTTTGCTTTTTTTATTGACTTTTTTTTCTCTTGTGATTTTCTTCCTGCTGGTGATCGCTGTGCCACGTCGCCCGCCGCTGCAGCAGAAGCTACTTCTCGATCAGCAGCACATAGGACATCCAACCAGCGCGGATCGCCGCTCAAAAAAGCAAAGGCAAAAGAAGACAAAGAAGAAGAAGGGAAAAAAAAAGTACGATCGCTCTTTTTTTTTTTTTTTTCTTTTTTTTTTTTTTTTTTTCGTCTTGTATGGTTTTCCATTATCCGCATCTCCCACTTGCTCGCGGATCAACGCAAAATCCGCATCACAAACCCGCCCTCCGACGAGCAGCGAAAAATCCATTCACTGAAGTGACACCAAAGGCAAGCGTACCAGGAGCGAGGCAGTGTTGCGGAGAGCACTGGAGGCAAGACGGAACATGGTCTGGTTTTGTATTAAGTGAAATGGTCACTGGACGGATTTGGGATTTTGGATTGAAAGGGGATTAATGCATGAGGTGAATAACGCAAGACTTGCCAAAGAACTAGTAGAGGATGATGAAGGGGCGGTAATTTTGATTTTTGAAGGATTCGGGGTACGCATGGATGAGAAGGAAGGAACACGAAAAGCAACAAAATCAGCATTCACAATGCTCCATCCAGCTGTGGGTGATTGGCTTACTCGACCCTCGAGACTCGTCGCAGTGTTATGATCAGAGATCCTTCCACGAAGATACGAGTAATGGGTTGATGATGAGAGTGATGATAGGGAAACAAGAGACTTCACTTATACAAAGCGACGAGTGAACACACTCCAAATACAGATACACATCAATCCATAACACAAACAGCTCGCATCTACCCCCAATTAATTCACGTAATAATCAATTCGTTTATCTCGTTTGCTAGAAACACCTTTCGAAGGGCAGAGACGCACTTTTCTTTTCTTTTTCCAAACTTCCGTTCATCCTATCGCAATGCGGCTGGAAAAGTGCTTTTTCTGCTCGTCGACCGTCTATCCCGGCCACGGCGTCATGTTCGTCCGCAACGACTGCAAGGTAACCTTCTAGCTCCGTTCATGCTTTACCTGTTGAGGCCGAACTGCGCCCGTCCTTTCTCGCTGCTGGGCTGGGGTCGAGGTCGACCATTGATGCATTTCCACGTGGGAAGTTGCTCAATGCACTCCCAGCGAAAGCGCAACCAGCTTGGCTTCCTTCTTCTTCTTCTTCCTCGCGAATGTTGTTCGCCGTGGAGCAGCAGCTCGCATGTTATCAAGGACGTGGTTGCATTGCTGGGGGCCCAAGAGAGTTGGACGGCAGGAGAAACAACAAGGCTCGCTCGCTGAACCCACTCGTGGCTCACTCTTTCCGCCCTGACCCTGACAGACCTTCCGCTTTTGCCGCTCAAAGTGCCACCGAGCATTCAAGATGAAGCGCAACCCGCGCAAGGTCAGGTGGACCAAGGCCTTCCGCAAGGCCGCTGGAAAGGACATGGCTGTTGTAAGTCAACCACTCATCTTTGGTGTGCGCTCTGCCTTTGAGGCGTGTCACTCATTGATTTCGTCGTCATCGCGATGCTCCTCTCTTCTTCTTCTCCTCACTCAGGACACGACATACGAGTTTGAGCGACGACGACAAGTGCCAGTCAAGTACGACCGCGAGCTTTGGTCCAAGACGTTGCGCGCAATGAAGCGCATCGCTGAAATCCGTCAGAAGCGCGAGGCACAACACATTAAGAACCGGTATGTGGTGGCATCGAGTGCAGATGGGGCCGGGTTGTGGAAGCCGGAGGTGCCAAGCTCTGATCTTTGTCTGGTTTCGATTTTTCTCACTTGTCATTCTCGTCCTGTCCCCCCCCCCCTTGTTTTTTTGTTGATGGTCTCCTTGTCGCCTGCAGTCTGAAGATCGGCTTGGAACTCGAAGACAAGTCGGCCGTCCGGGAAGTGCGCCAAAATATCGATCTTATTGTTGCCCCTATCGCTCGCGAGACATCGCAGTACCAGCGTGTTGTGCAGCTCGCCGAAAACCGCGAATCACAGCAAATGATGTCGGATTAAAAAACCACCAAAAATGAGCGGCAGTGTTATTGAAATGTTGGTTGTATGTTCTATCTTGCGTTTGTTGAACCTTGGAGCGAAAGACTGTTTATCGAACAATGGAAGGTTTTTTGCTTTTGTTTTTCCTTTCCTTTGCATTTTTGCTCGATGATGGTGCATGTTTTGTGTTTGGGGGGGGCAGGGTTGAACGAGACTTGGAACGGATTTCTCAACATTGTGACAAAACCAAAAACAACAAGAAATCGGATATTTTATGGACAAAACTGACATTTAAGGCCGGAAAATCAACTGGGAGTAAGCAACAACAGAGGGAGCGGACTGGAATAGATACCCAGTCCCCCACCCCCGTATTTTTAAGTGCAGGTGCGTGGGGAAGTGAGGGGGGAAGAAACTATCAAAAGAAAAACCAACAAGCGAAGAGACCAAAAATAACAAAGGCAGAAAGATGCACGCTAGATTATTGCATGGGAGCAACAATCTGAGCCTGGGCAGCTTGCTGGGCATCAATCATCTGCTGGTAGTTGATTGGTCGGCGGAAGAGCAAGACCTCGGGCGACGGCTTGTGCCACAGGTAGTGCTCCCAGCCGCGCGACTGTTGGACGCCCATCGATCGCCATTGAAACTCGGACAGCAGGGGACGCGGCTCGCCAGTCAGGTGCGTCTCATCCTTGGGCAGCATCTTGATCATCTCGGGGGTAATGATGACATGTCTGTCAAGTTCAAAAGAGATTTTGCGTCAAGTTGAGTCAAAGTGAAACAAGAACACCAAAAAAGCAAGCCAAATGCAAGCAACGAAAAAAAAAAAGGCGGAAAAAAACCGCCAAAATAATGAACGCGAATTGAAGTTTTGAAACAGAAAACTGATTTTTTTGTATTTTTTTTCTTTGTTTTTTGTGTTTTGTCTCGGCGGTTTCTTCTTTGCTTTTCAGCCGTCTCCGCCAGTCTTCCGTCACAAACCGTCACTCCATAGCAGGTCTCATTGAATACGCGTGTCGTTGAGTTGGAGGTGGGAAGGGGACGAACGGCAATGCATCCACAAAACGGATCGAGAACAAAAAAAAAAACAAAAAAAAAAAAAAAAGAGCATGGCCGAGAAATGCAACGATGATCGCTCCCTCCTCTCGCCCTCACCGTCTCCTGCAGCAAGCCACCGCTCAACAAAACACAAGACGACCCTTTGTACCTTCTCGTTCGTGCTGCGTAGAGAGTGCAAGGGGGTCGGGTGCCCCCGAAGAGCCCCATCGCACTCATCGCGTTTGGAACGAAAAAAAAAAAACAGTTTGAAACAAAAAAAAAGTTCGAAAAACTCCTTGCTTCCAGAAGCCACCCATGCCACCCCCTGAGACCCTGGGCCGCCCCCCTTGGATCTCAGACAGTTGCAAATGCATTCTCAAACAGCAGCGCCATAGCGCGAAGGGGACGCGAGAGACGTGCCCTGCTGGCGCGTAGACTCAAAGAAGCTCGCGAGACGCCGTTTCAAAAGCACTCGGTTTGAAACGGAAAAACCGTTGGCATTGTTTTTTGTTTTTTATTTGCCTTCACGCAGCTTGCGTATGCGCTCGTTTTCACTCATCAAGTGGTGGCCATTTGATGCAACAATGAAATCGGGAGAAAGGGAGGGAGAGGGAGGCGCTTACCGGTACTCAAACTCAGAGTCGTAGTACTTGTCAGAGTAGTTCACTTCTGGGCGGCCGCTCATTGTTATTGCTTCTTGTTTGTTGTTTGTGTTTGTGGTTGTAACAAAGACTGAATTTGAATTGAATGGATTTGGAAATCGGCAGGTGAATGAGATTCAAGCAGAAAATCAAAAACACGTTGAACCCGTTGTTGTGCTCGGTCACATCGAACGATGCGAGCTATTCAATAGACAAACCAGCTTATATGACGGAAAAACAAACAGAAAAAAACACTCCAACATCCAAAAGACGAGCACAAAAACACGAGCTAAAAAACGACAATCACACAAAACAGCCAGGTTTCTACACTTGCATGTGCCAGCAGCAGCAGCAGAGGCAGACTCAAGTAGAAAATAGATATCGCTGTGACGGGAAGGAGACTCAGTGCATTTGTTGGAGAGCGACGATGGCTGCGAGCAGCACCACGCCAGCAGAGGTGATGATGAGCGGTTTACTGCGTGAGTTGATTGTCTGTCGAAAGTAAACACCCGATCGAATGACACAACAGTGAGTGCTTGTTTTGATGTTTCCAAACATGCCAGAAGTGGCGCAACAGCTCCGAAAACACTGGCAGAACAACTCCAAAACGACAAACTCACCTTTCGCAACTCTGCGAGCTTGCCATTCATTTCATCGCGCTCTGCAGTGATGGCAGCCAACTTTGCGCCGATGGCTTGTAGCTCTTCACGCGTGGACGACTCCTTCTTCTCCAGCCGGGTTCGAGCAGCGGAAAGCTCCTTTGCCGTCTCTTCGCTCGACTTGTGCACCTTGTCCAGCTCAGCCTCCTTGGCTGCGATTTGGTCACGGAGTGCGTGTGCCTCTGAGCTGCTATCATTAGCAAGGGCTTGCAATTGCTCCGCCAGACGATCGCGTTCAGAGCGCAAGGAGGTCATTTCGCCAACCAAACGATCGCACGTGGCCACCAGCTCGTAGTTCCTCTCTGTTGCATGCGACAGGGCAGCAGCCTCCTCTTGCACTGATGCAAGCTGCGCTGTCAAGCTGCGCAACTGCTGATTTGCATCGACGAGGCCTTTTCGCTCGTTTTCTGCCGTTGAGATTTTTGCTTCAAAGGCAGCCGCTGCAGCAACACTGGCTGTGACTTGTGCGGTTAACTCTTCAGTCTGTGACGTGAATCAAGGAATTTGTTTCATTTTTTGGAAATTAGAACGTGAGTGAGGCAAAATGATGAACACCAACGTTGAAGTGTTGTAAAACAAACGTACCTTGCTCACAAGCTCGGACGTCTTTGCAGTCTCGGTCTTGAGGGCATCGGTGGCGGTTTGCAATTGAGCCGAAAGTTCAACAATGCGCGCTTTGCTGGCCTCCAGCTCGGCAGAGTTTGCGTTGACAGTTGGGCTCGGCGCCAGCGAGGCTGCCAACGACACTTTCAAGGAGTTGGCCATTTGCTTTGCGCCGTCTCGTTGAGCAGTGACCTCTTCGAGGGATTTGCGCAATTGTGTAATTTCTTCTTGGCGCTGGCGAAAGGGGGAAAAGAAAAATCATCACAAACAATTGAAAAACAGTGAGCATCACACGCAACCTCAACCCTTGTTGAAACCCTCAAACAATAAAAGAACAAACCTGTGAATCTTGCGTGGACCATTGCTCTTGGAGCGTCATAAACTCGACACGGAACTTTTCGGCCTTTTCCAGCTGCTCGGTCAGCTCTGTCACTTTTCGCTTGGCCTCTGAGCCCGCTGAGGTGGATAGACGAAGCTCTTCGACTTCGGTGCGCAGGTGAGCAATCTGCAGCTCGCCTTGCTCAAGAAGGACTTTCAAACGATCCTCCTCGAGCCGAGCAGCCTGTGTTTGGACCTTGGCTTCCTTCAGCTCGTCAATTGCGCGAGTATGGTCGGCTTTGTGGGCGGCAAGTGCGCGCTAACCGAGGCAGGCCAAGAAAAACAGGACGAAATCGTCAGCGACAATGATTTCGACGACCCGAACAGCATGGAGATATCTAGAAATACAAAATACAAAACATCTCACCTCCAAGTCCAGACATCGTCGATCGACCTCCTGTTTGTCCTCAATAGCCTTGCGGATCATTTCCTGGTGTTGATTACAACCCAATCAAGAAAGATACACGGAACTCAGCCAATGCCAAATGACCGATGGAACGCAGAAACGCCGAGCCTTACCTTGGCCGAAAACTCAAAGCTGTGTCGATCTTGTTCCACGTTGACAAGAGAGCCCGAAAGATCGGCAACCTTAGCCAACAGCTCGGCCTCCGGGGAAGCGTTCTGTGGAAGCACACATCGAAAAAAAAAACCAAAACGGATTGGTCAGCGTCGAAATCCAATCCGCGTTTGCCTCAAAACCAAAGAACAAAAAACTGCCCAACAAAAAAAAAAGAACTCACATCAGCAATTCCGGCGACATGGGCGGCGCGGTGTTGATAGAAGGAAAGTTGGCGTTCGAGGGTATCAATGCGAGTCATGAGCTTTTCCTCCTCAAAGTAAATTTCATACTCCATGGCCGAGGTCTGCTCAATGGATGCAACAATCTGCTCGAGCTGCTCGAGTTTGGTGGCAAGCTGGTGCTCTCGCGACGAGGCTGCGACAAGCTGCGCGGTGAGCTGAGCAATCGTTTCGTCGCGAAGGTGAACAATGCCGGGCTTGGGTGCCTGGGCTGCAGCAACGGCCGCAGCAACGGCTGCCGCGGTGGCCGCGTTCATCGAGCCCATGGTGGATTGTGTGAGAATGGAGGCAATGGCGACAGCGTCACCAGAGGCTTGCTCCAACGCCGCCGGCAGCTCGTGCGCGAGTTGCTTCGCGGCCGCGGTGACTGCGGCGCTCGGTGCAGCCGTGGTGGCAGCTGCAGTGACGCCAGCAGCGGACAGCAGCGAGGCACCGTCTGTCATGGTCATGGATCGCTGGACCGAATCGGCACCGCTCTTGTTGTTGTCGAGGCTGCCGGCAGAGCCGAGCGCGGCAAGGTAACTTGGCGTCGCAGCAGCCGCCGCGTCAGCGTTGTTGGTTGCACCTTCCTCTCCGCCTGCAGCTCCTGCTGAGCCACTGCCACCAGCACCGACCATGGTCGCAGAGGCGCTGCCTGGCGCAGAGTTTGATCCTCCGCTGACGAGCATTGCGTGAGCGCGAGCGTCCGCCAGCACGGCCAGGGCGACCGACTCGGGATCGGTCGGATCGCAGCAGATGAGTGTGGCAATGATGCAGCGGTGGGTGACCTTGTTGTTCTCGAGGACGTCGACGCCAAACTGGACGACATCCTCACACTTGATCTCGAACGGGCGCGACTCTTGGCCCGTGTCGCTCAGGCGGTTGCTGTTCAGGAAGGTTCCGTTGGACGACTTGACGTCCTTGAGCATAAACTATAAACATGCCCAAAAAGTGTGAGAGGGAGTCCAAAAGTGAGTGAGTGGTAATGCATGGCAGCAGATTCATTTGAAAAACAAGAAAAAATTTGAAAAGAGGCGGCGGGGGTAAGGAAAGAGTAGTGTGGGGGAAGAAAATAGTGAATGGATTGCTATGGCAGATTTGAACTAGAGCGAATAGTTCGATACTCTTTTCTGTTTGATTCTTTTTCTCTTTGTCTTTTACTCGCTCTCGCTCGCTCGCCTCAGCCACCACCACCACTCTCCCAACAGCCACTGGCACGCTAGAATGACCGAGTTCGCATTTACCTTGCCGTCCTCAAACCAGACCTCGGCGTGCGCTCGAGACAAGACCTTCGAGTCGAAAATCCCGTTGGTGACCATTGGCTTGACCTTGCCGACCGCGCGGCCGATCGACGCACGCTCGCGCACTGTCAGACGACGCTCGGCGAACAGGTTGGGCTCGCGAGGCACCAGCCGCACAAACGGCGCCGACGGGTCATCACTCGCCATTGTTGAGATTGTTTGATGTTGTTTGCAATGCAAAACAATACAAAAAAAAAAAAAAAGAATTAAAATCAAAAAAAAAAAAAAAAACTTGACTGGATTGAGATGGAGATAGATTCGATGAGAATTGTGGATTAGATCGAAACGACAAGTGTCGAGTGCAGACGAAACCAAGAGCACGGTTGGAGCATACTGAACCCAACAGTGACGTGTTCGCAGGCGAGAAAGCCCGGTTGGAGTTGTGGAGATTGTGAATTTGGAATCATCCAGAGAATTTGTCTCAGAATTCGGAAAGCAGATGAATGGAGCTGGAGCTCATGCAGCATGCTATCAGTGTCCGGAACGGGATGTTTATGGAGAAGATGTTTCAGGATAAGGGGTTGGATTAGCTTGAGAGTACCTCTGTTTGTTTTGTGCATTTCGAATTCACCCTCCGATCATTGGCCTCTCGCTCTTCATCGATGTGGCGTGTCAGAATGCACGGAAATCACAAACATTAAACCAGACCTGTATTGCACTCGCACACACGACGAAAACAAAAAAAATAACCCACTTCACCTCTCATTTTACTTGTTGCGGGAAATGGTGCGCTGCTTTTCCGCATGCTCGACGACCTTTTCGTCAATGCGGAGGCCCTTGCGGCGACGAACAGCATTCATGTAGCGACGAGCCACGTTTTCGGCATCGGCCTTGTCGCCATAGTGCAGCTTTTCTTCTTCGGTGGTTGGGACCCAGTACGGATCTTGTGGCAACACTTCCCAGTGAGAGAAGACGAGCAATGGGGAGGCGGCGCCGCTCGTCTTGATGCGCATCTCCTCCGAAAAGCCAAAGCTTTCGACGACAGGCAGCAGGGCCTTGATGAGAAAGAGCGACGTGCCCTCCTTCATGTCTTCGGCAAGAATGCGTCCGTTGCGGCGCGAAATGACCGGGTACAGCTTGCCCAGCGACTCGGTTGTGACTTGGACGTCGCATTGGTACATGGCCATCATGAGACGAGCAGGCTGGGCAAGTACGGCTTGGCGGAGCGCTTCTTTGACGGCCGACAACACCATGCCCGACAACGAGGCATTGGAGCGCGAGGCGACCGCTGTGGGCTCGGTGGCACTCTCGTCCATCATTGCGCCATCTGCCGCAGCTGGCACCGCGGAGGTAGGGGTTGCCGAAAAGGAAATGGCCTCGACGGCGAACGCAACGCCAACCATGGGCTCTTCGCAGAGGGGGCCCGCAAGGGTCGCAAGCTGGAAACCTTGCACAATAGAGTTGTCCACCTCGGACGTACGCTGCGTGAGCAAGGTTCGCTGCTCGTCGTTCAAATCAGCAGCGCTTGTGATGGCAGATCCTCCATTGGCAGAACGCTGCTGCTGCTGCTGCTGCTGTTGCGCAGACTCTGGGTTCCGCAAGGCTTGGAGTTTGTCCGCAACACGCGTCCACAGACTCTTGAACGCAGGAGCGCTCAATCCCGGCACGCGGTTGAACAAAATGTTGGGACCGACGCGGCGGGGGCCCAGAGACCAGATGGACTCAACCGTTGCGGCAGACCAGCCTTGCGCACGGTGCTCGGGATCTCGTGCAACGCTTTCAAAGGCCTTGGCGAGATCTTCCTTGAGCTTGCTCATGCTCTCGAGACTGTCGGCGATACCGCCATCGCCCAAAATCGCACTCGACGAAGATGATGCATTGGGCGATGCAACGTTCATGAGCAGTCGCAGAACAGGCGCATACTGCTCGAGTACGGCAACCACTGCCGGCGGAAGCGGCACGGCCCGAACACGAAGGCGGCACAACTTGTTGGCCGTCTCAACCTCCACACAATTGTCGGGCAACCGCAGCATGCGAGACGACTTTGTCTGACTCTGCTGCTGGGTAGCCTGGTGTTGCACCAGGTCGGTGAGGACGTCGTCGATCGCGACCTCCGTTTCACTCAACTGACGCTTGCCTCCACTCTTGTCGTCTGTTGCATCCTCATCCTCGTCGTCGGATGCGTGGCCGCTGGTTGCGGCACTGCGCCGGGCGCTTTGCGTGCCACTGGTGGGGACGCTAGCGTTGCGCGTATCGTTTTGTGTCGAGCGGAAACCAGCGAACGGCACATTCGCCGAGGTATCCACCTGGTAGGGTTGCTGCTGCGATTGCTGCGGCTGCAGTTCCTTGACAGCCTGGTTGGCAATGAGCTCGCCAACTTCATCGTGTTGCGGTGGAGGGACGACGGTCTCGCGGAAGGGCACGATGGGCTTGGAGACGTTGATTGGGATTTTCGCATATCGATCGCGCAAGTCGTTCAGGCAACGCTCCAGGTGCACTTCACCCGCAGTAACAATGACGTGCTCGCCCGTTTCTTGCACCAAGACCTCCACGCACGGGTCGGCTTGGTTGAGCAGGCGCAGTCCTTCCTTGAGTTGGGCCAGCTGCGACAGGTTTTGCGGTTCGAGAGCAACACGAACGATCGGCGCGGCCTCCATGTGCATGGCTCCGAATGATGGGCAGGACAAGGTAGAGGACAAGGTGGCCGACTTGAGCACATGTCCTTCGAGCCCAAGAATTCCCACAAGCGTGCCTGCAGGGGCATAGGTTACGGGCTCCAATTCGCGACCCATGATGACGAACAGTTGCTGAATGGTGGCAGTGCTCGCATACGGGGGAAGAGACTCGCTGTTGGCTGCCTCGCCGCCAGGAATGGGTTGGTACTTTGGCGACAGAACGTTGATGGTCTGACCGCAATACAGCGCGCCAGAAAAGACTCGAGCGTACGCGACAAACACTTCTGCCGAGAGAGGTACAGGGGCTGGCCCAACGTCGGGCGCGGGACCCACGGTTGCTCCGACAAGCGGCAATGGGATGGCGTCAAGCTCTTGGTGCGCTCCAGCTGCAGGGCTGGCGGGGGACGGGGTTGCGTTGGCACTCTTTTGCTCGCGCATTTGACGGGCAATCTCTCGGCGACGCTCGACCTCGTGCTCGGCAACGGCAGGAACGACAGCCGGCTGCGTGACAGCGCCCGGTCGTCGTTGCCCACCAAACGCTAATGGAAGTGCCCGGCGGTCGAAGGCAACCATCTTGGAGATGAAGGCAATCGTGGGCGTCGTGGTGGCGTTCTCGGCAGGAGGTTGGGCCGGCGAGGCGACAAACGGTTCAAGGGCGCGAGAAGCATCGCCAAAAGAAGCAGCGGGTTGACCGGCATACAACAAGTGACGCACTCGCTCAGGCGCCAGCGTGACGGGCGACGGCAAACACTGACAAATCATCGACATGACGGCAGGCGCAACGGGAAGCCACGCGCCGCAAACCGCTTGGAGTTGCACTCGCGGCTGCTTGCTCTTCATGTCTCGCTGATTGAGCGTCAGTCCGAGCGTGGAAATGATCTTGTCGAGCTTGGCCTGGTCGCGGTTTGGATTCATGACGGCGTCGTACACGGCCCAGATGTTGTCGAGAACAAACTGCACAAACATTGGCTTGCGGTCTTGGGCCAGGGCGTTGGCGTGGATGCGCTTGGTCTTTGTGTTGAGGTAGTAATCGCCCCACAGCGTTTGACGAAGAATGTCGGGCTTGATGCCCAGCTTGCGGGCGTACAGCTGTGCAAAATGCTCCACACCAAAGCCCCATCCGTCATACACGGATGCGAAAACAACGTTTCCTTGATCCGGAGAAAAGTACAAGGCGGTGTCGTCCTGCTCCTCGAGAGACCAGTCAAACACGCGCGCCTCTGGCGACTCGTCTGCCTGTTCTTGTTGGTGGAGCTTGCGCAGTTCGGCCTGCTCGGCTGCTTTCTTCATGAGTTCTGCGGTGAAGAGGGAAGCGGTGATTGCATTGACCTGAAACGAAAACGAATCGAAGGGGAGAGTGAGTGCACGAATTGAATAGAGTTGGCTGGTGCAGCCGGGACAGCGTGCGAGCAGCCAGGGCTCAAAAGCATCGCAAAAAAACAAAAGCGGTACCTGCTCGAGAATGCGCTGGAGTTGGCGATGGGCTTCGAGAGGCGTCATTTGCAGCTCCAGAATCAACCGGTCCATTTTGTTGAGCACTAAAACGGGTTTGATGCCCTCGAGCCAAGCCTGACGCAACACTGCATGGGTCTGAGGGCAAACACCCTCGACCACGTCCACGAGCACAACAGCGCCATCCGACAAGCGCACGGCTGTCGACACTTCCGACGAAAAGTCGACGTGGCCAGGCGAGTCGATGAGATTGAGCAGATGTGTCTTGTCGTCTGCCGTCAACAAAGTTTCAAGGAACCAGGGACGGTTGTTTCGTTTGTGAGTGCGCTACATTCTGAGTTTGCAAGCTCAAAATCGAATTCTGAGATTGTTTGTTTGTTTGTTTGTTTGCTTACCTTGCTTGAATGTGAGTGAGATGGCGTTTGCTTTCATTGTGATCAAGCGATCCTGCTCTTCAGGAAGACTGTGTCCAAAGTCGTATGTGAACGGGTGAAACGAGTGAGTGAGTGAGTGAGTGAGTGAGTGATTGTGCAATCGTAAGGTCAATGCAGGCAACAGTCGGTCTGTCGTCTCGTGCGAGCCGGGCTTTTGTCCTCTCACCTGTCGAGATAGCGAAATCCGACCATCTTCTGCGAGATGACGCCGTTGGATGCGATGAGGGCGTCGCACAGCGTGGTCTTGCCATGGTCCACATGCGCCAGGACGCAAAAGTTCCGTATGCGCCGCATGCGGTCGTCCAGCGCCCCTGCCGCTGAAGCTGAGGCTGGCGAAGGTGTAGACGCAGATGACGAAGGTGACGGCTGTGCAAACCACTCGTGCTTGGCGGCAGACGCGGCCGCTGTGGAAGCGCTGCTGGTCGACATTGCACAATGGCTGAAAAATCTGCAACAAACTCCAAAAAAAAAAAAGAATGGGCTAAAAGTCTTTGTTTTCAGACAACGCTGGCTTTGCTTGAACAATGATCGGGAACTCTCCATTCATTGTCAAGCTTAACAAGCATTTGTGCATCCCCAAAAACAAAACATGCCAGAGAGACCGTCGCTCAGATGTAGCCGACATAAAGCCAGGAGGATCGCACGGAATCGGTAAACTTGTCTTGTTGAGCTCTCACCTGCCAACCCCCGCGCATCTGTCGGATGATCGGATGACTGGCTGGCAAAAGTGTCCCAAGCTCAACGGTCGAATCGACGCAATTTGGTGTCACAGACAACTCGGATCGAACAACACCTTGCTCATCTTGAACAATCAAATCAAACACGCAGCTCGCTGCGGCCTTGGAATCTTCCCACCTATCAAGAAGCACCCGAATGGCCTTCACGCGGATTGACGGTCCGTCGATGCCTTGAGGCAGTGTGACCTTGAAATGCTCGTTGGTGCAGTCACGAAGCCAATCTCGCTTGGTGTACTTCACGCCTTGCCAGTAATGCGCTTCGTCCATAATGCGCTCCGCAATCTCTGCTGGTAGCACTGGTAGCGATGCAGATTGATCCTGCAGGTCCGGCCCGCTACTCAGCAAGTGAAACACAGTCTGAAGCTCTTCGGCACTTGCGCAGCGTGGAAGGTAGCCAAATGCAAGAGGGTTTATCTGGCAGCGGAAGCTGTGCATCCCACGAACGATCCGTATAAATGAGCAGTTCGCAAGGGCCACTCCATTCGCGCGAGGATCGGAACATTCCGTGTGCAGCGACGGCTCTCGTTGGTCAAAGAACAACTTACTCAACGGCAGGATCGCAGTTGGTCTTGCAAATCTCCTCAAGCGCTTGAACGCCAACTTTGCCAATGCAATTCCCTGATAGACTGTTGCTCAGCAGGTGAGCAGAAGAACAACGTAGTACGGTATCGCTCGTTCGCTCGCTCTGGTTCAGCGACCGCGACGAGCAAGGCGAGCAACAACTTACTCGAGCTCAGTCCACGTTTTCTTCACTTTGAGTGCCTCAGCCATCGCGTGCGCTCCAGCGTCGGCAATCAGATTCCGGTCCAAACTGTCCCACCCAGTGAGCCACTCTAAATACCCTCTGCTGAAATCAGCTACTACATCCATCAGTCAAGAGTGAGATGCATTCTTACCCAAGCACAGTCACTGTCGTGTTCACTTTGAGCGCTTCTGCGATTGCCTGCGCTCCGGCATCTTGAATCTGGTTATCACTCAGACTGTCGGTTTCCCAGCCCCCCCCCTCTTCACTTGTAAGCATTCCTAACGCCCTCAGCTGAAGTCACTCACTCCCAAAACATCAGTCAAAGTGAGATGCCTGACTAGAGCATCGGCAGCGTCGTGTTAACTTTGAGTGCCTCGGCAATTGCTTGAGCGCCAGCATCACCAATCAGATTCCCGCCCAAGCTGTTCATCAGTGAGCACTTTTAACGCCCTCCGTTGGACTACCCACGCACATCCATCAGTCAAAGTGAAATGACTTACTAGAGCCTCTCCATCGTCGTGTTCACTTTGAGTGCTTCAGCAAACGCCTGAGCTCCAGCATCGCCAATCTGATTGTACCACAGCCTGTGTCCATTACCGCCCCCCCCCCTTGATCAGTGAGCACTCTCGCTGCTCACATGCGTTCAGTCAAAGTGATTTGGCCTTACACAACCGTCGTCACGGTTGAGTTCACTTTGAGTGCCTCAGCAATCGCCTGCGCTTCAGCATCGCCAATTTGGCTCTGGCACCGCCTGGTCGTTCAATTCACGTTGTAAGCACGCGAGCTGCCACCACTGGTTTCCAATCAACGCAGGGGGAGGGTTGGTTTTCCTCTCACGATAGATTTAGATTCCTTGTGTTATTGACCCTGTCATACAACTGGCGCTGCCTCTCAGTCATACTCTCATACGACAGCATTGGTGGAACTGTTTCAGACAAACAAACAAGGACTGCTTGTAATGTAGTCTCGTCATTCAATGTCTCATCCCTACAAGTGAGCCGGAGTTTGGATATTCGTGTCTTTTCGTTCAACTCGCTTCTTTGTATTTCTCAGAAAGCAAGAATAAAAGCGTTCCATTTCGAGCCAAATTTCAGTCTCAGATTGACAGTCACTCCAAGTCAAAGACCAACATCAGAGCAAAAAGCTCGAGTCAAACACTTGCAACAAACAAAATGCCACCACGAAGGCGACGGGTTGAGCTGGACGACGACGACGACGACGACAACGATGAGGAACGCGCTGTGGCGTCGGATCAGGACGAAGCGAGAGAGCGAGACGACGATGATCAGGACGACGTCGACGATGAGGAAGATCAAGACGATGATCAAGATGATCAAGATGACGACAATGAGCGACCAGCGCGCGTCACGCGAGGACGAGGACGAGGGCGAGGGCGAGGACGAGGACGAGGAAGGCCGCCCAAGAATCAGACGCAGGGCATTGGCAGCAAGCGAGGCCAGGCTGAGCAGAGATCAACCAAAGCCAAGTCAGCGCGTGGATCCGGAGGGTCATCAGGAACAACGCGGGCAAGTCGAGGCGGAGGTGAGTACATGCAGGTTGGAGATGACTCGATGGCAAGTCAAAGGGTCGAAATTGCTCAGATTTTTTTCTGGTGGTGCATCATCAGTAAAACGAGCGCGATTGGAATCAGACGACGACGAGGACGAGGACGATGAAGACGAAGACGAAGAAGAAGACGACGACGACGACGACGACGACGAAATGGAGGAGGACGATGATGAGGACGAAGACGAGAACATTTCTGGCTCAAGCGACGACGACGACGCCGAACATGAACAAGAAGACAGTACAAAGCTCGATGAAGACCAAGGAAAGCGATCACGAAAGGCACCCGGCAAAGCTAGTGCTGGAATCGACGACTTGGACGCACCCGATAGCGAAGAGGAGTGGTTGCAGGCGCTGGAAGCCGGTCGCCTGAATGCTCGTGGCCAACTCGAACCATCCAACAGCACCATCCGCGGCTCGTCCACACGAGGAGCTGCGCTTCTTCTCAAGGATGATGATTCGGTCGCTGATGAGGTGGAAGTGCAAGCAACCCAAACGGTAGGTTCCTGTTTTCATTCGGGAAGCCATTGTCCAACTGCGATCTGATTCTTGAACGTGTTGCTCGTCGTCGTGCAGGAGCCGTCATCTTCTTCATCTGCGACGCGGCGTTCTGCAGGGGACACTAACCTGCTCCCTGCGTTATCAGCTCCGGTTGGCCGCCGTACGTCTCGTTCCATTTGCTTCTGCTTTATTTTCAGAGGGAGGGGTTCCTCAAATCTGATCACCCTTTTGCTTGTTGCGAGGTATTGTTCATTTCATTGTTTTGTTTGTCTGTGGCCTGTACAGCTCGAAAAGCCCCAGCCACCCTTCCCACAGAAGAAGACGCTCTGCGAAAATCCGAAAAGCTTCGGAAAGACAAGTTGCGCATGGCCAAGAAGGCAGAAGATGAAAAGGCCCGAACGGTACAACGGCTCCTCGGTCGTCAAGTAACGCCGGTCGCTCAAAAAGAGGAGCCTGTCAAAAAGGTGAGAGTCATGTGCTAAACTGCTACTTTTCCCGCCAATCTCACTCACTGTCGAATCCTACAGGACCCGTACGCAATCACGATGACAGAACCACACACTCGAATTGTCATCAGTGCGAAAGGGACCCTGATATCATACTCTGAAGGACTCCGCTATTAATTCCTAAAATTGCGCTTTGCTGTATAAACCGTTCATGTTTCATTTCGACAATATCAATTCCGTTACGCATCCATATATGCACATCATCTCAGCGTCCCCCATCCCCAAAAAGAATTCTTCACACTAACTTCAACACTCGAATGCACCAATCATTCTACAGCTGCTGCTGCTGCTGCTGCTGCTGCTGCTGCTGCTCCACAGGAATATCATTTTCATCAACAGCGTCGTGAGATCGCCCTGCGACGATGGTCTTGGGAGAACCCTCGTGTCGGAGAGTTTGAGACAGGCGACGCTTGGCGGCATACACGAGCGTCGGCGATGAAGTCGAACTGTTGGTAACTCCTGCGCGATGGTGGTGCCTGATTCTTGGTGATGCCGGAGAATTCGGTGTGCTAGCACGCTGAGTTTGCGGAGAGTGGGTTTTGCCCAGAATCCTCGGCGATGCACTTGGTGAGGCAAATGGCGATGAGATGAGCGGAGAGAATGGAAGCGGCATTGAGCGCGGCGATAGAATCGTTGGCGAATTGGGGTTGGATTCAGGCAGCTCGCACTCCATAGCCTCCTCGAGGATGGTCTTGATGGGAGATGCAGGCAACGGGATGACCGCCGCCATCATTGCCTCGTTGAGAGACGAGTTCATGGCCTTGGGTCGCGGAAGCTCTGCGTCAAACCAAGGATGGGCCAACGCCGCCTCGGCAGAAAGACGGCGGGCCGGATTGCGTTGCAAAAGCGCCTTGATGAAGCGAACGGCATGTTCCGTCGCGCCACCAAACAGCTCTGTGGGGAACTCGAGGTAGCCTTTCGTCACGTTGGCATACGTGTCGTTCTCCGAGTCGCCCTGGAATGGCGACACGCCAGTCATCAGCACATACGTCACGACTCCAAGACTCCACATGTCGGATGCAGTGCCGGCTGCCTCAAAGCGAATGACTTCCGGGCTCGAGTACGCCGGAGTGCCAACGAGATCGCGAGGAGCGTTGCTGGCAAAGCGAGCCATGCCGAAATCAGCCAGCTTGGCGGTCCACTTGTTGCAAACGCAGCTGCTTGGCAGTGCCTGGGCTTGCCGGCGCTGGACTGCAGGGGAGGATGTTGGTGTGGAGGCGGATGAGCCTGCCATGCGAGCGGTTGTGAGAGCTGGGGTAATCCACGGCTCTCCCGCGCACAGGCAAGATCCGCCCGTCGCCAAGAGCACGTTCTCTGGCTTGATGTCACGATGCACAATGTTCTTTGCGTGAACTGTTGCAAGCGCCTTCAAGACTTGCTTGATGACATGGCGCGTGCGGCCCTCGCCCAGCGGACCGTACTTTTCGAGCCACTCAAACAGCTCGCCGCCATCCACCAAATCCATGACTAGGATGAGCTGTGCGCGCGATTCGTACACGGCGTGCAGCTTTACAATCTCGTTGGCAGAGCTGCCGGTCTGCTCGGCGTTCTCGCTGTTCATTCCGCAGCACAACGCCAGAATGTCCACCTCCAGCCGCGCTTGCTCCACAGTAAAGCCTTTACGGCGACCGCGCTTCTCGATAAACTTGGCGGCATAGATTTTTCCAGTGGCGAGCTCTTTGCACTGCTTGACAATACCGAAGCGACCTCTGAGTGGGGAAATTGAGACGCGGACGAATGGAGTGAGTGTTTGAGTTTGCAGCAGCAACCAACCCAGCTGCCTCGCTGTTGCCCAATTGCCCAAAGCGTTAGTCGTCCGAAGTCATCTGAGTACTCGGTGTCATCCATTCCTGCGGTTCGAGACTGGTCGGTTTGGAAACCGTTGCCAGCTCCCCATTTGGACGGATTGTTTCGGATTCAAAGCGAAACGGTTTCAACGTTCGTCAAACTAGCTAAAAGTGGTGGTACTTTCGCGCGCTTCATGCCATCGTCGCTCGATTTTCGTTGCAGAAGCAAGCAAGCACGTGCTCCGTTGAGTTGGTTGAGTGTTGGGTGGCCAGCGTGTGCGGGGTTGGGATTGGAAGCGGCGAAGACGGGAAATCTGCAAACAGTTTGAAAGCAATCCCAATCCATGACCCACTCGACTACCACCGCGTGCCATTCCGTTCTCTCTCGTTCCATGACACTCCTTCCATGGATACCGCTTTGAAAACTCCCGGCATTCTTTTGGTTGGTTGTGGGGGACGGATGTTTGGCTTACTTTCCAAGCGTCGCGCTGCATTCAAAGTCGGCTTCGAAGGCGTCTTTGGCCCAAGCAACGATTTTGTCTCCGCCCAAGCGCATTGGCGACGAGGTGTCCATGGTTGTTTTGTTGGTGTAGAAACAAGGATGTGAGTAATAATGATTTCAAAAATTGCAAATGATGACTGAATATTTGGTTGGGTTGGAAACGCGTGAACAACGTCGGTTGGGTTGATGCTCTGAGCCTAGCGCTCTCTCTCTGGTCATTTCCACGCAGTGTTGTGGCTGCGAGCTTCATTTGCTCATTCAGATGGTTTCCGTGCAGTTGGTATTGCGCTGCTGAGTTGGCGCATTTTCAAATTTGGATAGAGGCTCAGTCTACTGTTTGTAAATGCGTTTGGAGGACGATTGTCTTCTGTTGCGTTTGGTGTGTGTGTGTCGTCCGTCATCCAGCCTGCACCTTCACTGTGCAGTGATGGCGTTGCAGTCAAAAATGACGAGTGCTTTGAGACGGTGGACGGATGGATGGAAGGACGAAAAGGCGGAGCGATCGTTTGAATCATTGGAGTGATTCAGCAATTCAATTTTGAAACTTTGTGAATCTCGACGACGATCACCGAACGTTCGAATACGGGTGACAAGGAGGCAGGGGGTGGGTGTGTCCGTTTCGTTAATGGTTCAATACGAAGAACTCTACGGATTGAGAGCTATTGGTGGCTGCGACACGATTATTGTGCTCAACCATTCACCAATCACTCGAGATTCTCGTTGATGTTGCTACGAAGGTGGCGGCGACGTAGCTTGACAGCGATGTCTTTGTCAAGTGGAATGCAAAAAGTTACAATGCCAGATGAATCGCCAAGCATTGCGCTTGCTCAACTCTGCCGCTTTATCGAATCTGCAAACAGATTATTCTGCCTTCTGTCCCTTCCGCTCAGACACCTCGACCGCCCAAGCACCTTCAATACAATTTTCGAGTCATCCACTAGACCAAGCAGAAACACTGCTTCCTAACAACTCGAGATGCCAAAGGTGAAACGCGAACGGTTTGTCTGCGCGCCGGACGACGAGGTTGCGCAAGCCATGGGTTTTGCCAGCCACGCCAAGGTGCCGCTTCACGCGTTGTGGAGGCCATTTGGGCGCACTGGAGCTCAGGCGAACGTGAGCAAGACTGCATCCAACGTGACCGGCAATGCCAATTGCTTTCCTCGACTGACCGACGCCGATCTGAAACCCGGATTTGACCTGTACGAAGATCCCGAGCACCCGCCTCAAACATTGAAAGAGTTCAAGACAGACAGTGATCGCCGCGATGTCGGTCCCAAAGCAAACACCATCTATGTCGTCGGCGTAGGCGAGGCAGAGTCGTCGGTGCCCGTCGCCGCCATCGCACAGTACGTCGAGGCTTTCTACCATGGCATCAAAGTGACTGTGCTGCCAATGCTGCCGCTGCGATCATGGAACGACGTCGAAGATGAGCCAAAGCGCAAAGCCACGACCAAAGGCAAGGGCAAGTCGGGCTCCTTGAGCCCGCTCGGCGTGGAGGTCAGCGGCTCGCTGGTTCGCGTGCGAGCTCGTGCCAGCCCTGACGGCGTGGGAGTGCGCCAAGTCAATCTCAACGACATGATTGACGGCTTGCTGGCTCGGATGGAGACGCTCAAGAACGCGTACGCCATTCTGGGCGTCACTTCGGAAGACTTGTTCGAAGGCAACGACGACCTGTTCACCATGGGCCGGTCGTACGGTGGCAGTGGCGTGGCACTGATTAGTTTGGCGCGCGACAACCCCGCGCTGGACGATGTGGCGGGCGACCCTGCTGCTCGAGAATGGAGTTTTGCTGGGCCTGTCTCGAACACACCTTCTGCTACCAGTAGTCCAGCTTCGAACACGAACAGCATCTGGCTCTACCGTGCGTGCTGCACAGCCGTTCACGAACTGGGCCACTGCCTGGGCATGGACCATTGCATATACTTTCATTGCTTCATGCAAGGATCCGCGTCGTTGCTGGAGGCACGCTCTCAGCCGCCTTATCCATGTCCGCTCGAGCTGGTCAAGATGAGCGCGGCACTCAAATGGGCACCCGAGCATCTGCGGCAGAGGGAAGAAGCCCTGCGTGCGGTGCTTGCATCGCTGTCATTTTCCCGCGCACCAGGCGCAATCTCCCATCTGGCCTGGCTCACGGCTCGGCGCCAAGAGCAAGAAGCGAAAGAGAAGGAAGTTGTCGAACTTGTTTGAGTTGCACAGCCAACGTCCTACCACGCTTGCCCTTGCCGCTCTGACTGCATGTGTATGTGTGCTGACTGAATGCTGGGTCATTGATAATGTATCTCCTCATGTGCATCGCTTTTGTCCAAATCCACAGTGTCGGTGCATTCCGACCAAAATCGCAATGTTTTGCTGCACTTTGTGTTACCTTCCCCCACCACCCCTTCCCCCCCCCAAGCCCTCACTACCACGAGATCGATGAAATAATATTCGTATTTCTGTTAGTCCTCAATTTTTCATTTTTGTCTTTTTCTGAGCTCTTCGTCATTGGTGACTTTTGAATGACGGACATTGGGACTGGGACTGGATTGCCGCAGCAGCAGCAGCAGCCTCGCTCGGCTGTTCCGCCGGCCCCGCTGCCGCGCACCCCAGCCAGCGAAGGCGGGTCGCTTGTTTCCAACTACCTCACCTCGCACCCTCCGACCGAGCTCGACCTCGACGAAGAGAAGGTTCGTTCGCTGTTGGCATTCGTTTCGTGTTCGTTCCACTTGCGAATGAATGAACAGGAATCCGCGGTTTTGACGCTCACTTTGATGCTGCATCCAAACCACAGGCTGTCGACCAGTTCCTCTCGGGCGTCAACGTCATGCAATCGCAAAAGCGCCGTCCACCTGTAAGCAATGAAAACCCAAAAAACCGAATCAAAAACAAAAAAAAAGATCGCACAGTTTCTTTTTTTTTTTTTTTTTTTTTTCGTTTCAATGTTCCTTTGCTGAGAATGCATTTGGAAACGACGTTGCTTTTTGAAACTTTGCCACGTGATGCGTCTTTTGCTGTGTGGAGAATGAAAACAATGAGATCCTTTGTGCCTGGCTCAGCACTTGCTTTGATTGAGCACAGTGGGTGTGGTCGCAGTTCTGAGCAGTGGAGCGATCGTACTTTGAAGCAGATGCACAGTCAAATGGAAATACTCACTCACCCCGTGCTTTTTTGATGTGCTGCTACCCAGGCTACACGCGAAGATGCGGTCAAGTTCCTGATGGCTCGCAAGTTTGATGTTGCGCGCGCTATCGAACTCTTCTACAAGTTCCAGGTCCGCATCGCTGCTGCAACAAGCGACTTGACAACAATAAGTGTACTAACTCTGCGATCACCTTTCGTACCACTATCATAGGATCTGGCTGCTCGCCTCCGTCTCGAAACTCTGGATGTCAGCACCCTGAAGGACGAGCTGATGACTGGCAAGTTCATGGTGCCTGTAGGTTCACACGTGCAATGCAATGCGTCTCTGGTGCTGTGCAAGCCTCGATGCTGACCTGTGGAACTTTCCGATGCGTTGCAACAGGGCGGTCGTCAGCCAGACAATTCCATTGTCTTTTTCTTCACCGCCAATCGCCACAACCCCAAAAAGTCGTCGCGAGATGTGGCGCTGCAAACGATCGTGTTTATGCTGAATGAAACCGTCTCCACGTAAGGCAACGAGCCTTTTTCATGTGGAGCTTTTTAGATTGTCGGGATGTGTGGCTTGTAGCTTGTTGCTCAGCAATCGCTCTCTCGCACAGGCTGGAGAACCAACGCGGCGGCATTACCTTCATTTACAACATGACGAACTCCAACTGGGGCCAGTTCGACTACACCTTGAGCCGCATGGTCCTTGATACACTGCAGGTTGGGTTTTCCGTTCGTTCGTTGGCTTTGTTGTTGAACTCTTTCGTTTCTGACTTTGGGCCGCTTCGTCTTTCGCTCGCTTGCTCGCCTAGGATTCCTTCCCCGCTCGTATTCGTCGAATCTATGTTGTTGATGCGCCTTGGTGGGTTTCCAAGCCGCTCGCTGTTGTTCGCGGAATGATGAAGGAAAAGACCAACGGCAAGGTAGGTTTGAGCAGCCTTTTTTTTATCACCTGAGCACATGCACCCACTGAACATGTTTTGCTGGTTTTAGATCGAGTTGGTGAAGAACATTGCTCAGGTCGTTGGGTCTAACCAACTGCCAATCGAGTTTGGCGGCGAAGTTGGCTACGACCATGGGTTCTGGGTTCGAGGCGAGCTGTCCAAGGCTGAACGCAAGCGCGCCGAGCGTCAGCGAGAGATTGAGCTCTTCCGCCAGCAGTATGAGCAACAACAAGCTGCTGCTGCTGCCCCTCCTCAAGCCGTCGCCGCTCCTGCAGCTGCTCCCGCCGTTGTTGCTCCTGCTGTTGTTGCAGAGCCTGTTGTCGCCAAGCCTGTCGTTGCGGAATCAGTCACTGCCCCTGCTGAACCTGTCGTTGCGGAACCAGTCACTGCCGCTGCTGAGCCTGTTATCGAGAAATCGGGAGCTGCTGAAGCTAAAGCTATTATCGAGAAATCGGAAGCTGCCTCTGCCGAGCCTGTCACTGCCGAGCCTGTCCCTGCTGAGCCTGCTGTCGCGAATGAAACGGCACCCCAGCACGCCTCGCTTGAAGGCCAAACCGCGCTTCCTGATGGCAAGCAAGAAGTCATTCCGGCCGATGAAGACCCTGTCACTGAGGCGCCTGTTGCCGTTGCGACGCCTTTGGTCGATGTCTTTGAACCTTCTTCCAACGCCCCAGAGCTTCCTCCGCACCCGACCGAGAAGCCGGTATGAATGCTCCGTCTTTTGCCGACACTTCTTCCTTTGACTTGCACACTCACTTCCTGTATCACCTTCTACGTCCAGCGCCCAAGCTACAAACGCCTGCTCGAAGAACTCGTCCACAAGCAAAACAATGAGCTGCTCGAATCCGAGTTCAAATCGGTCTCGCCCAGCGTCGGTGACCCGACATTCCATGCGGCGCGTCGCGATCAGAACAAGGTGAGTCTGCGCACCAACTTTGGAATGGAACAAACCGCTCCCTCCCGAACTGCCTAGTGCTAACATGGCGTGCGTGTTCTGTAGGCCAAGAACCGATACAACAACATCTTTGCGAACGACGACACTCGCGTTCGCTTGGGTGTGGAAGAGGAGGGCGTTGACATGTCCGCTATCGACTACATCAATGCCAACTACATTGACGGCTACTCGCAGCCACGCGAGTTTATTGCAACCCAGGGCCCGCTGGAAGCCACTCTGCCTGCATTCTGGCAGATGATTTTCGAAAACCGCGTTCACGTGCTCGTCATGATCACTGGACTTGTTGACCATGGCCGTGCCAAGTGCCACAAGTACTGGCCCGATCCCGAAGTGGCACAGGAGAGCGACGGTACGCCCGAGCTGCGCGAAGCCGCCGAAATCCAGGCCAACGTGGTTCCCGCAGCTGCTGCAGATGCGCCCACCGAGAACTGGCATTCCCGTCCCTCCGACGAGACTCCTGCTGCCGCAACAGAAGAATCGTCGACCGCTGCGGACGAAGAAGATGCTCCCGCGGCTGCTGCTTCGTCGGCCCCTGCTGCCAGCGGCAGTGGCAAGAACAAGAAGAAGAAGAACAAGAAGAAGAAGAACATTCAGATGGATGAGCCCGAGTCTGAAGCTCCTATTGCCGAAGTTCCTGCTGCTGACGCTCCTGTTGTTGCTGCTGAAGCTCCTGTTGCTGTTGCTGAAGCTGCTGCTCCTGCAGAGCCAGCTTGGCCCCCAAAGAGCTCGACCGCTTACGGCGACGTGGCCGTGCGCTGCGTGCAAGAGACGCGTCATGAGCACTGGATTGAGCGCCAGCTGGTCGTCTCCCATCGTGTTGCGCTTGCCACTTGGACGCTGACCCAGATCCAGTACACGTCCTGGCCCGACCACGGCGTGCCCTCTGAGCCCGGTCAAGTCCTCGAGCTCATCTCGCACATTGAGCAGCTCAAGGCGACTGCTCTTGAGCGCCACCCTCAGGGCTCGCGCGAGCATCCCGGTTCTCTCACTGTGCACTGCAGCGCCGGTATCGGCCGCACGGGCACATTGATTGTGTCCATGTACGCTATCGAGATGCTAAACACGCTCGGCATGGTCGATGTGCTGGGCGCCCTTGAGACGGTTCGTCGTCAGCGTGCCCGCATGGTCGAGACCCTTGATCAGTACGAATGCGTCAACCGTGTCGTTGTCGAGTACGCTCGTAAGCGCTACGGCGACGATTCGATTGAATTCGAAGACCCTTTTGAATGAGAGTGATGAACTTGTTGTGTGTGATGCTTTTGGTCATGAATTTGTCTTTGGATTGAAATGGACCAAGTAAAAAAATCCAAACTGAGAACCATTCCATGCAGTCGACACCTAAAGGGCATTCAGAACCTGGACAAGCTGATGCACAAGCATGAACGCTTTGTGTTTTCATTGACAAACAACAAAACACCCAAAGTCAACAAGACGACGACAAGATTCGGTCGCTTGCTTGCACAATCCATTGAGCTCAAGGGTACCAGTTCTTGTCGACACCTACAAGTCACGGGAGTTTTGTGAGCAGTTGGTTTGTTGGCTACGAGAACTTTTCGACCAAATGACATACCGACAGAGCAAGCGGTCGCGTCACCGTCGTACTGCTTGATGGCGGGCTTGGACCAGCCACCGAAAGAGCTGAAGTCGTCAAAGCTCGGCTCGTTGTCGTAGTGAGCGTACCAAAGAGGGCGCGAGCTGAGGGCGTTAATCTAAGAAAACCAAAAAGGAGGGGGAGGGATATCAAGTGAATCGACGCCTGTCGAGACCAACGTATCAAACTCACACATAACACTCACGTTGGCATTGCCAGTGATGGGAGACCATTGGGAGTACGAGGTGTAGGTTCCGAACGAGACACCCAAGTTGATGAGCTCTTGAGCCATGGATTGAATAAAGTCAATGTTTGCAGACGTGCTGGAGGACCAGCCGGAACCCTCAATGTCGAGCCAGATCATGCCGAACGACGCGCCAGCGTTGCGAAGGTTGTTGACCATGTTGCGAATCTGCAATCGGTAGAAAAAGAACGGGGAAAGTTGAGCGCAACAACTCACAACAAGGTTTGTCAAACTTTCTCCGTTCGATCCGTTGTTGTTTACCTGATCAGCCGGGTTGCCGCACGAGTAGCAAGGGAAGATGTAAGCGTCGACGTAGGGAATGCCGGCGTTACGCGCATTGATGATGGTTTGGGCAGCATTGAGATCGACCGTACCCGTCGAGCGTCCCGCACGCACAATCGCGAAATCGTAACCGTTATCTGATCCGATCGGAAACAGAACCAAATGGTAAGTGATTGTGAGATTGTACTTGCTGATTCTTTGACCAATCGCACTCAACGCTTCACTAGCTCTGAATCTCTAGCAATAATCAGCACTCAGTACTCGGCCAATTCCATAATCGTGTTGAAAATGCGACCCCGCCCCCTCTGCCCACACTTCCCGCCACACTTTGTCTTTAACATTCACATCGAATGACTTTTTTTTGTGTTGTTCTTTGCTTTCGAACTGATGATTGAACGATTGTTGATCACCTCTTTTTTTTCTTTTTTCCTTTTTGTTCCTTGTCACTTGACTTTTGAACCTAAACTCGGTTCGCGAATCGAAACTCGTCCCTTGTTTGTTTTATGCATATGAAGTTGTCGAATTGTTCAAACAACGAACGCAACACAAGTTCAACCAGCAGCGGAAGACAGAAGAACGGAGGAGCAGTGAGGTTGTTGTTTGGCGTCACGAACAGAGTCGCGTCAAAAAAAACCGCCATTGCTGCCAAACCGCCATTGCTGCCGCTCGCTCGACGATGGCACCTGCAAACTGATGCAACATAGACACACACATGGAGACATCCCCACAGCGGATACAAGAACACCCGGGACACGCTACACAGATACACGACACGCAAGTATACGCAGAAAGGGACGACAGGAAGGAAGGGAGCAGTGACACGATGGAAAGGCCCCGCCGCCGCTTCCGTGAATGTGTCCGCCATTTGCCAAACTCACCACTGAGGCAGTTCCAGTCGGCCTCGCTGACAATGTCAGACACATCCACGCCATACGTAGCGCTGCTTCCGGTCGCCATCGCGCAGACGACGCACGCAAACGCAACCAACGCTGCAAGCTTCATTCGCAATAAAAAAAAAGAAAGAGTGAGAGTCAAGTGGAAACAGGAAAGTGCATTGACAGCTCAGAGTCTGAGTAGAGCGCTTTTGCAATAAAGTGCAATCTCAATGGGTTAGTCATACTAGACCCGAAATCGCCTGTTTTGCAACTTGAAGCAGTCATTGAAATCAGTCCATCGCCTGACCTTTTCTTCTTGTTCGGTGAAAATGTTCCGCTGATCCGATCGCAATGAAGCGCCTGTGATTCAAGGCATCAAGAGGTAGTTGCATCGCAATCATACTGCACTGTACAAGAAATCACCCATGGTACTGCCTTTCAAGCACGTCCCGACAATCCTCATCCTTTGTGTCAAGTTCGCTGAAAATGTCCCGCTGTTCCCGATTGAAACGAAAATCCAGCCACTTGCCAAAATCACAAAAAAAAAAACCTCATCATCAAATCGTAGCATCGCATCATCGAGGTTGACATGCATTGCAGCTCCATTGAAAGTGCTCACTCTCTCAAAATCTCAAGCAGCCTTCTTTTTTTTTTTTTTTTTTTTTTTTTTTTTTTTTTTTTTTTTTTTTTTTGGCTGAAGCAGCATTGCAAAATGGAGACCAGCAGCGGTCCTCCTGCCCCTGCCCCTGCCGCTGCCCTGGCTCCTGCCGCTGCTCCTACTGCTGCAGAGCGAGTAATAGGACCCAGTTATGGGCTCTCCACTGGGCTGTCCAGCGTGCTGCATTACCAGGCGGTTCACAGCAGCTCAACGAATCTCGCATCAGCGACCGACGTCGTGCCGCCAGCGACCACAGCCACGGCGAGCACTGCGAATAGGAGCACTGATGCTATCACGGTGAATGTTGACAGGTCTGCAAGCAGCACGCGGATAAGCTCCAACAGCCAAGCAAGCGACGCCTCCCAGCACAGCGACGTCACCATGTTACCGTCCTCCGACACGAGCGAGCACAACAAGAAGAGCAAGAGCCAGGGCTGCATGGAAGGAGTCCTGGAATGGGCCACGGGCATCATGATGAGCTGCAGCGGCGTCCAAGACATCGAAGCAGACGACGACGACGACGATGAGGATGATGACGAGGAGGAAACCGCTCAGTCGTCTGAGAGCATGGACATCGTGCCTGCTGGACACCAGTCTCGAAAGAATGGAAAAGACGTGCAGACTACTCCAGTAATTGCGCGGAATCGGCGGACGGGCGCAAGACAACCGCTCCCTGCTCCACATCGAATCAAGTCTGTTGTGCACCGAATCTTCCAATTCCTGACCTTGGTGCTCTGCGTCTCCTTCCTCCCACATAGGTTTGGCCTGGCTGTTGAGTCGAGGTTGCGATTGGGTTTTGGTTGGCAAGCTGATCCAAACACTCATCCTTTTCCTGAATCTCCGGTTTGCCACTTTGGTAGTTACTTTTCGCTCTTTGTCGGCGTCCCAGACAGCTCGGACGGCCTCGGCTGGTTTGTGCTGGTGCTTGTCTTTGTTGTGTTGCCGACGGCCCTGCTGGGCTTTTTGCCGCTCGTCTTCTTCCGTGGCTTCCTAACATCCCCAATACTGCCACTCATCTACATTGGCGGCATCTCCACAACGTATTTCATTTCAGTCTTTGCCGTTGTCGATGCCACCTCGAAGCTGGACGATCCACATTGGCCAAGCAACCAGACCTCTGCCCTGCAAGAGCTGATTGACTCTGTGTTTGGCAAGGTGGATGCGGCGGAAGGTACAGCAAAAATTGTCTAAAGTGGCTCGACAGTATGCGGTTTTTTTTTCTGTGTGTGTCAAAAAGACTTACTGCCATATCCCTCACCACTCCTGTTTCCAATTGCACAGCGCGTGGTGGACAAGAGGCACGTCGCGCGGTGGGCTATTTCAACATTGCAGTTGTCGGGATTTGCTCTCTACTGGCGGCCTATTTTGCCATCAGCTCTTTCCGCGTTACATCCACCTTGTGCAAGTGGCGAAGAGTCGACATTAACAATTGGCTCAATTCCATTGGGATGCAGCGGTATGCGTTTTTGGGTTTTTTTGTTTTTTGTTTTTTTTTTGTTTTGTTTTTCCTTCTTCCTTTTAGTTGTGGCCTTTTCGCCGCGTGTTTCCAACTTTGTTTGCACATCTTGTTTGCTGTTCCCTCAGGTACGCTCCGCGATTCCACCGACACAAGCTCAATGCGAGGTGGTTTTTGAGTGACAACACTGCTCAGTTGAACAACCTGCATTTCGGCTCGTTGACCGACCGGCACATTCTCGAAGACGAGCTCGCGCGATTGCGCATGACCATCCAGGGCAAAGCACGACCACCCATGGCCAACCTAGATCTGGCTCAGCTGGACATACAGGGAGGTTTGCAACGTTCGAGACCAGAGCGCCGCAGTGTCTTGCGGAGATCGTTGTCGGTTGCAAGTGGCGGCAGCGCTGCTCGCTTGTCCACATTGACTGCGGCCAACCAACTATCTCGTCAAGCAATGGATGAGATGCTGGTCGCGCCGCCAACTTACTCTCCTCTGGACCCTTTTGCAGCCTCGAGTTCGTCTGTTGAACAGCAGCAGCAGCAGCAACCATGTGCCTCAGCCTCGACCTCTACTTCCGCCACCATCGTGCCAACAGCATTTGCTCCATTACCTGCCTACCAACAAGAACCGACGGTGCTGACAAACGCGGATCTGGAAGCTGCACAGGATGCAGCCTATCTCAAGCGGTTGGCTCCTGATGAGGCTGTCTTTAACACGGCCAACGCCCGGTTGCGACACCTCGGCAAGCACAAGATTGACATGCGGTCGCTGAGTGTAAAGCGTGTGCCGGCAGTCCTGCTGGTCATGATGCCTCTGTTCCTGTTTGCGCTGTTTGTCCTCGTCATCCCCATGTTTGTGCTTGCCTACCTGAGCGACCCGACCCCCGTGGTCGGGACGGCACGCGTGCTACTCGTTCCAACCCTCGTGTCCCATGTTGTGGCTGGTGGTGTGCTCGTTGTGATGATCCTGGGCCGAAGCCCGTCGATTTGGATTGCCTTTGACATGTGCTTGGTGTCGTGCCTCCTTCACACGGGCATTGTTGTCCTCATGCTGATCGAGTCGAGTGGCTTTGTCAACGACAAGGACTATGCTGCCTGCGTGATTGGCATCATGACGGCGTTGGTGCTACTCGTCGAGTTTGCGTGCTTGCTCACCGCCGTGCGATGCACTGCGCGCTTCAAGGCGACCGTTCGCAACTGGCCGGTGGAGCTGGTCGCGCTATGGGCCGCGTCCAACGGTTTGGACTACCAATTTGTCTTTCGTCACGACATTACTGGTCTGGCGTTAATCCGCGCGGACGCTGTCGAGCTTGTCGAGCGCATTGGCTTTGCCGACTCTGTCATGCGCAAGCTGTTCGAGCAACGGCTTGCCGGCTTGCAGACCTGCAGCGAGAGCTTTGACTGTCCGGTGGTTTCCCCCGAGCTGGTTGCAGGCGCCTTCCCCAGCCAATCGGCGCTCGCTTGCAGCGCCGTTAGTCCCGCGTTCGCTGCATTGAACATCAAGCAAGTGACTGCCAGTTCCGAGCTGCGTTCGTATTTTTTGGACGAGCTGCGCGCCGTGACTTCCGACAATTGCGATTCCGACGCGCCCGCTGCTGTTTAAGGGCGGGGTCTTTGCTTGAGTCGGGATGGCCGTTCTGCCATGGCGCTCTCTTGCTTGATTGATTGATTGCAATCATTCGTCGACCTGTTGTCTCGTTGACAAAGTGTGTTAAGATTATTTTTCAGGTTTTTCTTTCCTTGTGTTTTGAGTTTTGATTTTGTGTTGAATCGATTTCTTTCTTTTTAATATCAGACTTTTTTTTGCATCTTTTCCCCCTGCTTCTTTCATGGTTTATGTTTCATCTGTGCCAAATCTCAGACTTGCTGATCGTTGAATTGAACCGTTTTGTTTCTGCCTTTCCTCCTTCTCCTCCTCCTCCTCCTCCTCTTCTTCTTCTTCAACTGCATCCTGCTCTTATTTGTCTCTTCTCCTCCTTCTATTTATTCCCCCAAAAGCGCTCAGACTTCTGAGCTCAGTCACTCTTCCAAATCCACCCAAATCCAAATCCTCAGCCATGGTTGTTGCTTTTGTTGGCAAGCTCCTCATCGCCGCGTTCGCGCTCGCCTCCGCCTGGGCCCTCCTCGACCCCCAGACCACCTCCCACTTTGTGCGTTCCATTTCGTAGTAACTCTCTTGTCAACTAACTCCGACCTTCTGCACGCCAACCGACGCGCGCGCGAACCAACCAACGCTTGACAGTTTGTTCAGCCAATTTTCAAAAAAACTGAAAAAACCATTTTTCCCGCCTTTTTTTTTTTTTTTTTTTTTTTTTTTTGCTTTCCTTCTTCTTCTTCTTCCTTCTTCCTTCGGTGTGTGTGTGTGTTTTCTGCGTTTCGCCGCAACGCGCTTCCGCGTCTGCTGCTTTTGGCACTTTGTGTTTGGTGTTTGGTCTCGTCCCTCCGCCAACGAGCGCTCTCGCTCTCAAGCAAAAAAGCCAGCCACGAACAAAAACACATGCGTTTTTTTTTTTTTTTTTTTTTTTTTTTTCCTCTTTGTGCTACCATTCTTTTGTCGCTTCGATTGTCGCGATGCTCGGCGGTCCAACGCTGCTTTCTTGTTGATTGCGAGGCGTTGTCTTGTGTGCCTTTCGTTTGAACGCCGATCTGCGACCAGCGCCAAACAAGCAAAAGCAAAAAGCAAAAAAATGCATACCTTCCAGATATTAATTTTTTATTTTTCGTGATTTTTTTTTTCTATTGAGTTTCCATTCCATTACCGTTGGTTTTTTTTTTTTTTCTTCTATTGCGTTTCCATTACTTTTTTTTTTTTTTCTTCTCCTTTCCTCCTTCTTCTTCTTCTTCTTCTTCTTCGTCCTTCCGTCGCTGCGTTCGTTGTCATCTTCTTCTTCTTCTTCTTCATCTTCTTCTCTCTTTTCGACTTTCACTTTGGAAGTGAGCGATTTGCGTCTGTCCTGCTTCACTCACACATTCACGTCTTGTTACTCTCTTCTCCTGCGCTCACTGCGACAGACCCCCCTCGTTGACAAGGCTCTCGGCAACCTCCAGGTCCCCGAGATCTACCGCTCCCAGATCCGACCCTTCGAGCCCTACGTCGTCCAGTTCCACGGTGCTCTCTTTGTACGTTGAGAGTCCAGCCACTCACTCTCTCACTCAATCACTCGCCTTCAACTCGTACTCACGCTTGTCGTATTTTCATTTCCGTTTGTTTGTGATTAGGCTCTGGGCGGTGTCTTCATGATCCTCGGCGCCCTCTCGTCCGCCGCTGGCAAGCTCAGTGTCTCCCTCCTCGTCATTGCCATCACCCTCAACGCCATCGTCTTCCACCCCTTCTGGGTTGCCACCAGCGCTGCCGACCAAGCACAGGCCCTCCTCGGCTTCCTCCAGGTCACCGCTCTTGTCGGCGCCCTCTTCAACTTTGGCTTCGGCAAGAAGCAAGACAAGCAGTAAAAAGCCCAAAGTCTTTTTCGCAGTTGTGAGCCTGGAAAACTTGCCGCGCTCTCGCTTGTGGACTTTTGTCGCAGTGTTGCTATGAAACGACCCGCAATATATAATTATTGGTCTGAACAAGTCATCAAAGCAGTAACAAAAGTTTCGGAAGGATGGCTATCGCTTCAGCGATTCCAGCACCACCAGCGTGGCTGTCAATACAGCGATAGTCCCAATAACAGACCAATACGCCTTGTTGTGCACAAAGGGAGTCGGTGGTATCAACGTAAACTAACGTAGGGATGAACGTTGCAGGAACACGGTTGCTGTGAGATCGAAAAAACCAAAAAAAAAAAATCGACCATTTCATAGCATGACAAAGTTTGTTACCTTGCTTTGCCAAGAAGAGGAATCGGTCGATGAGTCGGACACGAGCGGTGCGACCTTGCTGACCTCCGGCTCCTCTGTCCGATACGCATTCAAAACACGCTGGACAAGCTGCGCGCGAGCCTCGCTGTCTTCCACAACCCGCGGCTCGAGGAGCTCTATTGGTTGCACGTTGCCAAAGAATTCTGTAAGTCGAACCTGAAATGGCCAGGACAGCTGGTGTGTGAGCTGCAGCTACATGAAACAAAATAATCGTGCAAAAACACGAAACTGCCGTACCTGCTTGATATCGCGCCCAAAAAGATCATCACGATAGCCAAATGTCGAGGAGAGTGCACTCCAGTCAAAGACTTTGAAAAAGTCGGCAATCGTTGCCGAGGAATCTGGCCTGACACTCTCCAAGAATTCAAGTGCGTGATACGTGAAACGGTCGACAACAGCAACGCCGAGCACAGGATCGGCGTGATGCTGCGTGGAAAGAGACAGAGCAGAACGAAGTGAGAACAGTAATCCTTGAGATGTCATCACGCACCATTGAATCAACGTCTCACCGAGTAGGATGTTTCGCCCAACGCGGCACTGCCGCATGCGAGGATGTGCGGAGAGTAGAAGGTGGAGTACATTGTATTCGCTTGGCACGTGTCAATCACGAACATGATTTCGTTGTACCTGCAACGTCAGAGGGAGGGAGGTGAGAAAAGAGTGAATGAATCGTTCGTGCCAACAAGAATCGAGTCAGGCTCCACAAACCTTCGCTTTTGCCACATTTGCTCAAAGGCATCAGCAATATCGCGGCTTGATATTTCTTCAGAGTCTTGGAACTTGAGAAATTCGTCACCGCCGTGTCCTGTCAAGAAAATCCAATCGCGAGAAAGCGAGTTGGCTCAAAAGTCTGTCTCTCTGAACGCGTCGTTCGATCGGTTCATGTTTGCCTACCAGTCATATATACCAAAATGTTGCTCCTGTCGTCGGAAAGAAGGCGTTTGGAACGCGGTACGTGCTCCGGGAACCGGCCTGTGAGCACTCGCAAGAAATTCTCAACAGTGACCTCGGAACCGCGGTAGTCAACCTCAATGTTTTCGCCATAAACGTTGATTTCCCGCTTGGTATTGTGAAACACTGTTCCTGGGAATGGATTTCGCGTGTTGCACGCCATGTCGTCTGCGAGCATCAGAATAATGTTCGAGTCTGGTATTCCGAGCCGTTTCACGCTCCTGCCGCGGCACCCCCGCCATTGAAAACCCCCACAAGCTGTGAGTCTTTGATGCCAATATGCCATTTCCTCTTGCTCGAGCAGCAGCAACTTGAGCAAAAATCTCACCGATACATTGCCAGCGTATTCGCAGTGTGCCGGTAGTTGAACCAGTACTTTGACGTGGCCACCTGTGAGACACACAATTTGGGAGGCAAGTTCGAACATCAGTTATTCGGCTTTTTTTTTTCGATGTGACTTTGTGATTATCTGAGAAGTGTGGTGAGGTTTACCAAGACTGCCCAGTTGTTGGTGTGGCCAGCCGCAGCACGCTCATTCAAGAACGCCGCTGCTCGATCGTGATGCGAGTCTAACGACGACGATGACGACTCGTGCATGGATGCAGCTGCAACGGCAGAGAACAAGGCCAAAAGTAGCAGAGCGACGATTTGCTGGCGAACAACGGTGGCAATCTGCATCACTGAGAAAGACTGATTTTGATGGGAGCGTCCGAAATCCATACTAGATGCATCTTTATTTTATTTGAAAGCATGCGGTTTGGGTAGCTGCGACTGAGTCGGAGTGGATCGATGCTCTCTTTAAAAAAAGCCGGTTGGTTTGCGCTCAATTGGGAATGGTGCATCCATCCATCCAACCACAGCCATCGTTTTGTACATGTATCGTTGGTTTAAGAGTTTGTTGCGTGCGTGCTCATCGATAAGCAACATGAAGTGAGTTTGGGAGTTGGGATGCCGGGTTGGTCGAGCGAGCTAAAATCCCCCTGTCAAACGCTGAATCCCTTCCAACTGAATCCATTTTCATTTCATTTTTTAAATTTTAAACATTCAGTCTTCTTGTTTGATTTCCTCGTGTATGATGTCCTTTTTGCATTGAGAATTGCGGTTTTTTTGTTTTCAATGCTTCTTCTATGCTTTTTTTTTTTTTTTTTGGGTTCTGTCGAGCTGTTCGTCGACCTCATTCTTTGGCTTAACATCCACTCTTTCATCGCTTCTTCTTTCTTCTTGTTGGATGAAACTCGCTTTTTGTTTCGCTTTGTTTTTCAACAAGTCGAACTTCAAACAAAAAGTCGAACTTCCATTCAACGATCGGAGATTGAAAACAAAAAAACGGAGTCAAACACAAAATTCGGGTTTTTATTATTTTATTATTACCTCGAACAAGACTCAATGTTGAGTGCTTTTTTTCGCTTTTTTATTTTCTCAAACACCTGATTTTTTGAAGAACCGACGCCGCAAAACAACCAAAGAAGCAAAGAACGAACCAGAATTGAGAGTTGAGAGAGTGAGAGTGGAGAAGGAGAGTGAGAGTGAAGGAGAGTGAGAGCGAAGGAGAGCGAAGGGAAGGGGTTTTTGGATTTGGATGCAACTCCGACATCAAAAACACTGTGACACCGCTTTGTGTCCAGAAACAAACTTCCGACCTGGTTGGAGTCATCCAATGTCACTCTCTTTTGCATCGTGCATCATCGTGCTCGCAGCAGCAGCAGTCATTCTGTCACGGACGAACGAGGGCGGCTTGGCGGGTGGAGCGTTCGGGGCGGGGGGTGATTCAGCAGCGGCGGTTTCCGCTCGCAGCGAACGCCACAGTGTGCAAAGTACATCACCATCCACTCCACCCCACTCCATGCAACCACCCGCTCAAAGCGGAATATTTGCAAATGGCGAATGCTGCTGTGTGGCGTCATTTGTGCCTCAGTCCTCATTTTCCTGTACTTGTCTTCCGTTGTGGTGGTTTTGTTGAATCGCAGGTCGTCTGACTACAGCCCGCGCTCTGTCACCCGACCACCCCAGATCACTCATAGCACAAGGGTTTTTAGTATTCGGTTTCGCCTGTTCTTGTATTCGGGTTTTCATTTCTAGAGGGCGAAACACAAGAGCACTCTGAATCCAAGCCATCCCCGCATTCGACTGTAAAGACTTGAACACACACACAATCTGATGCTTGTTGACATTTCTGAGCTCGTTTGCTTATTGGAAAATCCAACTTGGCAGAAAGAACTGAATGTCTCACTCGTCGTTCCCAATCTGGTCCAACTTGCTCAAGACGCGTACTGGTTCTTCATCCAACCACAACAGCAACACTACCAACGCGAGCACTTCTTGCGCTTCTTCCAACGCAAGCACGAGCACGAGCACTGCGACTCCCAGCAATCTCACAACCTCCAATCTCAGCAACCTCGACTTGGTGCATCCGTTGCCGTTCTTCTCGTTGACCTCCTCGCGTTCTGGATTTTCCCGACGAACCATCTCTGAATCCTCGTCTGAATCCTCCGACTCTTCGTCAACGACGCCCTCTGTGACTGATCGCCCCCACTAAGCTCAAACAAAACAAAAACAAAGCATCTCTACTACTCAAACATGCCTCCTGCAACAGCCACTCCAAACGGCCCAGGTCATGTGTCCAACGCACCTTCGGTCGATCCCGCCGTTCTCGGCTACTGGCGTGAGCGTCTCGCCAATCTGCCATATCCGCAATTGCCAACAGACTACCCACGCCCTGTCAAGCAGCAGGTAAGAGTTGTCTAGCGTTGCGATTATTTTGGCATGTTTTTTTGTTTGTTTTTGTTTTTTCAATGTCTCACCACTCGGCACTTTTTGCCTTCCACCGGCTCTCCCTCTCACAACAGATGGTCGAAGGCGAGGAAACGCTCTTGCTGGACGACAAGACGTGCCGATCCATCTTGCACTTTAGCTTGGACGCCGACGTCAAGCCCTTCACCACGGTTCTGGCAGCTTTCACCATCCTCGTGCACAAGTACACGCGCGAGGAAGACATTGTCATTGGCTCCTCGTCGTCCAACTACAACCCGCTCGTGTTGCGCCTTGGCGTCAACGGTGAGTCGACTCTGCGCGATGTCGTTCTGCACGCACGCGATGTCGAAGAGGCCGCCAACAAGAATGACATTCCGTTCGATGCGCTGCTCGAGACGCTGCGCGCGGCCGACTCGAACGCTGCGAGCCACTTGCCGGCGTCTGCAACAGCCCAGGACGAGCGCGCCTCGTCCTCACTGATGCCGCTCTTCCAGATCCGGTTCTTTAACGTTGTCGATGTGGCCTCGCACACGCTGGATGCCGCTCAAAGCTGCGACTGGACTGTCTACCTAGAGCAGCTCGCCGACTCGAAGCGTCTGCTCCCGCTCAAGCTGCGCGCCATTTACAACACGGTGCTCTTTTCGCGCGAGCGAATGGCCGAAATGCTGCGCCAGCTCGAGCTCATGCTCTTGCACATGACGCGCTCGGCCCACTTGACCGTGCTCGATACGTCGATTCTCACCGAGGTGTCTCGACCGGCCCTTCCCGACCCAAATGTCAAGCTCGACGACACTTGGTTTGGTGCCATCCACGACCGCTTTTCTGCGCGTGCTGCGTTGCATCCAGATCGCACTGCCATCGTGCAAGGAGAATCAGAGGTCTTCACGTACCGCCAGTTGGATGAGCTCAGCAACCGCGTCGCCAATCACCTCATCCGTCACGGAATCCAGGTCGAAGATGTTGTCGCCCTCTACGCCCACCGCTCGGCTGCTTTGGTGGTGGCCATCATGGGCATCCTGAAGGCCGGCGCCACCTTTACCGTCATTGACCCGGCCTACCCCGTCCAGCGCCAGATCATTTACTTGAGTGTCGCCAAGCCGCGAGCTGTCATCACGCTCCGGCTTGCAGGAGCACTTGACGACGAAGTGCAGACGTACATTGACAAGGAATTGTCCGTTGTCTGCCAGCTTCGAGGCCTGTCGCCGCTCGTCGACACGCCCGAGCTCGAGGCAGCACTCGCGCCCGACGCGACAACAAACCCCGGCGTTTCAGTCGGGCCCGACTCTGTCGGTACGCTCTCATTCACATCCGGATCCACCGGTATTCCGAAGGCCGTGCGCGGCCGACACATCTCCCTCACCCACTTTTACCCGTGGATGATGACGGAATTTGGACAGGATGAAAACCACCGCTTTACCATGCTGTCTGGCATTGCCCACGACCCCATCCAACGCGACATTTTCACGCCGCTCTTCATGGGCGCCTCCATCCACATTCCAAGCGCGGATGACATTGCCAACCCCGGGCAGCTCGCGGCATGGATGGCCCGCCACGGGTGCACGTGCACGCATCTCACCCCAGCCATGGGTCAGCTGCTGACCGCCAACGCATCGGCCCAGATGAAGGACTTGCGCCTGGCCTTCTTTGTCGGCGACGTGCTCACTCGTCGTGATGTCATGCGCCTGCAAGCTCTGGCGCCCAACGTGCGTGTCATCAACATGTACGGCACGACCGAGACCCAGCGTGCAGTCAGCTATCTGTCTGTGCTCAACGACGCAGCAAGCATGGAGCGCCGCAAGGAGATTCTCCCGGCGGGTCGCGGCATGAAGGATGTTCAGTTGCTCATCTTCAACCGCAACCCGCCGGTGGATGGCGGTGCCGCTTCCGCTGCGGCCGTTGCTGCCACGGTGACCCTGGCCGGCGTGGGCGAACTCGGAGAGTTGTATGTGCGCTCGCCTCATCTGAGCAAAGGCTACCTGGGCTTGCCCGAGCAGACGGCTGAAAAGTTTATCGTCAATCCGTTCAACGCCAAGGATCCGACCGATCGCTTGTACGCCACTGGCGATCTCGGACGCTACATGCCCGACGGCACCGTCGAGTGCATTGGACGGGCGGACGATCAGGTCAAAATCCGCGGCTTCCGCATCGAGCTCAAGGAAATTGACACGTACCTCGGCCAGCACCCTCACGTGCGCGAGAATGTCACCCTTGTGCGCCGCGACGCCAACGAAGAAAAGACCATTGTCAGCTACTTTGTTCCCGTCAACCCGCACCCCGTCCCGGCGCCTGACGGCTACGACATTGACGCCATCCGCGCCTTCCTCAAGGAGAAGCTGCCCTCGTACGCCATTCCGACCGTCTTCTTCCCGCTCACGCGCATGCCGCTCACGCCCAACGGCAAGATTGACCGCAACAAGCTCCCCTTCCCGGATCGTGCGGTGCTCTTTGCCCAAACGGGCGCTGGAAGTGCGCAAGAGGACTCGACACTGACGCCGCTCCAGCGCGAGCTCATGCAGCTGTGGGAGTCTGTCCTTGGCCGTCCCGTGCGCGTGGACGACAACTTTTTCGACGTCGGAGGCCACTCGATTCTTGCTACACGCCTCACATTCCAGCTCCGCCAAGCACTGCGTCGCGAACTGCCGCTCAACTTGCTGTACCAGTACCCGACCATCCGCTCCATCAGCTCAGCCCTGGATGCTGTCGAGTGCGACCCTGCAGCGCTGCTCACAGACTCGAGTCGCGAGCACGCCGAAGAGCTCAACATTGAGGCCGAGGTTGTTCTTGATGCCACCGTGGTGAAGGCCGCGGCCGCCGCAGCGCCGCTGGACCTGGCCAAGAGCGTTACCTCCCCAACCAACATCTTCCTGACTGGTGCCACGGGCTTCCTCGGCTGCTTTTTGCTGCAATCGCTGCTGTCCAAGCATTCCGCAGCGACAGTCCACACCTTGGTCCGCGGATCGTCTGTGGCGAGCGCTCGCGATCGCCTGCTCAAGAACATGGCTGCCAACGGCTTTTGGACGAGCTCTGAGAACCCTGCCGTCGTCGAGCAGGAGACGAGTCGTGTGAATGTGATTGTCGGCGATCTTGCAGAGCCCCTGTTTGGACTGGAAGCAGCGGCATTTGATGCCCTCGCTGCCAAGATTGATGTGGTCATCCACAACGGTGCTCTCGTGCACTGGGTCTACCCTTACTCCAAGCTCAAGTCCATGAACGTGGATGGCACGGTGGAGGCGCTGCGCTTGGCCGTCACCCACCACATCAAGCCGCTGCATTTCGTTTCGTCCACGTCCGTGTTTGATTCGCTGCACTACTTGCATCGCAACGAGCCGGTTTTGGAACAGGAGCCTCTGGAGGGTGGTCCGGGCCTGTCGGTCGGCTATGCCCAGTCCAAGTGGGTGGCCGAGCGCATTCTTATGCTTGCGCGTGACACGCACCAGTGGCCCATCACCATCTTGCGCCCTGGCTACATTCTTGGCCACAGCAAGTCTGGCGTCACCAACACTGACGACTACCTCGTCCGCTTGATCAAGGGCTGCATCCAGCTCGGCAAGGCGCCTCGAATGCGCAACAAGGTCAACATGTGCTCGGTCGATTTCGTCGCCTCTGCCATTGCGCACATTGCGACCCAGCCGGCGGCTTTGGGCAAGGTCTTCCACTTTGCCAACCCCCACCTCTTCCGCTTTAGCGATCTGTTTGGCCTGCTGCGCGTGTACGGCTACGACATTCAGTTTGAAGACTACATTGAGTGGCGTGAAGGCTTGATGAAGATGACGCTCGAGTCGCGCAACAACGCCCTCTACCCGCTGCTGCATTTCGTGCTCGACGATTTGCCAACGCGATCCAAGTCGCCCAAGCTGGACACGACGCAGTTGTACGCGACGCTCGAGAACTCGGGCATCGAGTGTCGCCCCATGCAGGACTTGCTCGGAATCTACCTGAGCTATCTCGTTGATACGGGCTATCTCGAACCCCCGACCATTCGCCCGACCTCCAACACGCTGAACAACGCTCCGGCCCTGTCGCCAGCTGCCGCGACCAGCATTCTGCTCAACAGCGGACAGCCTGCCATCCAGCCTGCGCGTGCATCGTCGCCGATCGCCTTGGACAACAATCTGCCCGTCATCGTGCGTCCTCTGCCACAGATTGCTGGACAGCCCAAGCCTCAAGGGGTTGTGACTCGCAGCGATCGTCCTCAAAATTGATTTTGAACAACATGCTGTTTTGGTTTTTTTTTTTTTGTTTGTTTGTTATTGTTTTGTTGTTTTTGTTTGTTTTCTTGCCCATGAATGTACTGTACCATTGAAACTATTTGCTAACTTTCGATGATGCTTTGATTCGATTTTCTTGTACAACTAAAAAGAATATGCAACGCACACAACTTGTTATTTCGGGGTTGAATTTGGACAATCCATTTTTGTGTCGGTTTTTTGTCTGGGCTGACCACCAATACATCATCCCCTCCTTGTGTTTCACGCTGATTAGTGCTTCCAGCCATTCAAAAACCCATCTTTGGAGTGCGGCTCCAGGAAGCCTCGGAAAGTCTTGCCGTCAATCGACCAGCGAGCGCCGTACGAATCAGAGTTGCGAATCTCGAGCACGGGGATCTGTTGTTTGAGATGAGGTTTTAAAGTCAGCTCTTCAAAGGTGTGCGAGGTTGTTGAGTTTAGCGGAGGCAGTGGGTTGCTGTTTAGCTCACTCGAGGAAAAATGAAGAGTTTTGGGGGATTTACGGTTTTCAACTCACTCTGTCAGGGCCCAACCTATCGTTCAGGCCGCAACACATACCTCATGTGGCAACATGTGAATGTTAATCCATGTTGCATCAGCCAAAATCCGAGAGACGACACGCATGCCATGAATGTTGCGAGCCATTTCGGTACCGGTTGGGGTGCCCCACCAGCCCGCAGTGGTGTCGCGAGGCGAATGCTTGGTGAGCGCACGAGCACCGACAGTTAGCTTGGCATTGGGATTGTGCAAGCGATTGAAGCTCGTCAGGAGGGTGGTCACGCAGGGGAGCAGGGCAATCGGGTGCTGCTGGCTGGACCACTTGGGTTTGCTTGAAGCAGTGTGTCCCTCCAAGGTCGCAGCGGCTGACAAAGTGGCAGATGTCTCTGGTTGTTGCTTTGGTTGTGGGCTGTCACCATCTGCGGAAACATCCAACTCGAGCTCGGCGGCGGTGGAATCGTTGCTCGGTTGTTGTGAATCCGTGGTCTCAACCAGCTCGCGCGTCTTCTCATAGGGCGACATTGCCGGTAGTTGGATTGCATTTGCCTCAGTCAAGTAGCAACTGCCAAGAGTGCGTCGCATGAACAAGAGCCGCTGAATGCCGCGAACGCCGAGAACGCGCAGCACACTGCGCACCACAACGCCACGTTGCTCTGGATACTGCCAGCATGATTGCATTTGCTGCAGTGCAATGAGCACATTGGCCTCGAGTTGCAAAACAGCCTCACTGGTGGCATCGGCGTCCTGCAAGAGTGGAAACTCGGTGACTGAATCGGCTTGGCGGACGGGCGAGCACTTTGCATCCATCCAGTACTCGAGTCGCTTTGCAATAGTGCGATGGAGTGGGCGCGATGCATACACGCGAATTCCGTTATGTGGCGCGGCGTCGGTGAGATACGGCGAGTTCGAGTCGGGGAGGAGTGGCCGCTCCAAGGTGACCACGGCGGGCAGCTCGACCTCGCTCTCGGCGGGCGCAATCAGCTCTTGGGAGAACGACTCTGGCCATGGCAAGTCGCGGTGCGCAGACAGCACGGCGTGGAGAACCGTCTCGAGCTCGTCGAGCGGTATTCGTATACGTGTCATTGTTGTCTGAGCAAAAATCATTCACACACCCCCAATTTGAGTGGTGAGTTGTCGAGTTCAGCCATCGGGATGCACATCGCAAGTTTCACTCACTTGGATGATGATGCTGATGATGATGATGATGATGATTGGCACTGCCAGAGATTGGAAGAGTGAGCTGAAGTGAAAAAATGGTCGCTTTCCGGATTTGAAGGGTTGAAATTTCGTCATGGCAATGGACGGCGGCGTCAGGGCCAGCAAAGTGATGTCACCAAGACCTCAATGATGCCTTCTCGAAGATTCGACGGCGCAATTGGAAATTTTGTAGCAGACTGGGAGATGTGACAGAGTTTCATTTGATGCAAAGTGCGTGAATCGGCGCAACCCCCCCCCCCAATCACCCATTGCTCACCCCGCATCTCATTGCTGTGAAGAACAAACGACTTTGAAAACCAGGCAGCTAGTAATATTTTCACGCAATCAAAGAAAATTCACAACCAAACAACAACAACCAAAAAAAAACCGACGGTGCATGCAGTGCTCGTGTATAAGAGCACACTCATGCCATGCACACTTCATTGCAAAAACAACAAATCACAAAGTCCAATAAAAACGAAACGGCAAGAAATCGACAGGAGGGAGGCAGCTGACTCCCAAAAACGTTTGATTTTGTTTTACCGGCCGGCTTCTTCTTTTTGCTTCTCGCGATATCGGCGCTCTTCCTTGTACTTTTCAGGATGTAGCGACATGTCCTTCAGCTTTTCCATCTGCGCCTTGTGTGTGACCTTTTGCTGTTGGTGATTAGGGGAAGAAGGAGTCAGTTGGATTTGATTGTGAGTGCAGAATTCCAACACAGAGATCGAGAGGATTTGAGGAAAGCAACGCAAACGCCCATGAGACCATCACAGCCAAGGCCATGAGCCCTCTTCAACGTTATCTCCGTGGCTGGAGCACACCAAAAACGAAAAACGCCGAAACAAGCATTGCCCTCAACAAAGTCCCTCGTTACCTCTTCGCGAGCTTTCAGCGTCGCATTATACTCGGCCCAGTGTGCTCGTGTGTCGGGCAAGTGCTCGTCTTCCAGGCGGTGGAACTTGGTCTTCTTCAAGCAGTTACCCATGTTCTGGTTTTGGTATCTTTTCGTTTCGAATGTTTTTTCAGCAGAAGCAAACCTGCGGTCGATGTGTGCTTCAGTCTTCTCTGTAGGAGATCCCGATCGAGGCTTCTTGAGAACTTTGCTCAACGCAACGACCTGCGACACAAACATTCAATGCGAATTTGTCAGCAATCAAAAGCCAGTGTTGAACTTTCCAAAATTGCAAAAGCCTCGGGGGAAGCAAGACTTCAAAAGCAAGGACGTAAGAAACAGCATTTTTTTTAATTTGGTTATTTGTCTGAGAAACCAAGTTTTGATTTTTTTTTTGATTTTTTTTTTTTTTGGAGGTTCGCTGGGTTTCCATTGAATCAGAAAAACCGCGGGCGAATTTGGTTGTTGTTTGGATGACGCGTCGGTCGTGGAAGGAAGGGTGTGAACTTGCTCTTGTTGCAATTGTTGCCTGTGCATGTATGGATGAGGCTATCGAAAGAAGAGAGAGAGAGAGAGAGAGAGAGAGAGGTAGGAAATAGCGTTTGTGGTTCTCTCTCTCCGCTTCGGCTTCGTTCGCACATCTCCACGTCTCGTCCGAGGGCCCACAGGTGGGGGGGGGGGTAACAGACTCGCAACGCAGATTAGAAAGCGAAAAGGGAAGAGAGAGAGAGAAAGAGAGAGAATGGAGAGAGTCGCTGAATCCCTCTCAATGCAAAACACTGTCTCACTCAAAGTTGAAATATAGGAAGAGTGCCTCATGTTTCGTTTGATTTTGAAGGAAAAGGTCAGAACGTGAAAATACATCCATCCATTCATGAACGTGCGGCAACCAGGATGACGTTGAATTCGCAGCAGACGGACTGAGGCTCAGCACGAAAATCCCCAATTGCACATTGGCTACCATACTCGTTGGTTCAGTTCTTCTTTGTATTTCATTCTTGTTCTTTCCATTTCGTTTTGTTGCATTCATCCGAACTGAACGACAGAACGACAGAACGACAGAACGAGGCGCAATGAGCAAGCAGTCAAAGCGATCGCAGCAGCTCTCGTCGTCTTCTGCTGGGGCTTCCGCGCACACGGCCACCACGGCCCGCAGTAGTAGCAGTAGCAGTAGCAGTAGTAGCAGTAGCGCACCGTTATTCGATCAAGCGGTCGCCCAGTTCACCGCAGACGTCCCTGCCGCGATCGTTGCGCGCTGGAGTGAGTCGTTCACCGCTCCAGCCCTATTGATGGCCTCGTCCTCCATTGAGAATGGGAACTCTGTTGTATCATTGGTTTCGCTCCTGCATACCGAGCGCCGCGCACGAACGTCGTGTGGCAAGATTCAACGCTTAAACCAAAACAAACAAAAAAAAAAAAGCGCGGGAAAAAAAAAAGCAAGACAAAATTGCGAATCTGAGAAAAGTGGACAACCAACAAAATATCGCAAAATATCGCTCACTTGAAACGCGAGTCTTTGCTTGGGTGCCCTGCAAATCTGAGAGTGTTTGAAAACCAAAACGACCACTCGAAACACCATTCTCTGCTGCAAATCTGAGAATATTGACAACCAACAAATTGAACCGCGACTCTTTTCTTGGTGGTTGCAAATCTGAGAATGTTTGAAACCTAACACAACCACTCACTGGAAACACAACTCTCTATGTCGAAATTGCATTCCAAAATGCCCGTTCGCTGACCAGCTACGAACGGAGGCAGGGTCAAGAACCTGTCGAAGCCAAGCCAACAACCGAGTCCCGACGCGGTATGGACGTTCGCGCTGGATTTAGACTCTGATGGCAGGATTCGACAAGACCTCGAGAACGGCAAGCTCGTGTATCTGGACGTCAACTGGATTTCGGAATGCGTCAAGGCGCGTGCGGTGGTTCCGATTGATCCTTTCGTCTTTCGACTCCCGCTGGATGAAGCGGTGCTCAACCCACTCCCGGCGAGAACGTACGATCCTGCCACCAGCAAGCCAGTTTATCCTCAGCCATCCGATTCAGGCTCCTTTGCATTGGACGAGAAAACACCGTTGCCGCCATCATGGCCTTGGCAGGAGCCTGGTGCGACGAGACGCACGTTTGCTCCTCCAGTCCAAGCTGCAGCGTCAAAGCCTGGACCTGTCGCTTCCCCGCCAGCCAGTTCGGACAGCCAGCTCGCTTCTGTTCAACCCCAAACCCAAGCCTCTGCCTCAGCGACTCAAAGTACGCGCGACTCTGCATCCAAAGCACCATTGGCTGCGCCTCCTGCAACCCCATCGACGAATGCAAGCACGGCAACGCGCAAGTCAGCTGATGCTGGTCGACAGGCCGCACACCCCACTGCTATGGAAGTCGACGATGCACCACCTGCATCAAAGAGCGCAGCTAGTCTTCCAGTAAATATTCCCGCCACACGAAAGTTCCAACTACCTCTGGACAATGCGCAAGGTAACAGTCGACACCTCTCGTGATTGTTTGACTTGTAGTGTGCTTATTCGCAGACCGCACTTTCGCGTTGCTCTGACTCATTTCATGTGGTCGCTGCTGCTTTATTCATTCTGTATAGATCTCCCTCACGTGGCAATTTCGATGGATGCTGACGAACTGCAGGATGTGGCATTTCTGGTTCACAAGCAATTGCGCTACGTTCCTGGATACTCTGCTGCATTATCATGAAACAACCTTAGGCATTGTGTTGTGTCTTGTGTTGTGAATACGGGTGATCATTTTGTGTGTCACTCTTGCATTGCAGCACAAACTTTGATCCATTCCAACTTGTAGCGGCGGGTGGTGGTGGTGGTGGTGGTGCGAGGAACTCATGAGACGAGGCGTTGATTCATAGCTGAAAGAAGCAGACACGGGCGCGTTGATGTCGACTGCTTGACTTTCACAGAGGAATTGGCACCAACGATTGTGCTGGCAGCCGTTTGAAACATGAAGCAACCATTTGTAAATTGTATTAGAGTAACATGAAAACGCAAAGTCACAAAGCCGCCAAAGCGCCATTGCATCATATTGCATCATGTGACATCAAGAAAACTAGATCCCATTCTAGTGCGCGGCTATAGCATTGCACCAATGTCGCGTATCGTCGTCTCATCATCAAAGTTTTTCAGAGCTTTGGTGAGCTGAGCGAAGGTGGAGCGTTTTTCAGGCGACATGTCCCAGCAACCCAGCATCAAACGATAAAGGTCTGGTGAACAGTACTTCGGCTGGGGCAGGCGACCTCCAGCCTCCACATGAGCCAGAGTGTCACGACCGTCCATCTTGCCGTACGGTGGTGCTCCATAAGTGAAGCATTCCCCTGCAAACATGCAACAACGAGTGAGATTCAGGAGCGAATTTCTGCAGAACATGACACTCTACTCACAGGCGGTCACGCCAAACGACCAGACATCCGACATGGACGAGAACTTGCGGAAGGTCATTGTTTCAGGTGCCATCCACTGCAAGGAGAGCGCAAGACCACTTGAGTCAGTATCACCAGCACCACAAGCAACAAAATTGGCACACACCCGCTACCCACCTTCACAGGAAGCTTGCCGCGCGTTTGCATGCGGTAGTAGTCGTTCTCGGAAGCGAGTTCGCGAGAAAGCCCAAAGTCGGCAATCTTGACCACCATTCCCTTGCCAACAAGGCAGTTGCGCGCGGCAAGGTCACGGTGCACAAAGTGGAGCGTGCCCAGATACTCCATGCCAAGCGCAATCTGACGAATGGCGTGGATCTGCTCGTTCTGAGTCCACCAAAGCGAGTGGAGCTTGGACTTTTTCAAAAGAGAGTGCAAATCACCGTATTGCACGAATTCGAGCAGAACGAGGTGGGGCTCGGACTCTACAAGAGCCGCAAGCAGACGCACGACATTCGTATGCACAAACGGCGCCATCAGTTTCGCCTCGCTCTCAAAGTCTTTGCGGGATTTCTCGTCTGCATCAGACTTGAGGGACTTGACGGCAACTTGCACGGTTTCGGATGCTGTAGGTCCAAGCAAGGTTTGTGCTCGCGGGGACAAGACGCTGAACGACAGCTGACCCAGCGCCACATCGCCAAAATTTCCACTGGCAAGGTGCTTCACGATGGTCAAGCCTTCACGGATGCGACGCGAATTGCTGCCGGGAACATACGCGCTTGCATAATCATAGACCACCTCTTTAGCATCGGTCGAGAGAGCTTGGTACAAAGGATCTGGCTGTTGTTGGCCGACCACCGCATGGTCCTCCTCTCTCTCAGGTCGCGTCGAATGGTTCAAAGGAGAGACTGTCATTTGAACCGCCTCCTGATAGATCGGACCGGCCGAGTCCTTCACAGAGTCCTTGGGTTGGGCAACGAAACGTGGTTGCGATCGACGATGTTGTCGTCGCTTGACAAGCAGCACAACCAGTACAACAATCAACAACAATGCAGCTAGAACGACAACAACAATAATGACAGTTGGATCCGCCGAGCTGGCCGCAGCGTTGCAACGAGAGTCGGTGGCAGTCGTGCACACCACGTTCGCGTGCGCACAACCGGCGACAGGCGCACAGGGCAAGCATTGCTCGTCGTCGCCCGCGGTGGCGTTGGGTGACATGTACGTGGTGGACGTGCAGGATCCGCAAATCGAGTCGTCCAAAGATGTGCAAGTCACAGACGCGCAGTTTGTCACGTTGGCGCAAGCACTGCATGAGCGGTCGGTGAGGAAGGTGCAAGCGATGGCTTCAAACTCGTTCGAAGCGCACTCGACGCACGCGTGGCACGCCTGGCTGGTCGTATTGTAGAATGAGCCCGCATGGCACTGCACGCACACAGAGTCAGTGGTGTCGGTGCACGATACTTGAGCGCAGTTTTCAAGCGGCGTGCAATGCGTGCAGTTTCGGTTGGTGGCATGCGTGCACGCCTGCGACTCAAACGTGCCAACGCCGCAGGTCTCGCACACGGCACACGCGTCTTGAGCCGAGGTAGAGCCGGGCACCAGGTAATGCCCCGAAGCGCAGGCAGAGCAGCGGCCGTTGCTTGTCGAAGTGCAGGAAACTGTCGCATCACAATCGGAAATGGCAGTGCATGCGGTGCACACGCGATTGCTTGTCGCCGTGCAATCAGCAGTCTCGAACGTTCCCGTGGTGCAGGCTGCAGCGCAGGCCTCACACGTGTCGCTCGAGGGACCCGCCACTTTGTAAAAGTTTGCAAGGCAAGTCGAGCAGCGCGAGGTTGTGGGTGATGTGCACGTCGTGCTCGACGCGGCGCAGGAGGTAACGGCAGTGCAGGTGGCGCAAGCGCGGTTGGTCGTGGGAGTGCACCCCGGTGATTCGTAATACCCAGCCACGCACTCGGACGCGCACGAAACGCATGCGGTTGCAGACGACCCATCATGGTCCCATGACCCAGTCGCACAAGGTGTGCACAAAATGCCGGCTGCGGGCGCATAATTTCCAGCAGGGCACGTCAGCGCCGAGGTGGCAGAGTTGGAGTCATGATCGTACTTGCCTGCAGGCACATTAAAGTTGGTGCACAAACCATATTTGCCAGGTGACGACGTATCGGTGCCGGGACCGCATGCAACACAAGGAGTAAGCGAAGAGCTGTCGTCATCCGAGGTGCCGGCCGGGCAGAGCAAAGTGGAGCATGCGCCACGCGAATCGACCGGGGCGTAGATGCCCTGCACGCCTGTGCAGCTGATGCATGCTGTCTCGACCAACGAATCGTGATCCGTCATGCCAGCGGGGCACTGAAAGTCAAACATGAATTGCCCGGACGTGAGCTTGACTGCTGTGCTGGGATCCAAATAGTACGAGGCGTAGGTACACATATGGAGGAAGTAGCGGGTTCCTGCCGTTGCTTCAAAATTCAAGATTGTTTGAAATTGGCAGCCACTCGTGTCATCAAGCATCAGAATCATTGTCTCGCCAAAGTCATTTGTGCAAGTACCCGTCGAAGCGACCAGCACGGTATCATCCGAGGTGAGTCCGCAGGTGCTAAAGTAAATGTTTCCAGCAGTAGCTGGCGTGTACTGCCAGGTGATGCATTTGCCAGCCCCCGAATTGTAGGATGCAGGCGGAGGACTCATCCATGGAGTATTGTAGACACCAACGGATCCGTCGTAACTACGTGGCGCATTGGAAGCGCCGACCAATGGCTGAGAGTTCGAACATGATGCGGACGGTGATTGGGCCAACGTTGTTGCAAAGTGCAGCCCCGCGAGCACGGCGAGGACGGCAAGCGGTGCTTTCAGCGTCATACCTGAGAAGTGACATGAGCGACAGACAGACAGATAAGCGGTTTGTGAGAGTTTTTGAATGCTATTCAAGGACACTCGAAAAGGGGGAAAATGTGGCAAATGTGGTGTCGACGACGAAAACAGACGAAAGGCGACTCGTTTCCTCCTGCTTGAATCGCTCTCTTATTCGCTTCAGACCAAGAGAATAAGCGACAGACACATCAGCCCGACTTTCCACAACGGCCTTTTCAGGCCAGTCGCAGTGACCCGCAGCTCCTTCCGCTCTGTCGCTTCTTCTGCTCGCTTTTTACAACAGGACGCATTCGATCATCGCAAGGGGAAAGAGACAGCGAAGGAGTGCAGGATAGTGCTAAAGTACAAATGCATTGTGTCCTGATTGCTTTGGTCTCAGACTCAGCTTCTACCTCTTGTCGTTCTCTCGTTCAGCTTCGAACTGCCGCCTTCACAATGCGATTGCGAATGAAGCGAGAACGTCGGAGGAGAGCAGTGGATCGCTCCGAGTGTTTGATGATGCGCGTTGGCGTACCGATGTCGCAAAAAAGGAAAACCGAACGAAAAACAAAAAAATAAAAATACAAACTTGAATTTTAAAAACCCAAACAAAAACAGAGTGATCAGCCATCAGCGTAACTGACTGGACTGAAAAAACAGCGTGCTTTGTTGTGAATGGGACGGAACGGCGCTTGCGAGCGCCTCTTATCTAGAATATGGCAGTACTCATCGACGACAGGGTCGTGGTCAGAAGAGCAAAAAGGACGGCCAACACAATCACGTTGTGCGCTTACAAACACAACGGACGGATGCAAGCGCGTGTTTCGTCCGGATCTCGCCGGGTAGTCCAAGATGACACGAGTCAGGCACAGGTACGGCTGACATGTTGGGATGTCTTGCTTTTCCTTGCTCTGGCATAGTCAAAGGCCACAATTTGGCTCGCGGAAAAAACGACCAAACCAGTTCTCGAAGAATGCGAGAGCATGAAATGCCAAACAATCAAGCTCTGTGAGAATCCGATCCCACGGGTTGGGTCTTAGATCTATTGGCCAGGGAATGTCGATTGATTGATAGATCTACAAAATGTGCAATAACAACAATCCCGGAGAAAGAATACGCGAAATCCTCATTAAAACTACCACCGGCTACCTTTGCCGGCTGGACGGACACGATTCGGGTTCTGACAAACATTCACGCGAAGTCCGTGTCCAAGCTGGAGGGGCAAAGCGTGGGCGTGCAGCTGTTTTTGATTTTCCGTGTTTTGTCGAAAACCGGAAAAGGTGTTACCTTTTGCAGCAATCTCGCATTGTCGACCTTTCCGGCATTTCAAACGGCTGGCCAACCAACACCAGGCCTCGTATTGTCAACACCTGACTATTTTCGCTAACTGGACGATATTAGGACCCCAGAGAAACTCGACTTTGGGCCGAACGAGCTTGTCTGGCTCGGCAGAACTCGAAACAACTTTCTGCAAAATTTCCAAGCAATTTCCACCAAACATCCGACTCACTTGACGGCAATGGCGTTGCAAAACATATTTGACATTGATTCATGGAGGGTCGGGTCGGGTGTGTCGACTCAGTGACGAGCTTGAAGCCGAGGTTGTCACTGAACACATTCATCCTTTTTGTCTGCGCTCGCTCACCCCGCTCCATGCTCACATATCAGCCAAACACCCAACTACTGTATTTCAGTTACGGCCATATCTGGTGGAATGCACCGCATCCCGTTCCGCTCTGCGAAGTTAAACCACCATGAGAGTAGTTAGTACTGCGGTGGGAGACCACGCGGGAATACTGCTTGTTGTAACTCTTTTTTTCTTTCTCTCTTTGTTTTGCTTAACGTTTTTTGTTTTTGTTTCCTGGATGCCCTTCAGGTTTTTCTTTTCCCTTTTTGTTTCACTCGTTCTCTCTCTCCTGCATGGAGGTAGCGGTACATTTCTTGCCCGGCAACCTGTTTCCTCCAAAAATTTTGAAATTTGGGAAGTTTTGAAACATTTTCGGAAACTTTGAAAGTTAAACAAATCGACCGATAATGATGAGTCGCAACGTCAGCAAGTACTTTCAGCTCGCTGACAGCCTCAAGCTGAAACCATTCGAATGGGGTTGACGAGTTTTTTTATGGGTGCAGTTTGCATGCAGTCTTGGCTTTTCTTCTTTGAGCGGCTTTCTTGCAAAATTTTCGCGCGCTTTTTTCTTCTCTTTTTTTTTTTCTTTTTTTCTGCCGCCGCCGCCGCCGCTTCTTCCTTCTTGTTCACGCCCTTCATGGATTCGGCCACTCAAGTTGAAACGCAGTCAGAGTTTCGGTATGTGTCGTGATGATGTTTGCAATAGATAGCGGCCTTGAGCAAAATCGCTCATTCTTTACTGTACCTCAGTCTGCACCAGCTCCAGCTGCAGAACTTCAAAAGGTTCGAGGATATCACGCTCACCCTGACACCCAGCCCCAAGATTATCGTTGGCGCGAACGGCTCGGGCAAGACGCAAATCCTCTGGGCAATTCTCATCTTCTTGCGCGGCCACAACGCCCGTGTGCCCAGCTCCAAGCACTTTGACAGCACAGAGTTCAACTTTTCAGGTGAATTGCAAGACCTCTTTGGCGACCGACTCTTCGTCAATCAGTACAAGGCGCCACACACGCTCGTCCATGTCGACGCGCGAGACAAGAAATTCACGCTCACGGGCACGTTCCATGACACCAAGTACCATCACAAAGCCAACAAGAACGTGGTGCTGCAGTACTCGCTCAGAGACGGTCTTCTCCACGACAAGCCCGAAAACCACGAGTCGCTCGCCCCAATCCGCTTCGCCTTCATGCCTCCAACCTACCAGTGGGGAGACCTGTCGGAAGAGCGGCTTAGAATCAAGATGTTCTTGACTGCCGGTGTGCAGCATCTGCGCCCCCGGCTGTTTCAGGCAAAAGACTTTGTGAACGATGGACTCCATCATCTCGGTTTCCAGGCCACGGTCGCTGCACCAAACAAAGATGGACCTGCAATTGCTACCGTAACCGAGCGTGGCGCCACCCTTGACATTGGTGCCTGCGCCGGCTCGCTGCAGAAGATCATTGCCATTCTGACGCTTCTCTACCATCTGACCACTGACGCAACCATCAACGCTGCCCAAGTCGAGGCCCTCGAAAAGAAGATTGCGCACGACTCGAACACCTTCAAGCAGCGCATCTTCCTCATCGACGAGCTCGAATCACTGCTTTACGAAAATGTGACAGCCAAGCTGTATGACTTTCTCGTCAGCACGTGCGCCGAGCACGACATCCAGCTCATTGTTGCGACCAACTCGCGCGCCATCATCGATCCGCGCCTGAAGACGGATCAACAGATTATGTTCCTCACTCCGGATGGCAAGGCCGTCGAGCTGACAGACGACCTGCCCAAGGACGAGCAAGGTCGCGCTTCCCTGTATCCAATCCTCGACGCCCTCAGCCAGGTCAAGAGCAGCAAGCCACTGCTCGTGTTGGAAGGCACGAACGACCAGGCGTTCTACAGCAAGTACACGACCCTCGGCCAGCACTTCCACTTTCTGACCACGTCAGGTGCCGTCAACAAGCAGAATCTTTCCAACATTCTGACGCAGGCCAAGCTCAAGCACGTCTTTCTCAGAGACAGTGACATGTACGCCGCTTCGCCCGATCTCCCAACCGCCCAGGCTCGGATCACACAAGTTGTTGGCGCGCCCGTCATCTACACGCTGCTGCCGTGTATTGAGTCGTACTTGATTCTGCACCGACTGCTCAGGAGCACGGACGTAGACGCACGGCGTGCCGAAGTTGTTCAGGCCCTCCAGCAGCGCAAGTGGTACTTTGTCTCGACCTTCAGAGATTTCTGCAAGGAGTCGAAGCAGAAACCGCCGCCCACAGCAGCGCACCATTGCGAGCCTGAAGGGTCCATGCAACGGTCTGCTGACAGGCTTGCGACCATGACGAACGATGACCTTAGCACGTTTTCGAAAGGCGATCTCAAACGCATTTGTGACATTTGCAAGCAACCAATCGTCAACGAGAAAGGCAACCGCAAAGACCGAGCATCTGCGGCCGCTGATCCAGCTGCTGATGATCCAGATGCCTTCACGGTCACGACCGAGGCGAGCACGAGCACCAGCAACCCAGCTACAGAGGCCGCAGCAGCCCCTGATTCGGCCCTCTCGAGTGACCCAGGCTCGGACGAGCCACCGCAGGATCCTGCGAGTGATTTCGATTCAAGTGAGAACGACGAGACCATGGCCATGGTTGATCGCGTGCTCGCGGACTCGGAAAACGACCCGGACGTGCTGTGGAACTCTTTGATTGCCCAGCTGACAGCCAAAGCAACCTCCTCGTTTGACCGCAACAATCGGGTCTCTTTTTGGACCACGTATGTCAGCATCGTCCGCGGCCACGACTTGATGCCGAATGCGGCGGCCGTGATGCGCGGTCTCGAGCGCCAACATCTCCATCCCGCAGTCAAAGCCCTGCTTGCCGACACCGAGCAAGCTGTTCTCGCGTGCTTGTGTTGAACGTTTTCCCCAATGTCGTGCACATTTCGATGTTTTCTGACAGTGCTACCTCGGATGAGAATATATTTTCCTTGTTTATTTGCGAGTTGTGACTTGAGGCCGAAGCGCGACCATGTGAAGCCCCCCTGCAGCGTTTGTCGTTGTGTGATTGTTGTTCCTTTCCTGGACAGACCAAGTCGGGTTAGAAACGCTGCCGACTCAAATCTTGCACTGCACAGAAATCCTTCAACACTCTATTCCGGATCAAAGCAAGCAGAATAGGGACACGGTCAATGTGGTCCGCTCAAATCCAAAAACGCTCGCTCGAATCTACTGCATGGCAGCCTCGCGTTAACCTTGAATGGCCATGCTGACAGTGCTTTAGCAATAAATACACATGCCCATGCAGATTCAATCCTGAGAGTCCAAATTGTGCCGAAGTGAAGCAAGAGGCATTGAAACCAAATTCGTGCGTGCCGCCAACTCACTGTAACACCCTCCACACTCGAATTTGCCTTGGAAAATTGAACGTCGATGCATTGCATGAATTCAAGCATGCCTGCGCCCTTTAAAAGCCACCATTCCAAATCCGATGCGAGGCCAGTCTGAATTTTTGTAAGGGCGCTTTTCAATTTCCGTTTCACTTTTGTTCTTGTCTCTCGCCTTCAACGGTTTCCGCTTTCTTCCTGGCGCGGTTCTGTTCTTCTTGCCATCCCATACCTCCCTCTTGTTGTGCGCTTTCTCTTCTCCGCTTACATTGGCGCCTGCCCACAGTGTGCGAGGTGGCGCCGTTTGGTTTTTTTTCTCCACCACCTTTTTCTTTTGGTTTCGATCTTCTTGCGTTTGCTTCTTCACTCTGACGCCTTCCTCCACTGCTTTCTCTTCCCTCTCTCGTGTCCCTTGTGCATCCACTGCCGGATGCCTGGTTCCAAGCGCCTTTTCCCTTGTTGCCTTACTTTCCTTTTTGCATTGTTTGTGTTGGGCTTTCTTTTTATGTGCGATTGTTTGTTTGTTGTTTGTTTGTTTGGGTTACGCGATTTGGAAGGCCTTTTGATTTTTTATTTTATTATTTTACTATTTTACTATTTTAACGGTTGGCTCCTTTTTCTGCCTTTCGTACGCGGCATGCGCTCTTGCGTTCGCGCTGCAGCGCGTCAGACGCAGACTGCACAAACATTCAGCCTTGGTGCTTGCACGTTGCGCGATGCGCCGCTGCAACAACGAAGGCAAGCAAAAAAAAACAACAAAAAACTGAAACATTTTTTTTTTTTCGTTTCGTTGGTCCGGCTTGTTGGACTCGTTCTTCCTTTGCTTCGTTTCGCCTTCCCTCTCCCTCTCTTGCACGTTTCGGCAGAGTCGTGCGTCTTCTCGCTCTTCTTGCCTTGGCTGCACCCGCTGCTTCATCTCGGGCGATAGCCTGCGAGGTTGTCGCTGCTTCTTTTTTATTTTTTTTTTTTGCTTGTTTCCTCTGTCATCCATTTTTTTTATTGAATTTCATTGTGATTTTTTTGTTGTTTTTCGTGAAACTCACATTTGGAAACACTTTCTGCATTTGGAACGAATCACTCTTCTTTTTTTTCAGTTAAAAAGCAGTAACAAATTTACAATGTCTGACACTGGCAAGGACGTCATCGCTGGCCTCGGCTCCTTCGACAAGAGCAAGCTCAAGAAGGCTGACACCAACGAGAAGAACGCCCTCCCCAGCAAGGACGACCTCGCAGCTGCCAAGGCTGACCCCTCCCAAAAGATCTGAACGTTGTTCGGTTTTTTTCTGTGCCTTCGTAAACCCGGCTGTTGGCCTGCCTTTCTGTTCCGTTTGACGCGGTCTCTGTCGCTGCCTCTCGTTCACTCTCGCGAGTGGTTCCTGGATGCCTTGCTGCTTTCATGATTTGCTTGTTGTGTGTGCCTCGCGTTGCATCGAGCACTGAGCGCTGTTGAATTTGACAAAAAGTTGGTCTTTGTAAAAAACAAAAAAAAAACTTGGGTTTATCAAACACACTTTGTTCCACTGTGCAGCTTCATCTTTTTGTCGTGGCATGAGCATGACGCTGGATAGCGCAGTAGTGCGTTTCGTGTTGTTGATGTCCAGGCGAGAGAGAGAAAAAGAGAGAGAGAACGGGATGCAAGTAGGAGCGACGCAAATACAAGGCATTAAAAAAAAAAAATAATAAAAATAAAAAAAATCAAAAGCAAAGTGGCACTTTGCAAGCGTTCATGCTGCTAGAGAGCTCGTCGTAGCAGTACAGTGAGTTCAGTACCATCATGCACGACGTGTGCGCTACAGCATGGGGCCTGAACGTGGTCCTCAGGGGCTTGTCATTGTCGAAAAGGCAAGCGAAAAAAACGCTTCAAAAAACAAAAAAAAAAAAAACAGCAGACGGCTTTCTGGATTGTTCAAGTTGCAGGCGATCGCCTTCATCGCCACGATGCCAACACTCTGGCCGATGGTGCCTGACGAGTTTGCCTCCTCAGCCATTGATACGAAGCAGTGCGATCGCTGGAGTAGAACGCCAAATTGCAACCTCGATTTGGATTGTTTTTTTGTGGTTTATTTTTTTAATATTTTTAATATTTTTATTTTTATTTTTTATTATTTTTTATTGTTATTTTGTTTAATTTGCGGGCGTATGTCGATTGTTTCATTTTGAACCAAACAAAGGCGATACACTCTTCATCCTCGATCCAACTCGACCTTTATCACCAACATCACTTCCCACATTATGCTCCTGGCCCCCCAAAACACCACCTCGTTGGATTTTGTTAGACCTTCCCCATCTGGAATTACCTCCACCTTCTTAACCAAGCAAGTACAACAAAAAAACAACGCAACAACAAACAAACAAACAAGCGAAACAGCGCAGCGTGCAAAACCGCACCAAAACACCACACTCGCAGTCCTGCGCGGCTGCACTCGACGGGCACAGTGCCATGGTACACACACACAGCATCTGTGGCTCTGCGGGGGCGAACGCCATCGCCAATCATGCAGCAGCGGCAGCAGCAGCAGCAGCAACAGCAAGAGTTCTGGCCTTTTGCTGTTCTGTTTGTTTCGTTTCGCGGTTTCGCTACGTGGCAACGCGTCCGCAATCGGAATTCTTCCATTAGCACTCATGATTGATAAACAATGGGGGAACTTTTTTTTCTGCGTGTGCGCATTGATTTCTCCCCACTGTTGTTCTTTTTCAATCACGCACAATTCAGCTGGTTTCGTGATTTTGCTGCTGCGACAACAACGCAATCTCGAACGCACAAGCTCCAACTCTGGTAAATGGCAAACAAAATACACTCACTAACACAGAACACAGTCGCTTGTGCTTGTGCTTTGATAGGCAGTGCGAGATGCTCGAGTTTTTCACAAAAGCGAGCGAAACACTACAAGACGGCGCTGGCAACCGAGTCTTCCAGACAAGCCTGCCCTCATGCTCCATCACAGAGCTCCTTGAACTACTTGCAACAGTGCCGATGGGGCTGCAGAGCGAGCGCCAGGGCAGCCTCGGCACAGCAACTCAACGCTGCCTTCCCAACCAACTGCTGCTGCAGCACATCCACTGTGGCACACTTCACCCACAGCAAGAATCCCGGTCCCTTTGCACCTCAACTAAGGACAACGTACACGTACGCATCCACACGCGTCAAAGAAGAGATCCCCTGTGCGGACTTCGAGCCCCAGTCGGTAGGATTCGCGCCTGGCAACAACACCTCGCCTCTTCAATCACGTCTGCTGCTCTCCTGCCTTGCTCTACCATTGTGCCAACCCTCAAGATGCTATCTCTAACAGCATGGCAAGCAGATCCACTGCCAACTGGCGCATTACCGTCCTGCTCACCGCCTGCTTCAGCGCCCCATAATTTCGCTGGCGGCAAATTGAGAATCCACATCAACCGCGCCGCACTGCCAACACCCCGCCACCTGCCGCCTACGCTGCGCGTTTCTCGTCCGGACCCGTGCGCATGCCCGTCTTTTGATGGTGTGCTCGGTAACAGTAATTGCGCGTTGCGGTGGTCGTGTTGCGAAAGTGACACGGCTGTTGCAGCGCGAGCGGCGCTGCACACTCTCCAACCTCACTCTTTATGGGAGGAAGGCTTTTTCGCGGCTCCAGACTATAACCGAGCATTACTCACCTGGGCGGACTCCTGAAGTACTGGGTCTTTAGTTTCGGGACAACAACGTTCCTTTCTTTCGCTTTTGCTTTTTTTTTTCTCACCTTTTTCACGATTTCTCGACTTTTCCGAATCTCTTGTGTTCTTTTCGACCGACCGACTTGTTCTGGCATTTTCCCTACGCGCGCGAACTTCGATGGTTTCTCAACAATCTCTATGAGCTGGACCCCATGGCAAATTCAGCCCCACTATTTCCAGTCGCGCGCACAGCCGTCGCGTCAAGTTCGTCACTCAGCAGCAGTTCGCAAAGCTCCAAGCTCCTGTAATGGCGACGGTGACTGAGACTGCAACATGCGCTCGTGCTGTTACTCAGTTGTGGTCAACTGGCTCTCCTGTGAACGGATGCCGATGCTCGCTTGCGCGCTCGCCCAAGAAATCTCTCCAAGCCTCGCATTGACGCCTTTTTGATTGATGTCAAGCATCTCCCCTTGCCGTTCGACGACACCACTGCACTGCAACTATTGCTGTCCGAGTCGTGCTGCTCATTCGTCCGCACACCCACCTCTTCTTTCCCCGCCCCCTTTTTTTCCCCCTCTGCACAGCTTGCACTGCTTTGACATTTACTCTGCGCCTTGAAACCGACGCTGCAGCTTGTCGAGCACAATGCTAATTCGGCGCAACGGCTCAAGACCGAGTTGCCCCGGACGCAATTTCGCTCCACGCTCTAGCTCTCGCCTACTTCGATTTAGCTAAGTGGTTAAAGCCTTTCACTGTCATTGAAATTTCATGAGTTCGATTCTCATAACCGAAAACATTGGGCGAGGCTGCCATCGAGGAGTGTTTTTTTTTTTTTTTCTTGGTGCGGCTCTTGCGTTTCGGCCAAAATCGGTGGTTTGGGCTCCTTGAGAAGTTTGTGCTGAGCCCTGCCAATGCATCCTGCTCGCACTCTTCTACACTGTGCGATAGCTTTCAAGCGACATAGCATTTGCCAGGATGCATGCTTGCGCGGATTTTGTGATGAGGGGACATGACGAAATTTTATTCGGCGCTGAAATCACCTCTCTTGTCGATTTGAGGTAAGTTGATTATTGTCGAGGCCCTGTAGCAACCATGTAACATGGCAAGCAATAAACCATTGATATGTACTTCTCACCAGCACACCACCATCAGAAGTGCACACGCAGCTCAAGAAATTGGCTGAATTGAGCAACAGAAACACAGATTTGCACGTCAATCTCAATTCTGGACGCCAGCAACCATGTCCCAACCCACCTACCATCACACTTACACACACCCTCCTCACATGCACACATTGCACATCTGACGAATCCAATCCTTACAGCTTGGGAGCAAACCGCTGTTTTTTGGCGCGAATCAAATCGACATCCAACAAATCATCATCATCATCATCCTCCTTCTTCCTCCTCCTACTTTTGCTCTCATTCTCTCATTCATTTTTTTTTTTAAGAAATTCTACTTGTTGGTTGAATGGTCGCTGCGACGAACGGCGAGTTGCCGCCATCGCCAGGAGTGCCGTCTGCGCAAGGCCACCACGCACTGCACAGCCTCGCATCCGCAGCCACACAGCAGCAGACACAGTCTCAGCCACTTCCTGTCGTGGTGAGCAGCGTGACGGTCAAGAGCGCCATCGCAGCCGCTCTCCAGCAGCAGTCGCAGGAGCAGCTTCAAGGGTCAGCTGGCCCCGCGTCCGCTCTTGCTCCTGCCACCGCTCCCGCTGCACCAGGGCACCGCAGCACAACCACTGCTGGCCGCATTGCTGAGGCTCGCCTGTCGCCCGATCACGCGCTGGTGGCCGTCCTGACGCTCGATGGCGCCCTGTCGATCTCTCCCGTGATGCCTCCTGCTGCAGCCGCCCCAGGCTCAGGCTCAGGGACAGACTCAGGCTCAGGCTCGGGCTCGGGCTCGTCCGCTGCATCATCTGCATCTGCCTCTACTCTGTCACACGCGTCCGCCACAAGCGACGCAGCCGCACTCGAGCTCGCCGAGTTGGAATCGTTCGGTGTTCAACAGTACGAGGTTTTTTTTTTTTTTTTTTTTTTTTTTTTTCACTATGGATTTTCCATTGCGTTTGGATTTTTTTCCTGTTTTTTTTTTTTTTTCTGAGAACTTTCTATTCGATCTTTTGTTTTTTGATTCACTTTTCACGAAAACAAGTGAATCATTTTGTTCGTTTTGTTACTAACCATTATTGGTTGATGTTTGGCAGAGTCGAATGGATGCCCACCGGCGACCCGCTGCCAAGGACTGCAGAAGGTATTGCTGGACCATCATCCTCGTCGTCGTCGTCGTCAAGCGCACCAATGACGCTGTTGGTGCGCAGGCGCGTGCAAACACTGCTCGTGACAGTGGACTGCTACAGCACGCTGTCACTGCACCGCATTGATCCGGAATTGATGGCACATCGGGTTGGGAACACCCCCATTCGCGCAACAGCAGAGTGCGCCTTGATCAATCGCGTTCCAGTGATCGGGAATACGACTGCGACAAGCACCAATGCACAGCAGCAACAGCAACAACAACAACAACAGCGGCAGCAGCATCAGCAACATCAACAATCGCAGTCGCAGCAGCCGTCACAGCCGCAGCTACCACCCTTCCCGTCTCGTCGACCCGAGGGCGCCTTCTCGTATGCCGTGGCGCGCGCAGACATCCGCGTGGAAGCGCTTTTGAAACTCTTCCCGGGAATCGCCGCCCCCGCTTCACCCGCCGCATCTCCTTCCACCACCAGCACCCAGATCGCGCGCCCAACCACTGAGCCGTCATCGGCAAAGTCCCACCAGCTGAGCTTGCTCGGTGTTCTGGTCGACCGGATTGTCGTTTCTGTGAATGACTCGCACCTGCTCATTCTTGAGCTTGTGGACCAGTGGAACATGGTCGCCGTCGTGCAGTGCGTGCCTCTCTCCAGCGTTCTCACCCCGCAGCATTCCCTGCCAACCGTGACTGAGACGTCTGCAGCGTCAGTCCCCGCGAGCACGGTTGTGAAAACCCGTATTGTTCGAGGCATGCTGTTTGCATTGCACAGCACTGGTCTTCTTGGTAAGTCTGTTTGTCTTTGGAGTTTTTTTTTTCTATTCAAGTTTTTTTGTTTGTTAGGCATGGCATTCATTTGTTTTCTTTCACGATCTTCTTCCTCTTTCCCCCACATCCAGTCGTCTACGACCTTGAGCGATTGCGTCGAGTAGCCATTGTCGACCCGCGCTTGCAATTCGGTCGCCGAGGAGACGACTTTCTCCCCGCTTCATTCCGGTTTTCGGTGCTCGACGTCATGCCAGACAGCAGTGCCGTGGTTTTGGGCAACGAAACCCGTATTTTGCCAATCGACCTCAACCAGTACTTTGTCGCCTTTCCGCACCACCTCCTTACTTCCGCCAACCAATCTCCCGACTCGCAACTGCGGCCACCTGCAGGCAGTCGAGGACCACAGGCAGCACACCCAGGACAGCCGCATCCTTCTCAGCTCACAGCTCAGCAACAGCTCGGGCGCGTGCAGAGCAAACTTGCCGCGTCGTGGCATCTGGAGCTGTCGGGCTTTTCGCATTCGCTAGGCCATCATCATGTCGACCTCCCTGCGCCAAAAAACCAACCTGGCAGCAGCAATGCGGCCAGCTCGTCGTCGGCTACAGCCACTTCAAAGCAATCCGGCAGCATGCCGCTTGAAAACTGGCTGGACAAGCTCACATCGGGCTCGCAAACCGCGAATATTGACTCTGTCGTCTGGTCGAGTGCATCTGCGCCGTTTGCCTCTGCTACAACTGCGCAATTTCCCCGCACCTCGAGCGGATTTCAGGCACGACGCTCGGCAGCATCCTTCCTTTCATCGAGCGCATCTTCTGGCACCACAAACCCGATTCCTTTCTCTTCCCGCAGCGCTGCTGGACAACGCTCGCTGTCAGGATCCCGTCAAAGTAGTGTCGCCACCATTGCGATTCCTGGAGCCTCGTCTTCCATCCAGCGTTCCTTCTCCTTCAACAACACGTCGGGCACTTCCACCCCCACATCCTCGTCTCTGTCCGGACCTTCGTCCTATGAGCTCACGACCGCTGTTGCTGCCATCTCCTCGAGCCCGTCGGATGGGTTTGCTCCGTCTCAGCTGGCCACTTCGCTCCAGCTTGCCACCGGTGTGGCGCGAGAGTCGTCCTTGCTCACCGCGCAGCTAACCTTCATGTCCACGGGCATTCCCCTTCGCTCCGGCGATTCAATGGCTCTTGCCCTTGTGACTGCCACCCACGTTGTGGTCGTATTTGAGTCGACAGCCTCCAGCCCAACATTTGGCGGGGCCGCCTTCTACGACCGATCGTCCGGCACATGCCAGCGCTGCGACTTTGCATCTCCGCACATTCCTGTTCTCCTTGGAGATGCGCTGGATCCTTGCCTTTATTGCATTGCTGTCACCCGGCATTCTGCTGTGAGCAAGCCAGCTGTGGCGACCGCTGTCCCTGCCTCCCCGCTCAAGTTCACTCCTCCTTCCATGTCGCAACAGGCCCCGCATGCTGCTTCTCAGTGCTCATTGCTCGCGATTTTGCCGAACGGCACGCAGCAGTCGCTTCTGAGTCGTGTCATCATGTTCGAGTCGGCACAGGTCGCCGAGACCCTGTGCCAATTGAATGGCTGGGATCGTCGCACTCTGCGCATGCACGCGCTCAGTGTCGGCTTGTCCTACCGCCAGCTCGACGTCGTGTGGGATGCGCTGCGGTCTCTGGACGCGGATCAGCACGAAGAGGCCTGCAAAGTCCTCATCCGGGCCATGGAAGAGAATTCCTCGCTGGTGCACTATTCTGAGTTTGCAGAGCAGCTGCTCCATGTTGGCATCACGTTTGTCACCGAGGTTATTCGCGCCTGTGCCCAGCGACTTGGCGCCGGCACCCTTGACTCCACCGCCTCACAAGACACTGCGCGGCTCATGTCGCTCTTGACATCTTGTCTCGTGGATATTCGCGGCTTTTTGCAGGTTTCTGCGGGTACGCGAACTCCCGTCGCTTCCGGCCTCTCTGCTTCGCAAGTGTCGCGACCAATTGGCATTACACCCTCGTCTGGGTCGCAAACGCCTCCTTCTCGCCGCTCAGACGCTCCTGGCAGCTTGGCCGACGACGCTGTGCTGACCTCTCCGTCCGCGGGCTCGAATGACCCTCGATCTGCAGCAGCAGCAGCTGCTGCTGCTGCGGGGCGAGACTCTGCCGAGGAGCTGCTTGCTTTGGAGGAATCCGAGGAAGGAAGCTACAATGACGCCTCGCTCTCAACATCCGACAGCCGCTGGCTCGGTAACCCTGCTTGGCGCACAATGTCCGATGTTGACATTGTGGCCGACGCTTTGCTGCGCGGCTCCCCTGCAACGGCACAGGCCTTTTTTGCTGTCCGAGCTCGTCGCGCAGTCGTTGCTGCCCAGCAGCAACAGCTTCAGCAGCGGCTACTTCAACAGATGCACGAGCAGCAACAAATGCTGTCGGACAAGAATTTGGTGATTGCGGGCGGCGCTGGCTCGGCCTTTGTCGATCCCGCAGAAATGGCTCGTTCGGAAGCAGACGAGTCTGCTGCAGCAACGTTTGCCCCCAACCGCGGTCTTGGCTCCCCACTCAACCCGACCGAACTCAAGTGCGACGGCTCCATGGCAAGCATCCGCGCGATCGGATTGGCTCTTGTCTTCCGCGAGCTCAGCTTGCGGCATCTGGACAACGCCATTGCCATTTTGACCAATCTCGGAGACGTTTCCACCGAGCATTTGCGCGAAATTGCCTTGTACGCGCCCTTCCCGCTCCTGCGCGAGCATCTCTTGGCGTACCTGTCAAAGCAGCGCCGCCTGCCGCATTCCGACAACCAGGCTGCTGGCTTTTTGCAATTCCTCGTGCAGCTGTACCCTGTAACAAGACAGCCTGCTCACAATGGCCGGCTCAACTTTGATCGGACCATCACAACCGTGTCCGCGTACGTCCAAGCAGACAACTGGCTCACGACAAATACTCGCGATGGCGGTGCTGTTGTAGGCTCGGTCGTTTCGACCACAACCACCACCACCACCACTGTTTCCGCTAGTCTGGAAACTGGCAGCATGTCTGATGCCGTGACCGATCGCATGCCGCCTGCATGGCTTGCTTTGCTGGATCAATCAGGCGTGGCTGTTGGGGCGGCGGCGGGGCCTTCTTCTGTGTCCAACTCTTCTTCGCTGCTCCTTCCTCAGCCCAAGCACCCCAATTTCGAGTTTATTCTCGAGTGGTTGCAGCATTGGGACGAACCAACCCGTGTCCGAGTGTTGCTTGACGGCGAATTCCTCAACCACAGCACGGGCCGCGCCCTCTTGCCGCTCGCGGCATCGCTCTCGGCTGACGCTGGAAAACACATTCTGGAGGCCATCTCAGCCCAGACGCGCGAAAAGACGGTGTGGAATTACATTGTTGCGCACAACATGCACGAGCAGGTGGTGGCCATGCTCGTCCGTCTTGGAGCGCACGGCAATGCTGCCCATCGCGACCACCTCCTTCATTTGCTGCACGATCAAGCCGCGCATCCCCTTGTGTCGTCGTACATGCGCACTTTAATTGCCCACCACAGCGCCAAACTCAACCTTTGGCGAGGGGTTGACATTTCGCGCCAGGGTGTGCTGGTGCGACGCCTTGCCTCGCTCGGTCGGATATTCAATCCGCACAGCGACCTTGTGGCTGCTGATGCGCTGCTCCACGTGGTTGGTGCCACCATTCCACGGGAACCATCCACCGCGCACGTGCTCAGTCTGGCACTTGTCAACATTATCCAGTCTGGCGTTGCCAACGATCTGTTTGGGCTCATTGTGCACGTCGGAGACCACTACGGCGATTCCGTCCTTCGAGCACTGCCAGATGTGACGGAGGCCGTCAAGCCCTGGGTGCGTTTGCTCCTGCTGCTTCGCCAAGCCCATCAGACCTTTGGCAGCCGGAAGGTACAAGCGCTTGTTCTTCATGCTGCCTTGCTGAATGCGCGCATGCTCGTGCCCACTACGTCGTCGTCTCCGTCAAGGGCGTCGGCCTCCAAGAAGCCGGCAGCGGCGGAGTTCTCGGCTCAGGATGAACTATTTGGGACGCCTGCTGCCATGTTTGCTGCCAATCGCCCGTTGATGGCACTGGCCACCCTGGCCTATTCGGGCCTGCCTTTGTCGTCCATTCCGAATGGCGCGGCAGCCACTGCCAGCATTGACGATCCAACATCGCGAGCGTCGTACCGTGTTCCTCTCTCTGTCAACGAGCCGGTGCTGCGTGCAGCTCTGGTCTCTACCCCAGAGTTGCTTGAGGCCTTCTTCCCTTCGGATGCCAGCAACATCACCGTGGCGTCATTTGCGGGTCAACTGACCGTGTACGATCTGGTTCGCCGCAACGCGTCCATCATGCTCGACAATGTGCTGACCTGGCGCGCCAGTCCCAGCCCCCAGTTGCCGCACTTTTCGGACGCACGGCTGACTGGCTCTGGTTATGCTTGTTCCCTGGACTACACGTATCTGCTGATGAAGGGTCGGCCCCTCGAGGCCATCTACTCGTTCAACGTGGCCTTCCCACCCATTTCGGGAGATGCGGCGCGCGAGGAGGAGCGACAGCAGCTCGCCACACGCAACGTCTTTCAGATCGCCACGCGCAATGCCCATCAGGCGACCGTACCTGCTGCGTGCCTGTGCTTCCTGGAGGTTCTTGGATTCCCAACCGGAACGCTCTCGGTCGACGCTGCTGCGCTGGCGCGCATCCATGCAGCCAAGTCGCAGCGGAAGGCTCATAGTGGAGTTGCTCAGTCGTCGTCGTCCTCGTCGTCCTCGTCGTCGTCGTCGTCTTCTCGGCCTTCTGCCCTTGACGACCTCGTTCGCCGCATGGGCAACATGTCCTCGCTGCCCGAGTCGCAAAAGCAGCTCATTTGGCACGATTTGCTCAAAATGCTCGAAGATGCCACCTTCTACCTCGTTCAGGCGACTGGCCGAACCCGCTCTTCCATCCAAGCGAGTGACGATTGGGTGCTGGTTCTCGAATTTTGCCAGCAGCACGACCTGCCTCCCAGCGTGCAATTCTTGGTCGAGTGCGGCAAGAGCAACGACTGGCTCATGTTTGTGTGCCATGCCCACCGTCACCAGTATGCCCTCGACGCAATCCTGGCAGTCATCGACGGCCAGTTTGCCAATGCAGACATTCAGGAGCACTTGCGTGTCTTTTTCCGACACGCGCACAAGAAGGAATCTGATCGTCGGTCGTCCGTGTTCCAATCGGCGACCGCCACTCCTTCCGTCGCGAGTAGCAGTGGCGCGCCCTCCACCAACGTTTCGCGTCCTTCCTCGCCGCAGCCGTCGTCTGCTCCAGGAGCAAGCGGCTCTGGACCGACGCCCTCCTCCTCCTCCTCCTCCTCGTCCTCCTCATCGGCTCCAGTTGCTTCTCCCGAAAAGGCAGGCGGCAAAAAGCCCAAGCGGACTGACTTTCGTGCCACGTTCTACAAGCAACTGGGCGTCAACAAGGGAGCGAAAGGCGACAAGGACGATGGGACACTTGTGCCGTCGTCGTCCTCCTCTTCCTCCTCATCGTCGGCCGCTGCTGCCATGGCTCTTGGAGAGGCGCTGGCCAACACGGCTTCGGCTTCTGGCGCCGAACGTGCTTCTGTCTTGCCTGGAACGGCGTTGACAACATCGCTGCACGTGGTTGCACCTTACATTCTTTCGCAAGCTGCCGCCTTGACGGCTCCAGTGTCTGCCGCAGCCTTCCTGCTCACGTCGCCGGTCGATCGCAAGCCCTCCCACTCGGAAGACGACCTCTTTGACATTATTTTTGCCTGTCAGCAGTCTGTCACGCCAGCCAAGGCAATGCTGCGCCATGCCATCAGCATGCGTCGTCCCCTTCTTGCTGTGCTTGCTGCTTGCTTCCCCGACTGCGAGCTCCTCGAGTGTGTGTGCGTGTGGCTGTATGCGACCTGTTTTGAGTATCTGCCGTTCGTCGAGGAGTGGTTTGACGAGGCCAAGCAAGACGCGTCCATCCACCTTGACGCCTGGCTCGGTTCCGTGCAGCAGCAGTGGCAGCAGTGGCAGCAAGGCCACCACAGCGGAGTGGGCAGTTCGTCCGGAAGTCGCCCAACCTCGCCCAGCGCCAGCGGCATGTCCACGCCCAACCCCCAGCTTTCTCCGACGTCCACGAGTGATTCCTTCCAGTATGCCGGAGGGGCCCAGCAAGGTGCGTCGTCATTCCTTGCAAACAACTTCCCTCCACTGACGTCTTCGGCGCTCGCGCAAATTTCGTCCGGCTTCCCGTGGCCATCGACGGACACGCTGATTGACCAGTGGTGGTGGCACCCGTGGTCGCTCGTTGATCTCGGACGCATCATCTACGCTCTGTGCGAACAGCGCGTCTTGCGCCCCATCATGCAGGCGTTCATGATTTTCGACCGATACAATGTCATAGTGCAGTTCATCCATCTCGAGGAAAAGTTTCAGCAGCACGACTTTTTCAGCTGCAAGCTCTTCTTTGAAACCTTTATGCGCATGACGGGCCGGCTCACAAACTCGAGCAGCAACAGCTCCCAGGCGGCCCCTTCGTCTCCGGCGACGTTTGCTTCGCCCGTCAAAAACCCCGCCAACAGAGCGACCATGTCCAACATTCAAGGCGTATCTAGCCCGCGCCGCCCCGACCAACGCGCCAGTATGGGTGCCATTTCCTTGAATTCCACGGGAGTGACCTCTTCGTCTTCCACGTCCTCGTCATCGTCGGTTGCCGGCAAAATTGGCAATCCCTTGTGGGCGGCCGATTTGTGCGATTCTCTCTTGTCGCTCATGCTGCGCCAGTGCGTTACATCCTACGAGCGAGCCCATTTGCTCCAACTGTTGTTTGAGACGGATTACAGTCCCGAGTACTGCTTGCTCTACCGAACGTGCGCCATTCTCGAAAAGACGGGTCTGCCCGTGCTGCTTGAAACGAGTCCACGCCTCGCATTGCAGGCGTTGATTGACAAGTCGCTGTTTGATGACGCGCGCCAGTATGCTGCGGCTCACGGCATTGTCGAGCATGCGATTGTGCTGCGAGAAATGCAATCCCGCCTGGCATCCTTCCGCGACTCTGTGCTCTGGGCCAAAGACCGTGCTCGCATTGCCTTTTGGCATCAGTGCCACAAGGCTCTGCTCGACAACGCCTGTGATGCATCGCTTGCTGGCGACTTTTTGCTTTCCCAAGCCGACGCGGAGCGGACTGGACCCAGTGATTGCCCGCAAACACCGCGCGAGCGCTGTGCCCTGCTCCGCTTGGCGCTGCTCTGGTTTAGTGGCTCTGCCATTCCCGGTACCGATGCGTGCCGCCCTCTCGAGTTTTTGCAGCAGCTGGAAAACCGCATTTGGCTAATCACCATCGGCATTGAGGCCGAGACGGGTGTTCCGATTCATGCTGGAGGTGCACGCAGCAAACTCTTGAGCATGAGCACAGGGGACTCGGATACCCATTCCATCTCGTCTGTCGATGACGATGACGACGTCTCCTTCCCGGTTCCCGTGTCGTCTGGTTCGGCGCCGATTTCGGTCGCGTCGTCGTCGCCGCTTGGCGACACTCCGGTCACGCTCGGCTCGCCTATTGCAGGGTCTCCCCTGGCGGCACGTCGCAACAACAGCAACAGCAACGTGAGCAGTGCCAGTGCAAACACAAACACAAGCGCAAAGGGACCCGAGGGTCGCTCGCGCACCACGTCCACCTTGTCTTCCGGTTCCTATGACCAAGCGGCCGCGCTGATGGGCTCTGGTGGCGGCGTCAACCATGCCCAGTTGCTGAGAAATGCCCACGAAAACAACGCCTTCAACATTATCGTGGCAAGGCTGCTGGATTCCGGCGAGATTTCGCAGGCGCGCTCCCTCTGCTCGCAGTTCAACCACACATGCATTGACCTGTGGCTCGTCGAGGCAGCGTTGGCCGTGGCTCAGAAGACTCTTGCTCCGCAAGATGTGCGAAAGGAGGTGCGCTCTCGCCTCGAGGACAAGCAGCACCTGCAGGCCCAGAACGATCAGCTCAAGCTCCAGCAGGCTCAACTGCAATTGTCCACCACGTCTTCGCTTCTTGGTACCAGCGTCCTCACCACGGCCACGACCGCATCGACAGCCGCCGTGTCACAGACCTCCATGAGCAAAGCCGCCTTGCCTACCGACCGTCTCGCAATGCTGCAACTGATGGCGCTGGCTGCCGACAAGGCGCACCGGTGCTTGCAACGCATCAGTGTCTTGTACGAGGTCTCACAGGCTCTCAATCTGAGCTACCAGGCAATCACGTCAAAGGATCCATTCGAGGTGCTGCAGTACTTGCTGTTGTGCGGCAAGGGCATGTTCCCGCTCGCTCGATCGTTCATTGTGCAAAACGATCTCGATCGTGTCCGCGTGGCCTCGTTCCTCGCCGAATCCTTTTTGCGATCCCTGTCCGGTGGCGCTGGAGCTCCTGGAGGCTCGGCAGCTTCTCCATCTGGACAACCGAATGTTGCGTCGCAAACATTGGGCGCTGTCGGCGCGGCTGCACCTGGCGGCGGCGGACCCGTCAACTACGATCTGCTCTGGCCTGCTGACGACTTTACGCTCTTTGCCAACCTGTGCGACAATCCAGCCGAGCTTGGCAAGCGCCTTCTCGATCTGGTCAACGCCTCCATCTTGGTTGGCGCGAGCGCGGGTGGCGCAAACAATGCCGCAGCCGCCACCGCTGCTGCTGCAAGCGACCCAACCTTCTCTGGCATTCGCTTGACGGAAGAGTTGCAATCAACACACGAAGTGGAACTGCTCATTCGTGCCCACCACTGCTTTGTGGTTGTCTGCAGCATGGACGGCATTGCCAACGTTCTGAAGGCGGTCGGGCGCCGCGCAGACCACTATGCTCGCACTGGCGAATTCCGCTTGCTTGTGCGATTGCTTCTCGGCATCAAAAAGTTCCGAGAGATGCAGTACATGTTTGACATTTTGCTCGCATACGACCAGTTCGAGCTTGTTTTGCGCAAGGTCATTGACAAGGATGGCCAGATGGAACTCAAGCTCGCTCTCCACGATTACTTGAAGCGACACCATCCCAACGACACGGAGCGGCTCACCATGGTCTTTTTGCATTTCAACATGTTCCGCGAGATTGGCGAAACCCTGCTGGAAAGCGCCATCCAGAAGCTTTTGGCTCTGCACCCGGTCGACAATGTCAATGCCGCGGTTTACATTGTAGGCGCAGAGCGCAAAGCCAATCTTGGCGTGACTGGCTTGTCGAGCGCCACGGGCGTTTCGGTCAGCCTGACGGGCTCTGCAGGGAATCTTGCTCGCGGCGCCAGCGTTGCCGGCGGCCTGGGCAGTGGTGGCTCCAGTACCTCCACAGCAAGCGGTGCTGCCGGCAACAGTAGTGCAGTTTCTGGCTCGATTGCGGTCGCTGTCGCTTCAGCCATGGCCACGCCCAGCGCGCCAAGTGCACCAGTGCCCCTCAACGTGCATACTCCCATCAAGCCCGACGTTCTACTGGTGGTTTTGCAGATGCTGTACGATGCCGCAGAGTCATTCATCAAGGAAGATTGCGCCCAGCGCGCCAACGACTGCTTGGCACTCGGCAGACTCGTGGCTCTGCAGATTCAAGTGCCGCTGGTTCGCGTGATTAATCTTCCGGATCCAGCCACCGATGCCTCTCGCGCAATGGCGCTCATGACGGCTTTTGCAGACGCCCTTGTCATTGCAGAGGCGTACAAACTCGGCGCACGCCACTCTGAGTGGGTCAACCCCTTGTATCAGCAGTGCGTTGTGAATGGCAACTTTAAATTCTTTGAAGCCATGCTCCGCAGCATGCCCGTCTCTCGCACGATTTACACTGATGTGGGAGCCAAGTTCCGCAACAATCCACTCCGCACTGCGCAAACCCCCAACATGAAACGTCTGCTTTCAATGATTGACGACGTTGGTCTGCGCTTCTCGCTCGCCAAAGAGCTTGGCTTTACCGATGTTGTCAGCAGCCTGCTCACTGGCGATGTCGAGTACCGCTCGTTCGTCAAGGACGTTGCATTGAAAATGCAAGCTGCTGGCAACTAGACCGGATGTTGTTTTGTTTATTTTCCGTTCTTGCATTGTTGGTCTCCTTCCTTTCCCTCCCTCGCCCCTTCAATTCACCTTTGACTATTGTCTATGTTTTTCATTTTTTGTACTTTTTTGGCAATTATTACTCTCTTCAAATGACAACAAGTTCAATCCATCGTGTTACAAAATTGCCCACACACCTTGACCGCTAGTTCCAGTGCACGGTATCGGCGGCGGCTAATACAGATGTCAGCTTGTCGGTGGATGAAGAGATGGTGGTGGCCGAGGCGGTGGCGCTGGAGGGTTGTGCTGGTGCAGGACTGCGAGAAATGCTGTTGCTTCGTACTGGAGGTGGAGGCTGCTGCAAAGTGTCTGGGCCAGGAGCTGCTGCAGATTTGGGTAGCGGCTGGGCCAGCGGTTTGGGTTGGGACGAGTATTTTGGAATGGGTTGGTGAAGACAGTCTCGAAGGACGACGATTCCTGGAGTGCGTTGCACGAGGTGAACCGGGAAGGAGAGCTGCGGGTGGGGAGGTTTGAGAGTCAGCGCGTGCCTACAAAACGCTACATGCACCAACACACACACACACACACACACACACACAACTTACCTCAACATCCATGCCGGCTTGAACAGCAAGCCGGACCATAATGTTGTAGGTAACGCGAATCAATCTGCTTGATACGACGCTGCCGCATACATCGGCACCACTCATCCACTGTCGGTTGGATGGCACGCGGATGGCGACATCAAAGTTTCGGAGGGTTAGGGGGTCGACGCTCGAGTTGGGAACGGCATACACGAACATGACAAGATCTTGGTCGAGATAGGCCTGCGAGTCGGCGGCTTGATAGTGGATGCATTGATGCACAGAGACGAGAACGCCAGAGATTTGCCGGTTGCTGCCGTTCGAAACCTCGATTTGGATGGGAATCGGTGCGTCCAAAAAGTGCACATGTTTGAGCGACGCGGACAGGGTTGCCGGCGCCTTGCCTCCAAACAAGAAGGTCTTGCTCACAGAGTAGGTTGTTGGGTCGCGGTAGAGCAGCTCGGGCGAGATGTTCTCCACCACTCGAAAACTGGTCGCATGCTTGTGCACCAGCCTTCGCGCGCTCAAATCGGCCACATACAATAAAGCCGTGACTGTGTACTCGATGGTCGAGCCCGGGTCAACTTTCTTGGGGATGATGCCGCCCGTGGGCACAACCCACATGGACGGCTTGCCATGCGTGGATGTGGCACTGGCTGTCTGAGTGGGACGCAGCTCCATTGTCGTAAACGCCAACGAAGGTTCCAGCTGAAGGGGCCTCATGGAAGGGTCGGATGCCGCCTCGTCGTCGACAGCATGGGAGGTTGGCGCCGAATCGCCAATCTGGCTTTGGTAGAGGTGGCGGAACGAGCCCGGAAGGCACATGCCCAACGGGACTTCGAAAGGAAACACTGTGCTTGTACCACTGTGCAAGAGAGGATCCTTTGTTTCGTCGTTCAATGTTCTAGACCAGAGAGAGTGCGTTTGGTGATAGAAAACGCGTTCCGCGACGACGCGGCGCGAATCCTGTCAACCAAAGAGAGAGAGAGAGAGAGAGATTGGGAGGAGGGGTGAGATATATATACCTCATCAAGAGCGGGCCGTGCTTCTCTCAAGCACAAAACCAGACCATCGCCACACAACCAGACACCACCGACAATCTCAGACCGTACACCAATATCATCGACAGGGACGTAGTCGTGCCAGCAGGCAATCTCGCGCCCGACCACTTGAATTTCCAGCGAGTGCGTGACTGCAGCAGCGACAGCTTGCGATGCGACTTGGCTGAGTGCCATACGAGACGTCGATCTGGTCAAATTGTCGAGTGTCTCAGAATCCTTGTTGGTGGACGAAACCTTTGTTCCATCCGAAGGGTTGAAGTCTCGACCCTGAGCTGCGGACGACGTGCTTGTGCCGGCCTGTGCAGCATTGTTCGATGGGACAAACAGCTCAACGACGGTCGCATCTTCAGCAGCAGTGGTGGTTGCGTTGGCAGAGCTCGGCCAAAGCGGGACGACCGCCGATTCGGAGCCCGTCGCAGCCGCCGCAGCCGCCGCAGCCGCCGCAGCAGCAGCCAGTGCAGCAGCAGCAATCGGATCGTCGTCTGCAGCTGCGGCTGCCGAGCGGTGGTAGCGCTGGTAGTGCGCGACGCGGTCGTCACTGAAGCTCTGCGCCACGGGTGAACTCGCTCGCGCAGGACCAGAGGAGCTGCCGCCGCTTGGTAGAATTGACGACAACGATGGGTGCGACGTGGGTGATAGCGAGCCGGACGCCACGGCAGCGGTCGGCGTGACTGGACTGACCGCAGCAGCGGAGTCGCCTGCAATGTCGTGGTACCGCTCACCCTGGCAGACGACCGTCACGACGCCGGCGAGAGCATCACCGCTGCGGACAACGCGTCGATTCAGGCCGACAAAGACAAAATCGCGCATGATGAGGGAATAAGGCTCCAAACTAACAGAAAAGAGGGGGAATGAGCTCGGATTCTGAGCGAGCGACGGAAAATTGCATTTCAGAATAAGTAAAAAGCACTCGTTCGTTGACAAGGATGGATGGAACGAGAAGGAGGAGACAACCACGCAACTGCAACGAAATACAAAAGACATTGGAGTGACTGCAAACGCTTTCGAGGTGTTGGGCGCTCATGTCCAGCAGCTGCTTCTCGGATGGAAGAAGTCTTGAACGAGTGTGCAATGTTTGCGTGAAATTGTCATCAAAGTCATGCGATAGGACGAATGTTCGGTATGGCGACTGAGGTTGCTTACGCGCCTCTTAAAAGAGAAGACCAGCCTGCTCTTGTCGTCGCAAGGAACCGCTTCCCGCCTGCTTGGGCTCGCGTACGGGTGCAAGTTCCTCCTGTTGTTTTGAGGTGGCGGCGGTTGGGTTGACATTCTCCGAGCCGGCATTGGCTGCTAATCCATTTGAAAGTGGTCTTGCGCGTTGCTGTGCTTCCCCGCTCTCCAGACCAACAGGCGCCATGCCGCTCAACAAAGCAATCTGCGCACACTGTTCCATCAGCGCCACTACGGGACCTTTGCCAGCTTGGAGCTCTTGCAGCAGCGACGATGGTTTTGGAGCCGCGGCTTTTGGTGCCCGAATGCGCGATACTGGGCGACTTGAATGCACAGTTGAAGAACGGTTGTTAACAGTGGGAATCTGGTCTGCTAGCACTAGTAGCTGATCATGGCGTGTGATGAGCGACGCTACGTGCTGCTCGTGAGGCTTGGCTGGTCCGAAAAATACTTCCTCGTCGTCGTTTTCAACTTGCTGCGTGCACTCATTGTGGGCACTACCCAGCGTTACACTACTCACGCATAATGTGTCGACAAGGTCGGCCTTCAGCGTGATGAGGACATCGTCTTCTTGCAGCACGACGGTTTTGGGTCGTTCTGGAGATGTTACAAGATGGTCTTCCACCGGCATTGTTTCTGTCGCGAGCAAGTCGATGTCTGCCGATTGTTCAGGTGCGCAAGCATTTAGTGAGTGAGTTTGCTTCAATGAGCCAAGCTTACGAGTCTGAAACGATTGATCAATGGCTTGTTTGGCTGTACCTGGGAGCACGCTTTCAGCGATTCCAAAGCTCGATCTTCGGCGACGGTTTCCATGTGCAGATAGGCTTGAGATGACGGGCGACATCATCCCTGGGGTTGAGGCGGGGATACGACGCGCGTCGGTGGTCTTGTCTGAAACCGTTTCGTGGACGGGCGAGTCGATCGCCAGCAAGTGAAGCCGCGCATCTGCAATCCCGCCGCCAATACCAGCATCAAGCGTTGGACATGTGAGGTCAGTTCGTGCATTGAAGCCCGGTGTCTGAGACTGGGGGTTCTACATTGTGGCTGTCGGAGTTCTTGTTGGCCTTTGACAGGTCTTTCAAAACCGTTTCAACAACGAGAAACTCGTCCTTTTGGGACCAAAACGCTGGGTTTGCCCTCGATCAGTCAAGGTCTCGGTGAGTAACAAAGTCAAAACTTGCCATCGCTGGGACGGAAGCCGCAGAGGAGCGGAGAGCTCGCAACGAGCGAGACGTCGAGTGCGTCGAGGTCGAGCAAATCGTCGCTCATCACTGAAGGAAGAAATGACTTAGACTGGGCCTGGTACAAAGGCAGTGAATGTGTGACAAGGTTTCCAGTCTCGTGAAACAAGTGGCCACCATCGACACTGAGGTAAAGCTCTCAACTGTCCTGCAAACAATGCCGTGTTTCCTGTCGTATCAAATAAAACGCGTTCAGCGAAAAATTCGAGCGAGCGTTTTGGGATTTGAGCGGACCACATTGACCGTGTCCCTATTCTGCTTGCTTTGATCCGGAATAGAGTGTTGAAGGATTTCTGTGCAGCGCAAGATTTGAGTCGGCAGCGTCTCTAAACCGACTTGGTCTGTCCAGGAAAGGAACAACAATCACACAACGACAAACGCTGCAGGGGGGCTTCACATGGTCGCGCTTCGGCCTCAAGTAACAACTCGCAAATAAACAAGGAAAATATATTCTCATCCGAGGTAGCACTGTCAGAAAACATCGAAATGTGCACGACATTGGGGAAAACGTTCAACGCAAGCACGCGAGAACAGCTTGCTCGGTGTCGGCAAGCAGGGTTTTGACTGCGGGATGGAGATGTTGGCGCTCGAGACCGCGCATCACGGCCGCCGCATTCGGCATCAAGTCGTGGCCGCGGACGATGCTGACATACGTGGTCCAAAAAGAGACCCGATTGTTGCGGTCAAACGAGGAGGTTGCTTCGGCTGTCAGCTGGGCGAGCAGAGAGTTCCAGAGCACGTCCGGGTCGTTTTCCGAGTCCGCGAGCACGCGATCAACCATGGCCATGGTCTCGTCGTTCTCACTTGAGGCCAAATCACTCGCGAGATCTTGTGCTGGCGCGTCGGAACCTGAGCCACTCGAGAGGTCCGAATCTGCGGCCTCCGTAGTTGGATTGCTGCTGGCACTCGCTGGGCTGGTGTTGTTGGTGCTCGTGCTCGCTTCGAACAGGCTGCCCTTGGCAGCCGATGCTTGGTCTTCGTTGTTGCCTGGGGCGAACAGGCTGCCAAAGGCATCGGAGGCATCTGGAGTAGCTGGATCAGCGGCAGCAGATGCTTGGTCTTTGCGGTTGCCTTTCTCGTTGACGATTGGTTGCTTGCAAATGTCACAAATGCGTTTGAGATCGCCTTTCGAAAACGTGCTAAGGTCATCGTTCGTCATGGTCGCAAGCCTGTCAGCAGACCGTTGCATGGACCCTTCAGGCTCGCAATGGTGCGCGCTGTGGGCGGCGGTTTCTGCTGAGATTCTTTGCAGAACGCTTTGAAGGTCGAGACAAAGTACCACTTGCGCTGCTGGAGGGCTTGGATCATTCTGAAACGCCGTGTGTCTATGTCCGTGCTCCTGAGCAGTCGGTGCAGAATCAAGTACGACTCAATACACGGCAGCAGCGTGTAGATGACGGGCGCGCCAACAACTTGTGTGATCCGAGCCTGGGCGGTTGGGAGATCGGGCGAAGCGGCGTACATGTCACTGTCTCTGAGAAAGACGTGCTTGAGCTTGGCCTGCGTCAGAATGTTGGAAAGATTCTGCTTGTTGACGGCACCTGACGTGGTCAGAAAGTGGAAGTGCTGGCCGAGGGTCGTGTACTTGCTGTAGAACGCCTGGTCGTTCGTGCCTTCCAACACGAGCAGTGGCTTGCTGCTCTTGACCTGGCTGAGGGCGTCGAGGATTGGATACAGGGAAGCGCGACCTTGCTCGTCCTTGGGCAGTTCGCCTGTCAGCTCGACGGCCTTGCCATCCGGAGTGAGGAACATAATCTGTTGATCCGTCTTCAAGCGCGGATCGATGATGGCGCGCGAGTTGGTGGCGACAATGAGCTGAATGTTGTGCTTGGCGCACGTGCTGACGAGAAAGTCATACAGCTTGGCCGTCACATTCTCGTAGAGCAGTGCTTCGAGCTCGTCGATGAGGAAGATGCGCGCAGCGAGTCGAGTCGTGCGCAATCTTCTTTCCGCGCGCGTCGTCTTGCGCAGCGTTGATGGTTGCGCCAGCGGTCAGATGGTAGAGAAGCGTCAGAATGGCAATAATCTTCTGCAGCGAGCCGGCGCAGGCACCAATGTCAAGGGTGGCGCCACGCTCGGTTACGGTAGCAATTGCAGGTCCATCTTTGTTTGGTGCAGCGACCGTGGCCTGGAAACCGAGATGATGGAGTCCATCGTTCACAAAGTCTTTTGCCTGAAACAGGCGCCAACGTAGATACTGAACGCCAGCGGTCAGGAACGGCTCATTTCTGTGTAGTTCTTCCGACAGGTCTCCCCACTGGTAGGTTGGAGGCATGAAGGCGAAGCGGATTGGGGCGAGCGACTCGTGGTTTTCGGGCTTGTCGTGGAGAAGACCGTCTCTGAGCGAGTACTGCAGCACCACGTTCTCGTTGGTGTGATGGTACGTGGGGTCAAGAAACGTGCCAGTCAGGGTGAATTTCTTGTTTCGCGCGCCGACGCGAACGAGCGTATCTGGCGCCTTGTACTGATTGACGAAGAGTCGGTCGCCAAAGAGGTCTTGTAATTCGCCTGAGAATTTGAACGGGTCGCTGTCAAAGTGCTTGGAGCTGGGCACACGGGCGTTGTGGCCGCGCAAGAAGATGAGAATTGCCCAGAGGATTTGCGTCTTGCCCGAGCCGTTCGCGCCAACGATAATCTTGGGGCTGGGTGTCAGGGTGAGCGTGATATCCTCGAACTTTTTAAAGTTCTGGAGGCGCAGCTGGTGCAGACTGAGGTACAGTAAAGAATGAGCGATTTTGCTCAAGGCCGCTATCTATTGCAAACATCATCACGACACATACCGAAACTCTGACTGCGTTTCAACTTGAGTGGCCGAATCCATGAAGGGCGTGAATAAGAAGGAAGAAGCGGCGGCGGCAGAATACAAAAAAAAAAAAAAAAAAAAGCGCGCGAAAATTTTGCAAGAAAGCCGCTCAAAGAAGAAAAGCCAAGACTGCATGCAAACTGCAATTCGAATGGTTTCAGCTTGAGGCTGTCAGCGAGCTGAAAGTACTTGCTGACGTTGCGACTCATCATTATCGGTCGTTTAACTTTCAAAGTTTCCGAAAATGTTTCAAAACTTTCAAAAGTTTTGGAGGAAACAGGTTGCCGGGCAAGGCATGTACCGCTACCTCCATGCAGGAGAGAGAGAACGAGTGAAACAAAAAGGGAAAAGAAAAACCTGAAGGGCATCCAGGAAACAAAAACAAAAAACGTTAAGCAAAACAAAGAGAGAAAGAAAAAAAAAAGAGTTACAACAAGCAGTATTCCCGCGTGGTCTCCCACCGCAGTACTAACTACTCTCATGGTGGTTTAACTTCGCAGAGCGGAACGGGATGCGGTGCATTCCACCAGATATGGCCGTAACTGAAATACAGTAGTTGGGTGTTTGGCTGATATGTGAGCATGGAGCGGGGTGAGCGAGCGCAGACAAAAAGGATGAATGTGTTCAGTGACAACCTCGGCTTCAAGCTCGTCACTGAGTCGACACACCCGCCCCGACCCTCCATGAATCAATGTCAAATATGTTTTGCAACGTCATTGTCGTCAAGTGAGTCGGATGTTTGGTGGAAATTTTGATCTGGACGGCTTGGAAATTTTGCAGAAAGTTGTTTCGAGTTCTGCTGAGCCAGACAAGCTCGTTCGGCCCAAAGTCGAGTTTCTCTGGGGTCCTAATATCGTCCAGTTAGCGAAAATAGTCAGGTGTTGACAATACGAGGCCTGGTGTTGGTTGGCCAGCCGTTTGAAATGCCGGAAAGGTCGACAATGCGAGATTGCTGCAAAAGGTAACACCTTTTCAACGCCATCCGGTTTTCGACCAATCACGGAAAATCAAAAACAGCTGCACGCCCACGCTTTCTTTTCCAGATTGAACACGGACTTTACGTGAATGTTTGTCAGGACCCGAGTCGTGTCCGTCCAGCCGGCAAAGGTAGCCGGTGGTAGTTTCAATAAGGATTTATGTGTTCTGATTGTTGTTATTGCACATTTTGTAGATCTATCCATCAATCGACATTTCCTGGCCAATAGATATAAGACCCAACCCATGGGATAGCGGAGTCGCACAATACTAGGCAGGTTTCCATGTTGGGATGCTGAAACTCAGCGAGAAAGGGAGAGGAAGGTAATTTTTTCTTTTGGGTAAATCGAACCGGGTCCTGGGGATTATGGATCGACCTGAATAACGTTCTGAAATCCTCAAAGCTGTGCATTGATAGAAATGCATGTGCTAGCGTTTGAAACACTGCTTTCAAGCACCTTTAAGGATGGATTGGTGGAAACAGCTCCCATTGGAAAAAATCCAAATCAGAAAGTTGAAGAGGAACAACGCTCACTCCTTTGCTTATCATCGCCGTTGTTCAATGCCGACCCCGACTATGCTTGCGGCGGCAAGTACCGCAACAGACTGGCTGTCAGCGGCAACCGGCGCGACTGCGACGAGCATCACACAAAGCGGTGCGAATTCGAGCAGCAACCCCAGCAACCCCACAACTACTCTCGACCCGCATCATGGCGGAAGTGGCGGTGGTGGTAGCGAGCATGGTGCTGGGTTGTTCGAGGGCGGGAACGTGCTTGCAACGCCGTATACGCTGTTTGTCATCCAGCTGCTGATCATTGTGTCCACTTCTCGTATTCTGGCCGTGGTTCTTCGCAAGCTCAAGCAGCCGCTCGTCGTCGCAGAGGTCTGTGCTCATCCGTCGCGCTGTGTTGTTTGATGATTGCTATTGGTTTGCAATGTTGAAAGTTAGGAGGGTGGTGAAGGTAAATTCCCCGAAAAGGAAGTGGAACCGGGATTGGAGCAGGTTTCGACCCGGTTTTCTCCGGGTCAGGCCAATGAAGCATGTGACGGTCGCGGTGTAAACAACCAGCTTGATGCAGGGAAAGGGGATTGGATGATGGACAGCCGGAGGTGTGTGTGTGGGGAGGGGAGGGAGAGGGAAAGTAAAGGAAGCTGAAGCGGGACGGGACACGTGAGTTCCGAACTCGTTCTGGTAAAAATCGATGATGCCATTCGAAAACAAACAAAACAAAACAAACAAACCAAAACTCACTTCCTGCCTCCTCTGCCCTCCTTCGTTCATTCAACCAACAGATCCTCTCGGGAGTGCTGCTCGGCCCAAGTGCGTTCGGAAAAGTCGAATCGTTCCGGAACACAATCTTTCCGGCATCCTCAATGACCGTGCTGAGCATGTTTGCCAACGTCGGCCTGGTCTTGTTCATGTTCATGATTGGTCTCGAACTCGACATCGGCCTGCTCACCAAGAACTCGCGCAACTCCATCTTCATTTCGGCCACGGGCATTTCGTGCGCTGCCATTCTGGGCTGCTTTGTCGGCTACGTTGTCCACGACGTTTACGCACCAGACACCAACTTTCTCACCTTCATGCTGTTCCTGGGCGTTGCAATGGCAATCACGGCTTTCCCCGTGCTTGCGCGCATCCTCGCCGAGCGCAAGCTGCTCAACACACGCGTCGGCATGACGACCATTGGTGCCGCTGCCATCGACGACGTTACTGCTTGGTGCTTCCTCGCCTTGGTCGTATCCATTGCACACGCTGGCGGCAACCCGCTGACAGCTCTCTACACCATTTTGACGGCGGTCGCGCTCATCCTCTTCCTGGTACTCGTCGCGCGGCGCCTGATCATCCGCGGCCTCGTCTTCCTCAAGAAGGGTCGCGGGCTGTCGCACATCACCATCGTGCTGTCCTTCTTGCTCATGTTCCTGTGCTCCTTCCTCACCGAGATCATTGGCATCCACGCCATCTTTGGCGCGTTTGCCTTTGGCGTCATTCTGCCCCGCGACACGGGCCTCCCGCACCTGCTGATTGAAAAGATTGAAGACCTCACTCTCAGCATTCTCATCCCGTTGTACTTTACCGTGTCTGGCCTGCGCACCGACCTCTTCCTCGTCGCCGACGCCAAGGCGCTCGGCTTTACTCTTCTCATCATCTCGGCCACATGCACCGGCAAGCTCGGCGGGTGCTCGCTCGCCGCACGCAAGCTAGGCAACTCTTGGCGCATGTCCATCACCACCGGCATCCTCATGAACACGAAGGGTCTTGTCGAACTTGTCGTGCTCAACATTGGCCTTGATGCCGGCATCATCACCCCGACCGTCTTCACGATGTGTGTCATTATGGCTCTGGTCACAACGTTCATGACCACACCTCTGACTTACCTTGCATACCCACCGCATCTCGTGCTCGCCGACGCCGTCTCAATGTCCGCGCCACAGCCGCACCAGCAACATCAGCAGCAGCACCAGCAGCATGGACACGGGCACCCAGCTGAAGACGTCGATTTTTCCCCAATGTCACCCAACAGCCTGCCCAACACCCGGCTCTGCTCGCTCGTGTACAGCCCCGATGTCGACAGTGGTCTCTCGGGACTCACGATCGCGCTTGCCATCTCCAAATCCCGTCGCAAGCGGCGAGAGGTGCACGTCATTCACATGACCGAGATGACGGAATGCCCATCGTCCTTCATGCGCTACATGAGCTCGAACGATTCGCTCTCAGGCGGCCAAAACCAAATCGCGTCGGCTGTGCGCACGCGCGCCAAGATCCTCGGCATGGCCGACATCACGCAGGTCATTACGTTCTCGTCCAACGCCTTCGACCTGGACTTGCTGGAGGCTGCCAAGACACTGTGTGCGCACGTGCTTGTTCTCCCGCTCTCCGGGACCGAGTTGGCCAACTGCACCAATGCTGTGCGAGTGGCTGGTAGCGAAGTGACCCTGGATGCGCCCAAGGGTTGGGAGGCCGCGGCTGCTGCAAGCGGAGACGTGTTGCCACCGCCATATTCGACCTCGAGTGACATGCATCAGACGATCGAACTTGGCACGCGCGAAAACTCGGTGCCTTCTCAGGACCAGATTGACTCGTGGGGTCTCTTCCCCGCGCTGCCAGTGGTGGTTCAGCGCGTTTTGCTCAGCAACGTTGCGCACTCTGCAGTGGTCATCAATCGTAGCATGAGCGCAAGCCCACGTCGAGTGCTCTACGTGTACACTGGATCTCCGGCCGACCTGCTCGGTATCTCGCTGCTCGGGCACATGGCCAAGCTCAAGGACATCAAGGTCTACCTACTGCTCGCGGACGAGTACGCCGAACTTCCTTGCGGCGGCACTGCATCCGACAACAGCCGTACCGACGTTGCCACGCTTCGCCAGGGCGCGTCCGGCATGTTCTCGCGAGCGGCGGCGACTGTCTCTGCGTGGGCCGACAGCAGCAACACTCGCCAACATACGCGACTCCTTGACGACGACGTGAGTGTTGACGGCGACAAAAACGACGACGACGACGACGACAACGACAACGACAATGATCAAGACGCGAAAGGCAACGCGCACAAGAGCAGTGGCAACAGCGACCGACTTCAGAATGGAGGCGACGGCACAGCAGCCCGCCCATCCTTCGACACGCCCTCCGAGAGTGGCTCTGCAGCAGAGTCTGACAACGCCGGCCGCAAGACACTCAGTCAAAACGACCTCCTCTTCCACGTCTCTCAGCATGCTCGCAGTATCATCAAGACGGTTCGCGAGCCCGGCCTGACAATCGTCGAGGCTGTGCGCGACCAGCTGACCAAATCAGCCTCCGACCTGGTTATCACCGCGCTTGATCTTGACGGTTCGGTTGCGTGGAAGCAAGCGCATGCCAGCAAACGCGACCTTCTTCCCTCCACCTACAGCACAGGCCCAGTCGCCCGGCGGCCGCATCCCAGCGCCCACAAGCCTGTCGGCCTCTCTGGCCGGCGCGAGTTGCAAGCGTACCTCTTTGGCGAGTGCACCATGTCGCTCCTGCTCGTGCACAACACGCACAAGGTGCTGTCCGACGCCTCAGCCCGAACAGCAGCACGCCTGCCTGCCAACCCTTCTGGAAGTCTCGCGGACGACGCATGTTAACAGTTACTAGTATGTGACAACAAGATGGAGTACAACGAAGAACCAACCACGAATATCGTATCAATACAGTGTTGTTTTCGATGGATTGTTTCTCAACACGAGACTATGAGCGATAACGCGATGAAATGAGCGATAACGCGATGAAAGAGAGAGAGAGAGAGAGAGAGAGAGAGAGAGAAAGAGGGAGAAAGAGGGACATGAAACAAAAACAACAAAAAACAAAAAACGTTAAACAAAAAAAAAAGAGTTACAACAAGCAGTATTCCCGCGTGGTCTCCCACCGCAGTACTAACTACTCTCATGGTGGTTTAACTTCGCAGAGCGGAACGGGATGCGGTGCATTCCACCAGATATGGCCGTAACTGAAATACAGCAGTTGGGCGTTTGGCTGATATGTGAACACGGCAAACGCACGATTACGTGATTGATCGTTCAAGGTTGGAGTACTTTTTGTTTTTTGCGATCATTCAACAAAATCAAAAGCAACACAAAAACACAAACTCAGTCAATCTTTCGTTTTTTTTTTTATTCGTTGATTTTTGTTTCGTTGATCGTTCCTTCGTTCCTTCGTTACAGACATACACACTCAAACCATCCATTCGAACAATTCACACACACAGACACAAGGCATGGCGGACGAGGCACCAGCAGCAAGTCACAACCAGGCGTCATCCGCGCCCACCATCCCCACTCGCAGCGCACCTCCAGTGCCAAGCACCAGTGTTGACGATCGCATTTACGAAGAGTTCCTCAACCTGATGAATAGCTCGGAGTTTGATCAACTTGTGGAGCAGGTCCAGTACGTTCCCCGAGGTCGCGGCGGTCGCGGCGGTCGTGGCGGCGGTCGTGGCGGCGGTCGTGGCGGTGCTCCCGGCGGCCTTGGCCGTGGTGGCGCTGGTCGTGGCGGTGGCGCTGGTCGTGGTGGTGGCCTTGGTCGCGGCGGATTTGCACTGGGCGGGTTGCTCGGAGTGCCGCCTGCAAGCGATTCCACCATTACGCAACCCGAGCCAGCAGCAGCAACAGGCCCATCGACCCATCACGACGACGGCGGTCGACGAGGTCATCGTCATGGCCACCACCATCACCATCATCATCATGATGATCATCATGGTGGCGGCGAGGCTGCTGCAGCCACTGCACAGACGCAACCTCCAGCGCCGACTGTGCGACGAACCAAGCCGGCAGCCAGCAGCAGCAAGGAAGATTACCGCGCAGTGCCCCCTCCAGAGGGCTTGTACTCGACGGCGCCGCAGCGTGGACGTCGCCATCACCAAGCACAAGCTCAAGGACAGGCTCAAGGACAGGCTCAAGAAGCCCAAACCCAATCGGCTGAACCCGGTGCTGCATCGGCGTCGTCCTCTGCGGCCGCCGACACTGCAGACTCGACGCAAAAGGACAAGAGCAAAGGCCACGGCAAAGGCAAGCGCAGCAAGAACGATCGGGACGAATCGAGCACCTCGTCAACCGACGCAATGCCCTCAGTTACCGTTCGCTCGACCAAGACGAAAGCCGCCTCATCTGCGCCGCCCTCTCAGCCACCCACCCCAGTCAACCCAGCCAACACCAACAACAACAGCAACGACGATGACGGCAAAAACCAGAGCAAGCGGGGTCGCCATGGAGGCGAGCCCGTCTCCTACTCGAAATACCTGCCCAAGCTCGAGGTGGATGCCGGCCTTGCGGATGGAACCCTCCTTCAGGGCCTCATTCGCATCAATCCCAAAGCGCATTCGATGGCCTACGTGACATGCGACAAGCTCGACCGCGATGTCTGCTTGGAAGGCTTGGAGAAGCGCAACCGAGCTCTTGACGGCGACTCTGTTGTGCTGCGCTTGGACGACAAGGCTCTTTGGCGCATCATGCAGCGTGACTGGGATGCCGATCAATTGGCCAAGGGGGATGGCAAGGTCGACTCGGTGTCCGCCAAGCTCGGCTCGTTGTCGCTCAACGACCGTGAGCAGCATCACGACGACGACAACGACATGGACGACGAGGACGACGAGGACGACGAGCATGACCTGTCCTCGGATCCTTCCACGGCGTCCTCAGCCTCAGTCCTGTCCACTGCGTCTTCAGTGTCCTTCTCGTCCTCCAAGGAGCCGACTGCAACGACCAAGGTGAATCGCCATCAACAGGGCAGGCGCACCAAGATGCGTAGCACGATTCAGACACTTGGCGAGTACCGTCGTTCTGCTGGAAACGCCAAATCTGTCCCAGACAAGTTCCTTCAACCGACTGGTAACGTGGTCTTCATTCTTGAAAACAACCGACGCGAAACGCCCGTGGTGGGCCAGCTGTCTTCCTTCAAGAGCAAGCCGCCGACAAAGCAAGACATTATTCGTCATGGAGGTCGTTCCGCGGCTGCCAAGGCTTCCCAGTCGTCAACAGAGTCCCGTGCGCTTTTCACCCCGATTGACCCACGCATTCCTTCCATGCGCGTCCCTCTGGCAGATTGCCCAGAGGACCTGACGAGCGTTCCGCAAAAGTACAAGGACATGTTGTTCTCCGCCAAGCTCACTGATTGGCCCGAAAACTCCTCGTATGCGTCGGGCAAAGTGCTCGAGCTGCTCGGCCCCGTGGGTCAGATTGCTTCTGAAACGCGGGCCATTCGTTTGGAGCACCACTTTGAGCAGGAGAGGTTTGAACCGAAAGTGCTTGCTTGCCTGCCATCGGTCGCACATCCTCATGCCACCCCTACGACTGAGCTCCCCAAGAACTCGAAGGCGGCACAGGATCCCGTCGACCCCGAGAAAACCCTACCTCCAGGCGCCGATCCCACTGGCTGGGTTGTGCCCGAGGCTGAGCTCCAAACTCGCCGCGACCTGCGCAGCACACGCATCTTTACGATTGATCCTCCGACAGCTCGTGACCTCGATGACGCACTGCACATTACTCCACTGGCCGACGACTTGTTCGAGGTTGGCGTGCACATTGCTGATGTGAGCTACTTTGTCAAGGAGGGCTCCAGACTCGATAAAGAGGCAGCCGAGCGCGCCACCACCTGCTATCTCGTGCAAATGGTCGTTCCAATGCTCCCAGGCCTGCTGAGCGAGCACTTGTGCAGTCTCAATCCTGGCACCGATCGACTCGCATTCTCGGTCATCTGGAAGATGAACAGCGCTGGTGTGATTCAAGACCAGTGGATTGGGCGCACCGTTATTCGCTCGTGTGTCAAGATGAACTATGACATTGCGCAGGAGATTCTCGATTCAGACGTGACCCGTGAGTGGCTGTACGACGATTTGCCTGACGTCTTCCCGCTTGCTGCCAATCCTACGAGCGCCGGTGTGCCTGTTTTGCCCACTGCGATGGACATTGCGGGCGATGTGCGCAATTTGTGGAAGGTCGGTCAGCAGCTTCGTGCAGCTCGTGCTTCACAAGGCGCCCTGCGTCTGGATCGCGTCAAACTCTCGTTTACGATCGACCCAAACACCAAAGAGCCGTTAAGCTACGGCGCCTACCCCATCCGCGAGAGCAACAAGCTTGTGGAGGAATTTATGCTCTTGGCCAACATGTGCACCGCCAGGCGTATCTTTGACGCCTTCCCCGAGCAATCGCTCCTGCGCTGCCATGCGCCTCCGCACACGTCCAAGTTGGCCGAGCTGGCCAAGGATTTGCGCGAGAGTGGTATTCCCATGGACGTCTCCTCCGCCGGAGCCTTGCAGCAGTCCTTGCTGGCCATCGAACAGACTCATGGGACGCATGTTATGCAGGTCGTGCAAGTGCTGGTCACTCATCCAATGCAGCAGGCCAAGTACTTTTGCTCTGGCCAGCAGCACCGGGAAGACTTTTGGCATTACGCCTTGAATGTTCCCTTCTACACGCACTTTACCTCGCCCATCCGTCGCTACCCGGACATTATCGTTCATCGTCTTCTTGACCAAGCCATTCGTAAGCAGCATGCCGAAGAAGGCCTTTTCGTCGCGTCATGATTTGGATGGTGCTGATTTTCTGACGACTGATTTTTTTTTTGGTTTGTTTGGTTTCTCGGTTTTGTACAGGTGGACAAGACGCCGCGTCCGTCATATCCACCTTACCGCTGGGTAAAATTGCCAGCCATTGCAACACCAGAAAGTCCGACGCGCGGAATGCTCAAGAGCGCAGCTCTGCCGTGTACCTGTGCAGATTTGTCGCATCGAATGGACCCTTCTACCTGGATGCGATCGTGCTCGATGTCAAGGATCGGTCGTTCCAAATTGTCATTCCCGAGTTGGACCTGGAGGAGCGCATCTTTTGCGAAGATCTCGATATTTCCAAGTTTTCTTGGCGGTCGGACATTCATGCGCTGGATCTCTTTTGGAATGAGCGCGCTGTTGACATGGTCACTCGCGCTGGCGGCGACCGAAGTGTGCGCCAAGACGAGTATGACGACGACTCGTGCTCGTCGGACGAGGAGAGCACGACAAGGATGGGAGGTCGACGCATTACTGGCGAGCGACATGCCGAAGAGCGCTCGCGCACCGACCGTCGTCGCGACCGACAGGCCGCTCGGGCGCAGCGGAAGCAGGAGTTAGCCGCGAGCCGCGAGCCTCTGACTGACGAGGACCGCATCCTCAAACAGACACAGAGGTCTGCCAAGCATCAAGAGCGCGTTGCCAGCAAAATGAAGCTCGCAGTTCATCTGTTCAATCACGAAAAGTCCACGCCGAAATGCATGCAGCGCGTGGAGCGCTTCGGCAAAGTGCGCGTGTCCGTCGTCGCCCTGGTCCGAAAGGCCCCCGTCAAGCTTCGTCTCGAAGCGATTGCGCCTCCCCGCGATCAGTTTGAGTCGTACAACACTTCTCCGCAATGAGTCATTGGGTGTTTGATGTTGACAAATAGATTCTGGTTTTCTATTTGGTTTCTCTTTTTTGGCACGATGGGTTTTGTTGGGTTGTACTGTGTCGGACAAACTGATTACCATCGGCGATTGGCACTGGGAACAAAATAGCACAAACAGCGAAACAACAAAAAGAGAGATGTCTGGTCGAGTTCTTTGCTGTTAAGAGCACTCGTACACGTGAATTTTCCCATTGTTTGCTGCCGAGGCCATTCGATCACCAGTTCGGTTGTATGCAATTGCCCAGACCTATCCATCCCCGAAATATGAAGATGAGCAGGGCAATCAAGTGAGTAAACAACAGTTGTGGTGTCCGCGCGTTTGCAACAACAAAGTCACTGGTGGTGGAACCAACCTGATCATCATGCGTGTCAAATGTATGCAAAGTCTCGTGCGTTGAAATATCCCACACCTTGACCTTCTTGTCAATCGATCTGCAGTGCAACCAGAAAACAACGCAACAACAACAACAACAACAAACCAAGACAAAGAAAACAAAATCAAAAATTGGACAAAGCACAACATTGTCTCCCGGAGCTCGCATCGCCAACAAAGGCACATACGATGAGCTAAAGTGAACACCATTTGGAGAAAATGCCAGTGAGGTAATCCATGATGCATGACCAGAGAACGTGTACAGATTGTTTCCATGCTCGACGTCATGGAGCTTGATGAGGGCGTCATCGGAGCCAGTCAGCAAGAGTGCCGAGTCTGGAGAGAATGCCAGCGCACGAACTGGCATTGCATGCGCTGTTTTGGCAGAGTGGCAGTGAGTGATGGAAAAAAAAGGGGGGTGGGCGGAAGTATCACCACAAAAACACACGCCACAAAACGCGTACCCTCGAGTTTGTGCATTAGTTTGTTTTGCTCAACGTCAAAAATGTGCACGATACCGTCTTGTGCACCGCAAGCAACAAAGCGTCCGTTGGGCGACTGTTGACATTGCCAAAACAGCATTTCACCAGATTAGTTTTCTCTTCCAGTTTCGCCTTTCATCAGAAACCAGCGTAGCACAATGACTTGGACTTGGCCCGAGTCGCTTACATAGGCAACGCTCAACGAAAACTTGCCGCGCGGCTCAAAGCCGTCATGCTTGTTTCCCGTCGCAACGTCAAAGACACTAATGTTCCCCTTTTCGCCGCCGGTTGCAATAGACTCGCCGTTGGAAGAGAAGGCGACTGTCCAGCATTGCACTAACAACACATTGGGCGGCAGGAGGAGAAGCGTGTGAGGAAATTCGAGTTGGCATGGCACACAACAAAAAAGGCGTCATGCATGGGTTTTGAAGAACGTACTTGCGTCCGCATCGATAACGCCACGAGATGCTGGTGCCAGCGTTTGCAAATCCCACAACGCGATCGTGCCGTCCATCGACGATGATGCCGCAACTGCAGACACAATGCAACATTTAGAAACGAAGAATTGAGTTGATTTGCACCCTGCCTTCAATGTTTTCCCGCCAAATCGCGTCACCAAGACAAAATGGCAACCAATCAAACATGGCATTGAATCCACCATCAAGCGTGGACACGCACGCACCTGTGCCTGCAGGGTTGATCGCGACTGAGACGACGCTCAATGCATGGCCATCAAACGCGACGCGCGGCTCGAGCTTGCTGCCAGTCCTGTTGTGCCGTACACACACACACAGACACACATTGATGCGTTCCACAACAATGCACGTCAGAGTGCACGCATTTGAGCATTCACGTCGTGGCAAGTCAATGGAGAGACCGCCCCATATTGAGGCCCATTGAGGGTCGAGGCTTTTCAATCCCGGTCGCTTACCAGCCCCAGGCTTTGACCTTGCCGTCCAGGCCACCCGAGACGACGAGATCGTTCGCGCTCCAAGCCAGAGACCAGATGGCGCCGTCATGGGCTGTCAATGCGAAGGGGGGGGTCGGGGTCAGTTCAGTTCAGTTCAGTTCAGTTCAGTTCAGTTCAGTCCTGCTCCCATTGCCATCCATTCAATACTCACCCTTCTCTTGCGTTGCGACCGTCGTGTACTGTTCCATAGAAAAGCGACAAAAAGCAAAACAAGTAGAGCAATGTTATTGGGACGATGTTCGGGTGAGTGTGCAAAAAGAAGCAGGTTCAGTGCCAATCTGCTCAGATTGTCGACAAACTCACCACCATATTAGTTGGAGTGGACAAAATGAGAGACTGACCGACGAGGGAATGAGATGGAGGAAGGTTGATATTCGCTTCACGAAATAAATGTGTCAAGTGGTGAGAAGGGTCGCAGCAAAGCCTGAGAAAGCCGAGAATCTGAGAACCCGAGTGAAAATTTGGACGAGTTTACTCAACTTGGGCCAGAGGGACCTTGCTCAACCGGCGACGAGCTGCAAAATGCATACACAGCTCGTACTCTATGAATGGAGGTCGAGGATGCGCAGGAAGACCTCAACAGAGGGAAGAGTTGGTTCATACAATTTGCATTGCATTCAAACAGCTCGACCTGCTCCGTTCCAATCCTGCTTTCCCCCCCCCCTCTCCCCGCCCTGAATGTCCTACACAACCGTTCTTGATTCCAACCATTGAAATAAAAAATCCGACCGAGCACTCGGAAAGAACGAAAGCCGCCAAAAACCATAAAACAAAAACCAACACACCGAAAAAACCAATCGAGTCTCGTTTGGTTGCTCGCTCTCTCTTCCTACACAATGGTTTGTCCTTTGACGCTTGTTTCGCCAACTTGTTCCGTTGCAACCCCCGTCCAGCCCGCCGGAATCCGCTACAGCAATGCGTGCAGTAATCGATTAGAGGCAGGACGAAGGGCTGGGGCCGGTGGATGGGGTTGAAGGGGCCTGGGGAAAGCTGGGCGAGTTTGGGCCGAATGTTGACCCATTGATCGCTGGAATCGCTCTTGGACGCCCCGGACGACCCGTACGGCCCTCCTCCGTGGCCCAGGGGCCACTGTCGTTGAGCACCCGGGAGATTGGAGGGGTCGATCTGGGCCAGGCTGGCCTGTGGAAAGGGCTGCGTTGGGTCGAAGGGCTGAACTTTTCATTGTATGCTGACTTTTGACCCTCTCCCCTTCCTTCCTTGTTGTCCTCGCTCGACCCATTCCCCCTCCATCATTACAGGCTGACTCCGCAACGGCTACGATCCGAACCCGTCAGTTCCTGACCAACCGCCTGCTCTCCCGCAAGCAGATGGTAAGTTTTGGATTTTTTTTTGTTTGAAAAGCAGCGTCCAGGCTCGAACGATGCCGCCCGATCAGCGCCGCGAGCGGGGGGTTGCTCGTTGGATTTGAGCAAAGAGGGCGGCTTTGGTGTGGGGATCAGGGGTAGGGGAAGAATGGGGACCAAAGCGACGCGCTGGTTTTTTTTTTTCCCCCGTCTCGCAAGCGCACACTGTCGGTCGCTCACGCAACACCTTTCCCTCCCCCTTCTGTTCAGATCGTCGACATCATCCACCCCGGCCTTGCCAACATGTCCAAGAAGGACGTCACTGAGAAGCTCGCCAAGCTGTACAAGACCACCGCCGAGTGCATTTCCACCTTCGGCTTCAAGACCCACTTTGGTGGCGGTCGCTCGACTGGCTTTGCTCTGATCTACGACTCGGCTGATGCCGCCAAGAAGTACGAGCCCAAGTACCGCCAGATCCGTGCTGGCAACGGCGCCAAGGGCAACGTGTCCCGCAAGCAGCGCAAGGAGCGCAAGAACCGTGCCAAGAAGGTCCGTGGCACCAAGAAGGCCAAGGTTTCCAGCGCCAAGAAGTAAATTGCCCCACTACTTTCTTGTCCATGACCGTAGCTATTTCGAATCTCCTCCGTGGTCAGAGGGCTTGTTGTCATTTGCTTGGCTGCTTTGTACGGTGGAATTCAGTCCCATTTCCTTAATTGCCGTTGTGTCGTTTTGCACGTTCTCATTTCATTGATGTGTGTGTGTGTGTGTGTGTGTGTGTATGGGGGGTGGGTGGGGTGGGTGGAGGGATTAGGGTGAAGGGGTGAGCGGAGTATGTGCTGGAGGTGTGAGAAAAAGCATCGAGTCGAAACAACTAGTCCTAACGAGGAAAGGTCAAACGAAGCGTGTATTACAAAGGAATGCATGTATCCACGTTCTACTGCGCCAGAGCAGATGCAGGTTGAGGCTCTTGGACTGGCACAGCATTGTCAACAACCATGTTTGTCGAAGCATCTGCAGGTGCAGGGGCCTCGGAGGCACCCTCAGCAGCCTCAGCAGCCTCAGCGGCTTCAGCTGCAGCGGCAGAAGCCTCAGCAACGACAGCAGCCTCAGCACCAGCGTTCGCCGCTCGCTTTTGGAGCGCACGGACAAACTTGTGGCCGAGGCAGCTCTTGCCGTCAAGGGTGCAAATTTTTCGGCAGCAGTTGCGGCACATGAGATGATCGCACTTGTACGAGCGAACTGATTTGCACACGACGCACGTGTCTGCAGATAGGCAAAAGAAAACCAACAAGAAGATGAGCGAACAAGGGGTGAAAAGCGAAGGCATGTTGTGCCGAAAAATACGACTTCAACTCACCAACGATACGCGGTCGCTTGGCCTTGGACGTTGATTCCGAATCTGAGGCACGCTTGAAGGGCGCAGCTGACGAGGTAGAGGGACCTGCTGCTGATGCTGGGGTGGGAGACGGCGGCGCCGAAGGTTCAACCTCGGCCGACGTCGAAATAATAAAGGCCGTCGCACTGGCATCACTGCTGCGGTATGCGTCTTCCTCAGGCTCTTGCGCTGGCGGGCGGCGTGCACCCGGAGCGCGGGGCTCACTATTTGACGAAATAAAATCAATCCCCCCCCAAAATGTCAGAACAATGGTTGAACGCAAACCTGTGGCCGTCGCTCAGTCACTAGCGCTTGTTGCTTACAAAGGTTTCACGCCTGCGGCAATCATCTCGGGAGTGAATGGCACACCTTCAGTCACACGGAAATGCGGCTGGCAAATCCAGTGAGGATACTGAGGGGCTGGTGGCAGGGCTTCGCCAGATTCTTGGAATTTGCGCTCCTCGCTTTCAACCCACTCTATCAGCTCACGAGCGACTTGATCGAGAGCTTCAGGCGTATGGACATCGCCAAGTCGCGTACGCAGTCCAATGTTGAAAGGCAGGCTGCAACCGAGAGAGTTGTGTCGTTTGTTGGTTTGTTTGTGAGTGTCTCCCAACAACGAGACTCTGACACTTCCGCAACGCATGCTTGCGCATGAAACTCACCTGCTATGGAAAATCTTGAACAGGTGGGCACGCACATAGGCCAGAGGCGTGGGATACTGGGAGACAAGCTCCATGTACTCTTTGGCAACACGGTGCACCGGCAGCATTTGGCCAGAAAAGAGAGCGGGATTGTACAAGTTGCCTTCAGCAGTCATCACGCCTTGCACGCCAGTCTGTCGAATACACTCTTCGACATTCTCATTGTACAAAATGTTGCCATTGGCAAATACGGGGATCTTGACCGCCTCCCTACACACACGGCAGCGAGCAGCACCAAAACCAACAAGACACGAAAAGTTTCGAGACAAAGTGAACATGAAATTTTCACACCAAAACAAGTGAAAGCTGCGATCGTCAGGGGTTTGCGTACCGAACAGCTCGGATGTAGCTCCAGTCTGCCAGGCCAGTCTTGTGGCCTTTTTGCTCTCGCAGACGACCATGCACAGTCAGCAGCTGTGCCACAAACAGGACGACGGAAACACGCAAGTGAGTCTCAACGAATGGTTGTTTTCGAGTCATAGAGCATCGGCATTGCGTCACGACCACCTCACCTGGCAACCCGCTCGCTCGAGCATTTGCGCATACTGCACGGTCTTTTCGACAGAGGGGAAGATTCGAATCTTGCAAGTGACGGGTACTTTGAGGTTTTCATGCAGCTTGCGCACTGCAGCGATTGAGCCAAATTCAAGAAGTTAGGCAAGATTCGACCAAGAAAGCACAGAGCGACGAGCATGCTCGTCCTTACCCATCCGCTCGATCAGGTCCCACTCTTCCATCAGGAACGAGCCATAGTGGCCACGGCGCGCAATGTGCTGCGGGCAACCGAGATTGAGGTCGACCGCGTCGCAGTCGTTCTCGACGAGCTTTGCAGCGGCAAGCAGGTGGTCTGGGTCGTTTGCACAGAACTGGACGACGAGCGGCCGGTCTTCCGCACAGGTCGAGAACATTTCATCACGGTACAGCTGCGACTCTGCAAACAGGCGCGCGTTGAACATTGGCGTGTAGCAGAGGTCTGCTCCGTAGCGGCGGCTGAGCATGCGCCAAGCCAGCTCGGACTGGTCCACCTATCAACGCAAGATTGCACACAAAAGACAAGGCGAGTGCTTTTTGAGTGATGTTGCGTTCTGACGGGTGGGGAAGGAGGGGGTTGGGGTTTGCGATGCCACTGACTGGTAAGCACATGGGCTGAACGAACCCATCCAACGCTGCCCCCTTTTTCACTCCCTTCCCACTTCAGGTCACAAGCTCAACTGGTGCTAGGGGAATGAGTTTGTTTTGGTTACCATTGGGGCGACGACGAGGCGTGCGCTGCGGAGTGCAGTGCGCCAAAAGTCAAAGCCGGTCAGCTTGGTTGCCGCAGTCGAAGCCAACGACGATGCTGCTGCTGCTGCTGCTGCCATTTTGTGTGTCGTAGGGTAGTGCAAGATAAGAGAGAGAGAGAGAGAGAGAGAGAGAGAGAGAGAGAGAGAGAGAGAGAGAGAGTGTGTGTGTGTGTGTGTGTGGAGAGAGAGAGAGAGAGAGAGAGAGAGAGAGAGTGACCGAGGGGTAAATGACGAGGACTGAGATTCAGTCAAAAAGACTGCGCGGTTTTGAGAGATGTCTTCCCGAATCGCCAAAAATCATAAAGTGAACTTGACATCGACAAGGTGAGTTTGGCCAGTGCATGGATGAAGGTTTACGTCAAAACTAGAGCCTTGATCCCGCAGGCTGGGGTCTTCGTAAACTGCTATCGGCGAGTGAACGTGGATGGGTTGACTTTATTACAATGACTGTACAGTATTGCAACTGCTTTTCAATTGCAACGTTTTCACTCTTCCATTCTATCCAACCAACCAAGTATGGCCACTGACCTGCACAAGGCGCTGTTCGCGCACATTGACGCGCACCAGAGCGAGTACATTGCCGAGCTCAAGGCGGCCGTTGCAATCCAGTCCGTCTCTGCCGAGCCCGAGCGCCGCTCCGAGGTCCAGCGCATGATGGACACTGCCGTCGCGCACATTGAGAAGCTCGGCGGCAAGGCGACCAAGATCGACCTCGGCGTCCAGCCAGGCACCGACAACCTCCCGCTCCCAACGGCCGTCTTTGGCGAGTTCCACCAGGACAAGGCCCTCAAGACAGTCCTCATCTACGGCCATCTCGACGTCCAGCCGGCGTCCAAGGAAGGTGCGTTTTTTGTGTTGGGAGAGGAGGAAAGGAGAATAAAGAGAAAAAGCAAAATTCTATACTCGAAGCTAACCGTGGCGCGAGACGCTCTACCAAAAGCTCAAGTCGGCTCGTTAGTCGCATCCTATAAACTCGCGAAACGCAGAAGCGACGCGTGACTTTTTTTTTTTCCTTCCCTTTTGTTCCATTGCATTGAACGACTTTTTGGATTGCACGCTGTGCACTTTGGTTTGCTGATGATTTTGTGTTGTTGTTGTTGTTGTTGTTGTTGGCAGATGGCTGGGACACTGAGCCGTTCGTGCTGACTGAGGTGAACGGCAAGCTGTACGGCCGCGGTGCTACTGACGACAAGGGCCCCGTGCTCGGCTGGCTCTGGGCAATCCAGGTACGGTGTCTCGCAACAACTAGCACACAACACATGACAAACAAACAAACAAACAAACAAACAAACAAACAAACAAAAAAAAAAAAAAGGGCCGTCGAGCGACAGCGAACAAGAATTGAAAGCGCAAGCAGCAATCTGTTTCATGTTCTGACCCTTTCCTTCCGGTTGTTGGGTTGCTGTGCTTTGAACACGATGCACAGGCCTACCAAAAGCTCGGCAAGCCTCTCCCCGTGAACATCAAGTTTGTGTTTGAGGGCATGGAAGAGAGCGGCAGCGTCGGTCTTGACGATCTGATCATGGCTCAAAAGGACAAGTTCCTGGCTGACGTTGATTTCGTGTGCATCTCGGGTAGGTTTTCTGCAAGCTGGGTCCATTCTTGGTGTCATTTGGTCTCACGGTTTTGATGCATCGACCTTTCTTTTCCCAGATAACTACTGGCTTGGCCGCAAGAAGCCCTGCCTCACCTACGGTCTCCGTGGCATTGCCTACTTTAGCATCGAGATCGAGGGCTCCACGAAGGATTTGCATTCGGGTGTCTTTGGTGGCTCGATGTAAGACGGCGCTTGTCATTGTCGTGCATTGCCCCACCTTCCGCTCACGCTTGCTTTTCCACCCCTCCCCCCGCCACCTACTCGCTTCCCTTTTCTGCTGCGCAATGCAGTCACGAACCCATGGTCGACCTTGTTCAACTGCTCGCCAAGCTCGTCGACTCGCGCGGCAACATTTTGATCCCCGGAATCCTCGATTCGGTCGCTCCTGTGACCGAAGACGAGCTCAAGATCTACAAGGACATTGATTTTGAGATTTCCGACTTTAAGGAGGATTCTGGCGCCATCGGCGACATTATTCACAACGACAAGACCAAGCTGTTGATGCACCGCTGGCGCTTCCCGTCTCTGTCCGTCCACGGCGTGGAGGGTGCCTTCTACGGCCCTGGCTCGAAGACTGTCATTCCTCGCAAGGTAGTACCAAGCTTGGATGGCCACCGTCTTCTTTTATTGCTACTTGTTCCTTCTTCTCCTGCTCACTTTGAATCTGCGCAACATGTTTGGCTCGGATTCAATAGGTCATTGGCAAGTTCTCCATCCGTCTTGTTCCCAACCAAGAGCCCGAGGAGATTATTCGCCTTGCTATCGAGTTCATCAACGCCGAGTTTGCCAAGCTCAAGAGCGGTAACAAAATTCACGTCTCGGCGCGCAAGCCTCCGGGCAAGCCATGGTGAGTTATTGCTGATTCTGCTCACGGTCATTGGAGAGGAGCCCGGGATCACATTTGAAAGGCTACATTTTCAAAAACAATCTCGATGAACGAAATGTAGGGTCAGCGACGTCAACCATGCCAACTTTGTTGCTGCTCGCAAGGCCGTCAAGACTGGTAACGCGGGCGCTTGTTGATTTCCTCCTTTGAGATTCTTTTGAAAGTTTCGGGTCGTTCACTGGTTGTTTTTTTTTCCCCATTGGGTGGCTGAAATGATTTTGGTGCTGTGCTGTAGTTTTCGGCATCGAGCCCGATCTGACTCGTGAAGGTGGCAGCATCCCTGTCACACTCACCTTCCAGGAGGCCACTCAAAAGAACGTCCTGTTGCTCCCCATGGGCGCCGCCGACGATGGCGCTCATTCTCAAAACGAGAAGCTCGACCGCCGCAACTACATTGAGGGCATCAAGCTTTTCTGCGTCTACCTCGACGAGCTCAGCCGTGCTTAATCCGGACTTGTTGGTGTTGCTTTTGAGGTCTGTGTTGGCAGGGCGATTCTTGTCAACGACAAGCTTGCCCGATCTTCCATGTCGATTAAACAAGAGCGACACGCACTTTCACTGCGATCGTCTATTGTTTCCCTCGCAATCGCTACACGAAAGCTGGAGAATGAATCGTACACTGGGCTGATTGACACCATGGATCTCATAGAATGGAACACTTGAACGACAAAATCGATGAAGCGCAAAACTAGAATGGAAGGTATTGCAAATCATCGTGACCAGTGACATATAGGCGAGGAAGAGAGGGCGGGGGACGTGAAACACTTGAGCAACAAAATCGATGAAGCGCAAAACTGCTTCCATTCCAAATGCAGGTTCCATTTCACTCGCCACTTTGCTTACCGACCACGAGCGTGAGTACCGAGCGCGACTCTGGAATAGCCAAGGCTTTCCATCATTACACTGTTCGAGTTGCAGCTCTGTGCTCGAATTTCAAACAATGGTGTGGTTTCCACTGAATTTTCCAAAACTTTCTCAATGAGAAACAACTATCACAATGGCTACCCTCAAATAAAATGAAGGTTTGCTCACAGACCAACGTGTGTCAGGGTGAACAAGCGAAAATGGAGCATCGAGTCACTCGTTGTTTCATTTTTGAAAATGCTGACTTACCAGAGTATGTCTGAGAGCCAGCGCAAGCTGTATGATAAAGTCACGGACACGAGTGAATGGCTTCGGTAAGAAAAGCGCTTGAGTTGATTGGAACACAGTGTTGACAGAGCGTGTGTGCTGACGAGAATGGAGGGAACAGTCTGAATGATTATGAAATTGGCGATGTTGGAGCACAAGTGGTTGCTGAGGCACTCAAAGTGAACACGACAGTGACGCACCTCAAGTAAGTCATCTCACTTCGACTAAGTGGGTGATCAAGTAGAGACAGCAAGAGCGGCTCACTGATGGAGGCGATGTGGACAGATTGCGTCAGAATCAGATTGGCGACGTTGGAGCGCGCGCGATTGCTGAGACACTCAAAGTGAACAAGACGGTGGTCGAGGTTATGTGAGTCTCGTTTGAACTGATGCATGTGAGTGGAGATTGCAAGAGATGACATTGAGAGTGCTCACTGATGGAGAGGGACGGGCAGTCTGAGCTGGAATCAGACTGGCGATGCTGGAGCGCAAGCGATTGCTGAGGCACTCAAAGTGAACACGACACTGTTTTCCCTCAAGTAAGTCATCTCACTTTTGCCGATGTATATGAGTGGATGATTTCAGCAGCGGAAATCCAAAGTTCTCACTGATGCATGGGATGAACAGTTTGAGCTCGACTCAGCTTGGCGATGCTGGAGCGCGGGCGATTGCTGAGACACTCAAAGTGAACACGACGCTGAAATATCTCTAGTAAGGCATCGCACTTGTACTGATGAATGTGAGTGTGTCGTCCGGCAGAGCATTCAAAATCCTCACTGGCTTGGGGATTTGCACAGTCTGAGTCGCAATCAAATTGGCGATGCTGGAGCGCAGGCGATCGCTGAGGCTGTCAAAGTGAACACGAACCTGATTTGGATCCGGTAAGTCATCTCACTTTTACTGATGCATGTGAGGGATTCATAAAAATTCCGAATGCTCACTGATGGAGGGGATGGGCAGTCTGAATACGAATCGGATTGGCGATGCAGGAGCACAAGCGATTGCAGCAGCACTCGGAGAGAACAAGACGACGACTGAGCTGCAGTAAATGCTTACATTGAGCCAGCATCATTCAGAACTTGCTACGTTGTCAACCTGCTAACGCTTTGAACGCCAGTCTAGCGAGAAATTGCATTGGCAAAGTTGGCGTTCAAGCGCTTGATGAGGCACGCAAAGTCAACGGCATTCTGACTACACTTGAGTAGGTTGCTTGTTCTTGCCAATGAGAGCCATCGATGCTCCGTCCATGTTCCTCGAACCAATGCTCAATAGAACGGCCCTTCTGATGGTTCCTTTATCTTTTGCTTGTTCATTGCACAGCATCTGGGACCAGATAAACCCGCTTGCATTCTCCTTGCTTCCACGATTGGCAACCTCTGAAGACTGGCAGAGCGTGTTCCACCTGCTGACAGGCCGACACGAGAAGGAGAATCAGCCCGCACTTCTCCCTGCACTACCAGCCGAGATTGCCGAGCTCGTTATGGACGAAGCGGAGTACTTGCAAGGCGTGCAGCACATTCACCAAGCGTGGGCTAAGGACCATTATGTTGATTTTCTGAAACTTACAATGCCGAGAAGCAGCAATGGAAATTCAATCCGAGTGAAAGCGATTCAAGTCCTTCGTGAACAGTACGAAGCCAAATCGGACCCTTTCGAACAGTACGAAGCCAAATCGGGCCGTTTCGATCTGATTGTTCGAGACGAGCTAGGTGCTGTTCGATACGAATGGGCTGCAGAAGCGCCTGTCGTCGGTTCGAACATTCAGCTGGTGACAATTTCGCCAACAGACCATCCTGTCATCCGCCAAATGCGCGCGGGTTGGGAGGTTGAAGTTCAATTCGGTCAGTATTACAGTTTTGTGCGACTTGCATGGCTTTCTGTCGGGTATATCGAACGACAAGACTAGGGATTCAGATCGGTGCGAATGCAAAACGGCGATTTGTTTCCAAGACATTGAAGAAAGGTCGCGTGACTATCAACGGCTATCCTTTCTAAATAACACTGTTTCTCGATTTTCACTCATATCGCACACTATTAGATTTGCTCAACAATGCAAAAAGGGACCAAGGAAAAAGGCAAAAAAAAAAGACTCAGAAATTGAGGGGGAGGGAATTGGGATTTTGTCGGCGTCGCTACATTTTAGGAAGGTATGGATCGTCTTGCTCTTCTTGCACAGCTATGGAGCAGTTGGACACTGCGATACCAGATCTGACTTGCAACGAGGACGCACCAGATCCATGGCTCAGAGGGAGCGGACAGGTACGTGATGGCGAGGTAGGCCAGCCCCGCGGCGGATAGGGCGGCACACGAAACTTGCCGCGGCTTGCCGTAGGTCCAGTTCCAGGTCGCATCCACAAGCAGAAAGCTCAGCGGCTGCGCAATGATAAAGAGGGCATCCATCGTCGATGGCACGTAGCGCATGCAGTAGACGACATAAATGGCAAACACGAATGCCAGGCCGCAGACGAGCAAGGCCATTGGAGCTGTCTCGGGAGCTGTCCTGGGAGCTGTCTTGGGAGCACCATGGAGACCGTCATCCATCATTGCAACTGCAACATCTGCCATCGTGACCAACATCCAACACAGCAGCGCAACGGCGAGATGGTAAGTGAAGTGGAATCGTTCAAGGTCGAAAACGGCGCAACTTGGCGCCAAAATGACTTACTTGCTTGCTTCTCAAAACTCTGCGTCGGTGCAGCACAGCGATTGGTCGTATGGTCCATGACTGCCAACTGCAAAACAATGAAGACTGAGAAAACAGACACTTGTTGATCAAAGTGATAAAACGCAAAACGAAAAGTTCAACTTGTTGTCGCTTGCCTACACCTTGAAGTCGTTCATGCATCACCGTAGTACTCCTGCGGACAAGAAAAAGGGCTCTCTTCATAGAATAATGCTAAATTTATTTGGGTCGCGGCCTGATAGAACCAAGGGCAACACTTCACGCTTTCGAACAAGCAAACAAACAAACAACAAATCACTGCGTTGTGTCCGGTTCATCCTGACGACGAGGAGCGGACGGCCCCTTGAGCTTGCTCAACTGACTAGGGCTGAGCAGTGTTTTTTCAGCTTTGGCTCGCTCAGCAGCGATGGATTGATCGCGCTTGGCGAATTTGGCAGCGCTTGGCTGAAACTTGCTGTGAATGATTCGGCGCACCGCTTCTTGACTCACATGGAACATGTTGGAAAGCTTGTATACGTTATAAACCGCGGCATCCTACAAGATTCATCAACGAGCGAGCAACGGTGAGCATTGTTACGATAGCCACAAACCTTCAAACAACAACAACAGCCAACGCCCGAAAACGCATTTTTTTGTTAACCTCAGCGAACAACTCGCGCATCTCTTGCATTTGCATGTACGAAAGCTTCTTTTGGGGCGCCCAAGGCCCAACACCTTGCTCGCGGAATAGCTCCCGTCGACGCAATGCATGCGCTCGAGCCTTGAAGGCGCGCTGCTCCGACTCGATGGTTTCGGCAAACTCTGGATCGGCCTCCTGCGCCGCCTTGATGCGTTCTGCAAATGCTCCCTTCCCGCTGATAAACTGCTGGACGTTCCGATCGACGCGCTCGCGGCGAGAGGCCCGAACAGGTCCATCGCGTGAAGGTGTTGCACCATCGCCATTGAGTGGAGGTGAGCTGGTTCGCCAACGATCGTCGACGCGCATTGCTCCCAATTTTCGCTCAAACGAGGCGCTGTCAAACTCACCCTTCCGAGTAGGGCGATCGTAAGCAGGCGTCTTCCTGCTGGAGAATGACGAGTTGCCACCCGACGACGACGACGACGACGACGACGACGACGTTTGCCCTCTGACGCTCTCAGACGACCGTCCCAAATTGGGCAACGAAGCCGCTGATCCGTCCAATCCGGCGCGATGCTCGAACTGCCGTCGTGGCCTGGACTGGAGCGACGACGTATTACTACTATAGTTCTTGTGATCTGGGCGGCGGTCGTGATGGGGACGACGGTCCTGCTCGTCGACCTCATGGTTCTTGGCTCTGAACGAGGACGAGCGGTTGTCGGTCGCGTGCAGTCCAGGGCGACGGGGCGCTTTGCCCGAGCCACGCCCTGCGGGCTTCACAGGCATAGTCGGAGTGGTCGCAGCAGCAGCAGCAGCAGGAGTGCGAGCGCGGTCGGATGCTGGGTGCTTTGGGATTGCAGCAGAAGCGTCGTCGCGAAAGTCAGACCCGGAGAGAGAAAGATGATCTGCTGCGGAAGATGGGCTGCTCCAACGGGCGATGGGCTGGCTGCTGGGCTGCTCCAACGGGCGATGGGCTGGCTGCCAGCCTCAAAGCGACGCGCGAGTGGAACATCACCGACAAACACGACTGAGTAATAAGAATGAGAAAAACAACAACAACAACAACAACAACAACAAAAAAAAAAAAACAACAACAAAAAAAGAGATGTGTATTCTAGTTGGAATTGTGTCCTGGAGAGCAAGCTGGACAGAGTATCAAACTCGTACGAGCACTCCAGCCGAAACAGACAAGAATGAAACAAGCACACACGAAACAAGCACACGCACACACACACACACACAACATCAAAGTGGACCAAGCAGCTTTAGAAGGACTTTCGCTCATGAACGAGGCCAAGATCGATAACGCGCCAGCTGGCATGCGTGTCGTAGACGTTCAGGTCACGAGTCAGCGCCATCGCGTAGGTGGCAGCAAGGATTTGGTCCTAAAGCAGAGAAGCGACGTAAGAACAAGTGAGAGTCGCGATGCAAAAGACTCGAAACAGAGACAAAGGGGGGAAACAAAGCGCATACCGGATCGCCTTCAATGATTTCGCTGGACGAGTTGCGCAGCACGCGGGTGTACTGCATATTGAAGATGAACACAAGAGTTGGGCCTTGCTCCATGAGCTGGGCCGTTCGAAGCTGAAGAGAATCGAGAAAAATGCACAAATCGCCGAGCAGAGAGGAATGCTCGAATGAGATCAAGGAAAAAGCAACAACCCCCCCCCCTCACACAAAACAGCTGCAAGAAAGAGAGCAGAGAGTCATGACGCCTACCTCGACTCCGTTCAATTCCATGACCTTGTGCTCGAGCTGCACGCCAAGAGCTCGGCGTGACTTGATTGGCTCAAGTAGTCGTCGGAAACACTGTCAGATCGATAACTGATGAGTCAGCTGGTCTGTGAAGGCGGTCACAACCAGAACAGCAGCAAAGCTTACCACTTCGTGGCACCACTGTTCGAGCGCCTTCAAGTCGCTCTTGAAGACAGCCTCCATCAAAATCGGGATGATTTGCTTTTCACAATCAATGGTAAACTCATCCACGTTAAAGTTCGGGTCTACGCGGTTGATTTCGCCAATGACCATGCCGATCTCGGACGGGGAGAAGATGTTTGCTGCAAGAAAAAGGGAGGAGGATGTCAGATCGTGAGTCATGGGCAGTGTTTTGTTTAGTGTGAAAACGCACACAACCAGATCGAGACCCGAAACCAGCCAAACCGACAGACAAACCAAACAAAATAAACAAAACAAACAAAACAAAAAATCCCCGCAGCACTTACAGATCGAGTCGGAAACGTTGCTCAGAACACGAATGATGGCATTGTCGCTCTCGCCAAAACGCTGACGGGCAGCTTGCAGCTTGACCATGATGGGATTGCTGTCCTTAAAGTTCTTCCACTCTTTTTGCCATCGGAAGCCCTGGTGCACAACGACGGCTGTCTTTGTCGGGTCTGCCTGGGCGGCAGCGGCCTCCTCCTCTTCGGGAGTCAGAACCTTGACCTTCGCCGGTGGTCGGTACGGGCGCGTCGAGTTGTGTGCCGTGTCGATGATTTCGCGCTTGACAAAGCTCGCGGTATCGGTCAAGCCTTGGACGATGGGGTGATCGGTTGGGATTTGATCGACGACCTGTTTGAGATGCGACACAAGACCATGCAGCACAGTTCGGGAATGGTTGAGTGAGTGAGCCTGGTGTGTGACCGAGTAGCTGAACAAAAGCAAAACCAAAAGCTTTGGCAACTACGCCACGCGTTCAATCGCGGACTTTCTCGTGTGCAATCAAGCGCATTGCTTACCGCGTTGGCCACCTTGCCTGCAACATTGGCTGTGGCCTTGATGCCTCCGACGACGGCCTGGACTGGCACGGACTGCGCAGTGGCCACGGCAATGGATTTTGCCTGCTGGGCGGCCTTGCCGATGGGCTCCATGGGCTCCATGATGGGTCGCATGCCCGCCTGGAACTCCTCGACGTTCTGCTTGTACTCCTTGTCATCGAAGCCCTCCTTCAGGCGGTTGCTGAGGTTGCGTGACAGATCGCTCGTGGTGCCCGGTGGCAGCGAGACCTCCTTCTTCTTCTCCTTGCCGTCCTTGCCGTCCTTCCCGGCGTCCTTGGAGTCCTTGCCGTTCTTGCCGTCCTTCCCAGCGTCCTTAGCGTCCTTGGCGTCCTTAGCGTCCTTGGAGTAGGCCGCGCGACCGAGCGACGACGAGAACGGGCGAACCGCGCTCACAGTCAGGCTTGATCGAGCCACCACTGAGGCGGACTGTGACTGTGATTGTGAAGCAGCGACGGCGCGTCGTGCAGTCACAGTCGCAGTGGAGATTGCGCGAATGGACGCCGAAGCAGCAGCACTAGCAGAGGCAGAGGCAGCGGCTGAGGCAATGGAAGCGGAGGCAATGGAAGCGGAGGCAGAGCGCACTGCCAAGACGGAAAAACCTCGTGGCAGGGACAGCATTGGAAACACGATTCGGGAAAAAAAAAAAAAAAAATCAAAAAAAAAATTAAGAGACTGAGAAAATGAAAATGGAACATAAAAGCCAAAGAAAGGTATTCAACGGAAGAATATCAAACGGAAGGAGATGGACGAGAAAAGACGCTGTTGGAAGGGGGAGAAACTAAAAAACCAAAAAAAAAAAAACCAGAAGAGACAGAATCGCACTTCGAACAGCAGAGCTGATGATGATGATGATGATGATGATGATGATGATGAATGGCGATGACAATGATGGGTTTACTTGGAAAGCTCAATCGAAACACAAAACAAAACAACAAGGAAACAAAAACAAAACCGCTTCAACAAAAAACACTAAAACAACAGTCTCTCACAAATCAGGATCAATGCCAGAGTCCTGCGACTCGCAGGGTAGCAATGTGCTGCTGGATAAATGGGCACTAATCCGCCGTTGGAAATGCCGGCCTGCATTGGCAGAGGCGACACTAATGTCGTTTGCGCGCTCGAGCAGCTCAATTTCGTGCGCGCACTCTTCTTCACGCTTGCGTCGTTGCAGCTCGTGCTCGGCTTCGCGCTCAACCGTCTCCTTGATGATACGAATGACCTTGGGGAAGATACAGGTCGAGGCCGAGGCCGCCCAGATCAAATCCAGGTGCTCGTACTCGTCTTGGCGGTGGATGAAGGTGTTTTTCGGCATTTGGTCGAGGAGCCACTGCACATCGCAAATGCCGTCCGCGCCGCCGTAGAAGATGGCCATGGGGCACTTGATTTGGTGCACGGGGTATGGGTTGGGTGTGGTGCCTCGGTAGGGCGTCTTGGCCAAATCTTGGTTTTCGTCGTACATTTGAAACTGGTTCATGGCGACCATCTGGAACCAATGCACAATCGTCTTGACGCTCGTGTAGCTGAACAGATGCGCAAAGAGCATGTTTTTGCGATCCTGGGAGCCAAAGTTGGCCATGCGCCAGCCAAACAGCAAGCGGCAACTGGCGTCAATGAGCGACGTGAACGAGTTTCGAGCGAGCAGGTTGCGCCAGAACAATGCGGACGGCATGCACGCCTTTGCTCCAAACATGAGAAAGATCGAGTCTGGGGCAAGGCGGACAAAGCTGCCAATCACACCCTTCTTGAGGCCTGTCAACAAAACACGAGAGGTGAAAAAAAAAGTTCAGATTTCCAAAAGTAACAGCAGTCACAACCAATTGCAATGGGCTGCAGAACGAGCAGCTAGCGCACCTTTGGCACGGCCGGCAGGAGCAAGCGCCACAAACATGTTGACACGAGCGGCGAGCTGGGGATTGAGGGAAAAGCTGGCGAACGCTTGGGCTGTGCCCTGCGAAAACCCAACGTAGCTCAACGTCTTTTGCTGAGTCAGATCGAGAATGTAGTTGAGATTGGCGGGAACGTCGTACAGCGCGAGTTCGTCTGTCGTGACACATCAGGCGGACAACACAAGGAGCGAAAAGTGAGACCAGGCCAAACTGCAACCAGAGTCCGCGCTTCCGGGTCAAAACACGTACCAACGCTGAAATCCCAAAAGTGGTTTTGCGAGGGCTTGAATTTTGTGTTCTTGTGGCTGTATCGGTTGCCACGGTTGTTTCCCAGCCACACGTCAAACCCGTGATCTGCGAGCATGAATGCCAGCGAGTCGTTTGTCGCAACCCTGGCAGAAGTCACAGATGGATGTTAGTTGCGAGATGACAAGTGTGGCATACTGTTTTTTTTCTTTTGTGGCTGTTGTTTTTGTTGTTGTTGGTTGGCTTGGCACAAAAAACGTACCAGACCTCGCTGCACATCATGAGCCCGTGCATCAAGAAGACCGCCGGTCGATCACCATTCACCGAATGGCTTTCATTCTTGCGTCTTGGGATGCGATGCAGTGTCAGCACGAATCGGTCGTCCGTCTTGACGATATGCTCTTCTGCCGTGTATCCACTGACAAGAGCAAGCCAAAAGAAAAGCCGAAACACCGGGTCAGGATGTGGCACAGAAATGAGATCAAGCACGAGCCAGAATCAGAATCAAGCTGCGTAATCCAAGAAAATATTTGGTTGTGTGTTGGGATGCATGAAAGTCGTTGCGTAATAGCAACATCAACTCCCCCTCCCCAATAGCACAATGTATGTTTGGAGGCGGGGGGGGGGTGGCGTGATTGAGAAGCGGTGGGCTTTTCCTTACAAGTGCTGAATGAGCTGCACGGTGGTCATGTCCATCGCAGGGTCTTCATTGGCGTCCATGTATCCTCTGAACAGGCGCACTCCTTGCCTGATTGATCGTGTTGAACAAAGGGGGGTTCAAAGGGGTTCAAAGGGGTTCAAAGGGGTCAGAGGGGTTAGGGTTAGTAATGGTCGGCCATAGAACAGATGACGGAACATATGTTCCATCAGCCCACAATTCACAACTTGAACGCAGCCAGCCAGGCAGTCGCACTATGCACTGCAGATCCACATCAAGCTGTGTTTGTGTGTTGTTCTGTTTACCGGATGAGATGGGCGCGGACAAAGTCGAGGCCGGACGTCACTGGCTGCGGAACGAACATGAAGACGAGGCGCACTGCGGATTCGACCACCAAGACCTGCAAAAGAAGCAGCAGCAGCAGCACCAACACCAAGAGAAGAAACAGCAGATGCGTGATGAGTTCAACAAACGACGAAGCCAAGTAGCTGGAAGTGGTGTGTGTGTGTGTGTGTGGGGGGAAAGTGGGAGGCCGTTGAGCTTGGAAGGATGGTGACGCCATTGATCGAAATAGGGGGAAAACGCCGACAGCAGGTACAAGTCATCGTCACTCTCACTCTGTCAGTCAGGTCGGAATAGAAACGTAGAGATGGAACAAGAAAGCAAGAGGGAGAATACTGATGTGAAGAGGTGGGTGGTTGAGTGTGTGTTTGTACCAGGATGGCAAAGAGAAGCCGCGCATAGCCGCCAAGCGTAAACTGCACAAAGCGATTGCCAACAGGAACCGAAAGCATGAATGAAAGAGTGAGCATCTGAGATTGTACAGTACATATTGTTTAATATTGTTATTACTGAGATTATTACAACGTCAACCTCACTCCTCATTGAATCTTTTCCCCCTGCCCCACCGCCTTCCCTATCGCAATGACTGCTGAGCGCGAGCTTCTGCCTGCGAATGTGCGTCCGCGCCATTACGAGCTGCGTCTGACCCCAGACCTCACTGCGTTCACCTTCGCAGGCGTCGTCACCGTCACGTAAGTCTACGTCAATCTCAGCTGTTTTGGTTTTGTTTTCTGAGAAACGGAGGGCTTTTGTTGGTTTTTGCTTTGTTTTAGTCTGTGTCTCCTACTCTAGCTCCCTCTCTCTCTCCCTCGCGCGCGCTCTCTCTCTTTCGATCTCCATCCACTGTGATGTTGAGTTGAGCTGTTGCTTGTGTATTTGGTTTGGGCGCGTTGTGGGAAGCGGTTGGTGGATGATGACCACTGTGAGCTTTTGCTGACAGATACCACACGACCACTACTGCTTGCATTGCGTTTTGCTCACGTTGTGTGACTTGGGGGCGTTTGTATGTATGTGATGATGATGATGATGATGTTGTTGTTGTTGTTGTTGCTGTTTCGCTAGGCTGGACGTCGTCGACGCGGCGGTCGATACGATCGTGCTCAACGCCAAGGAACTCGTGCTCGAGTCTGCCGTGCTCGCTGCCACCGGCGCCAAGGCCACCAGCATTGCCTATGCAGTCGAGTCCGACCAGGCAACGCTCACCTTCCCCGCCGGCGCAGTGGCCGCCGCCGCCGCTGCTGCTGCCTCGGGCGCCACCAAGCAGATCAAGCTCACTACCGCCTTCACTGGCATCCTCAACGACAAGCTCGCTGGGTTTTACCGCTCGTCGTACTCGGCGCCCAACGGCGACAAGCGCTTCATGGCAGTGACCCAGTTCGAGGCGACCGACGCTCGTCGCGCCTTCCCCTGCTGGGACGAGCCCGCGCTCAAGGCCACCTTTGACGTCGTCCTCGCCGTCGACCCCAAGTTTGTCGCCCTGTCCAACATGCCTGCAATTGGCGAGCGCACGGTCGATGGAAAGAAGGAAGTCACCTTCTCGACCACCCCGATCATGTCCACCTACATTCTCGCGTTTGCCGTCGGCGAGTTTGACCACATCGAGTCCAAGACATCCGAGGGCGTCACCATCCGCGTCTACACCCCTCCCACCCTCGCCGAGCAAGGCCGGTTTGCCCTCAATGTCGCCGTCAAGACCCTCTCGTTCTTTACCGAGTACTTTGCCCAGCCCTACCCCCTTCCCAAGCTCGACATGCTTGCCGTTCCCGATTTCGGCGCCGGTGCCATGGTACCGATTCTTTTTTTTTGTGTTTTCGAGTTGATTTGCACCTTGATGGTGTGTTGCTCTTCATGCCGCTTTGCTCACGCACCATTTGGAATGGCTTCATGGTTGCTGGTTCGTCCTCCCCCCTTTTTGGTTTGTTTTCAGGAAAACTTTGGCCTTGTCACCTTCCGCACCGTCCTCCTCTTGTTCAACGAGGAGACTACCCCCATCCACATCAAGCAACGCATCGCTTACGTGACGTGCCACGAGCTGGCCCATCAGTGGTAAGGGGGAGGAGGTGGGGATTATCTGTTGGAAAACGAGAGCTGCTCCACTCACAAACACAATCCCACCTCGCTTGCAGGTTTGGCAACCTCGTCACCATGGAGTGGTGGACTGACCTTTGGCTGAACGAGGGCTACGCGACCTGGGTCGGCTGGCTCGCTGTTCACGAGCTCTTCCCTGAGTGGAACGTTTGGGAGCAGTTTGTCATCAACGAGATGAAGCGCGCCTTCTCGCTCGACTCTTTGGTCTCCTCCCATCCCGTCGAAGTCGAGGTCCCGGCCGCCAACAAGGTCGATGAGATCTTTGACGCCATCTCCTACGCAAAGGGCGCGTCGGTCATCCGCATGCTCGTTTCGTATTTGGGTGAGGAGGACTTCAAGGCGGGCATGCGCAAGTACATTGCCAAGTACGCCTTCTCGAACGCGTCGACCCGCGATCTGTGGCAGGTGCTCGGCGAGGCCAGCGGCAAGGACGTCCGTGGCATGATGGATGCCTGGACCACTCAGACGGGCTACCCGGTCGTCACTGTCGGCCTTGACGGCCAGAACGGCGTTGCAGTCACCCAAGGCCGCTTCTTGTCTGTTGGCCCCGCCGCTGCTGCCGACGACAAGACCCGCTGGCTCGTCCCGCTCCGCATCGCGGACGCTTCTGGCGCCAAGCCCACCGACTCGGTGTTTGCGGACGCTTCGGGCAAGTTCCCCCTGCCTGCTGGCCATGCTGCTGGCAGCTGGTTCAAGCTGAACGCTGGTCAGACCTGCTTCTACCGCGTCAAGTACGCCGAAGAGATTGTCGGCGCTCTTGGCGCTGCCATCCCCACGCTGCCCCCGGCTGATCGCGTCGGCCTGGTCAACGATGCCTTCGCCCTGGCTTCGGCTGGCTATGGCTCGACTGCCCAGGCCCTCGCTCTGCTTGCCAACTACAAGGGCGAGACGGCGTACACTGTCTGGGAGGACATTCTTGGCTCGCTCCGCGCGCTCTCCTCGACGTGGTACCGCGAGCCTGAGGCTGTCCGCGAGCGCCTGCGCAAGTTTGCGCTTGCCCTGGTCTCCCCCATCGCGCGCCAGGTTGGCTGGGAGGTTCCCGCCAAGGGCACCGAGTCTCACCTCACGTCGCTCCTTCGTCCGCTGGTTCTTTCTGCCGCCGGTGCTTACGGCGACGAGCAGATCATTGCCGAGGCCAAGTCGCGCTTTGACCGCTTTGTCAAGGGCGAAACTGCCGCGCTGCACGCTGATGTCCGCGGCCCAGCCTTCTCGGCTGTCGTCGCCCACGGCGGCGCCGCTGCGCTCGACGCTGTTGTGAGCATTTTCCGCAAGGCGGACTCTGCTGACTTGCAGCTGATTTGCCTGGGCGCGCTCGGCCACACTCGCGAGCCGGCCTTGATCCAGCGTGTTCTCGAAATGTCGCTGTCCGAGGAGGTCCGTTCGCAAGACCTGCACACCATCGTGGCGACCTGCGGCCACAACCGCTACGCCCGCGACGCCACCTGGCAGTTTGTCAAGTCCCACTGGGCCGAGTACAACGCCCGCCTCGTCTCGGGCTTCCTCATTGTGCGCGTCGTCTCTGCATCGTCCGAGGCGCTCGTCACCGACGCGGATGCCGCCGACGTTGAGGCCTTCTACAAGGTGCACTCCAACCCCTCGATCGAGCGCAGCGTGCAGCAGTCGCTTGAGCACATCCGTGCCTCCAGCGCTTGGCTCGGCCGCGATCGTGCCCAGGTCCAGCAGTGGCTTGAAGCCAATGTCCAGTAAAACAGGAGAGTTTCGTGCTGGCGCAATGTTGTCATTCTTCTTCTCATGCAACATTCAAAGGTGTTTCCTGAACCTAGCGCTTTCCCGAGGTTTGAATAAACACGACCATGTTGACCTTAACACAAGAAGAAGTTTAACAACGTTGGATTGTTTGGTATTACATGGAAAACAGCAAAGCACAGCAATGCAGAAGGAAACAAAAGAAAAAAACAACGAAGAGATTTTGTTAAAAAAACATGGCAATAACTTGTTCACGCACGAGCAGTCTTGGCGCTCTTCTTGCGCTCGGCATGCTGGTGGGCAGTTGCAATTGCCTTCTTTTGTGTGATAACGTCCTTGGTAATGTTAAGAGGCTCGATGATGGTGCCCGTCTTGACCGAAACCTTGGGCTTGACGAGCTTGTGGAAGGTGCTGGCAGTGTTCCACTCCTTGCCAACAGGCATGGCCATCGTCTTTTCAAAGTGCATGCGATCTGCGAAGGGGTGGGGAAGGTTGCCGACCTGCAGCTTGGCAGCCTTGCGATCCAGCTTTTCGTTAATGATGACGTGCTTGAGCTTGGCATCGGCGCGAGGCTTGTTTGCGCCAGGCGCAGCCTTCTTGATTTCGCGCTTCTTCGGGAACGGGTCGGCAATACCCTCGCCACCCCATGCACCCCAACCGGGCAAAGTCACGTCCTCGTCCTTGGGGGCATCGGCCTCGACGAGGGCGCGCTTTTCAGCCTCGAATTCGGCCACAACATTGTCGTTCGCGAACGCGCGCTCAATCAGCTTGCGCTGCTCGGCAGAGCTGGTGGTCAAGTCCATGGCTGCGGCGGCCGAAGCGGCGCTGCGCTTGGAAGTGCGTGGCGCGTCGTCGTCCATCAGCACAGCCGTGGAAGGATCGAGCACATAGTCATCCTCGTCGTCCTGGTCGTCCAAGCTGGCGGACACGGCAGCGCGCTGCGCCTGCTTGGTTGCAAGCGACGTGGCGCCGACAGACGTGTCAATGTTAACGTTCTTGAGCTGGGCAGCAGTCTCTGCTCGCTTGGCATCCAGCACGCCCTTGGCGGCCTTGGCGAGCTGCTTGTCGACACGCCCGAGCGTGGGCGCGTTCGCTTGCTTTGAGATGGAGGCGTTGGAAGGTGCCTTGCGACCACCAGCCAATGCGGAGGCCGCACGCAGATTGGAGCCGCTGCGCGTGTGCTCATCATCGAGCCCAGAAGCGGCAGAGAGCCACGGGTTGGCTCCTCCTTCCATGTCGTCGTCCTCGTCTTCACCAGCAGCGTCAGTTGCGTGAGGCTGTTGTTCCTGCTGTGCCGCAGCGGCCTGCTCGAGTTGCTGCTGTTGCTGTTGCTGTTGCTGGCGCTTGGCAGCACGGCGTGAAAGGGGCGCGGTGGTATCCTTGTTTTCGTCGAACGACTTGACACGGTTGACAATGCCATCGCTGGACGTGGTGGCACTCGCGTCCGTCGCTTCGACCATGTCTGCAGAGCCGTCACCAACAGTCAAAAATCCGCTGACGCGCGTCGAATGGCCGGCGCTCATCGCGACGCTGTCAATCTGCAAAGCACCGTCGGCGGTGAATTGCTTGTCCACCGCCCGAACGGCGGCCTTGCTGCTGGCGGGAGAGTTGACCGATTTTTTGCCGTCTGCTTGCTGGCCAAAGGTTCTTCGGCCTGCAACGGTGCTAGAGCGTGCCTGATCGCGGGCGGCTTGTTCGCGAGCCTCACGACGCTTGGCCGCCAACATTGGATCCTCCAGCTGATCGTACTCTTCATCGTCGTCGTCCTGCTCCGAATCATTGCCATGCATGCGAATGCGCTTGCGTCCATTGTCGTTGGTGTCATCCGCCGGGCGCTTCTGAGGAGTAGTAGCAGCGTCCAGCCCGTCGCCTTCGAGCTCGGTCTCCATTTCATCTCGCAGATCGCTCAGCAAGAGACGAGCCTCCTGGCGCTTCTTTTCAAGCGCACGCTGCATAAACTTGAGGCCCATCAGGCCACCGGCGGGCAAGGCCTTGTCCAGTTCTGACTCAATCTTGTCGAGGCGCCCTCGGCGGGTGCCTTCGTCCTCATTGTCGTCGTCGTCGTCGTCGTCGTCATTGTCGTCATTGTCACCACCATCCAAGTTGCCTTCGCCTTGACCATCGTCATCCGAGCCATCATCGCCAGATGCAACACGACGGCGAAGGATGTCGCCGCGCTGGAGCTGGTCTTGCATGGCTTGCTTCTCGTTGGCGTCGAGATGTCCTCGCGCCAGCATATTGCGAGCCCACTTGGATGTGTTTTTGTGACGAAGAGTCAGGCGTTCTTCGGCACGGTCGCGCTCAAGCTGGTTGCGCTGCTCGCGCGCCGCCTCGGGATCGAGCTTTTCCAGCGCTTCGAGCGACATTTCCTCCTCTTCTGCACCAGCCTCGCCGGCCTTGCGCTTGAGAGCCTTGTTCTTGATGCGATGGTACGTCTTGCTCTTGATCTTCTTGATACGCTTGCACTTGGCCTCATAGTACGAGAGCATGGCGCGCATCTGACCAAGTTGCCGTTGCCGTTCTTTTTGCTCTTCCGGTGTCATGCTGCGGTCGGCAAGCATTGCCTGCTCGCTTTCAATCATGACACGCTCAATGCCTGCGCCGCTGGCAGAACCACCGCTGGCCTGCAGCACTTCACTGATTTGGCGCTCCATGTCGCTCTGCGGGGTGTACTTGGTCGCGAGGGTCGCGCTGGTCACTGCGGGAGCACTATGGGGAGCGTTCAAGGGGAAGCTGAGGTGTTCGGCTTCACGCATTCGCTTGACAGTCGGCACCCACTTGGAAATGTCGCGGGAGGTGTCCTCGTACGCCACCATGCGTTGAATTCGCTGGTTTTCAAACTGTGATAGCGGAACTGACAGCTTGGCAGCACTGGATAGAGCGCCAACCTGCACGCGCTCGCCTGTGCTCGTTGCGGTGGACTTGCGACTGAGCTGGCTAGAGAGGGGCAACTTGGAGTTTTTGGCGACCGACTTGGCGAGTTTGCCGAGCTTAGACTTGAGCGCCGCAAACTCGGCCGTGTCGCCGAGCTCGCCGAGCAGATCATTCATGTCGACTTCACCGACGGAATCATCATCGTCGTCGTCGTCGTCGTCGTCGTCCTCGTCGCCAGTGGCTACTTTACGACGGCTGAGGTTGAACTCGGATTCTCCAATCACTTCGGTGCGCTCCTGCTGTCGCTTTGGTTTTGCGGGCTTCTTGCCGCCCTTGGCGCTGCTGAGCGACTCGATTGAAGCGACGAGGCGATTCAGCCGACTGGCAGCGGGGCTGTCGTCTTCCTCATCGTCGTCGTCGTCGCCATCTTCGTCGTCGTCCTCGTCCTCGTCGTCGTCGTCGTCGTCAAAGATCGTGTCGTCGTCGTCGTCGTCCTCGTCATCATCGTCCTCGTCCTCGTCGCTTGATTGGGGAGCAGCCTTCTTGCCAGACTTGGACGCGGGCTGCTTCTTGGTTGCTTGCTTTTTGCTCTTGCTGTCTGCTTTTGCGCCTTTGCCCGTCTGGACCGTATCGTCGTCGTCCTCGTCTTCGTCGTAGTCAGCATCGAGGAGCTCTGAAATGTCCATGGCTTCGGGATTGTTCTCGCTGAGATCGACTTCGTCGTCGTCCTCATCGTCGTCGTCGTCGTCGTCCCGTCTCCCGCGAGCAGATCGCCCGCTGTCGTTCTCGTCCATGTTGATGAACATGTCTGGTGTGAATTTGACGCTCTTTGCCTTGGACTTGCTCTTGTTCTTCTTGCTGTTGCTGTCGCCTCCGACGTTGCCATAGCGCAGATAGTCTTCCGCCGTGAATGCCTCGTCCTCGTCAATCTGAAGTCAAGAGCAGCAGCCATTGTGAGTTTGCTTTCGTCAGCCATCCTTCACAAATCGTCATTGTTGTCAATGTCATCGTCATAGTCATCGTAGTCGTCAGTGCTTCTCCATTGCCAATGCTGTTCCATACATCCTCCCGTCTCTCTCTCGCTTTCCATGTGGAATTGCCATCCCCGTTGTCCCCGCCTCCTTACAACCTTCACTACGCAACTCCCTTCACAACCTCAGCCACCTTTTGACCCAGCCTCGTTGATCACTGACTCTGTAGTGCTGAGGTGCTCTGCTCTCTCTTCCTCTCGGTCCCTCTCTCGCCGTCTCCCAACTCCGACCCGCCCATCCCTCTGCCTTCTCTCTCTCTCTCTCTCTGTCTCTCTCATTCTCTGTCTCTCTCCAACTCCCTTCCCCAGTTCCCACTGTCCAACGTTTCGTCGTCCTCCCGTTTTGCAATGCAGTCCCACTCACTCCACGTGGATTTCAACCCTTCCCCCCCTTCCTTCCTTCTTCCCCTTGCTTCCACTCTCAAACTCCAGCTCCCACCACTATTCTTGACTATCGTGCTGTTTGTTGATCAAGTAGTAGCACCGCGACTGCGCTGAGCTGTCCTCACCTCTTCGTCGACAAAGTTCTCGGGCAGCTCGTACTCGTAAATGTCGACGTTGTCCATGCGGCGCAGCTCGTTCGGATTGTCAGCAACGTCCTCCTCTTCGTACACGTCCAGCTCGCTCCGTGCACGCGGACGACGCTGCGGCTTGCTCATGCCATTGCCATTGCCGTTGCCGTTGCTGTGGCTGTGGCTGCTGTCGGACGATGGGCGCGAGAACGACCGACCGCCGCCACGACCACCGCCACGGCCTCGTCCTCCTGCCCCTCCGCGACCGCCGCGGCCACCGCCACGCTGCTGCTGCTGCTGCTGCTGAAACCCGCCTCGTCCACCTCGTCCGATCATGCTGATGGTGGAAGGAGCGAAAAATTAAAAAATGAAAATGAGAAAAATAGAAAGACTGGGAAACTGAGATTTGGTTGTTCAGATTGAGGGAAGCGTCTGAGAATTACTCTGGATGACAATCTGAGCTCAATTGGGAGGCAATGGGAGATGGGGGAGCACTGTGATGATGGGGCAACCAGTTTTGCTCCCAATGCAACTCTCAGTCATTCAGCTCATCTCGGCTTCCTTCCCTTCCTTCTGCTTCTTCTTCGTCCAATGGCCTCTCCAGTTAGATCTCCTTTAGCTTGAATTCATTGCTCCTACTTTGCCACTCTTTTCCGCCTCTTAGATCTATTTGGACTCCATCTCGTTTCGTCTCAGTCTTTTCTCCAGTTTCAATACAATGGCTGACGACGCTGCTGAGATTGCGCCTGAGCCTTCAAAGCTCGGCACTCGCGAATAGTAATAAACCTTGCTTGACTCTCCACCAACCGTCTCAGAAGTCTCTTCGAAACGCTTCTTCTGAGAAACCGAGCTCCTTTTTGTTTGTTTTGCGTTTTTCCAAGCCCGATTCTACTTGTGCTCATGCTTGTTCTCTGTTTGCTGGATGATTCTGCTTCACCAGCTGGGACCAAGTGTACGAGCGCGAAGTGGGCAACTTTGACGAGCGCGGCGATGTTGGCGAGGTCTGGTTTGGCATGGACGCCGTCGAGAGCGTCGTCGACTGGATCCAGGACGACGCGCGCTTGCCAAAGCACCTCTCTGTCGTCGACATTGGCTGCGGCAACGGTGTATCACTCGTCGAGCTGGTGAGCCCCCAAGGGTGGTCGCTGTGCAGAGGAGCCTCGTGGAACGGCTGTCAAAGGGGACGGTGAATTGTGCATGGTCGCTCACTCACTCAGAGTTGGCGCATATTTGATTTGGGTGTGCATTTTGGCGTATATGTGGGGGGGGGGTTTGTCTGTGGCGGGGCGCGGTTGGACACTTTTCTAGGCTCGCGTCGGATTCAAGTCGCTGCTGGGAATCGACTACTCGGAGCCTGCAATCGAGTTGGCGCGCAAAGTCGCGGCCGCTGACGAGCTGGATATTGATTATCAGGTATGCAATCGTCGATGAGACGAAAAGAGGTCGGAACAGACTTGAAGGGAGGAAAAGGACAATGGAGCAACAGTTGGGAAATGCAACAACTCACCGTCGCGCTTACATTTTGTCCGTCTCAGGTGTTTGATTTCATCAACGATGATGTATCCGCACTCCAGAACGACAAAAACCGCTTCCCGTTCGACCTGTGCATTGACAAGGGCACGTACGACGCTATTAGTCTGGCGCAAAACAGCGCGAGCGCGCGTGCTGCCTACGTGCGACAAGTCCATGCACTGTGCTCGCAAGCAGTAAAGCCGCGTCCGCCCAGCGATGACGATGACGAGAACGCAGACGAGGAAGAGGAAGACGACGATGACGACCGGAGACGCAAGCTGTCGCCGCGCACCACTGGGCTTTTCATCATCACGTCCTGCAACTGGACCAACGACGAGCTGAAGGCTGCGTTTGCCTCCCATTTTACGACCTATGCTGTCATCAAGTACCGAGTGTTTGAGTTTGGAGGCAAGAAGGGCTCGAGCATCAGCACGGTCATTTTTGCTCCAAAGCCGCCAAGCGAGTTGTAACCAAGCTCTGCTCTTTCCCCTCCCCCCCCCTGTGCTTACTTGCGAGATGCTTTTGGAGCTTGAAACAATACAGCATTTTTGTGCCATTACAAGTGCAGCATCCCTCCGAGGGGGTTGGTTGAATGACAGAAAGCAAAAAGCAGCATTTTCGAACGTTTTGACAGCTCACTCTTTTTTTGTCTTCTTTCTTCTTACCCGATTTGTCATCTTTCTTTTCTTGTCTGAGCAACCAAGCACAACAACAAACAAAAACACAAACACACACAACAGCAGATCAACAAAAGTGCTATGCTGCAGCATCAGCATAGTGGTGCAGGTGCAAGTCACCTTCCGCTGGGTCTGGGCGATGATCTCGCTGCGATGGTCGGCTACACCACCGACAACGACATGCTGCTCGAGGCCATTGAAGAGCATCTCGCTGCGACAACAGCGCCGGCAGCGCCAGTCCCAGGCTCGCTGCAGCAGCTCATGCACGGCCAGCCCACTGCAGCAGCAGCAGCAGCAGCAGCGGGGTGGACGGCGGACGGCTTCGGTCCCGCAGCGCGCGTCCAGCAGCAGCAGCAGCAGCAAGTGCAGCAGCACTACCACGACTACCACTATCCACAGCAACAGTCTCAGCAGCCTCAGCAGTCGCAACAGCAGCAGCAGCAACAACAGCAGCAGCAGGAGGTCGTGTCAGCGCCGACAGCGACGACGGCGACCCGCGTCACTCTTCATCAGCAGCAGCAGCAGGACGCGCTGTGGTCGACTGCGCCGCTGAGCCTGGCTGCCGTCCAGCACCAGCACCATTATCAGCATCAGCATCAGCATCAGCATTTGCAGCAGCAGCGGCAGCGGCGTCAACAACACGGCGGCCACCAGAGTCAGACCCTATCACTCGACGATGCGCTGTCAACCGTCGTCGCAGCAGCAGCGGGGTTGTCTCCACCCGCCTCAGCATTGGCCTCCGTATCAGCATCAGCATCAGCAGCATTTTCGTCAGCATCAGCAGCCGGTGTAATGGCAGCCAGAGTCGCATCGAGCGAGGCGTCCGTCGAAGCGTCATCGGCCGACGACTCAGGCCTCCTTGCACAGCCGACCACGCTGCTCCTCGACGACGACCAGCCACTGCAGCAGCAGCATCAGCAGCAGCAGCAGCAGCATCAGCCGCAGCCCAAACGAGCGTAAGTGTGTGCGCGCGCGTGTGTGTGTGTTAGAGTGGTGACAAAGTTGCTGTTTTTGTTTTTGTTTTGGTTTGTTTGTTTATGGTAACGTCTGATTTCTGAGACCCACTCCCCCGTCTTTTGTTCTTGTTGTTTTCGCTCTCTCTCTCACTCTCTTCCCCCCCCCCTTCCGATTTCGTACAATCACAGGGTCAAGGGCACCACCGTCAGCCATCGGCAGATCGAAAAGCGCCGCCGTGATCGCGTTAACGAAATCCTCGCAAACCTGCAGGAAATGGTCCCAGAGTGCCGCAAGTCGGAGGGACGACTTGACAAGACGTCCGTGCTCGCAATGACCCTCCGCTATCTGAAGCAACTCGTCGGTGGAAGTAGTAGTAGTAGTGGTGGTGGTGGTACGTTTCCGTTATTGATGAGCCATGGCATATTAGTTGCTTTGACTTGTGTGTGTATTTTTGTGTTTGACTGTCATTGTCCTGCTCGTTCTTTGACTTTGCTGTGCTGCTCGCAGGCCCTTCATCGTTGTCTTCAATGGATCCGGCTGCAGACGACTCAACCGACTCGTTGGACGGGAATATCATCGATCGCAGCTCGGAACCAGGCGTGTCTTCGCCCGTATCGTTGGCGCTCGACACTGCAACGCCACGGGAAGACCAGCTACTCACGACAGTCAACGAGCTGGCTAGGATGCAATCGTCACCAGGCACGCGCGCGGACGATGCAGAGTGGCATCAGCTGTTGTTGGATCACGTCGAAGATTTGATTATCGTTCTCAACCGGGACGGCAGAATACTGCAGGTACGCACCCGTAGGGGACAGTCTTCATCGGCAATACGTGCGCTTCGTGTTGTTGTTGTTGTTGTTGTTGTTGTTGTTGTTGTTGTTGTTGTTGTTGTTGTTGTCGTTGTCGTCCTTGTCGTCGTCCTTGTCGTCGTCCTTGTCGTCGTCCTTGTCGTTGTTGTTGTTGTTGTTGTTGTTGTTGTTGTTGTTGTTGTTGTTGTCGTTGTCGTCCTTGTCGTCCTTGTCGTTGTTCCTCTCGTTCTCTGCAAACCACTAAGCTCCTCTTTTCTAATTCTGCGATTCGCCTCTCTACCCGCAGATTTCACGCTCGTGCTTTCCAATTCTTGGCTACCGTCCGGCACAACTAGTTGGAAAGTTCTTGTTCGACTTGTGCCCTTCTCCCGATAGCGCTCGTGTTCGTGCAGGCCTCCGGCACCGTGAGCTGGACCCGATCAAGGCGGTCGATTACGCGGCAACCGCCGAGCTCGGTGCAACAGTCATCAACTCGCGACTCGTTCCGATCAAGGGTGACCCAGTCTGGTTTGAGTTTAAGCTTCGCGAAATGTCCCGCAACGGCCATGCACTAGACTGTTTGGTGGCGGTGGGACGACAATGTAGCGCGCTTCGTGTTTTGCACTTTGGCAGTCCCTTGGAAAACTCGGACGAGTTCTCTGCACGGCACGATCTGTTTGGGCGGTTCTTGTACGTGTCACCCAACATTACAAGGCTGCTTGGATACCAGCCGGTTGATTTGATGGGCGCTTCGCCGTACCGGTTTCACCACCAGCTCGATGTGCCCCGCACTCTGAACGCCCATCGAGGTCTGTTTGATCAACCTGCAACACAAGTGGCCTTCCGGTTCATCACCAAGAAGGGCAACTCTTTCTGCTGGATGATTTCGCGGTGCGAGTTTGTTCGCAACCCAGTCACCCGCGACGTCGAGTACATTCTTTCGACGTCGCGAGTACTCAGTTCCAGTGAAATCTACCTTCTGTTGGCGGGCAAGCCGACCAATACGAGCGACCCTATCACTGCACTCCCAGCACCACTGACCAGCCAAGAGGACGCGGAGGTTTGCAAAAGCGTGTACATTGACGACCAGAGGCAAGTGCCCCTGGTCTCGAATGCCGACGAGGTTGCGCGCTTGTACTTGGACGAGCCCACGAAAAACTTGTCCGAAAAATCACCCCTCTCGGTTGGAGTGTACAGTAGCAGCGCCCCACACGTGTTCCCGGACCTTTCGGGCTCCAACAGTGGCGGTTCTGCTCCAGAGCAGCGCTCCTCAGAGTATCAGACCCGAGCTCAGCCGTTTACCGATGCCGGCACGACAAACTTTGGCAATCCGGCCGTTGGCACTGTTGTCTCGGATTTGATGAGCTCTGTGTTGACATTGCAACTCGAGAATCAGCGTCTACACGAAGAGTTGGCCAAGCAAGCTTCCAGCCGGTCGGCTGATGCAGCAGACCAACCCTCCACGATGGCTGTTGTTTCCGATTTGTGACCCTCCAAAGGTCCAGCCTCATCGGTTGGTTTTTTGCACCACAACAAGGGCATTCCTATGCCTTCCAAGCAACAAACCCCTTTCGAAAAAAGACACGGCCCCTTGAGCAAGCGTGGCGATGACGACAAATGCAGATCAGAATCAGAATGGCAAGCGCAGCTTTTCCGGTTTCCTCACCGGACTTTGTGTAATGACACGTTCGCGTCAGCCCAGACTTTGGATTGAAGTGAGGGAGGAATTGCAGTTGAGGAATTGAACCATCTGGCAGTTGAATTGTTTGTTTCTATTTGTTAGCAAGATACTAAAATTCAGTCTACCACTCAACCAAAGCCTCGTTCCTCCATCTATAACACGTAGACATGAGGATTTATGTGAATTATAAATAAACTTGAATGAGAGGCGAGCATCGACCGTGTCTCCTAGCCCGGCCGAAAGCCCTTAATATCAATCTCATAGTAGAATAGCATAGGGATGAGTAAACAAACAATCACAAACACGCCAACGGCGAGCTGTATCGGAGAACAACAACTCCATGCTCGGCGGGCGCGCTCTGCTTCGGCGCGTTGCACAACTGCCAGTGCTTGCTCCGGGGAAATGGCATCAGTCAGACGAGACGCATCGTCGGGGCTTGGGGTGGCAATTTGAGGCAATGGCTCATTGAGCAGACTGGTGATGTCGACTTGTGTCGAGCGCGGGACTGGCTTGGCGACAGGATTCAGAGTTGTACTCTCGCCAGTCAATCCGTGACTGTGCCGCGACCCGGGAGGCTGTTCGGATGCCGACTGATTTTCTCGGTCGTCGCTTTCGTCGTCAGACCGTTCAAACGGATGAACCTCAACAAAAAGGCCTTCAGCGTGAAGCTGCTCGCTGATAATGTTGTAACGTGCCACCGGTATTCGGACGCGTCGCCGAGTCGAGAGCTCTTCAACACGCCAGATGCGGTTGACGTGTTTAATGTCCGAGACCTACATCGGTGAGCACGATCGGAAAGAGAAGCAGGAAATTGAGCCAAATGAGCAAAATGACCAACCCAAAAAAACAAACAACAAAACCTCCTCTTCCGAAAAGCACTCAAAAAGTCATCGTTCATGGCTTACACTTGCGCCAAAGCGAACCGCTAGGTGCTGAAGCGTATCAGTGGGTGTGACGCGATGCCAAATCAGCGTGTGAGTGGCATTCTGGTAGGTCTTGTCGCGCCCGGGCTCAAAGTCCTCGCCCTCGTCGCCATCCGAGTCATCCTTGTTGGTCGTTCGCCTCCGCCCGATTCCGGTGCGAGTGCTACGAACGAGCTCTACTTCCGTGCCAGCCAACGACAGTGGTGCGCTTCGACCAAAGACGGCACCAGTGGGTCCCGACAATCTTGATGCTGTCGAGCCGAGTGTGGTAGTTGCCAAGCTTGCTGCGGCTTCTTTAGCAGCCAGTCTCTTGCTGGGGAGTGCCTGCTGGTTGCTCTGGCGTGCTGGCAACAAGGCGATTCGCTCAAGGGATTTCTTGTCATTCTCACCAGATCGCTTGAACGGTCCTTGTCTGAGAAATTCACGATCGTGGCCGTCCTGGTCTTGATCCTGATCCTGCGCTTCTAATTCTCGTGCAAAGTCTTGGTCTTCTTCCTCTTGGTCGTAGTACTCGTCTTCACCGACGGTTCGCGGGACCAGTGGGAGCAGCCGATTTCGTCGGTCGCTCGGGTCTCTCGTCCACACGACCCGATCGCGCTTCACCCCAGCACTGGCACTGGCACTGGCACGGGCATCATCGTCATCATCGCCATCGTTGAAGCTGCCAGTGGAGTAGCTGTCCTCCTCGTCGTGGTCGCTGGCTCGGTTGTTGCTTGGGTGCTGGAAATTGGACGAGGCTGCAACGAGCAACTCTTGCCCTGCGCCGCTGCTCGCGACAATCGAGATGCCGGCCGGTCGGTTGTGTGCGTTGTGCACTACCACGCCAGACAGGGCAGCTGGGCCGCGGGTGGGGTTGCCGGTCGGCCGTAACGCAGGCCGCATTCGAGCTGTTACAGTAAATTTGCGTTGAAGTGACTGCGATGGGTTCTGAGAACTGAAGATGGATGAAAATTGACGAGTGAGAAAAATGGAGTCGATCGTGTGGAGCAGAAAAAAAAAGAATCCAATGGCAAGGACGTAGTGAACCGACGCCTTCAGCTCGGCTATTCCATACTATTGCTCGGTTTTCGAGTTCTTTTTCAATGTATTGGAAACAACAGCGCATAGATATGAATCCCTAATCTTGTCGTTCGATATACCCGACAGAAAGCGACGCAAGTCGCACAAAACTGTAATACTGACCGAGTTGAACTTCAACCTCCCAACCCGCGCGCAGTTGGCGGATGACAGGATGGTCTGTTGGCGAAATTGTCACCAGCTGAATGGTCGAATCGACGACACGCGCTTTTGCAGCCCATTTGTATCGAACAGCACCTTGCTCGTCTCGAACAATCAGATCGAAACGGCCCGATTTGGCTTTGTACTGTTCACGAAGGACTTGAATCGCTTTCACTCGGATTGAATTTCCATCGCTGCTTCGAGGCATTGTAAGTTTCAGAAAATCGAACTGATTGTACCTAGACCACGCTTGGTGAATGTGCTGCACGCCTTGCAAGTACTCCGCTTCGTCCATAACGAGCTCGGCAATCTCGGCTGGTAGTGCAGGGAGAAGTGCGGGCTGATTCTCCAGCTCGTGTCGGCCTGTCAGCAGGTGAAACACGCTCTGCCAGTCTTCAGAGGTTGTCAATCGTGGAAGCAAGGAGAATGCAAGCGGGTTTATCTGGTCCTCGATGCTGTGCAATGAACAAGCAAAAAATAAAGGAACCATCCGGAGGGCCGTTTCCATTGAGCATTGGTTCGAGGAACATGGACGGAGCATCAATGGCTCTCATTGGCAAGAACAAGCAACCTACTCAAGCTGAGTCAGAATGCGGTTGACTTTGCGTGCCTCATCAAGCGCTTGAACGCCAACTTGGCCAATGCAATTTCTCGCTAGACTGCCGTTCAAAGTGTGAGCAGGTTGACAACGTAGCAAGGTCTGAATGATGCTGGCTCGATGTAAGCACTTACTGCAGCTCAGTCATCGTCTTGTTCTCTCCGAGTGCTGCTGCAATCGCTTGTGCTCCAGCATCGCCAATCCGATTCGCGTGCAGACTGCCCATCCCCTCCATCAGTGAGCATTCGGAATTTTTATGAATCCCTCACATGCATCAGTAAACGTGAGATGACTTACCGGATCCAAATCAGGTTCGTGTTCACTTTGAGAGCCTCAGCGATCGCCTGCGCTCCAGCATCGCCAATTTGATTATGGTACAGACTGTCCGCACACCTTCCGGCAGTGAGCACGCTGAATACCTTCTGCTAAAGTCACCCACCCACATGCACCAACAAGAGTGAGATAACTTACTAGAGCCTCTCCATCGTCGTGTTCACTTTGAGTGCCTCTGCAATCGCCTGTGCTCCAGCATCGCCAAGCTGATTCCAGCTCAAACTGTTCATCCCATGCATCGGTGAGCACTTTGGAGTTCCTCAAATCACCCACTCATATGCATCGGCAAAAGTAAGATGACCTACGTGAGCATGCGCAGCGACGAGTTCACTTTGAGTGCCTCTGCAAACGCCCGCGCTCCAGCATCGCCAATCTGATTACAGCTCAGACTGCCCGCCCCTCTTCAGCAGTGAGCACTCTCACTGTCATCTACTGCAATCACCACTCCATGCATTAGTTCAAACGAGACTCACGCAACCTCGAGGGAAAACAGTGGCGTGTTCACTTTGAGTGTCTCAGCAATCGCTTGCGCTCCAACGTCGCTCACTTTGAGTGTCTCAGCAATCGCTTGCGCTCCAACGTCGCCAATCTGATTCTCACGCAAGCTGTCCACATCGCCTCCATCAGTGAGCCGCTCTTGCTGTCTCTACTTGATCACCCACTTCCATGCGTCAGTGAAATTGAGATGACTTACTCCATCGTTGCCAATCTTCTTCCCATCCCACCTGTCTCTCCATTTTCGTCAACACAAACGCGCGGTCACACTGTTTCCAAACAAAGCGGCTTCCCCCTTACAAGAGCCATCCACTCGCATTCTTGACGAAATCATGCAGCTCGCGCTGGCTCTCAGACATACTCTGGTAAGTCAGCATTTTCAGCAATCAAACAAAGACTGACTCGATGCTCCATTTCACCTCTCTACCCTGACACACGCAGGTCTATGAGCCAGCCATTTTGATTGCTGTTCCTCATTGAGGAAGTTTGGAAAAATCAGGATTATTTTCAGTGCAAAATTTTGTTGATTGTTGAAAGGGGAAACAACAGGGTAGTTTGCATTCCCACCGATCAGACCTATCCAAGTCATAGTACTGTTCGACAACATTTTGAAGTTATCTTAGAACATAGGACTGCACAAGAAACGCAACAAACAAAAACAGAAAAAGTTCAAAAAAGGACTGTCTTCCGAATGCCGAAACATTCCTCCTGTTTTTGCGCGTCTCTTTCCAGAGTCGTACTCGGCATTTCATGTTCATCGTACGCGGGGAGGCTGAAGTAGTTGAACGTTCATTTGGAGTTGAGGCTCAGCTTTGAGATTTGTCGTTCAACTCCACTTTTCTCTCTCTCTCTCTCTCTCTCTCTCTCTCTCTCTCTCTCTCTCTCTCTCTCTCTCTCTCTCTCTCTCTCTGGTTCTCGTCTTTGATTCTCCAGGTTTCTTTTCAAATGTCTCCCTCTGCGTTCATGTCTCTGACACACGACACCTTCCATTCTCGTCTTGACAGCTGTGTGGACATTGACCCTTTGCGTCCAATTGGCACCCTTCCCCCACGCCGCACACCTGCGCCCCGTTGCTTTGATCCTGTCTCCCGCTGGACATCGCTCTCATTCCCCCATGGATGAACATTTCAAACCCCCCCCCCCTCCTCAAAAGCCACTCCTCGTATGACTGTCGCCTTTTTATCCCCCTTTTCGTTTACTCTTTTTGTTTCTTTTTGTTGAGTGCACGTTTCAACGCAGTCCTCAACAAAAAAAACGGCCAAATCGCCAACAACACGTTCCACTCTCACAAGAACAACGTGATCGACAAAAAAGTTGAACGGAAAACGGACGAGGTTTTTTGGCGTTTGAGGGGAGGACGAGAAAAAAAAGAAATGGCGGGAGTGAACAAAAGAAATGGCGGGAGTGAACGACGGCTTGCGGAGGCGAACGAGCGGTGGCAGTGGTGGCAGTGGTGGCGGGGCATCAGCGGACAGCGAGCAGCCCCACTACCACCACCAACAGCAACAGCAGCAACAGCATCAACAGCAACAGCAACAGGGCGACCATCATCAGAGGGCGACTGCTGCCAGCGGTGATCATGAACGACCAGCAGCAGCGATCGAGTTTGCGGCTGCTGCTTCAACTGGGTCGCCGTTGATGACGAACAGCGGGCTTGCTCACCATCATCACACAAGTCATCATCACACAAGTCATCATCAAGGCGACAGTGGTGCTCGTACTGGACTGACAGTCAACTATGACGACGACGACGACGATGGTGATGCTGATCACGCTGGAGCCGATCAACGCACTCTGCTCCTCAACCCAGACCACGACGACCAAGCGCCGATGCGTCGTCATGCTCACAACCACAACCACAACAGCCACCACATGCCACACGCGGTGCTGGTCGACGGCGTGCAGATCAACGCGGAGCAGCGTGGTACTACAACCATGACTGCGACGACTAGTGCTTCAGTTACCGCTGCAGATGAAGTCCTGTTCACCGCGTCTGCATCGTCAACGGCGGACTTGTCCAAGACGGCGCTGCTGTCGGATCCACTGCTATCGCGCGAGTTTATTGTCGCGGGCGGGCGATGGCGCACGGTCAGCTACCACGAGTTGCCAGATTGGCTCAAGGACAACGAGCTCATTCTCAACCACCACCGTCCGCAGCTGTTCACGTTCGCACAGTGCATCGAAAGCATCTTTCGCATCCACTCCGAGACGGGCAACATCTGGACACACCTCGTTGGCTGGCTCGCGTTTCTGGCCGTTTGTGTCGCGACATTCAGCTACCACCTGGGTGACTATCCGTGGGAGGACCACGCATGCTTTGCCGCCTTCTTTGTCGGCCTCCTCGTTTGTCTCAGCATGTCGACCACCTTCCACACCGTGTGCTGCCACTCTGTCAATGTCGCTGCCGTTTTCAGCAGATTCGACTATGCTGGCATTTCCATGCTCATCGTCGGTTCGACCATTCCGTTCTTGTACTATGCCTTCAAGTGCAACACGTAAGTCTCCCCTTTTGTTCAGGTGCTTGAATTGAGTTGAGTTTGGAATGTGAATTGCCACGAGCTGTGTGCGTCGGTGCTTTTCGCTTGCTCGTTTGCTCCCTCACTTCCTCATGCGCTCTTTTTCTTCCCGAATTCCGCTTTCTCCTTCTTCTTCTTCTGTTGTGCGAATCCTCAGAGTCGTTCGGTACACATACACCGGAATCTGCGTCTTCCTCGGCACAGCATGCATCATCATCTCCATCCTTCCTCGATTCGACACACCGCGATTCCGCGTCCATCGCATGGTCACGTTCTTGTCGTTTGGTGTTTCGGGCATTGTCCCTGGCATCCATTGCATAGTTGTCAGCGGCTTCATGTTCCAGGTCGAGGCTGCCGGCATCGGCTACATGCTGCTCATGGGCGCGCTGTACATCACTGGCGCTGTTTTGTACGCCGCACGCATTCCAGAACGCTTCTTCCCCGGGAAATGCGATTTAATTGTAAGTGGTACATGGTTGTTCTTGCAAAATTTGCTTGGGTCTGTCCTCATGATCTGCTCTCTGCGCTTTGTAGTTCCAAAGTCACCAAATCTTCCATGTTCTTGTGCTCGCCGCGGCTAGCGTACACTTTTATGGCTTGCTCAGGGCGGCAGAGTACCACCACACGCACGACACTTGTGTAGCTTAGAGCGACGGTGTGTTGTTTGTTAGATAATCCTTGTACAATGCGGTGATTTGATTGACTGAAACACTTCACCATGCAGTGGTTGTTTCGTTTTTGTTTTTTTCTGCAATCCGAGTTAAATAAAAATCAGCTTCGTTTCTCATGAGACAGATTATGGATGATGGTGGTGTTTACTCTTGACACAAGCCAATATAAATAAGTGAACATGGTGAAAATTACACAACGAGCAAGTGCAGCCCAGCAAGGCGCGCTCGATGCCTGGCCTGCACGGCGGTTTGCAAATGCTGAACGATGCCGTTGAAGGCACCCGACCAGTCAGTGCTCCTTTTGGCGGTCACTGCTTGCCGAAAGTATCCAACCAGCACTTGCAAGGAATCCAGCAGCATTTGCTCAACAAGGCGCTCAAAGTAACTGCAGACCACCTGGACGTCTTCCATTCCAGGGACGGCCTCCGAGTCCACCCAGAGCTGCAGCGCCGCACCAACAGTGGTCACGGTATCATTGTTGCAGAAGGGTGGCACCGAGTCTGGCTGGACGCTGACGGGTAGATTGTTGAGCGCTTCTGGCTGATTTGGCAATCCAAAACCAAGGCGACTGGACGAGCTTGGCACGGCAGACTTGCGCGCCTGCTGTTTCAGACGCATTTCCGTCTCCAATTCTCTTCGGATGGATTCCGGCAACGCCTGCCAAACGGTAGGGTCGATCTGACGCCGTAGCAGAATGAAACGACAAGTGTGTCAGTCACGACAACTCTGACGTTGAGTTCATCTCCGCGCCTCCGACTTTCAAACTTACATCATTTGGAACAGGACTGCTCGCTGATATCGCAGTCGTTAAACTCGCAGGCGGGTCCGATCGCTTGGTGGCAGCTGTTGCAGCAGGTCCTTTCCCTTTGGATTTCGCAGACGCTCTTCCTGCTGGTTTGGAATGCAGGGACGCATCGGCAGGGACGGCAGTGCTTGAAGTCCTCGAGCTACTCGCCTCCTCTTTTCGCTGAACAAGCGCATTGTACTCGAGATACATCTCCTTGACCACTTCTGGAGGGAGAAGGCGAATGACTTCAGGGTCCCACTGCGATGGAGAGGGGACGTGGTCGGCCTGTGCAGCCTGCGGTGGAGGGCTTGCACGCGCTGCGGCTGCTGCTGCTGCTGCGCGGTTGTCGACGGTGCTCGTGGTGAGCCTTCGTTTAGAGCGCATTGCAGGCAGCACTGGCGCTGCAAAGACTTGCTCGGGTTTTGAGGTGGACTTCGGTTGCTGCAGCACCGAGCGTGGACGGGAAGCCAGCGAGACTTCAGATTTTCCAGTCTTTCGTCGATAGTCGGCCTCCAAGCCGAGTCGAACCTCCTCAGGCAAGGCTTCCAGCACGGCCGGATCGAGCTGCGACATTGGGGGCAAGATATCGTCGTCCCCAATCACGACAGTGTCGCACGGCGCAGGGGCTGCAGCCGACACGCGCGGGCTTCGAGTTTTTGCAAACGCTTGAGCTAAGGGCGCCACTGTCGCAGGATGGTGCTGGACTGGTGCAATCGCCGGCTGGTGGTGCGTGACTGGAGCGGGGGATGTTGACTCTACTGGTGCCGCCCCAGGAGCCCGTGCGCTGAAAAATCGTGTGATGGCGCCGGATTGCGGCTTGCTCACAGACGGCGGATCTTGGCCAGTCAGCTTGGTGAGCTGGATGCCAAGTCCACGATACTCACAAGGTGGAAACTTCAAATCGGCCAGCAACGCCATGGTTTCATGAAAAATAACGTCTGCGCTGCGCGTGGGTGTCGCGAGCAACGTCGAGCGGTTGTAGCTGTCACAGACACCGTGGCCGAGGTACTTGTAGACTTTGGTGATGCCTGGCTTGCGCACCATCAGGTGGATGTGCAAAGACTTGCCCGTCACATTCAAGACCGCCATGCGCCGCTCCAGCTCGCGCGAGAGGGTGGTCACGAAAACCCGCACTTGAGCTTCCTCCTCAAAGCGCACGCCCCAGGTGATTTCAACCGATACGGACTGGCGAGCCTGGTGTGTCTTGAGCTGGCGCATGTCCACGCCGCGGGCAAAGTTGAACAGGGTTTCGCCAATCTTCTTGCCAAACTCGGCCTGCAGCTTGTCCTTGCTGATGCGTGCGAGCTCCGAGCACGTTTCAATGTCCAGCTGAGCAAGGCGACGCGCCAGCGACCACCCGACGCCCGGGAGGTCGCCAACGGCTTGTGTGAGCATAAACTCGAGACCCTTGTGCGGGGCGAGATAAAACTGCCCGCTGGGCTTGGCGCGCTTGGTCGCCATCCTGGCCAGCAGCATGTTGTGCGCAATGCCGGCGGAGACTGGGCAGCCAGTGCGCGTCGCGATCTCCTGTCGGATGCGTGACACGACTGCCGCGATGGATGCTGCGATTTGAGTGGCCGAGGGTGTCCAGCTCGCCGAATGTACGGGAGGTGGCTGGGAGTGGTCCGTTTCAGCCGCTTGTGCGTCTCCTCCGGACGGGAGTTCGGACTGGGAAGAAACAATCTCGCGCTGGACCAGTTCTGTAATGTCAATGTAGGCTTCGTCGCAGCTGACGGCCTGTATGATTGTCGTGTACGACACGAGCGTTTTGTAAAGGGTGATCATCACGTCGCGGTAGACTTCAAACTCGTAGGGCACACAGGTGATATTGTCGCAGAGCTGTCGCGCATCGCCCAATCGCATGCCGTTGCGCACTCCTTTGGCTCGCGCGGGATAGTTGCAGGAGGCTATTTCGCTGGTGCTTGCAAGGTCGGTCGACGACGAATGGCACACCACCACGGGCTGCTCGACCAGATGGGGCCGAGAGAGCAGACTCGCGGACACGAAAAAGCAGTCCATGTCGACATGAGCAAGAACTTTGCCGCCGGGGATTGGCGGAAGCGCAGCGCCCTTGTCTCGAAACGACCTTGCCATCAGTTGCTCCACCGTCATGGGTGCATCGCCAGTCGAGTCCTTGGCTGCGCTCGTTTCCAGCAGCTCGGCGACCAGGGTTTTGACTTCGGCGGCCCAGGTTGACAGAAAGTGTAGCCGGGAGGTCTGGTAGTATCGGCTCATAAAGCCGGACGGGTTTCCCAGCGTGGTCATGGTTGCCGCACGATCGCCGAGAGGACGAGCAGCGCCAGCCGTCGTCGTCGATGCATTGTTTTTGGAAGAAGAAGAAGAAGAAGAAGAAGCAGGAGCTGGAGCGATGGAATGTTCCGACTCTGCGAACGCTCCTTCGCCCTCCTGCTGTTGGTCTAGCGCCCGGAGCAACTCTGCATCATCCATCAGCAAGAACTCGTCATTGTCAAACTCCTCGGCGCTGTCTTGGTCGCTATCCACCGTTTCTGGCGGCGAGGTGGTGGCCGATTGGTCGAGCGGTAGAGGGTTGACGTTCATGGATTGGGCTTCCTGGGCATCTGCCGCCAAGGACGGCGCTTGACCCGCGCGACCCATCAAAGCCGTCGTCGTCGTCGTTGTTGTTGTTGTTGCAAAAGAACGAGCAGCGTGCGGGGCGTGCTTGTTGGCAATCGGCAGCATTTGCATGAGCGCGGGCTGCGTTGCGACGCGACCCGAGTACAGCCGGTACTTGTCTTCAGGCAACAGGCGGCCCTGGGCAATGCTGTCGACAATCCACTCTGGGCGCATGACCTTCTCGTTGGTGAGTTGCTTGAGCTTGGTGTCGGGCAGATTGCACGCAACTATGTGCGTTACTCGCGACTTTGAGTTGTAGTGCTCGTAGGTGCCTCCGTGGGCCCACAGCAGGTGCTTGAGCTCTGCGGCCGGCGGCGTCGTGTAGCCATCCACATACACGCGCACCCCAGCCAGGACGGACGACAGCCGCGGCATGCTGGACGACTCGTCGCCGTCCTCAAACTGCTGGTCGAGCTTGGCCTTCTTGATGCGCATGTACTCGCCCCACCCGCCGCCCGCCGACCATCCCGCCGCGTGCTCGGGGTGTGCCCGCGTGACTGTCTTGGCGGTCTGTTCCAGGCTGCTGCGGTCGTCCATTTGGATTCCGTTCCAAGGTTGCGAGAGTGTGATTTGAGTTTGAGAGAGAGAGAAGCGTTTGTTTTTTCGCTTCTCTCCCTCTTTTTTCTCTCGTTTTACACTTCACGACTGAGTTCAATGTCAGTGAGTGCTTCACCATTGCAACGGTGATTCAGTGAAGCATTGCAGTTCCTTTCAAATTTTGAGTTTTTTGTTCACTCTTTTTTTTTTTTTTTTTTTTTTTTTCATTTTGATCTATTTTTTCTCTCTCTCTCTCTCTCTTTCTCTCCCTCTCTCTCTTTCTAACAACAACAATGGCGGATTACACGGATATTGATTTCGACTCGCAGCAGCCGCTCGACGACTTTGACTTTGTGGACGAGACGGTCGTCGGCTCAAAGTACCAGTCGCAGCACAGCCAGCACGACGCACCGCCGGAATCCGAGTGCGTTTTGTCGAGAGTTGGTTGCGTTTTGGATTTTTGTTATTTTGATTTTTGTTTTTGTTTTTGTTTGTTTTTGTTTTTGTTTTTTGGTTTTTTTTGCGATGGCGATGCGCTGCCATTGAGAGTGAGAGTGTGAGAGAGAGTGAGACTAGAGAGAGAGTGTGTGTGTGAGAGTGAGTGCGACAAATCCAGTATACTCGACACTCAAGGGGACTGAAAGAGGGGGTTTGAGACGGGTTGGCTTTGTGAGTTGTTTGTCGCGCGCTTTGGGATTTGAGTATGAACATTGGATTGACGATGGATGGACGTCGGTGTGGGAGTGGGGCTGTGCTTTGCTCCCCTTCAAACACACCGTACACCACCACCCAACTCTCCCCTTCTCCTCTGTCACGGCGAGCGAGACAACGAGAACAGAAGCAAAGAAGTTGCTGTTGTGGTTTTTTTTTTTTTTTTTTTTTTGGCCTGCCTCGGCTTTTTCCCTTCTCGCATCATTCTGTCTGGGGGGAGCGTGCGTCACTGTCTCTTTGGCCATTTCGCGTCCTTCATCCACAATCCAGAGTGATGTTGAAGACGGCGGCCAAGTTCAGCAGCGCGAAACACAGCAAGATTTGAGTTTTGGAGGAGAGAGAGGTGTTTTTTTTTTTTTTTTTTGTTTCTTCTTCTTCGTCTTCTTCCTTCCAATCCCCATTCCCCCATTCCCCTAATCCCCTTATCCCCCCTTTGTCGTGTAGTTCATCATTCCTACTGCAGCCGTGCTCCCTTCGGCGTTCAACCCGTTCCCCCGTTTCTCGTTCAGCGCTCCTCTGTTTGAGTTTGAGTGTTGTTTGTTTTTGTTTTGTTTTGTTTGCCTTTGCTATCGTTCTCTCAACCTCACTCTCAACCTCACTCTCATCCTCACTCACTGAGCTCTGTGCTCCCATCGACACTCTCTCGCATCTCGCATCTCGCTGGATGCAACAAGAGCAAAAAAAAAAAGCCATCAAAAACCAACAAACAATTTTCTCGCCTTTCAATTGGTATCTTTGGTTCTTGCGATTAGTGAAGTGTTCGTATGAGAATTGTTTCTCTATTACGACTCTCGTTGTCCAATTTTGCTTTCTTTTTTCTTTTTTTTTTTTCTTCTTTCTTCTTCGTTTGTTCCCTTCTCTTTCGCTTTTTTTATCATCGTTGTCCTTCTGCTCCAACCTGTGCTGTGTGCTGTGTGCCGTGTGAGAGTTGTCGCTCTCTCTCATCAGCGGAGCAGCCCAGTGCAATCGCATTGTTGCTGGTGTCCACTCACTCACTCTCCTTCCTTCCTTCCTTCCTTCCTTTCTCCTTTGCTCCTGGTTAGGTGGTTCCATGGCCCGTCCGGTCGCGAGGAAGCCGAGAAGGTCTTGCTCAAGAAGGGTCGCGAGGGCTCGTACCTCATCCGCGAGTCTGTGCGCGACCCTGGCGATTACTCGCTTTCCTTCCGGTAACCCCGACTCTCTTGGTTGTGGATGATGGTGCTGCTGATGCTGCTGATGCTGATGCTGCAACACAACCTGGCCAACAAACACAAAACTCATCACTCGCGCCCAATTGGTCTCGGCAGGATTTCAACCGGAATCAAGCACTTCAAGATCATCAACGATTGGGGTGACTTTTACATTGGCGGCCGCCGCTTCCACTCGCTCGGCGATCTGATCAGCTACTACATGGGCACGTTCTTGACTGGCAATCTCTGCCTCAAGTACCCTGTTCCCCCGGAAACGGCCTCGAGCAACGTTTCGGGCCTCCGCAACACAGTCCTCGCGCTGTACAACTACACCAAGTCGTCCACCGACGAACTCTCCTTCGTCCAAGGCGATGTTCTTGCCGTCCTCAACAACGACGATCCCAGCTGGTGGTGGGCGCGCATCGAGACTGGCCCTGCTGCTGGTTCCGTCGGTTTTATTCCGAGTACACTTGTCCAACTGATTGAGAAGGTGAGCATGGGTGGTGGAGCCAAAACTCTTTTTTTTTGTTTCTGTCCGCGTTCCCCTTATTGACACTAACCTCGGGTGCTTTGAATTGTTTTTTTTTTTTGAACAAAAATGTCTTTCTCTTCCAAACAGGTCGTGCCGCCCCGCGAAAAGTGGTTCCACGGCAAGATCCCTCGCAAGGATGCCGAGACGATGCTTGTGCAGCAGGCTCATGATGGCGCCTTCCTTGTTCGCGAGAGTGAAAACCAGCCTGGCGACTTTTCGTTGTCCTTCCGGTATGTTGGTTTTGTTTGTTTGTTTGTTTGCCCAAGCAACACTGCCCTATCGAAATGCGTGCAAGCGTTCACTCAATTGCCTTTCGCCTTTTTCCAATCTTTGCTTCCCTCTTGGGGCTGTGCAGTGTCGGCAACGTGGTCAAGCACTTCCGTATCGAATCGTCTGGCCGTCAATACCTCTGCGGTGGCCGCACCTTCTCTTCGATTGACGATGTCATTGCCCGCTATCTCCGCGAGCCCCTTACGGACAACCGCACGCTGGTGGAGCCCTTCCCTCCGGTAAGAACAGCACAATCCTGTTTGTTTTTAGTCTGGTTTTTGGCGACTGACATTCGATATCTCGCTCTTCCCCCCCCCCTTGTTTTTAAACCCCCCCTCTCCCTTTCACCTTGTGCGACTCCTGCAGCAAGCCAAGGTCGAGTCTATTTATGCCGCGGTCGACCGCCCCGCCGTGATGCAGGTCGCGCAGCAGATTGCCAAGCAGATGACGCCGCAGTTTGCCGCGCCGCCGCCAGTACCGTCGCGTCCTCAGGCGGGTTCGACCACCACAACGCGCGCCACGACGTACAACCGATGCGGCTACCTCGTGCGCAAGTCCCGCAAATCCAACAAGAAGTGGAAGAAGCTGTACTTTGCGCTCATGGGTGCGAAAAAGCGTTTGTACTTTTTCGAGTCTGAGAACGCCCTTCGCCCCAAGGGTATCGTTGATTTGACCATGTCGACAGTCCATTCGCTGCACTCGACCTTCTTTGGCCGCCCGAACTGCTTCCAGATCATCACCAACACGATCGACGCGCTGAAAACGTACTACCTGTGCGCAAACACGGAAGACGAGCAGCAAGGCTGGCTGGACTCGCTCAAAGAGTTTTGTGGCCACGACTCGGGCCGTCGCCCCGTCCCTGGTGAAGAAGCCATTGAAATTAAGAGCTTGCAGCTCGGCGTCATGGAGGCCCGCGACCTGCCCTCCAAGATTTCGCATCCGTACTGCCTCATCAGCCTCGACAACGTCAACCAGGCACGCACGCAGATCAAGACTCGCGCCCAGCCAATGTGGGTCGAGGAGTTTACCTTTGATGACATTCCGGCCTCGTGCTCGACCGCCTCCATCGTCGTCATCAACAAGAACAAGCTGCAAAAGGACGTGGAGATGGCCAAGTTTGTGCTCGACCTCGACAAGGTTCGCGGCGACAAGCCCGTTGAGGCCTGGTACGACCTCAAGTCCATGGACGACAAGGACAAGGAAAAGCTCGGTGGCATCCGCATCAAGGCGCGCTTCAGCAACGAGCTCATTCTTCCTTTCAGCGAGTATCTTGACATCAAGTCACTGTTGATGCATCCCGACATGCAGGCCATCCAGGCCATCGGAAGCGTCGGCAAGGAGCGCGAGGAGGTTGCCAAGACGCTCCTTCGCATCTTCCAAGCCGACAACGCGGCCACCGAGCTCGTTCGCAGCCTCAACCGACTTGAGGTGAACTCGACAGGTAACCATTCGTGTTTGCTTTTTCTTCCGAGCGTGATGAGCTTTTGTGAAAGGAGATGAGTTGTGGTTTGGTTTTTTTTTTCCTCATTGTTTAAATTTCGTTATGTCGTCTCTTCTGCTTCGCACATCCAAAAACAGACGACCCGAATACCATTTTCCGTGGTAATTCTCTGGCCACCAAGACCATGGATCAGTTTATGAAGATGACTGCTATCAGCTACCTTCACGGCATCATTGGCGACATTGTGAAGGAGATTTTCGAAGACAAGCATTCCTGCGAGGTAAGCATCTTGTCTCCGTCGCCGCTCGTGCTTTTTTTTTTCCGAGTCCATACTCATTTTTTTTTCTTGTGATTGTCCCGCTTGTAGATGGATCCCACTCGTCTGCCCAAGGGAACGGACTCGAAAGACAATCTGAAGCGCCTGCTCCATTGGCTCCAATCGATTTGGGACGCTGTTCAAAAGTCTATTGACGACTGCCCGACTGAGCTTCGCGTTGCCTTCCATAGTTTGCAGCAGGATGTCGTGTCTCGTTTCCCCCAAGATCAAGTGGTCAGGTATTCTGCCGTCAGTGGTTTTATCTTCCTCCGTCTTATCTGCCCTGCCATTCTCAATCCCAAGCTGTTCAACATGATGGCTGGTAAGTTTTTTTTGAATTTTTTGGGGTTCGAGAAGGGCTTGATGGTGTTGGAGAGAACGAGAGACAGAGAGTGCGTGAGAGGGGTGGAATCGTCGAGAGGCTAATCTAACAAATGTTGTGCACCTCTTTTGGTAGATCATCCTTCCGAGCAAACGTCGCGCTCTCTGACACTGATTGCCAAGTCCATTCAAAATCTTGCCAACTTGGTCGAATTCAAGTCCAAGGAGCAGTTTATGACGCCAGTGAACGACTTTATTGTTCACAACCGAGACGCCATGAAGCGTTTTATCGATCAACTTTCGGTACGTGCCTGGTTGTGTGCATCTTGTAGCGTTTGAAGCGTGGAGCGCTGCATCCGTTTTTTTTTTTAACCTTGATTTGTAACTTGTTTTCCTTTTCTTGTTGCTTGCGCCTGTTGTCTTGCTGCTTCTAGACCATGCCCGAGTATCCCAAATCGTTCGCCCGAGTTGCTCCAGTCAACCCCGCTCGCGAGTTGGCCTCCATCTATCGCTACATTGTGCGCAACAAGGAAGCTGTGCAGAAATACGGCGTGGACAACCCGGTATGTGGCAGCTGTTGTTATGGGGGCATTTTATGATGGCGGTGTGGACAGTTTCTAACTTTGATGGAATGGACGTTTGCACTGTTGCTGTAGAGCGCCGCGTCTGTCACGGATGCCCTTATTTCGACTTGCAACCGCATCGCCAATCGCGAAAAGTCGTACATGAACACGGAGCCCACCTATCAGAACTTCTCCAACTAAGCGTTGCCGTGTGATCTTTGCCCTGCAACGTCTTTTGTCCCAGAGTTTGGTTTCATGTGGAGCAAGAGTGTTAGTTTTGGGCGGCATGTGTGTGCATTGTTCCGCGACTGTCCCATCTTTTTGTTTCTTTTGTCTTGCTTCTTGTCGTCCATTGGTCTTGTTTTGCTTCTGTTTTACTGTCATGTGATGTTCAAATGCAACGGGTTTTTCCCCCACCTGATTGTGAATTTTCACGCTCCAGGCATCAGATGCTGTTCAAGCAAACTCCAAGTCTATTCACAAAACACTCGTCACGCAGCAGCATAAACGATATTTATTGCAGAAAAAAAATTGAGAAGAGCATCAAGTGGTCATTGGAATGGCAGATCCGGATCGAGAGTGGAGTCCTTGAGCGCCATGTTGATGGCCTTGCGGCTGTCCATGTTGTCCATGCAGTTGGTGTTGCTGCTGTTGTTGTTGCTGTTGTTGTTGTTGTTGTTGTTGTTGTTGTTGTTGCTGCTGCTGCTGTTGCTGTTGCTGCTGTTGCTGCTGTTGCTGTTGCTGCTGTTGCTGTTGCTGTTGCTGCTGTTGCTGTTGCTGTTGCTGGGCGGCTTGCCCAGCAGTCTTGGTGCGCACCAAAAACCTTAGATGGTGTTGCAAGGTAGCAGGCATTGCCGTGATGATCGTTGCCACACGATCAAAAGTCCAGTCTCCCAGCGGGAATGTGTACTTGATGTGGAACATGAAATCCATGACCGACTCGAATTGGGAGCAATCCGTATGGAGCTTGCCACCCTGATGGAGTTGACACAGTGCCTTCAACAGTGCAAGCAACAACTGTGACAGGGGAATATTCGACGACGACGAGCAGTAAGCATATGAAGTGAGTAACTCCCTTCCATCCAATTTGCGACGACATTCAGCCATGCCCCGCAGCAATAGAGCACACTGTACCTCGCCCACATTGGACTCTCTAAAAAGAAAAGGCCCCACAATTTGACACAAGTACCAGATTTGAGAAACAGAACGCAGTTGGGGAGTGAGGTCGCCAATGAAAGCAGTCAGAGATGCAACAACCGAGGGGTGCGATTGATGCAATTGATGCAGGTAAAAGTGCAGAATCGTGAGAAGGACGCTGGGTTGCGAGCAGCGCGTGGATGCATGTAGATTGGTCGGGCAAGCATGTGGCCTGTCCAGTTGATCCAAGAGCATGTCAAGTTCGTCCCGTGTTGACGTGGCAGCATGCTGGTTGTTGGAATGAGCCTGGTCGTCCTTGCCGAGTGCCGTGCCGGCCTGGGTGCCGAGCGGCGGTGCATGAAGAACCGAGGTGGCCGTGGCTGCCAGCGTCGAGTGCAGGCCAGCCGTGTTGGATGCCTCGGCAAACATGGAATGGGAAAGAACGACATCTTTCACAAGCGCCAACAAACCGTGGTGGAAGACCTTGGGCAAGCTCACAAACACAAGAGCGATGGCAAACATGAGGGACGGTTCGGGTGCCACGTCGGCAGAAGCAGTGACCGCGCAGTCGACAAGCGCTTTGCAAAGCGCAGGAACGCTTTCGCTCAAGGACGGCATGCAAAGCAATTCGCACACTGTGACGAGTACCAGCGCTTGCGCCCGCGAGCCGTACTCTGTAAAGCGCGTGTCGTACGGTCCAGTCATGGGTGTGTCCAGGGAGAAAAAGTGCGAACCCCCCTCGGAGACCGAGACAGCACGAGCCAGGCGTTTCAGCACAATCTTGTGGTGATTGGGCGATAAAACGGGCGACGACTTGGGCAGAACTTCAATCAGATTTCCATCCTCGTCAAGCGAGGATGACGACTCGTCACTGCTTGCCGGTGAGAACGTTTGAGTCAAGTACTCGCACATTTCGGGTGTCGCGGGCGCAATCCGCCCGTCGGCTACCAGGGAAAGGAGTCGCTGGCGCAACGGCATGGTTAGGCCTGGTGCTGCTAAATAAAAGGAAAGTGTCGTAACCACAAATCTCAAAATGCTGTCGTGGTAGAGCAGCAATGGCTGGTAGCGAGCAATCAGATTGAGCGCAAGCTGAGGCCTGTTGTGTTCGATAAACCGACAAATGGCTTGCTCCATGATGGTCAACTGACGCAGAGGAGCGCAGCTAAAGACCACTTGGATGGAAGGGCTCGTTGACGGAGCCGCCGGCGACTCGTAATCAAACACTTCTGGAAACTTGGCTTGGTACTCGCGCAGCCGCACCGTCCAGCATTGCGATGTCCATGGCTCGTGAGGCAGCTTCAGGGCGACAAAGGCATCAGCTCTCTCCTGCATCTCCGGACGATGGAGCAAGCCGTCAAGCAACTGGCAAGCGATGGCAGCACGCACGCCATCAATGGTCGGCGCAGCCAGGGACATGAGCACAAGGTCAGCAGGAACGAGCCAGCGTTGCCAGATGCAGTCTGCGAGCAGGTCCAGGTGCAGCGCGATGATGGCTGGGTCCAGTGGCGCATCTGAGCGCTGAGCTGGGCCGAACGCACGCTGCAGAAAGTCGAGGACAAAGTGGACGAAAATGTCAACGTACGCAGGCATAAAGCGGGCGGGGAACTGAGCCAATAGGCGACAAACATTCTGGTGATGCAGCGCGACGCCTGGTTTGGACTTGGCGCGAAGCTTGAACAAAATGGTGTAACTCAATGGAAGCAGCACGACCTGGTTGTACACTGGCTGGTAGTGTGTCTGCAACGTCTCAAAAGTCACGCCGTCCGGGTTGCTTCCCGTAATGAGAATGTTATTTGGGTTGTATCGGTTGACGAGGAGTTGCAAATCCGTCGCTTCTCGCGTCGCGGAAAGGACAGACAAGGGATTGAGGGCCTTGAGCGTGGCTACAAGGGCTGAATCTGGTTGGTACGTGTCAGCAAAGTCGTTGATTTTGGTTGCAAGCTCGCCAAGCTGATCCAGAGTCGGTGGCGTCGCCGAAACATTGGCAGGCTTCGGGCCAAGCGTACTGGACGCTTGCTGCATGACTTTAAAGTGCTGGCGCGCAATCTCGACTCTGAGAGCAGCAACCGCCGCCAACACTTTCTGCGACGACGATTCCGCGTAAAACTCCCGCAACTCGGTCGGCATCAATGTCATCAAGCTTGCGTTGACCATGGTGGGAGCGACCGAAAAGCAATGGCTGGCATAATCGAGCATGGAGGTTCGCAACGGATCACTGTTGGAGCCAGTATCACGCGAGGCAAACGCTTGAGCAAGGCTGACCCCCACGAACTGCTGGAGTAGCGGGTGGAAACGAAAGCACGGATACTGGCGCAGCGGTTCCTCTGGGCGATTGCGCAAGCCTTTAGAGCGCGTTTCTTGCCCCAGCGCGCCCAACTCGAGCAAGTTGGTGCAGGGCAAAACACTGACTGCTCGCAAACACGCAACGGCGATCAGACACAGGACTTGACGGCTCTCGGCCACCATCGCGCTCGCTTGAAGGGCGCTCATGTACTGCAGGTGAAGCGGGAATGCACGCATACGACGCTGAATGCGGAAGGAGCACAAATCCAAAAACGAAGCAATGTAATGGTAGATTGACTGCGACTCGGGGACTGTCTTTGTCGCAAGGGTAAGCTGCACCAGTGTGGCTGGAATGGCTGCACTCATGTCCGATTTAGGCTCCCCGATTACGGTCGCCACAGCGGTGGATATGGAACACAAGACACGGTAGAGCGTTTCCAACAGCGCCGGCGCAATACTGCCTGGGTGTGTCAAGGCACCGGCTGTGAAAGCTTTGAGACCCGCCCAGAACAAGCGCACTCGAGAGGGAACGGTCAGCATGTCCAGGATGGGCAGTTCAAGGGGAGGTTTGATGCCGGCCTCGAGGCATTCGCGGAGCTCCTCGTCGGCCAAAACCTCAGGGGGAATGGGGCCGCCAAAACGCCTGGCTTGCTGAGCGGCTCCTGGAACGGCAGCACCCGCGCTTTCGAGATCGGATGGCCAGCCAAGCTCCCGAACCCGCGCGATGGTGGCCGTATCTTGCAGATAGATGATCAGGGCATCGGCTGAATCAGTGTACAATGTGGATGCAAAAACAAGTGCCTGGAGTTGCTCGCGCGTGAGAACAGGCAGCGAAGGGAACTTTTCAAGCGGGACTTTGCTCGTGTGCGTGTAATCGGTCAACGTCAGCAGCTCTTCAGGAGGACGAGAAGCAAGGCTCTTGGAATCAAGCTTGCGCAACGCGTTGAAAAAGCTCATCTGCACGATTTTCGCGCGGCCTTGGAGTACGCAAGAGTGGGTGACGGGCGAATTATGCAGCTGCAAAAAGTCGCGAGGTGAGATCGTGGTGCCAGGAAGGTGCTCACGGCGAAGAATCGATTCGCGAGTCGACGTGAGGCTCAGTGTTTGCGCAATCAGCCACGTGAGAAAGGGACTATGGGTGTCGCTCAGCTCGAGAGCGACCTTGGCCATGAATTGTGGCATGTCGCAAACCTGCGTGAAAGCCATGGCCGAGAAAAAATCGAAAAATGCGTGCCATCTCGCAAACAGCTCCAGCGGAATGTCCTCTTTCAATTGCTGCTCCGTCAGCGGAGGTGGGGGATGATGGTTGGAAGAATCGTCCCGATACGCCTGCGGATTCAGAGGGTGACGACCCAGCACATCATTCGTCAGAGCGATGAGACGGGCAACGATGGGCACCAGCTGATTTGCGGTGATGTGTCGCAAAAGGGTGCGGTCTCCAGGCCACAAGAGGGGCTCGGAACCGTGACCCGCAAGAGTTTGAATAATCACCTCTTGCAAGACGGGCTCGAGCGACCGCTGGAGACGCGCAGATGCAGGAGTGACAAAGGCATTTCTGCCCGGGTGCTCTGCGTTGGGGTCGCTCATCAGTGCAACCTGCCATGACTGGGCAGACGAGAATCCAGTGATCGGTGTGCAGAATGGGAGATGAAAGAAGGAAAGACACAACGACAAATCCTCAAACTTGGAGACCAATCCTGAAGTGAGGTCGTCAGCAATCCAATGTGTCGCGAGGCCAAACTTTTCGGGAGCAAAAGGCATTGCAGGCGTCGCGGCCTGAGTCTTGAGGGCGATCGGATGCGAGGGAAACGATTGAGCATCAGCCACGCTTGTCGTTACAAACGACGTGCCATCCGCATCCATCTCTATACTGGTAGTCGCTGCCCGTGTCGTGGCAGCAAGACGAGCAGCATGAATCTGCGGCGTGACTGCAGCTGCGGCGTAAGCACGGTCGCTCGAGTGCAGCGTTGTGCGGAGTTCATGGAACGAGACGTAGCTTGGCAGCAACCATCGCAGCACCACGGCGGCTGCTTGCTTGCCCACGAACGCGCATTCTGCCTGTCGCCAGGAGAGCCGATGTGGCATGCGGTACAAGGTTTTAATGATGTGTCTGCAAGTCGAAGAAAGGGTTGGGTGTGATGTTGTGTGTTTGTGTGAGCGTGTGCGCAGCTGAGTTACTCTGCTTGGCGTCAAAGAAGGAGAGAAACTAGCGACAAATGTTACCGTAAAACAGAATGTGCGTCTCGCATCGAGCAATAAGGCGCAAGGCGGGTTATAATGGCATATATCGCAATCCACAGGTCAGGAAGAGCTTGCTCAGCACTGATGGTCAGGCCCAAAACGACCTCGGAAACGGAAAACGTGGCATCGCGAAGGGTGCACCGGATCAGGGCTTCGGTGAGGACGGAAAGCGCCGCGCGTTTGTCGCCAAACTCAAACAAGAGGTCCTGCATCACACGAAGGGTCTTTTGTTGCGCGGTACTTCGCTCCATCTGAGAAGAAGAAAATTGTGAGAAAGAAAAGACCAGGGTGAGCGAATGCGGTCACAAACAGTGCAGCAATAGTGCATGTGGCAGTCTCGGGACAGCACACATTGTGGAAAAGAAACAGATGGAAGAAGACTTCAAGTGCAAACCAAACCAAGCGGTGGTACGCCAAAATGTAACTTACCGTGGATGTTGACAGCGGGGAGCCCGTCTCGACGCAGACTCGCGCAGCACGAGCAATTGCCTCGACTTGTACGAGACTTTCTTGGCTCGAAGTGCTCTTGAATTCGTTCATGCTGCTGCTTGTTACATGATTATGCTGAGCAGTCTGACGCGAAGCTCGTCGCGATAATGACGGCATAGCAGTAGTTGCAGTAGTAGCACTGTCAATGTGCATTGCACTGAGCGAGGATCCTTGAGTGGCTTCGCTCGCGTTGACGGCGTTCGCGTACGCCGACGCAAAGATGGATCCGTTCGCAGCATTGGCACTAGCATTAGTATGAGCATTAGCATGAGCATTACGCATCGCAGTCGCAGCGATCGCTGTGCGCTGTGGCTGGAAGTCTGCTGCCAAGCCGTCAAACGAGCCGCGCCGCAGCGAATGGAGCGTCTGCGATCGCTGTGGCTGGGTGCTCATCCCACCAGCACCATTACCACCACCACCACCACCACCAGCAGTAGTAGTAGTGGGAGCAGCAGCATCTGTCTTGCTCGACACCGTGAGAACGGACGATGGGTGCTTGGGCTGACTGCGATGATGACCAGCGTGCTGAGCCTGCTGCTGAGCTTGGCTGCTGAGCCATCTCGCATCCACAGCGTCGTGCTGTTGAATGCAAATCAGATCAAAACGGTGAGCAATCACAACGCCGCAATGGCACACCGAGAAGCACTCGTCGTGAATCAATACGAAAACGCCGGTGATTTCTGAGCAGCTTGGGGTCTGAGAATATGAGGAATATGAGGTGTTTGTGATTGTTTTGTCATTTTACCTGTAGGAGGATGCTTTTGGCTTGTGCGCGGAAGGCATCAAGCGCAGCAGCCTGCATCGAATGGGGGGGGGGAAGCGATGAGTGGAAAGGAGACTGAACGCTTCAAGCAAGGTTGGTCTTAGTCTTTGAGACAACTCAAAAGTAAACAGCCCTGGTGCTGAGAGCTGTGCATGGAAAAATTATTCATGATGATCAAGTGCGTTTCTACCCCGATTGTGGGTGAGCGGATCATCTTTTTACTGATTTTGCACTGATTTTGAACACCCCCCCCCCTCCTCACCTCTCCCCCATATGGACATGGTTGTTGGACTTGTTTGAAGCTGGTTTCATCAGTCAAACAGAGCAAGTCGGAGCGAGAGCATTTCAACACTGACTGAAAACAACCAAACTCAGGCGAAAGCGCCCTCATGCAGACCGGCTCTTGGCACCAGCAGCCATGATGGCCTCCACCTCCTCGATCGTGACAGGAACAGTCGTCAGGTTTTCGTAGCCCGTTGCGGTGACAAGGACGTCGTCTTCGAGACGGACGCCTCCAAAGCCGCGGAACTCATCCAGCTTGCTCTTGACGAGGAACTTGGACTGAGCAGGGTCGGCAAAGGCCTTCTTGAGCAGGTGCTCGACAAAATACACGCCGGGCTCGACAGTCAGGACCATGCCCTCGGCCAGCACGCGGTTGGTGCGGAGATTGCGGAGGCCAGGACGCTCGCTGCGCTCCGACGCGTCGCGGTAGCCACCAACATCGTGAGTATCCAAGCCCATCTGGTGACCAAGGCCATGCGGCATAAACACGTAGCCGAGGCAAGCCTCAATCATCTCATCAACAGAGCCCTGCAGCAGGCCACCGGCCTTCAACTGCTCGAGGATGGTTCGCTCAGCCAGCAGATGCATGTCCGTCCATTTGACGCCAGGACGCATCGCATCCATCACAGCCTTCTGCGCCTGCCGGACAGTCTCGTAGATGAAACGCTGGTTGGGCGAGAACTTGCCATTGGCGGGGTAGCTGCGCGTAATATCCGAAACGTAGCCGTGGTACTGTGAGGGAATGAGGGAGGGAGGGAGGGAGGGAGGGAGGTTGTTACCAGAGAAAAAAAGCGGGGGGTGGTGGCGTGGGGAGCAAGAGGGCAGAAAACCAACCGCAGTGGCGTGGGGAGCAAGAGGGCAGAAAACCAACCGCAAAAACGCCAACCATCCATACCTCAGCTCCCATGTCCAGAAGCATCATGTCATTCTCACGGATCGCCTTCGAGTTTTGACCGTAGTGCAGCGTAGCACCGCTGTGGCCAGCGCCGCAGATGCAGTTGTATGCAGCAAAGCGGCAACCGCCCATCGAGTAGGTCTCGTGCAAGAAGAGGCTTTCCAGCTGGTACTCCATCATGCCAGGGCGGCAGGCGGCCATCACGCGAGCATGGGCGTCCGAGCTCACTTTGTTGACATAGCGCATGACCTCGATTTCTTTCGGGGTCTTGATGAGACGGCATTCGCTGAGGGCGGCGTGCAGGAAGGACGAGCTGAGACAAGCAAGGGACAAAGAGAGCGTGAGCCTCGAGCAGAATAGACAGACAGACAGACAGACAGACACACAACCCCACTGCAACCACCAAGATTTCGGAGACTCGACTTACTCGACCTTGAACTCGGAAAGACCATCAAAGTTGGCCGGCGGCACAACTGATTTGCTGTCCGAGTTGACGCCAGTCAGGACATGAACGCCGTGTTCAGGGTTGCGTAGCCCAAACCACCATTTGAGCTCGTTCACAAAGCGAACGTGGGTCACTTCGTACTTGATGCGGAAGTACTCTTGCGGATGGATGACGCCCTCCCAGATGGCGTAGCTCGGGTCGAGCTCCGGCACAAAGAGCGTGGACTCGCCCGAGCGAATGTCCAGAGCAGCGTAGCAATCCGGATCGGTCACACCAAAGAGGTACTATTATTTGCCGCGTTGGCAGGGGGAAAAGAGACGATGAGTACCTTGAAAAGTCGTTTTTGTTTACTTTCGTTCGCTTCAAATAGACTCGACAACCTTACCATGAAGAAGCTCTCTTGGCGGAAGAGCATTTCGCGATCCGTGTCGTACTGGTGCTGGAGCTTTCCGCCCTCGAGCAGCACAACAGCATCCGTGTTTTCCTTGGCATGGAAGTGGGCGCGGTAGTAGTCGACGAGCTTGGCGCGTGTCTGCAACAATTGTATCAACAAAAGACATGAGTGGATGCACAGCAATCGAGATTTTCTGAGATTTTGTTGCTTTTTTTCTGAGATTTTTGGTGTTTGTTGCCATCAATCTCAGCGTTTCGCTCTCTCTCTCTCTCCCTCTCTCTCTCCTCCACTTGTATTCCCGCGTTGAAGCAACCCTAGTAAATATCTGCAACATTGACCATCCGCTTCTTGCGCAATGGCAAAAACTCGATGATGGAGCGAACGCGAATTTTCAACAGCCTGTCAAAAATGCATTGAGGTGCTTCTTCTGATGCGACTGCGCAGCCACCAACCAGATGCTTGGGGCATGGCATTGCGTGACATCCAAAAAAGCAACATGTATGTTGGGGAGAAAGAGGCAGGGACTTGCCTCGGCGTGGAGGGCCATCGGGACTTTGAGCGTCGAGGCGCCCATCGACCACACGGCTTTGGGCAGCGGAGCGGCAGCCGTGCCAGTGGCAGAGGCATAAGCAGCGTTGGCGGCAGCAGCAGGAGCTTCATTGACGACATAGTAGTGGGCTTCGAGGCCAGAGTGGACGACCGCGCCAGACTCGGCGTTGACAAGCGCACAGCCGCCATGATGGGGATGATGGCTGTGATGATGCTCGTGATGGTGATGCGCCATGATGGATGATGGATGAGGGCTCAGAAACAAAAATGCTGAGAAGCAAAAATTGAGGACTGAAATTATGTTGACGTTGAGAGAACAAAAAGTCTGAGAATTTGAAACGCGTTCGTCGCTATCTCGTTTCTTCCATGCGTCAGTTCAGGTCAAAATGCCTGACCGAATGTCAGTCACTGTCTCCATCTACAAACAATTTCCAAGTGCATGGTCATTATGGGGCGCTATAGAGAATGAAACGCCTCGAAACCAACCCCCCTCGAGCCATAAACGGAACCCGGAGGTTGGTCGCTGAATTTCTGTGACGAGCAAATCGAGCACTTCTCTTCCCCCCCCCCCCAGACTCACACTGCCGAATAATGCTACAATGGATGAGATTCTCGTATTCTACATGACCAAGAGTGCAAGAGGACTCCCAATTGTGATGAATAAAGAAATCCAGTCGTTTCTCAGTAAATTTCCGTTTGCTGTTTCGGCTCTTTGTTGATACTACTCTCTCTTGTTGCTTTGCTCGTGTTCCCCCGCGCTCTTGTTGCTTCACACTGTTCTATGTGTCTTGATGTCGACTCATTCAGCCTCGAAAATGAAGCAAGGCGTGCGAACGGCGGCATGTGTGGGATTGATGGGAAAAGAGTCGCATATGGATCAGACTGAGTGATGCTTGGCGGGTCAGTCTGTTGCTGGAGCATGTCGCTTTACGCGCTGCAACGCAACAGGACTGCGATGATCCATCTTACTTGTGTCTGTGTGTGGTGGGAGTGGGGATCGGAGCGTTGGGAAGGCTGATGCTCCTTCTTGAAAAAGGCAAAAAAAAAAAAAAAAAAAATCAGTCACGAAGAACAAAAAAACAAAAAAAAAAAAAAAAAACAGTAGCTCATAGAGTGATGGGAGCCGCCTCCCCGGTTCGTGCTTCTCTGACTGTGTCACTGCCAGTCGCTATAGCTATAACTGATGAGAGTGTCACTTTTGCCGAACGGAGGCTGGCCGTGTTTTTCTTATTTGCTCTCATTTTGGCTCAAGCGTTCAGACAATGTTGCTGCTAAACCCCTGCTCTGGTTTTGCTCAACTTGGATATGACAGATTATTATTCAGCACGTACCAGATGAAAGTCGTGAAGCTTTTGCTGCTGGCGGCTTGGATGTGCGTGTGCGCGCGCTCAACAATGGCTGCGCAATATCGTGCGACATGCACGGCGTATCTCAAAGGCATGAAAGTGCCTGGTGGCTGTGGATCCGGCGACGGCACTTGTGAGTATTCTTGGTGGTGGGAATTGCGATTTTGAATCCTTTCTTGCTCTCTGGTCGGCGCGTCATCTGACTCGACACTCAAGGCTAATGCCCCTCTCGAGAGGTTTTTACGCCAGAGTTTGGTTCCTTGACGGGCTTCTTTTTTTCGTCTTGCCTTTGTTTCTCAGCACAACTCGAGCTGACCGTTTTTGTTTCTTTTTCGTTTTCGTGCTCTTCACAGGTGATACTCTATGCAGTTCGTCGGCACAATTCGCGGGTGCCTCCACAGTTTCCAAGTCACTCGGGGAGATAGACGACAACGCCACTCCGAATTGGAACACGTATTACTACAACAACGTGGTCGTCAACACCTTTGGTGGCCAGATCGTCTGGTGGTTTGATTGTGAGGACTACGACCCTTGGAATGCGAACGATGATATGGGCTCAAGGACCTTCACAGTACCCATGAACACCAACGCTGATTATGGATCGGTCTCCTCTTCAACGTGGTACGATTTGGGAGGAACTGCAAGCGGAACGTTTCCGGTGCAAAACATCTACGTCGCCTTCCGCGCCAATTGCGATGCCAACTACTACAATTCGACGTGTGCCGAGTTTTGTCAAGTCGGTAATCCCCCCGCCTGTACTGCCTGCAATGCTGTGAGTGGCAATTGCACTTGCTCCGTTGGTTACACGGGCAAAGACTGCGAGTCCTGCGTTGGCTCAAACTACTGGCCAGTTGGCACGTCGGGGCAGACCGACTTCCAATGCGTGTACTGCGCGAATACATCCCTTCCCACTGCTTGCTACACGTGCGGCACAGGTGGCGTCAAAAGCTGCTGTGGCGGCTGGACTGGCCCGAATTGTGACATTTCAAACGTGTGCGGCGCGTTCCCGATGCCTCCTTTGAACTCGATTGCCGTCATGAATGCCACTTCTTGTAACTGCAACACTACTGGATGCATGTGCACCTATGCATGCAAGTCTGGCTTTTCTGGTGGCTCTGCTACCACGACGTGTCCTTCAAGCGGGCCTTGGGGCTGGAGTTCAACTTTGACCTGCACGGACAGAGACGAATGCGCTCCGGGCGGCGGCAACCAGTGCAATCAAATCTGCAACAACACCATTGGCGACTATACTTGCGCTTGCAACTCGGGATACAGCATCAACAACGCTGGCCGCGGTCCGAGCGGATGCACAGACCTTGACGAGTGCTCGACAAACAATGGCAACTGTGGCCAAAATTGCAACAACGTTCCAGGATCGTACCATTGTTCCTGTTACGATGGTTTCCGGTTGCAGGGCGACGGCAAATCATGCTCGGAGATTGACGAATGCCAAGAAGGCTTGGACAATTGCGACGGGAATGCCACCTGCACCAACACCATTGGCAGCTTTGAATGCGCGTGTTATGCCGGATTCGTGGGCAACGGCACTGTTTGCACGGACGTCGACGAGTGCGCCACTTTGCCTTGCAGTGAGTTTGCTGACTGCGCCAACTTTCCCGGCAACTTCACTTGCACCTGCCAAATCGGTTATGCGGGCAACGGCGTCCAGTGCGTGTTTGGAAATTCAGCGGCTTTTGCGGAAAGCTCGCGGTTTGTACTCCTTTCTGACGGCGTTGAAATGCTTCCTGAATTTGACGGTATTCTTGTCCTCTTTAACGTGTCTTCGCTGGATCTCATCCTCGGCGTTGATTACACTGTGGAGACCCCATCTCCGCTGGTCTTCAATCTCGGCGACATTCAAATCCATTACGATTGTGGTGATTGGCAATGACAACCCCGAGCCTCTTCGGAGCATCTTTGTTCAACTGCAGGATTCAGTAAGCGCGTTTAACAAGTCGACAATTGCCGTGGACGCCAATGACAATCCAAATGCAGTGGTACGCTTTTCCGCGGCGTCGCGCGCGTTTCGGGTGGACATTACCGCTGGCACCTACCCTCTCACGATTGAGAGGTACTCGTATGCATCACTCGTGAATGCCATCAATGTCACTGTGTGGTGCGATTTCCCAGTGCCCCAAAACATTTCGATCGTGATTCCCGCAAATCAAGTCGCAGCAACAAAGGTCATTCAGCTGCCATTCTCGTCTGTGCCTACTCTTGATGTCGAGCACACGTATACCATCGTAGATGCAACGGTAACTGGCAGTGGATCTGCCGCAGCTATCGGCTACTATTCGACTTCTCGCGTGACCGTGAACGCACACGACGACCCTTATGGTGTGTTTGGATTCAGCTTGACTCAAATGTCAGTGGCGGAGAGCTCTACGGGCTTTGTGCAGTTAAAGCGGCTCAAGGGCACTCTGGGAACTACGGTCGTCCGCGTGCGCACGTTGACTTTGAGCTCAAGTCAAACAAATGGTGTGGGAATTGCATCCCCAAGCGACTATGCCGCTGTTTCCCAGCTTGTCACTTTCAGCGAAAACGATGTCGAGGCCCAAGTCTCTATTGCAGTGCTTGCCGATGGTGTCCCTGAGCTGGATGAAATGTTTGGTCTGCTCTTGGAGTATGTGTCCGGACCTGGCCGTGTCGATGCGACATTGGCGCTGGCGTTGGTCACCATTCCCGAGAACGACAATGCGCGTGGTGTTCTCTCAATCACGCGGGCGTCCAGTTGCTTTGAAGAGTTGCCCCTTGTTGGTGGAGTTCCTCAGCTGAACAACACGGTGGCGATTGAAGTCATCCGCTCTGGTGGTCTGTATGGTGCCATTTCATTTACCTGGTCGATGCACAGCGGAAGGTTCAAGAACACGACGCTGTCCGCCGACAATCGAGCATCAGCGCCCGAAGATTACACGGCCTCTTCAAGTCAAACCGTGACCATTGCTGCTGGTGTGGACCGTGCACAGATTGAAGTGATGCTGCTTGCCGACTCAATCCCAGAGTTGGACGAGTACTTTTGGGTGCAGCTGGATTCGGCAAGCTACGGCGTGACCATAGACCCCATCAGCAACTTTACAGACGTTTGCATCGGCATGAACGACAATCCATTCGGATCTTTGGCGTTCGAGCGTGTCAGTCTCACGCCGAGTGCGACGGGCGAGAGCCGTCTGCTTGTTCGCGAGAGCGATGTGTGACTGTCGCAGTTTCGCGTGTCGGTGGCACGTTCCGCCGTGTGTCGGGAGTTGTCTCCATCGCGCATGAAACAACCAGCTCGGCTGATTTTGCTGACAGCTCCGCTCGCACTATCACGTTTGAACCTGGACAAAGTACTGCGTTGGCATCATGGACGATCAGCGCAGACAGCGCACAGGAGCCGACCGAGCTGTTCAAGCTTGTTTTGACGGCGAACGGAGCCAGCGCTGGTCAGGAAGCAACTTTTCTTGTTGGCGCGACGTCGTTGGACTCTACCATCCCGTGCGCTATTGAAGCCCAGGATGGTGTAACCGGCGTTTTGTCTTTTGTTCAACCGACAATTTCTGTTGTCGAGGATGCTGGCAAGGTCACTCTGACAGTGCAACGTGTCGGCGGAAGTGCCACAGAAGTCAGCTTCCAGACCAACGCAGTGCCTCTTTCTGCATCCGGCGACGACTTTGACGCGTCAAATCAAAACAACATGCACATCATGGCACCTTCGCAGACGAGTGTCTCGTTTGACATTGAGGTTTCAAAGGACAGTGCTTCTGAACTCGACGAGACCTTTACTGTGACGCTCGTCAACGTGACTGGTGCGACCTTGTCGTGGATGTCAGTGGCGACTGTGACCATTCTGAGGAATGACGACGTCAACGGCGTGGTTGAGTTTGCTCCCTCTTCGGGACAAAATCCACTTGTAACGACCGTCTCCGAGGACTCTGGCTTGATTCGGCTCCCTCTGTGGCGCGAGATTTCACAAGTCGGTGTCGTCACATTGAGCTTTGTCGTGACAACCGACCTCTCGTCCGATCCCGTGTGCGCGTCTCTGTCGGGTTTGGGTCTGTCCTCAGCCCCAGCAAACCTGACACGAGATGTGGACGCGGCGCCGTTTGTGCTGACATTTGGAGACGGTCAAAACGAGGCTGAGCTCGCGATACTGCTGCACGACAACAGCTTGCTGGATGGCAGTCGAGTCATGTTCATCTGCCTGAAGGATCTGCAAGGAGGGGCGCGCTTTGGTGCCTCTCAAGCGATGGCAATTGTCATTCAAGATGACGAGCATGATACCAACGAATCAAGCTCCGCTCCAGTAGCTGCAGCTGCTGCAGGCGCAGCAGCGGGAGGCGTTGTTGTGATTCTGATCGTCCTGCTGGTTGTCGGATTGAGACGTCGTCGAGGACGTTCGAACTTCTCTGGAGCCTCCAAGGGCAAGCAGCTTTCCGGTGCAAGTGATCCAACTTACGAGGCGGTGTCTCGTAATCAAATGTATGACAACAATTTACGAGTGCCAGACGAGACCTACCAACCGGTACTACAGACTGTGGTGCAAGAAGACCCCTACGAATCACTGCCACAACCAACAGCTCCCGATGAATCGTTGTTCAACACTGTTAATCCAGCTTGTGAGAAAGTCACCGAGGACAATCCCGATTTTGATGCAATGCGCGCGAGTTTCCGACCTTCGGTGCCCGTTGACAATTATGAAGACCTGTATATTGCGAGTGTCACCGCGTTCCAACAGCACCAGCGCTTCTCGAGGCATGAGCTGAAGCTCTCAACACAGCTTGGCTCGGGCAATTTCGGTGAGGTCTGGCTGGCGCATGTGCCCTCCCGATGGCTCGAAAAGAAGTCACGTCAATCTCTCTCCGTCAGCGCAACGACTGTTGCCACTGTTGCCGTTGCCGTCAAGACTCTGAAAGCCGGTGCCAGCGACAAGAGCAAGAGTGACTTTGCCAGTGAAGCCCAGATCATGCGCCGCTTCAACCATTCCAGCATTGTTTCCGTTGTCGAAGTGTTTGTCGAGGAGGAGCCCTGGATGCTCGTGCTCGAGTTGCTTCCGTACGGTGACTTGCACAAGTGCATCGAATCGTGCCACGCTCGTGGGTTGACACCAACTACAGGAGAGTACCTGCACATGTTTTCGCAAGTGGCAAGCGGCTTGTCATACCTTGCTGGGCTGCGCTTTGTGCATCGCGATATCGCAGCACGAAACTGTCTTGTGGGAGCGGACTTGGTGGTCAAGATCTCTGATTTTGGCCTGTCTCGCGAGCTCGAGGAGCAGAACTACTACCGCATGCAAACGCGTGGAGCGCTACCAGTTCGCGTAAGATGCTCGTCTTGGAAAGTTTGTTGTTGGTGCGTTGCTCACTCGGCATGGTTGGATGTGTTTTGGCGTGTGTTGTGTTTCTGCAAATTCAGTGGATGGCGCCCGAGTTTTTGCTCTTCCGCAAGTCGTCGCCTGCATCAGATGTCTGGGCGTTTGGAGTTCTCATGTGGGAGGTCATGTCCGCGGGTGTGTTGCCATACAAGGGCGTCGATTCCAAAGCCATCGTGCAGTTCCTCGAAAGCGGCCAGCGGCTGTCTCGTCCACCGCTTTGCAACGACAAGCTTTGGGCGTTAGTCTCGAGTTGCTGGACTTGGGAGGTGACCGACCGTGTTGATGCCGCACAGCTCTATGCTGCGTTTACGGGAATGGCATTCGACAACCCCGAATTGGACTCCGTTCGCGACTTGGGAGCCCTGCTGGCCGGAACCAGTTCGTTTATTTGATTGGACTCGAGTCTTGCCCCGTTCTATTTGTGCATGTTGTCTGAGATTTTACAAGGAAGAACTGTTTGTTTCACAAGCGCCCGGTCATCATTGGTATGAAAAAGAAGAACAAAGCCTCGAACGGATGATGCAGCGGGGCTTAAGACGACGACGAGACGGTGTAGTGGACAGTTGGCAGCGAGCGCAATCGTTCGGCAGCTTGCTCGGCGGTAATGTCACGGCAAATATCAGCCACCATTTCGTAGCCGACCAAGAATTTCCTGTTTGTCGCATTCAACGCAAAGTGAGAAAACAAGGGCTCGAGCAATCAAAAGAACAAAATGGTGAAAAGAGTTGCACTCACTTGACACTGGCGCTGCGAAGCAGCGGCGGGTAAAAGTGCATGTGCATGTGGTACTCGCCAGATGCAAGCATCGAGTTCGGGCTCGAGTGAATGCCCATCGAGTACGGGAAGCTGCACTCAAAGACATTGTCGTACTTGCACGTGAGCTTCTGCAGAATGGCAGCGAGGTCGACCTGTTGCTTTTCGTCGAGCTGAGCAATGCTAGAGGTTTAGAGGACGGCCCAGGCAGAGCGAATATAAAAAGCAAGGAGGAGAACGAGACCAATTGCAAAAGGCAGAGCCGAAGCGAGACAGACGAGACAGAAAGTGAGTGCGCTGACATTGAGCAAAAACGGGAACAAGAACTAAAAACCAAACATCTGGCTCTCACCTCGACGTGTGCGTGCGCGGCAGAACAAGCGTCTCGAACGGCCAATAGGCCCACCATGGCACAAGAACAACAAACGAGTCGTTTTCCAGCACGATTCGCTCCTGCTTGCTCAGCTCGAGGGCGAGGTAGTCGCACAGCAAACACGAGTGCTTGTCAGCGCGGTGCAGACGGAAGGAGGCAACTTCCTGCGAGACCTCCTCGGGCACCGTGTCCGAGGCCCAGACCTGGCCGTGCGGATGCGGGTTGGAGCATCCCATGACCTCGCCTGTGAGCCACACGACGATGTGTTAGTATCGAGATGATGATTCGCTCAGTGGCAAGCAAGGCGGGGGGGGGGGTTTGTTGCCGGCTGGTCTCAGAATCCGGCTTTTCCAAATTTCGCTCAGAGGTCATCTCAGATTCCGAAAAATGGTCACCCAAAACTCACCCTTGTTTTCAAAGAGCTGCGTGTACTCGTACTCTGCACTGAGCTCCTTCTGCTGACGCATCCACTCGTGCACGACGCCGGTAATCTCCTCGGTGGACATTTGCGCCATGGTGAGGTTGTGCTTTGGCGAGAAGCACATGACATGGCAGCGACCGCGCGTCGACTGAGCCTACCAATTGAATGAGAAAAACAATACAAATGGTTTCAAGAACACTGTGTGAGCGACATTGGATCAGGACAATGGGTGGTGGTTGATACAATTCGCAATAGATTTTCAATTCATCTACCACAAGTAAGCCATCGCCCTCGGAGACGCTGCCGGCGGGAGTGTCGCTGAGCAATGCGGAAAAGTCGTTTCTGAAGGCGAACGTGTGCTCGTACTTGTCGTTGAGCTCGCCAGTGACGCGCTTGTTGCCTGGGCACAGGTAGCAGTTGGGATCGTACTCGGGGCGCGTCGAGCCGCTCGTCTTCTCCTGCTGGCCCTGCCACGGGCGCTTGGCACGGTGCGGCGAGCACAGAATCCACTTGCCATTCAGCAGGTTCAGGCGGCGGTGCGGGTGGTCGGTCAGCGAGAACGAGCTCGATTCAGACATGGTGTGGAAAAATGGAGGAAACTCAGACTGAGGAAGACGGAGATGGAAAGGTACATGTATTGATTCGAATAGGCAATGGAATCGGAAAGAGTGTGTGTGTCTGGTCAAATGTGTTTGAGTCAGAGGTTGATCTATTCAAAACGCAAAACATCCAAATGATTCATACAACCACGCGAAAACAAAAACCAAAAAATCCAATAACACGGAGGCAAAAAGGGACCCAACAACAAAAAGCCGAGGCTTTTTTGAAAGCCTGTCGTGTTGGTTTGTTTAGCCAGTGCGCATGGCAGCACGCTTGGTGGTGATTGCTTGGAAACCGGCCTTGATGGCGGCGACCGAGCATGTTGAGCCGCAGGTCTCGCATTGCAAGAAGGAGAGACGGTTTTCCTTGGTGAGGTTGGTCTCGGGCGATTTGCAAGTGTGGCATGTGACGTACTCGCGAATGTAGTGTCGCAAAACGGTCTCCATCTGCTTTTGTTGGAAGCGACCCTTGACAATCAAGTGGTTGTTGCCGTCCATCGAGCCAGTGGTACCGAGTTCGGAAAGAATGAACAACAGCACGTGATCTTGCGTGCGTCGCATCAGCGAGCAAATCTCCACAAAGTTGACCAGCGCGCACTTCTTGGCGCCGATGCGCAGCACTTGAGGAGGCTTCATGACGAATCGTCGCTTCTCGCCCACCGCCACGGTCGGGTTCTTTGCACGCATAATGTCGAATACGCGTTGCAGCAGCTAAATTTTTTGGGGAGGAGGGTAGGGCGTTGGAAAAAGTCCAAAACAAAAAAATGAGAATCTTGGAAAATCAACGCAAGCATGACATGACCCCCAAATCAATCCAAACGCATGCTTACCTCTGGATATGTGTAATCGCGGTCCGAGCCAAGCCATGTCTCGGCGCCGGCAGCAACAGGAGCCTTCTCCTCTGATGCAAAGACATCTAAAAATCCAAAAACGGAACAAGAAACATTGTGAGCGCTCGCTTCGAACAACCAAAAAACCAATGGCCCATCACTGTGCACGTCATCAAAAAGACATACCGTCTTCTTCTTCGCCGGCTTCAGCAGCCTTCTTCTTCTTCTTCTTCTTCTTGCCAGAGAGGTCGAGGTCGCCAGTGTCGTCGGCGGGGGCATCGTCGCCAAACATGTCGTTTTCGGCGGCCTCGGCAGCAGCGACGGCAGCCTCTGCATCCAACTCTTCATCGAGAGCCTTAGACTTTTTCTTCTTCTTCTTGATCGAGGTGTCAATCTCCTCGAGCGGCTCCTCGGCGACGGGCTCCTCTTCGGCAGGGGCTTCTTCGCTGGCCGACTTTGACTTTTTCTTCTTCTTCTTGCCAGTCAGGTCTGCGTCTGCGGGTGCGGCCTCCTCGTTCACTGGGACATGGACAGGCAAGCGTGAAGTGAGACAGGCGACAAGCAGAAGAAATGGGGCCAGTTGGCACAACTCTCGATACTCTTTTGCGGCGCACTGCACCACCATGTGCGCACCAACCGTCACACTACAACAGCCACTGATCTTGCTTGTGCAGACGAGGAGGGCTCCTCGTTCGGCGCTCGACGTTCAGCGTCATTGTGAATGCCATTGCGCCTCCTCCTCTCCTCCGTCCGCTGTCCGAGCGCGCGCACCCCAAAACGAACAAAGACCAAGCACCCTCCAATGGTACAAATCACAGGTTTCGATTCTTACATGACAGGGCCTCTGTCTTGTCGGTGAGCTCGTCGACGGCTGGCGACGCGCCGTCCTCCAAGTCGAGCGCTGGCTTCTTCTTCTTCTTCTTCTTCTTGAGCGAGAGGTCGAGCGACTGCATTTCACACACACACACGCACAAGCACAGAGAGTGAGTTTGGCAAACGGTCGTCGTGGATAGAAGGACGGGATCTCAGTGTTTTCTACCCCCCCCCTGATAAAGAAGAGGGAAAAGCAAAGGGGGGCGGCTCGTTTGTGTGATGCATGTGATACAGTGTAGAGAGGGGGAGCCAAAGCGGTCTGCCTGCCCCCCCCCCCGCTCTCATTCAAAGTGCGCCGCCGCTGTGAGAACTTGGAAAAAAAAAAAAAAAAAAGTCAATGGAAAAGTCAATGGAAAAGTCAATGGAAGGGGGAAAAAAAAAAAAAAAAAAAAAAGCACATGGAAAATCAAAGGAAAAAAAAAAAAGAAACGCGTTTGTTGTGACGAAGAGAGAGAAAAGGCCCGAGTTTGAGAGAAAGAGAGAGAAAGATAAAAAGAGAGAGAAAGAAGGAGACGGTGTTGAGGAGTGGAGAGAAGCGAGTGGAGGGGGCTGCATTGAGAGAGAGAGAGAGAGAGATGAGCAAACAATGTTGCAATCGACCCTCCATCTCTCACTCTCTCTCGCTCTCTCGCTGTCCCTCTGTATCCACTCGTGGCGCTCTTGTTCTATGTTCAGCTGGTTCCAACAAGAAGGGGGGAGGGAAGGGGGGCTTTTCGTCTTCAAGCAGAGGGGAGCAGCTGCTGGGAATGGAACCAAGCAACAAAAAAGCTCACTCACGTCTTCCTCCATGACAGTGGGTTGATTTGGATCCGTCATGACGAAATCGAAAACAAATAAAAAAAATGAATGGAAGGAAACAAACCCCAAAAATGCAAAATCAGAGTCAGTTGGGGCGGGGGGAGAGAGTGCTGCATGGAAAAACCCAACAAAAGATTGCGGCAATCCATCAATCTCAGCAGGGAGAAGGCTCGCTCAATTTGAGAATGAATTGAAACCTTTTGTGATTTTTAGAGCAAGTGTGGGGATGTGGGAGGTTGCAATCGATGGGGGGCTTTGCAGTCGAAGCCGAAGAGCCAGAAATCCGTTTTGGCTGAGCATCTGATCGGTTTTGCCAGTCTACTTTCTTACTCTTTGACTTCTTTGACTTCTTTGTTTTTTTGTTTGTTTGTTTGTTTCAATCATCATCATCATCGAGTTCAACCAATGACGCAAAGGACACGCAACGCTGTCATCGTCAACCTGCTGTGGCTGTTGCTCTTGACGCTGAGCTGGAATGCCGGCGAAACCCGCGCAGTGGTCACCGTTGTGGACTGGCAGCCCAATCAGACCGTGCAGACGCTCTCCATCAGCACTGGCGATCCCGTCATCTTTACCATCAGCCCTTCATCCAACCTGTATCTCATTCGACCCGGGGCGTGTTCGGCGCCGTCGTGCTGCGCGTTTGATCCCGCGCAGGACCTCTTTGTCTCTGCTGGCGGCGCGTCTGTCGAGCAGAACTACTACGCTCCGGGCGTCTTCTACTATGTAAGCACGGCACTCCCCAAGCCAGCGCAGAGAGTGCAGAGAGTGGAGTAAGCAGTGTAGGAGTCAAAGTGTGTAGAGAGAGTGGAGGGAGGGAGGATGAGTATGCGGAGAGTCAGCGCGCACCGTTCGTCTGCTATCAGCCCACCCCCTTTGCCACCCTCCACCATCCCCTGTTCCTCGTCTCTCTCTCTCTCTCTCTCTCTCTCTCTCTCTCTCTCTCTCTCTCTCTCTCTCTCTCTCTCTCTCTCTCTCTCTCTCTCTCTCTCTCTCTCTCTCTCTCTCTCTGTTCCTCGTCTCTCTGTTCCTCGTCTCTCTTTCCTGTCGTTAAAACCGCGAAAATGGAGAAACAAAAAATAACAAAAAATCCAAAAAACAAAAAACCGCATCACTTTCGGCGAAATCCACGTTTTCTTAAAAAGGAGCGACGATGCGTATTTTGGGGGAAAAGGCGGAAAACGTGAGCACCGCATTTGGGGTCGCTGACCACCATATTTAGTGCTGAGATTTGCATCCGACGAAAAATGGTGAAGAAGAAAAAGGGAACCAAAAAAAACGCCAAGAATGAGAACGTCACTATTGCCGCTCGTCACCCCGCCCCCCACCTCAGCTACAAATCCAGACATGCACAATTACCGCCCTGTCATCTTGAACAGCAACGCAAGTTTTCCTTGGAGTGTCTTTGGCTCTTGCAGGAACACTTTTTCAAGACATATGCCAATTTTCCAACGTCGTTTGAAGCTGCGCCCGTCTTGTTTGCTCGCTCACTTGTGCTCTGTTTGTTGTTGCTGTTATTTTAGGCATCCGCCGTTGGCTCGCAGTGTACTGCTCAAGGACTTTCACTAAGAATTGAGGTGGCTGGTATGGTCATGCCAAACCCTGCCGCGTCCTCTGCGACTGCGGCGAGCAAGGCCTCGATGTCAATCGCATCCGTGGCATCGGTCGGATCGGTCGCATCGGTGTCCGTCGCATCAGGGGCATCAGTCGCCTCTGTAGCTACCCTGTCAGTGTCCAAGGCCTCGGTCGCATCCGTCGAATCTGTCAATTCAGCTGCTTCCGTTGAGGCTGTGCAGTCCGCCGCCTCCGTTGCATCTGCAGAATCTGTTCGCGGCATTCTATCGGCCGAATCTGTCGGCTCGCTCGCATCCGTCGCATCTCAACGTGCTACACAGGCATCCGCAGCGTCAAAATCCCTCGCGTCGCGGGCATCCGCGGCGTCAACCTCAGCTGCCTCCCTTGCGTCCGTATCCTCGACAGCTGGCCCGATTCAAGACAGCGAGTCGTCGTCCAACCTTCCTGTTATTGTCGGAGCTGTCGTGGGCGGCGTCGCGCTGCTTGCATTGCTGGTCGCTGGCGTTCTCATTCGCCGTCGTCGCCGAGCTGCGCGTGCCTCAATTGACAAGCATAGCTCGCAGGCTCTCCCGTTGCGCTCTGTTGTCGTGACAAACGACGAGCCAATGTACTCTGCGCCAGACTACAAAACGACCACTGGCGACGAGTCAAACTATGCCACTCTCAACAGCTACATCGACAACTACGACTTGACAGCATCGTCTCGCGTCTACCAGACAATCGTGCCCATGTCTTCACTCTTGCGGAGCAAGCTGGTTCTCGGAGCCAAGCTGGGCTCGGGTGCGTTTGGTGTCGTGCTGCGCGGGCAGCTTCCTCGCGACATCATCCCCAACGACTCGAAGCACCTGCTGACAAGCTCGTCGCAAGCGCGCCTTGATGTTGCCGTCAAGACCGTCCAAGCCGATGCCTCCGAGAAGGAGAAGCGCGACTTTGTCGAGGAGATGCGCATGGTCACACAGTTCAACAACCCCAACGTGGTGCATTCCATTGCAGCGCTTCTTGACGCAGACCCACTGATGTGCATTCTTGAGCTCATGCCCTACGGTGATCTTAAGGCCATGCTGACCAAATCCGGAGACGCGCAATTTGCTTGGACGCTCGGCGAACAGGCGCACGCCCTGACTCAGGTCGCTGCTGGTCTCGAGTATCTCGAGTCGGTTCGTTTTGTGCACCGCGACATTGCTGCACGCAACTGCCTCGTTGGCGCTGGCCTTTCCGTGAAGATTTCGGATTTCGGCTTTTCCCGCTCTCTGGCCCAAGACCAAAACTACTACCACATGGAATCCAGAGGCAAAGTTCCGTTCAAGGTGAGCGAGCTTCAGAGCTTGATGGGACAGAGATTGGCGTCTTTTGAGGAAGAAGGGAAAGGAGCAAGGTCAAAAAGGGAGGACGTTTTTGCATTTTGTTGCAGGCTGAAGCTCACATCGTTCATAAAACACCAGTGGATGGCTCCCGAATGCATCTCGTACCGCAAGTTTACTCATCAAAGCGACGTGTGGGCGTTCGGCGTGCTTGCCTGTAAGAGCAGCGATTGTTGGTATCGTCGGCTAACATTCAGGTTTGGGAACTGGATGAACTGACCTGCTTGTGTGATGACAGGGGAGGTGTTCTCTTATGGCGAGGTTCCGTATCAAGACTTGAAACCTCAGGAGGTGATTTCGTATTTGGAATCGGGACTTCGGCTCAAGCAACCAGCGGTTTGTGATGACGAGGTCTACAATCAGATGTCTGCCTGCTGGAACTCAGAGCCTCAGGCTCGTCCGACCTTTTCTGTCTTGAAGGCGTACTGGGCTGCGCTTTGCAAAGACCAAGAGATTCGTGACATTGGGCAATTGCTCAGTCTCTAATGGCTTGAACATCGATTGGGGTCGGGGTGCCGCAAATCTGGTCAAACTTGTACAACAACAATATCATGTCGATAGAAAAATGGAGCAACCAGCGAGCAACAACACTTCATGAATGTATTGGTGTGAGGGTTTAGAAGACTGTATAGAGCTCCAACAATCGTGCAATAACGGAAAATCTTGCTGTTTTCTACTTGATATAACGATCCATGAATTTACGGTGAAAGTCTGAACGAAGACTGTCGTTAATGAATCGCTTCTCGTGGGTAGGCGCGTCTTTGGCACAGTTCTTGAAAACAACATCATCGTCCCAGCCTCGCTTGACATTAAAGTCGTTTGAACTTTGTGACGGCGCTTGGTTTCGAATCCGCTCCTCTTCCTGTCGGCGCTCAAGCTCCTATTTTTGTGTGTTTCAGATACAATCGTCAGCATCGAGATGGCATGGAAGGCAAGACTATCATATCGCAATTCGAGCGTACCTTTCGTGCTTGCTCTTCAGCGCGCTCTCGCTTGATCTTTTCCAGCTCTCGCATCAGTGCCTCGGTATCATCATCGTCATCATCGTCATCATCATCATCGCCGTTGTCATCATCATCGTCATCATTGTCCTCCTCTGCTTCACGTCGTGAATCTCGCGCGTGGCCGTCATAATGGTCGTCTTCGTCATCGCTACGATCTCGTCGCTCTGCATGGGCCTCGTCATCATCCGCATCGTCATCATAACGCGACCGTCTAAGGCACGAATGAAATGAAGCAATGAACGTGTTGAGCAAAGTACGCACGACAACATGGTACGGAAAAAAAAAAAAAGCAAAAAAAAAAAAAACTCCAAAAACCAAATGCACTTACGGCTGACGTGCTTTGGACCGTGATCCAGCGCCTTGGTTGGTCAAGGTTTCATCGTCGGCATCTAGTTGAGCTACGAGAGAGTCGCGTCAAGGGATTGCACGTGTAATCAGAACCGAGAAGTGGCAACAAGGTGAGTTGTTCTCGAGTTTGGTCTGGAAACAGACATCCCTTCTCTCTCGGGTGGTCGATGAAAACCCAGCATCGAAACTAAGCAATGCAACTGACCGATGGATGCATCGACGAGCCTGCGCATGGGCGGCCGTGCTCCCAGTGCAGGCATTGCTGGAGCCGCAGTGCTGTTTGCATTGGAACCAAGGAGCTTCTTGTCGCGCGCCTCCTGCTCGCGGAGTTCAAGCTCGCCCTTGAGATCGCGGTTCTTCATCTCCTCTGCGTTGCCTTGGCCTGCTTGACGGACCTGCAACCAAAAACAAGACGAGGAGAGGGAGTTGGTCGACCGTTCAACGATCAAACAACAAGTCAGGCTCGCTCTCCACAGCAGCACCGCTCTGGCAGTCGCCCCCTGCTGGCAATGGAATGTCGTAAGGTACCTTGAGCACGGTTTGGCTGGCGAGGTCGCGCACGGCGACAGAGGACGAGACTGGTCGAGCGACGCGCGAGCCGCCAACCGCCGAGTTCAAGTCGAAGGATCGGCCAGACATTCGAGTTGGAAGAAGTAGAAAAAAACAAAAAAATGAGAGACTGAAGGGCATAAAAGTAGCAAGTAGATAATACCAGCAAGAGATGAGCCAAGTAGATAATACCAGCAAGAGATGAGCTTGAGGAAGAGAGACAAGAACATGTCAGTCTTCTTTTGTTGGTTGAAAAATTGCATTGCAATTTGGGACGACTCCTGGTAATACCTTCCAGCCCTCTTCACCAACATTTCTCCCCCCCCCCTCCTCTCCGCGTCATTTCGATGACGAGTCATTTGCTGTTGTCTGTTTCAGCTTGGTTCATGCTGCGCGTCCCACAAGCACCTTCTGGACACGCAGTTGCGTTTGTCCGCTTCATGGAACCCTCGCGAATCACTGGAACCGCAACTCGAATTGACTTTCGGACGAAGCCTTATGCTTCACACTGATCACCTCCCCGCCGCGACACACTCGCTATGTCATGTTGTTGGTTTGGCTATTTCAGGTTGCTAGTTGCGACCCACAGGCATTTCTAGACGCGCCTCGGCGCGTCAGCCGTTCGCGGAACCAACTTTGAAACCGCTGGAGAACCGAACTAACCACAAACCGACATCGTCGCTTCCCTGTCTCCTCCCGCCCTCTCCAATGGATATAAATTTCCCAAGGCCTGTAGTGCACGAGCATACAGGCTCGCTAATGCTATGTCATATGACCAGACATGGCTCTCTGCCAATTTTGTGTCTCCAAGCTCCTTACACCCATGTCCATGCTCCCGCTCCTTTCCCCGTGGTTTTTGAGCATTTTGATGCTTTTCCACTCTCTCCTCCCAATAAACTTAATACAAAAAAAAAAAACAAGAACATGAAACAAAAACAAAAAGGATAAAAACAAAGTTGAGGAGAAAAAAAAAGGGTTATCATTCCTTCTTGAACCAGACCAGCCACCAAGGCATGTTATTAGTGGCATCCCTAGAACAGCGTATATCAAGAGTCAGTTGCAGATGGTGAAATAACGGGGCACGACAAGATGAAAACTTGAATGTGACTATCTTTGATTGTTGGAAGACACAAAAGGGACATTGACAGTGGAAGCAAGTGGAAGCAATGGGATAGTTCAAAGCAATCACTCAGAAACAGCCTCTGCTGGGAGGCAGGCAAGAACAGCCTGCTCAGTTTGGTTGAGCAGGTCTTGGACGTGGGGATCAAGATCTTCGCGGTCGAGACTGCCCATGAAGTCCCCAGCTTTCGGCATCAAGTCGTGGCCGCGGACCATCTTGACATACGTGGTCCAAAACAAGACCCGATTCTTGCGATCAAACGAGCAGGAGGACGAGGACGAGGAGGAGGGGGTTGTCAGCTGGGCGAGCAGAGAGTTCCAAAGCACGTCCGGGTCGTTTTCCGAGTGCAGAGAGTTCCAAAGCACGTCCGGGTCGTTTTCCGAGTCGGCGAGCACGCGACCGAGCATGGCCACGCCGCCATCGTTCTCACTTGAAGCCAAATCACTCGCAGGGTCTCGCGCTGGCTCGTCGGAAGCTGAATCACTCGGAAGGACCGGCTGAAAGACTGCCGCGGTACTCGCGCCGAACAGACTGCCAAATGCATCAAAGCCATCTGGAGTCGGTGGATTCGAGGCAGCAGACGCTCGGTCTTGGCGTTTGCTTTCGTCGGCGAAGATTGGCTCCTTGCACTTGCCGCAAAGGAGTTTGAGATCGGCTTTCGGAAGCTTGCGGAGCTCATCGTTCGTCATGGTGGCAAGCCTGTCAGCAGACCGTTGCATGGTCCCTTCAGGCTCGCAATGGTGCGCTGCTGTGGGCGGCGGTTTCTGCTTCGACTCCTTGCAGAAATCTCTGAAGGTCGAGATAAAGTACCACTTGCACTGCGGAAGGGCCCGAATCGTTCTGACACGGAGTGCGTCTACGTCCACGCTCTTGAGCAGTCGGTGCAGAATCAAGTACGACTCAATACACGGCAGCAGCGTGTAGATGACGGGCGCGCCAACAACTTGTGTGATCCGAGCCTGGGCGGCTGGGAGATCGGGCGAAGCGGCGTACATGTCACTGTCTCTGAGAAAGACGTGCTTGAGCTTGGCCTGCGTCAGAATGTTGGAAAGATTCTGCTTGTTGACGGCACCTGACGTGGTCAGAAAGTGGAAGTGCTGGCCGAGGGTCGTGTACTTGCTGTAGAACGCCTGGTCGTTCGTGCCTTCCAACACGAGCAGTGGCTTGCTGCTCTTGACCTGGCTGAGGGCGTTGAGGATTGGATAGAGGGAAGGTTGACCTTGATCGTCCTTGGGCAGTTCGCCTGTCAGCTCGACGGCCTTGCCATCCGGATTGAGGAACATAATCTGTTGATCCGTCTTCAAGCGCGGATCGATGATGGCGCGCGAGTTGGTCGCGACAATGAGCTGAATGTTGTGCTTGGCGCACGTGCTGACGAGAAAGTCATACAGCTTGGCTGTCACATTTTCATAGAGCAGTGCCTCGAGCTCGTCGATGAGGAAGATGCGCTGCTTGAAGGTATGCTGGTTCTGGCTCAGCCTTTTGTCTTTTTTGGCAGCTTTGGCATTTGCGACAGGCGTCAGATGGTAGAGGAGTGTCAGGATGGCAATGATCTTCTGAAGGGAGCCGGCACAGGCACCAATGTCGAGGGGGACGCCGTTCTCGGTGACTGTGGTAATTGCAGGTCCATCTTCGGTTTCTTCGTTTGGTGTCATGACCGTGGCCTGGAAACCGAGATGACGGAGTCCATCGTTCACGAAATCTTTTGCCTGAAACACGCGCCAGCGTAGATACTGAACGCCAGCGGTCAGGAACGGCTCATCTCTGTGTAGTTCTTGCGCACGGTCGCCCCACAGATAAGTCGGTGGCATGAAGGCGAAGCGGATTGGGGCGAGCGACTGGTGGTTGTCGGGTTTGCCTTGAAGCAGCCCTTTGTCCAGCGAGTACTCCAGCATCACGTTCTCGTTGGTGTGATGGTACGTGGGGTCAAGAAACGTGCCAGTCAGGGTGAATTTCTTGTTTCGCGCGCCGACGCGAACGAGCGTATCTGGCGACTGATACTTATTTCTAAAGAACCGATCACCAAAGAGGTCTTCCAGCTCATCTTCGAATCGGAAAACATCCTTGCTGAAGTGCTTGGAGCTGGGGACACGGGAGTTGTGGCCGCGCAGGAAGATGAGAATTGCCCAGAGGACTTGCGTCTTGCCCGAGCCGTTCGCGCCAACGATAATCTTGGGGCTGGGTGTCAGGGTGAGCGTGATATCCTCGAACTTTTTAAAGTTCTGGAGGCGCAGCTGGTGCAGACTGAGGTACAGTAAAGAATGAGCGATTTTGCGCAAGGCCGCTATCTATTGCAAATATCATCACGACACATACCGAAACTCTGACTGCGTTTCAACTTGAGTGGCCGAATCCATGAAGGGCGTGAATAAGAAGGAAGAAGCGGCGGCGGCAGAATACAAAAAAAAAAAAAAAAAAAAAGCGCGCGAAAATTTTGCAAGAAAGCCGCTCAAAGAAGAAAAGCCAAGACTGCATGCAAACTGCAATTCGAATGGTTTCAGCTTGAGGCTGTCAACGAGCTGAAAGTACTTGCTGACGTTGCGATTCATCATTATCGATTTGTTTAACTTTCAAAGTTTCCGAAAATGTTTCAAAACTTTCAAAAGTTTTGGAGGAAACAGGTTGCCGGGCAAGGCATGTACCGCTACCTCCATTCAGGAGAGAGAGAACGAGTGAAACAAAAAGGGAAAAGAAAAACCTGAAGGGCATCAGACAAGCGAAAGGGGAAACAAAAACCAAAAAAACGTTAAGCAACAAAAAAAAAGAGTTACAACAAGCAGTATTCCCGCGTGGTCTCCCACCGCAGTACTAACTACTCTCATGGTGGTTTAACTTCGCAGAGCGGAACGGGATGCGGTGCATTCCACCAGATATGGCCGTAACTGAAATACAGTAGTTGGGTGTTTGGCTGATATGTGAGCATGGAGCGGGGTGAGTGAGCGCAGACAAAAAGGATGAAAGTGGTGAGTGACAACCTCGGCTTCAAGCTCGTCACTGAGTCGACACACCCGCCCCGACCCTCCATGAATCAATGTCAAATATGTTTTGCAACGCCATTGTCGTCAAGTGAGTCGGATGTTTGGTGGAAATTTCGATCTGGACGGCTTGGAAATTTTGCAGAAAGTTGTTTCGAGTTCTGCCGAGCCAGACAAGCTCGTTCGGCCCAAAGTCGAGTTTCTCTGGGGTCCTGATATCGTCCAGTTAGCGAAAATAGTCAGGTGTTGACGATGCGAGGCCTGGTGTTGGTTGGCCAGCGGTTTGAAATGCCGGAAAGGTCGACAATGCGAGATTGCTGCAAAAGGTAACACCTTTTCAACGCCATCCGGTTTTCGACCAATCACGGAAAATCAAAAACAGCTGCACGCCCACGCTTTCCCCTCCAGCCTGGACACAGACTTTGCGTGAATGTTTGCCAGGATTTGAGTTGCGGTTGTCCAGCCGGCAAAGGTAGCCGGTGGTAGTTTCAATAAGGATTTCGCGTATTCTTTATTCGGGATTGTTGTTATTGCACATTTGCCATCAATCAATCGATGTGACCTAGCCAATAGGTTTAAGACCCAACCCATGGGATCGCGGAGTCTCACAGAGCTTGATTGTTTGGCATTTCATGCTCTCGCATTCTTCGAGAACTGGTTTGGTCGTTTTTTCCGCGAGCCAAATTGTGGCCTTTGACTATGCCAGAGCAAGGAAAAGCAAGACATCCCAACATGTCAGCCGTACCTGTGCCTGACTCGTGTCATCTTGGACTACCCGGCGAGATCCGGACGAAACACTCACTTGTGGCGTCGTCGCTCACCAGCGACATTGGCAACCAGCACGGCCACCAAACTACACGAATCAACACCCGGCCCAGAACTGACTTATCAGAATGTTGATCACAGCGGCACTGTCGCAAACGTCGAGAATCCAACCTATGAAGCATTGTCTGCTCCAGTCGACCAAGCCTTGTACGAACACGTTGACTCAAAGCCCCAAGCATCTGCGGGGTTGTCGGAAGTGACATATTCCGAAGCAGCTGCATCCGGTGTCCAGTACGCTGATCCTTCGCTGCCCAATCCCTCGTCTGTTCGTGCGCCATCCGCGCACACACCAACCACTTACGCCACTGTCACTGTACCTTCTTCGGAGGCCGGGAATGGGGACGACGCGTAGCTTCCCCGTTGGTTCTCTTCGGGTTGAATGCCTTGTTTTCCGTCATTGCATGCATCTCTTTTGCTCTGGTGTCCGCTTGTTTCAATACCCAATTCAACAATGCGACCGAAGCGAATGTTCCATTATTGTTTGAGTTGGCCGCTTGTCAGCAGAAATAATTGAAAAAGTGCCCTGGCAGAACAATGCAAATGTTCGATAACTGCGCCAGAAATGATTGCGAGCTTCACCAAGCAAGCGCTGTTTTGATCGTGTGAGTAGTGGTTACTACCACCCTCATCGGTCGGCTATTGAGCGTTGAAAGCGAAAATACTCCCCAATCAAAGAGTCAGGGATTGCCCGAGCGAATCACTCTTTGTTTGTTGTGTTGCTTTTTTTTTTTTGGTTTTTTCGTTCACTCTGGACGTCCTTGCTTCAAATTGTAAGCCACAAGCGCATCATCAAAACGCACACACACACACACACACACACACTAGTCCGCTGCTGCATTACGATCTTCTCGCTTGTCGGTGTGCATTCGCATTGGAAAGGTCGGGCAGTTCGCACCTCAAAGGAGCGGGATGTTGAGCGCACAATCCACGAATGACGATCAGCACTCCTTCTCTGTCTCGCTCCCACCCTCCCGCCTCCGACCCTTGTTGCTGCGCTCCTGTCGAAGCAAGCTTCATCAACTCAAGTTGTACAAGTGATGAAGCGGAAGGAGCAGCGGGGCCCGCTGCTGCGAGGGTGGCCTTGGGTACTTTATCATGGAACCCAAAGCGAATCACTGATTGGCAAAGTCTGATGCGATGATGCGTCCCCTCGCTCTGCCGCTCACTTCAAGGCGAAAGGAGACAACAACAACAACAAAAAAAATTAGCGAGAGTGAGTCAAGAAGTGCACGCGGGGGAGAGGGGCAGACCAGAGCAACTTGCTTGGTGGCGGCAACCAAGCTCCAAATCAAGCCAAACCCCACCACCTAAAACACCTAAAGCGGGACAAAAGTCCCCGCCCGACTCTATATTTGCAACTGGAGCAAATGCATCAAGTCATCCATCCACACACAACTGGGTTTCAAACACTGTGAAAATTGCGGGCCAGCGTTTGTTGATATGCTGCGAGCTGACTCTGTCAATTCTCTCGAATTCACAACAAACCAGAGATGACACCACCAAAAGGGGTTGCCTTTGGTCTTCTTCTACTGCTGTTCTGCGTGGTTTATCGCATTGAGCCGGCACAAGCAGCCAATGCATGTGGGTCTGGCGGCGTGTGCGATTGTTCGTCGGGAACAATTGTCGATTGCTACAGCCGATCTCTCACAGCCGTTCCCAGCGGAATCCCAGTCGCCACCACGACCCTGTACGTGTTGCAATAGAGTCGAACTTGTATTGAAGCAATTGCCCTGCTGATCTGGCACGCGGTCGATAGGTATCTGCATAACAACCAGATCGCCAGCATTTCTGCCGCTGCATTTCCTGGCCTGACTGCGCTGACGGTCTTGTAAGCCAACAAATGATGCTGGGAGTACGAATCACACACAAGCGGCTCACTGTAGACATCTGTATCTGTAGATATCTGTCTGTCAACGAAATCACCAGCATTCCCGCCAACACATTCTCAACCCTGACTGCTCTGAGTACCATGTAAGCATGCAACGACATGCACAATCACACACAAACGACTCACTCGTCTGCGAGTCTATTTGTAGATCTCTGTATGAGAACCGGATCACCAACATTCACGCAAGCGCCTTTACAGGCCTGTCTGCGCTGACTATTTTGTAAGCAAACAAAGTCGCAAAGAGTCATACATGCAACCGAACTTACTTGTTGGCGACTCTATCTTGTAGGGATCTATTCGGCAACGAGCTCACCAGCCTTTCCGCAAACACATTCACAAGTCTCACTGCGCTGACCCAATTGTAAGCAAACGCAGGACGACTCACACGCAGAGACTCACTCTTTGCGACTCTACCCGTAGGTTTTTATCTGGCAACCGGTTTACCATCGTTCCCACGTCTGTGTTCACAGGCCTCAATGCGCTGACACAATTGTAAGCAAACAAAGACACGAAGAATCCCCAAAAGGCTCACTCGTTGGCAACTCTATCTGTAGGGATCTGTACAACAACCAGTTCACCAGCATTCCCGCAAACGCATTCACAGATCTCACTGCACTGACACAATTGTAAGCAAACGCAGGCAAGAAGAATCGCATGCAAGCGACTGCTGATTTTGTTTGTGACTCTACTTTAGGTATCTGTACAACAACCTGATCACCAGCGTTTCCGCAACCGCATTCGCTGGCCTGACTTCGCTGATACAATTGTAACCAATCAACGACGTGAAAAATGACACTAGGGCCTCACTCCTTGATGACGCGTTCTGCAGATTCCTTCACAACAACCAAATCACCAGCCTTTCCGCAACCACATTCACAGGTCTCACTGCTGTGACAACATTGTAAGCAAGCACTTTCCATGCATGTATTCCAGTCGCCTCTTACTCTCTGGTACTTGTAGAACTTTGAATAACAATGCCTTCACCACTTTGCCGCCCGGTCTGTTCAAGGGCCTGCTTAATGGCATGAGCTTGTCGGTTTCAGGCCTAAGTCTAAACCCAAATAACTTTACCTCTGGTGGAAACTCTAACCCTCCGCCCAGCACATACGGCAGTGCTTCCTATCCATACAGTACGTTCCGAGATGACTGCAATTCGTATGGATGATTTCACTGACATTGTATTGCAGAGTGTGATACAACCTGCGCCACCTGCTATGGCTCAGGAAGCATTGCATGCTGCGGGATCAATTGTTTGACGTGCACTGTATCCGATTCCTGTACTCAGTGCTATGAAGGCTATACCATGATGGGTGGATCATGTATTTCGCTTGCTTCCAGCGCCTCGGCTGCCTCAGTTGCCGCGACCAGGTCTGCATCAGTCGCCTCGGCTGCCTCTGCATCAATTGCTTCGGTTGCGTCCGCTGCGACAATAGCATCAACCGCCTCCGTCGCTTCAGTTGCGTCCACGCAATCTGCCACGGCCGCCTCGATTGCCTCAATTGCCTCAACCAAATCTGCATCGATTGCGTCAGCCGCCTCAATTGCGTCGTCGCAGTCCGCAACGATGGCCTCGGCTGCTTCCCTTGCTTCAACCGCCTCTGCCTCGATTGCATCTATTGTTTCTGCATATGCTGCTCGCGCGTCATCAGCATCTGTCGCTTCTGATGTTTCCGCAACCTCGGCGCTCTCGGCTTCTGCTGCTTCAACAGCTTCGGCATCTGCTGCGTCGACCGCTTCGGCATCTGCTGCATCCGTTGCATCCTCCATTGCACAACACGGCGGTGGCGGCGGCTCGCAAGACTCATCATCATCGTCAGCAGCCGTCATCGCTGCTGTTGTTGCGTGTGTTGTCGTGGTTGCGATCATTGCAGCGGTGTTCATCGTGATGCGACGACGGCGCTCGCAACGACGTTCAGGCACGCGACCGAAGGACTCTACCGGTCCGATTCATCAGGAGGCGATTGAAATGACAATCTCTCCCCTGATTCATTCGCCTCGAGCTCAAAAAGAGGAGGACATTGCAGCCTATGCCGTGGTCGGTCAAAAGCAGCCCGAGCCTTTGTACCAAGCCATTTCGACTGCTAGTACCTCTAAAGAGGTGGTCTATGATTATGCAAGCGCGTACGTTGCTGGCAGCAATTCCCGTCGCATCCGTGAGGGTTTGACGATTGTGAAGCACCTTGCCAGTGGCAACTTTGGCGATGTGGCGCTGGGTCAGCTGCCGTTCAGCGTCTTGCCCCCGCGAGCACAAAATTTGCTTGGACCTGCAGCATCCGAAATCGTGCAAGTGGCAGTCAAGTCGCTCAAGTCCAACGCAGACGAGAAATCCCGCAAAGACTTTGAGAGCGAGGCGAAACTGATGGCGCCGTTTGTGCATACGAATGTCGTGCGCCTGCTCGCGGCTCTTGTAGAGTCCGAGCCCCATCTCGTTCTGCTTGAATTCGTGCAGTACGGTGACTTGCGTACACTGTTGCAAAAGTCCAAGCTCCACTCGCTGTGGTGGACCCAGAACGAGCAGATCCATGCCATTCGTCAGATTGCGCTTGGCATGGAGTATCTGGGCACGCTCCACTTTGTGCACCGTGACCTTGCTGCTCGAAACTGCCTTGTTGGCAAGGGAATGGTGGTCAAGATTGCCGACTTTGGGCTTTCTCGCGAACTCGCTTCCGAGAACGATTACTACCGCATGCAAACGCGTGGCAAGCTTCCCGTGAAGGTGAGTCGAGGGTCTGCAAGTTGATGCTTGTTGCTGTGATACTGACTATTCGTCTTTCACATGAAGTGGATGGCACCGGAAACAATGACCTTCCGCAAGTTCTCGACCATGTCTGATGTTTGGTCGTTTGGCGTGACCGCCTGTGAGTAGAGAGCCATGTTCTGCTGAAATTCGTACTTGCATCTCACTCGTTGTTGGTGCATGTTTGCAGGGGAGTGCTCCAGTTACGGAGCACCACCGTACGGCAAGATGGAGGGGCGTGACACTCTGGCTCATGTGGAGGCTGGTGGTCGATTGCCCCAGCCGGAGCACTGCTCAGCTGACCTTTTTAACCTGATGCTGAGCTGCTGGAACGTGAAGCCGGAATTGCGACCAAGCTTTTCGCAGCTCGTCAAAGTTCTGAACACCCTCGAGGATGGTTCGGTCGTCCGCGAGATTGGTGCAATGCTGTGACAGCGCACACGAAATGTTCAGTTGCTTTTTTGCACTTGGTGCTAATCTGTTCAGAATACAGGAAGGGGCACATAAGGCTCGCTCTGGAAAAAGATTTTTGAAATTGTTTGAGGCTTGTCGATCAGTCAAACAGTGCAAGTTGAACCAAGCATCGCCGACCTCAAGACCAGCTACGCGGAGCTTGACACAAGCATCGCAGCCCTCAAGACCAGCCAAGCGAAGCTTGAGATCGAAATAAACATGCCGCCTGCGCAAAAGAATGCTGCCATCATCTTGAACGCTCCACTCGAGCGAGCAAGCGATTACTTTGTTGAGCTAGCTCGAGACCCCGGTACATCTGCGCAAGAATTCCGCACGCTTCTTGACCGAGAAATCGCTCTCACCATACTGAGCGAAAATGCCTCGGTTCTGGTGGAAGGCTTGGCTTCTGTTGATGCTTTTGGAAGACTTTGCTTTTGCTCCCAGAAACTGACCTTTGCTTGCTGTCTGCTTGTTCGAGCTGCTTGTTGCTGGTTCCTGTTTGCTTCCTGCTGTCTCTCTGCTTATTTCTGCCTACTGTTGTCTCTCGGCTTGTATCGAAGCGAGCCACACAGAGTGTTTGGAAAAGACAGTGTATTCCAAGAGTAACCGAGCCACCAGCATCGAAGAATTCAAAGGAATACTACTGTGGAGCTGATGTGACGACAGGGCGGACAAACGGTTGGGCAGTGTAGCGTTGCAAAAATGCATCACGGTGTTGGACAAAAGTTCCTTGCTCAATGGTCTTGCGAATGGCAGCAAAGAAACTCAAAAAGTGGTGAACATTGTGGCTAAAGTTCACACAGACAGAGCAGCAAAAGGAACAGAAAATGAGCAATCGATGAGCTGGTCAGCCGGCTGAAATAAAAATGACACGAGCGAAAGTTTACCTCATCAGAAGGACCGAACCGAGCATCTCGTGAGTGTTGAGCAAATGATGCACGTAGGCGCGGGTGTGACGAGTACATGCGTAGCAGGTGCAGCCGGGAAGGAAGGGGTTGGTGTCGGCATCGTTGCGACTGTCCCACAAATCGAGCATGGAGCGACCCGCGTAGCCATCCCAACCCGGTGCAGTCAACCCTGCGAAATCAAAGACAAGCGCACGACCTTCTGTGGTAGCCATGACGGGGTAGGCCGAATCAAACAAGTCGATTCCTCGCGAGACTGCCTGGAGGATGTGTTCTGCGAACGGTGTCGAACATTCCAAACGAGCAGTGAGCGGGGGAGTTGGTACAATCAATCCGATTGTATCGCACCCTACCTGGAGCACTCAGGCCATGAATGACACGCAACTTGTCGTGTGGCAATTGACTCTATGAAACGATGCAGACAAACCGACCAAATCCCCCCCCCGAAACAATCGGTCGAATCAGAAACGCGCACAACGTGAACAACAAAACAACTTTCCAGGTGACGTACAACAGCAGCTTCGATCAACTCGAGGCGCTGTAGTTGGTCTTCGCCAGTGTTGAATCCCTCCAGTAGAAATCCTACAAGTTGGAACCAAAATCAGCATTGACAACGATTTTTGCTAGAGAAATTCAATTGCAAAATTTTTGCACCTACCAAACACGAGCTTGCTGGCAGCAGTGGAGGCTGCTCGTATCCGCGATGCTTTGTCTTGGCTGCCTTGAACAACAGCAAGAATGGCAACATTCTTCGCGGGCGAGCCTTCAGGTAACTGACGATGATGTACCAGTGAGAAGCGGCAATCGAACAGAATCATGACGCGCTGGCCCATTCCCCCCGCCTCGCCACCCCCAAGCAAGGAGACAGGCAAAGGCCACTATATTTCGTCATGTTCCACCATGACACCATGAGGACGTCAACCAACCTTGGAAATTCGGTCCAGAGTGTCATCCAAAAACTTGTCGGTGCGCTGAATGGACTTTTCGATCCGCTTGGTACCCGCAGTGCCTCCGACAATGTTGTCCGAAAGACTGGCAACCATGTCCGGCATGGCGACATCAAGGTACTTGACAAAGCCTTCAGGCTCGACTTTGATGCGACCGGTCGCAACATCCACAGCGACTTGCTTGTCACCGCCCATGCCGTCCACCGTCGCCGCGAGCACGTCGCGCGTCGACATGTAGAAGATGTATTCCTGCGCATCGATTGATCGAGTTTTTTTCGCGCCCCCCCCCCCGCGTGAGTGAGATGACAACGCACGACACAGCATCCCACAGAAAAGCCAAGAATGAATTGATCATCCATACATCAGCATGCATAAACTTGTGAATACCCTTGCCGTACTGTCGCATCACTTGCTCACCGTTCTGAGCCAACCTGCACAGATGCAACAACAGGTCAACTTTGCAATACAATGAGTCTCAGACAAAACATCTCAGAGGCCAAAACGGAGCGACGGCACTTCAACCACTTGCAGTGAGAGCGAGTCGTGGAATCCAGCCAAGAGAGGCTCTGCGCGGCACATGTCCATGGTGAGCGACAGTGGGGTGCCCAGCCGGGCGCAGAACAGACTGGACGGAGTGAGCATGGCGCGTGGCGGATGCGCGTCGTCGGGCGCGTTGAACTCGAGGCGGCCAGTGCGTGCGCCGGTGCTGCTGCCAGATGCAGATCCAGATGCAGATTGGTCAGAGTGGAGCACCTGGAAGCGGGGGCCTGCGACGGGGGCAGCAGTGGCGGGATTGTTGGCAGCGGCGGTAGAGAAGGACGACATGGCTTGGTAGTGGCTGGACGACGACAACGACGACGATGAGCAGCAGCAGTAGTGGTAGTAGAGGTAGTCAGAGAAGACAGACGACGGTCGAGCGGGAAGTGTGCAGCGGGCGGAGTGGACGAGGATGGCACGTGGAATGGAGGCGAGGAGTGAGAACGAGCCAAAGCCTGCGAGCATCCAGCAAAAACGCAAAGCAGGGAGAGTGAGGGGAGAAGAAGAGTGAAGAAGACTGAGAAGCTGAGCGTGAGATTTAGATGGATTTTGAGAATGATACTACTGTAAGGATGAGAATGAGAGTGAGAATTGAGGGAGAGCTGAGAATGAGAGCTGAGAATGGATGCTGAGAGCTGAGAATTGAGGGACAGCTGAGAATGATGAATGTGCTAGATTGTACAGAACGAAATTGCAAGTTTCATTTGGGGGAGGGGGGGGGGAAAAGATGAGCATTGGCGCTCAATCAATCACGAACAAACAACCAAACAAAACAAAAACAAAAAAAACACACAGGCACAGAACTCATGCATCGCCGCGACTATCAACATGGGTCACAGAGCTGAGTTTGGACGCCAGGTCGAGTGCTGCCGATCGAGTTTGTTTGAGCGGAGCGTCCGAGCTGTCGAGGAGGATTGGTTTCGCCATCTGCGTTTGCGTTTGGGCCGTCTTGTTGTTGTTCTCCTCTTCATCCGCGTCAGTATCCATCAGCGCGCTATCGTCGTCCTCAACGACATAGTCATCAAACCCGTCGTCAAAACCATCATCATCATCGTCATCATCATCGTAATAGTTGTTCTCGAAATCCACGGCATCTTCTTCGTCCTGCTTGGTTCGCTCCATCTGCTGACGGCTTCGCTGCGTGTACTCTTCCACACTGGTCGGAATGGCGACACCTTCCTGGCGAGCAATCTCTTGTGATGCTCGCACCTAGGAAAAAAATAAAGAAGACCAACGTGATTGTGAGCATCATGAATGCTGCTCGCAGCTGAAAGAAGTGACTTGTTCTTGCCTGAGCCGAAACAATGCGACGATACTCGGTCAAGTTCTTCATGAACATGACAGAGGCATCAATATTTGCTGGCGAGGAGGTATTTGGCTCGTTCAACAGGGAGATGACTGAAAGCAGAATGGTTCTGCCAGCAAGAACCGCGACCAACGTCCGTTAGAAACGATACACTCAGATTCACGCATTTGTACTAGCAAGAACATCGACAACGACACCCATCACCATGTATGCCGCGCTTACCGAACATTTTGGGTTGGATTCCAGCGTTCCTCGGGACGCTCGCCACTCATCGGATCATCGCCCGGAGGATGCAGAATGGAGATGCACAGCTCGCCCGTCTACAGCCGCATGCACCAACATAGTTAGCATGACGCAGTCGGACGTGGGATGTCGAGCATGGCCTGAACACAAAGGCAACGGTTTTCGACGGCGAATCGAAATCTACCTTGAAAATGTTGGGGTGCCACAGCTCGGTCTCAAACCGAATCGACGGAGGGCTGTAAGGATAGTCCTTGGGAAAGTTGACTCGAGCCTGGTAGTGTGCGAGCAACCAAAAATACAATATTCAGTGAACTGAGCGTAGTTTTTGCTTTGCCGAAATTGTTTTGTCTCGCAACGTCCCCTTCCTTGGGCATCTTGAACTGGAACTCCCATGCACAAAGCTGATGCATTTGATCCGTCAAGCTGATGCATCGCTTCCTCAAAGCTGATGCGTTTCTTCAGCTGAATTTGGCAAGGTCGCGCAAACGACGGGATTGCGCTTCAACTGCAACTAAAACGAAAAAAACCAGCCACAGTTGTCGCTGCGTTTGTGCTCTACCTTAAAGTACCCGCCAGCGTATGGCGTCTTGGGCGGCCCGAAAATCCCAATGCGCCAGTCATAGAGGTTTGAGTCGTCCACCAGCGAGACGCTGCATGCAAGTGAACCAAAGCGAGAAAGTCAAGGCGTTTCCAATTCAGAATTGAGTGGACGACGTGCAAGATTTTTGAGAGGATTTTTTTGTTTTTGGATTTGGTTCCCATACAAAATCGATAGCTCGGCGCTTCTTCCTCCTCCGCAACAGAGCCGACTTTTATGTCACAACGAATAGACAAAGCTGGATTGAAAGCCAGAGGCATTGCCGGGCGGAAGAGGGTAAGGGATTGGGCAGTGCTAGAAGGCGTATGGTAGGAAATGGGAAGATTTGGGTGGCCGTGCTAAATTGTTCCAATTCTTTTTTTTTTTTTGTTGTTTCAATTAATTCCCGCTTCACTGCGCCTTACTCGCAAAAGCACCAACAAAGCTGCTGCCATCACAAATTGCATAGCGTGAGAAGAGAAATTGGCACTCACTCAAATCCATCCACGGGATGCTTTTGGTACTCGGTAAGCTCGGAAGCGAGCGCCTTTGCAGACATGGTCAGCGTGTGTGTGGCTGTGTGAAATTTGCACAGGGGCTGAGAAGACGAGAAAAAAGACTGTTCTCACTATTTTAGGGTGCTGAATCGCACAAATCCAGCACGACAAAGAAGCAAACACAAGACTCAGGCACTGTTGACGGCCATGTGAATGTGTGCAGTAAAAATACAATACTAGTATCAACAAAAAAATGATGCGGTGGCAAGCGCATAGAGCACAAGTCGCCATCGAATCCTACAGTGCAATGGCTTGCTAGCCGAGAACCCTTCCAACAAGAACAAACAGAACTGAAGAAATCACGCTCCAAGCAGAGACCGAGTGCAGCATGGTGGCAGCGCTGTTGCCGCGAGAACTGGTCGAGTTAAACTCGTCAATGAGCTGAGCTGGCGAAATGAAGTCTGGACAGGTGGCTGGATTGGCGCGCAGAGATGGGTCGCTGAGGCGGTAAACGGCGCCGGTCGCACCATTCACGTCGCCGTCACGGGTCGCGCCAAAGTACAGCTCGCCATTTTCGTCTTCACCAAAGGTCATGAGAATGGGAAAGTGGGTGCTCTTGGACTTTCCATGGCACACGTTGCTACTGCCAATGCAGAGTTCACGGAATGTCCAGCCGCTTGCCACAGTCGCGTTTTCTGAAAAAAAAAAAAAACAAAAACAAAAAAAACAAACAAACAAACAAACCCCCCCCCCCGAACAGTTCCAAACCAATTGAGCTCCGAGGCCAACGTACTGGACGTACAATACTCACCCGATACAAATGATGCTCAAGAAACACGTTCAAGCATCTCAGCTTACCTTGCGCGATATAAAAGCGACCGGAAATGTTGTCGCCAAAAATGTACTTGCCCTGGAATCCCGGGAAAGTGCATCCCCGGTAGACGTAGCCTCCAATAACACAAGCATCCCCGTTTGCATGGGGATAATCGAGAATTGGCGGAACGTAGTTGGCCACAGGTCCGCAATCACCGTAGCAAGCAAACCCTTCTCGTCGCGCCCACCCATTGTTGCCTCCGCTGACTAGAAAGCAAGCAGTCGTCAGGAACAGATGTTGCCAACTTGAATAAACAACTCGCACAACACCGACATACCAACATAAGTGACCTCTTCGCGAACTGCTTGTCCAACATCGCCACAGATCAAGCGAGAGGAGTTTGCACGATCGTATGAACATCGAAACGGATTGCGGAGACCCTTGGCAAAGATCTCTGGACGAACACCGGAAGTGGCAGGGAAGGGATTGTCCGTCGGGATCTGAATGGTTCAAAATGCAACTGAGTATTCAAATTCTGGCACTCGGCACGATCAAAACGGAAAAGAAAGCAAGTACCGTGTATGGACTCGCTGTGTCTGACACGTTCAGGCGGACGACAGAGCCAAGTAGCGAATTGAAATTCTACGGCGCGCAGCGTGAGCCGCAAATGCACAAGCAACAATCACAACAACGACGAAGCGTGCTTACTTGGCCGTTGCCGTGAGGATCTCCTCCTGCGCCACCATCCCCCAGAGAAAGCAAAAGCATGCCTTTAGAGTCGAATAAAAGCGTTCCTGTTGCAATACCAAAGCGAAAAGGGGGGGGGGGAAACCCAAAGAAAGAATGATGAGTCAATCGCGCACTTTGCCAGTATCATTTCAATGACTGTAAAACGACCAACCTCCATTATGATTCGCATAGGGTTGCTGAATGCGTAAAATGACACGCTCGGTTGTAGGATCTACGGCATTGGGATTGGTGGCGTTGACGCGGTATTCGCTCAACTAACGACAAACTGATCAGTAAGCTCGCTCGCTGAAAAAATTGCTGAAGAGTGAGTTCCAGAACTTACAATGGCAACATGATTCGCCGAAGTGGCCTCAGTTGAAGAGTAGTAAATGAATACTCGTCCTGTCACGTTGTATTGAGGATGGAACGCCATGCTCAGCAACCCTTGCTGTTCGTAAACAACAATCATATCCAAGAAAAACGTGAGGGCGTTTGCGAACACCAAACCAGCAAATCGACGCTTCATCAGTGGACATGCGTACCTCGCCGCCAGCTATGACGACTTGAGTCAAAAACGGTTGAGAGCCCAATGTCATGTTTCGAAAGAGAATCCGAACGGTGCCCTGTCCCCCCGACGACTTTTGCTGTGAGTACCAATCGCGGACAAGCTATCAACGATGCCATACACAAAGATTTTCACTACCTTCTGCTCGATGATGAACAGTCGCCCGGAACCATCCTGCGCGTTGACCAGCCCAAGAGGATTGGAAAGGCCTGCAGCGACTGTTTCGACGCAAGCGCAGCCGTCGTCAGAGTTGGTGACATTATGCGGACCAGGAGGTTGCAAGTTGACTCCACTCGGATAGCAGTAGCTCATGTCGGAAATGACGCGCTGAGCACAAAACTCGGTTTCTACCAAGAACGAGAGCAATCGACAGGGCGGCATTGAGTATCGTGTCAGTTCGAGAGAAGGTGATGACAAGAGCAAAAGTACCTGTCATTGCAGCAGACAGCAATGTCAACGTGCCATCAACCGAGACCTAAGAGCAAAGAGAATGCGCTGTCAGAGCCGAATGCAGAATCAATGAGCAAACTCAAAAGTGCAGTGTTTCGGACCTGCAACACATTCTGGCACGCGCTATAAAATCCACTGCAATAGTCCGCGCACAGCCCAGCATTTGCAAGTCGCATTGTCTCTGTATGTGCTGCGAAACAAAAAGTCAAAGCGAAATCAGCCATCAAACAAACTACTGCAAGGGGGAACGAGAAACAAAATCATAAACCCCCTACCATCAAACAGATGCACTGCGAACGGCGAGCACGTCAAGCAGCTCGTGTTGCGGATGTACGCATAGCAGTTCGAATCGTTGACGAGCATCTGCGACACGACAATGGTCACGTTCGTTGCAACATCTGGTGTTTCATTTCCAAGAGATGCTTGAGAAAATCAGACGCTAAAAAACTATCCTAAAACTGCGATAGGGCTTTACTGGCATCGGCTTCTTGAGTACAGCACGTCGAACTGGCATATTCATGGCAGAATGCCAATCCGTCCTCCTATCAAAACAGAAACCAAACAAACAAAGCAAAAAATCCCAAACCAAATTCAACGTCAGATTGATTTACAATCAAAAGGTCAAAGTCACAGAGCTTTGGATGCCTAGCCCAAAGCAAATGCTCCCCCCCCCCAAATGCATCGGCTTTGGTTGCTGGATGTTGGTTGTCGTTTATGTTTCTCTGTCATCAACGAGCGCAGTGCTCGGACCCCCACCGCATCGAGCATCGGGATCTGCGCACTCAATTTCATCCGCGAACGGCACTTCAACCAGCGTATTCACCATCCCCACAGCCCACTTCCCCGCCTGCAGCAGCCGCGAGCGACATCCACGCGTGTACCACCCACACGAAACGGAGGCTCAAAGTCAAAGCACTGCGGATGGGCTTGGCAGCCGAGCGCGAGCAATGCCACCAGCAATGTCGCCGTGATGAGATGCCAATTCATTCCAATGGCTTGCGTCAATTGAAAAACAAAAAACAAAAAGTGAACTTGATCTCCAAAGCAGCATCTCTCAGGTTGCAATACAGTAGAGTAAATTACAAAAAAAACCACACCAACGACAGGAGCAGCAGAATTCCGGCGATTCATCCGCGAGGCTTCCAAACAAGTTGAGATTGCGAACCTCGATTGGAACGGGCATATCCGAGGGTGCGACTGTTGCGCAAAGCATTGAGAGACTGCTCTCGTGGGTCGTCTTCCTGTGCTGGATGTGCTGGAATGGAAGCAATATCAGGCGCATGAATGAGTCAAAGACTTGTGTGAACCACAGCTGCAGTTGAATTTTTTACCCATTTCGGCCTGAACACTGCCATAGGATGGCACCGACAAGCCTTCACTCGAGGCGCCAGTAAACTGCTGTTCATGGTTGAGGAAGTTTAGTTAGAGCAACCAACCACATTGGTGTTTGCATCGGAGATGGTTGACTTTACCGCAGAGGCCCAGTGCGATGCGGCCATGGGCACTCTAGGGACAGAGGACGCCTGGAAATCCACTGGCTGGTAAGATTGTGCGTGCTGTGGAGTTGCTGGCTGATACGGCCGATGTGCTAATGGGGAAGGAGCGGGCGGTGTTGGAGGTACCTCTTCCGGTGGTTGCCCAGCGAGCAAGTACACGAGATTTTGTAGCACTGCTTGCGGTACCCACGGCAGACGGCTGAAGAGCATTGGCAAATCCGATGAAACCAGCTCGGACAGTGGCATAGCAGCCAGAATGCTTTGCGCGACAAACGGGTTGACGCAGGGAAAGGCGGTTAAAAACGCCTCGTGCTAAAACCAGAACAAGATGAGCAACCATGGTGTGAAAAAGGAGCTCCAACACACGAGTAAGCACCAAGAAAAAGGCATGCCCGCTCTAGAGCTGATGAGGGGGGGGGGGCGAACATTTACCGCTGTGACATCGGGCGACAGCCACGTCTCGCGGCTTCTCCATTGGCTGGGCTCCCACGCAGGAGAAGAATCTCGACAGTGGTCGCAAATGGTCAAAATGGTACCCGCGGCGCTTGCTTGCGTTCCACAAAGCCGCAGGTAGGTGGTGAATGCGTGTCTTGTCGCCGCTGATGAAATCCCAGTGCATGCTGTGAACAGGCCGCACAGACGGCTCAGCGCATCGTCTGTAAACAGCTCTGACTCTTCCAGAGCGCTAATCGGGAGCAGTTTTCATGTTTGTTCAAACTTGTGTGAGTAGAATGAGAGCAATTTCCGCATTGTGGAGCAACGTGTTCGTACTTTGGATTCAGCCTTCCGCGTGCAATCGGTTGCTGATACGGATCGTAGCACTCCACTAGCAGCCAACAAGTCTCGTACCGCAAGGACAGCTGCATCAGACAGCGCGTGAGGCGCTTGCGCTCGACCTCCTGAGAGCGATTTGAGTGCAGAAGAGCTTTGGCTTGAAGAAGCAGAATGCAGTTTCGCTCATCCACGACGAGGAGCTCCGTGCTCATCAAATCCTGGATTACGGTTAGATTAGTGCAAAAACCCGAGTGAGCGCAGGCATAAACCCTCCCCCCCTCTCTCTCCGTTTCAACAGCTTTCGTACCGCAGGTGATTGCTCTTCGGTCGGACAAGTCAATCGCATGTCTCGAGTGTACATCACAATGCGATTCTCCGCCAAGTGCGATAGCAAAGTCCTTCGAATGCCAAGTGTCGGCTAAATCAAAGCAGTGAGATCCACAGCTATGCAAGAGTGTTCCATCGAGAGAGGATGCAAGAGGTTGTGGTTGATACGTTACCGTGGCAAGCAGAAGGTGGTTGTAGCTGTGAGTCAACACCGAGCTGCTTGGTAAGCGCAAAGACTGCTGAGTCGACTGTTGGGTGGGCTGCTGACCAAGCTCATGATGGGTGGACTGTTGGCTTTGGGAGGTGGCTCTTGTGAATACTTGCTGGAGCTCTTGCGAGAGCAAAGGAGCTGGCGATGGACTGGCTGCTACAAACTCTGGGAGCGTGGTGGCAAAGTTGTCAATTGCAGAGATGAATTGAGCCGAGCGTTGCAGTTCTCGATAAACGGGCGTCGGTGATGAGGTGGACGCAGGTGGGGTAGGTGCGACACTTGCAGCCTGAGATTGCGGTGGTTGCTGGGCAGTGGACCGTGCAGAAGGCTTCCACTGTGGAATGGCGGCGGCGGCTGCTGTTGCAGCTGCAGCTGCTGCATTGCTAGTCAGCCTTTCAGCTAACGGCGTGTGGGAGTTGGTCGAACGACGAGAAGGATTGGGCGAGCTAGATTTTGCTTTGTCAACGCGACCGCGCAAACGCAAAAAGTCAGCTAGAGGATCTGCAGCATTAGCCATGACTGCTGAAGCCGGCATTTTGGGTACTTTTGGCGAGACGATGATGGATTTCCGTGGTGCTTGTTGGGGAGTGGACAGGATGGTTGGAGGGGTTGACTTGGAAGTCAAGTCGACAACGGCAGGCAGACTTGGATGGGGCGACAGCTCGCACTCAAGCAACGCAAGGTCGTCATCTGGAATATCATCAAACAAATAGTCGGACAATTCATCCGGCTGCTGGGCCTGGGGACGAGGTGGAGCAGCGGCTGGACTGTGCGGCTTCGGGTTTGATGCCACATTTGCCAACTCGGCCGCGCTCGGCAAAGCGATAGTTTCACCATCGAGCAAGACTTTGTCGAACGACTCCACGAGCAGAGCTGGTTGGTCTGGCGTGGTGTTCCCTTGAGAACAGAGCGCTGGAGGACTGGTCGTTTCGGCCTCGCTGAAATCCTTCATCGATCGCGTCTGCTCCGGTTGTTCACTGAGTGTCGGCACAGTAGTGACGTTTGTTTCATCAACAGTCACCGAGGCTGGAGGGATGGGAACGCTGGTATCCACACTCTGGGCTGCTGAGGGAGCACTTGGCGTGGATCCAGTTTGCGTGCAAGTCAGTGAAGGTCCACCGCCGCCATCCGTTCCGCTGCCTGCCATCAGTACCAAGTCAATTCGTGAGTGCGTTTTACATTGGCAGCCGCGAGAAGCGTCAGCAATCTGAGCAAGAGAGGGTGGGAGCGTTTTCCAAGATCGAGTCAGGCATTGAAAACTCACCCAGAGCCGACTCGGGCACTGCGACTGTGTGACGCGTGGGAGACACGCGCGTTTGCTGCGATGAGTGATGACTGGCATTGTCTGCATGAGATCGCTTTGGTGACGCGTAGTGCGACGGAACGAGGCAGCGGTTTGTCCACGGATGATCGTCATTTGGTACCAACGCAGTGGAGCTGCAGCACGCAGAAGTCTCGTCCTGCTGACTGTCAGGAACCATCTGAACGCCGGCTGTCGTGCCATGAAGCGAAAGAGCCGTTTTGCTGATGGGACTCTGCGGCGCTGCGAGCTTGGATTCAAGCGTTGTTATTGCTGGAGTGCGTTCGGTGACGGCGTCCATTGTTCCCAGCTGGGCAAAAGCAAGCTCTGAGATGAACAGATGACTGGTGCAGGATGGGTTTTTGCTCTATGCTGTTAGTAGTTTTACCGCTCCTTTCGACCATCAATTGACTCGAGGAGAGTTTTCTGGATGAAGTTGGATTTCAATGCTGCTGGATTCCTGTTGCTGGAGTACTGAAAGCGAGTCGACTGAAAACGCAGTCAGTCCACGTAGACTGTCAAAGCTCAGTCAACGAGAGATTTCGATGAATTCCACTGGGCGTCTCTATGAGATAATAATATCGGACGCCCTTCCGTTCAAGTCGTCGGGTCCATCGATGAAAACATGCAGCGCACAGCAACGACAATCCCAAACAAAATGCAGTCACTGTCATGTGGGCTGCAGAAGTCGAACGCAGAATTGTTTGGACGTCGCAGAGCCGACGCGGCACAGCAACACGAAATCCCAGCGACGACGGCTGAATAGTGTTTAGAGAGAAAATTACACAAACGCCGGACTATCGGTAGGTATCTGGATTCCAACCAGATCACCAGCATTCCTGCTGACACATTCACCGGCCTGACTGCGGCGCAGACCGCAAGAATAGCCGTAAAATCCTCCTCCACGTCCCTAGATCTCGGCGACGTGCTCTGCGGTCAAGCCACCATGTGACATTTCTGCTCCATCCGCTTGCGCGCTCACCCACAAGTAAGTCGCTTCAGATCCCTCATTCGGGCGAGACATGTCGATCAGCCAGTCGAACGGTGAACGCAGCGGTGAGGAAGAGGAGAGGCGGGATGGGATGGAAAAGCAAAGGGTGTCCGTGACACGAGATCTAACAAGACCTTATACGCAAAAATTGGAAAAACAGAACAAACGAGGGCATCGGTAATGACCCGTCACAGCCACACAGTCAAATATCAACAAAAGAAACACATGAGCATCAGCGTAAAAGGCAGGAATAGAATGACTCACTGGGAGGGAGAACAAAAAACAAAACAAAAAAACAAACAAACAAACAACAACAAGCAAGCAAGCAAAGCAGTCCCTCGCTCCAATGCATCATGATCAAAAAGACAAACAAAGGTGAACCTGAAGTTGAGGAGAAAGGCAGCCAATCACAGGACATGCCCAATCGATCAACAGTCAAAAAACAAAAAAAAAAAAAAAATCAAGGTTGTTGTTTTTCAATGGAGATCCAGCAATTTTTTTGACAAGTTTGTTTCTGAGTCATCCCCTCAACTGTTCCGGTTGCTCTTTTCATGTCACCTCAGTCATGCTAGACCCGATATTATGTCGTGGCACGGGGATGGTAATCCACCTCGGGATCTCGCGGGCCCCTGATCCAAAGTGAAAAGAAAAAAAAAAAAAAAAAAAAAAGGAAAACGGACCCAAAACCCCAAAATAGCATCAACGCGTGCAGCCGCTTTTGTTGTTGTTGTTGTAAGCAGCCCATCGTTGAGATGTCTTTCGCTTGGTCCACTCTGATTGAAATTCAGCACAAGTAATTGGAATCCAGTGAGAGCGAGGGCAAGTGAAAAGAAAAGCGGGTTCGACGGACGATCGAGATCAAAGAGAGAACGCAATGGAAAAAAAAAAAATCAACAAAAACGCAATGGATGGAAAGCAACGACAGTGCGACTTTTTTTTTTTTTTTTTTTCCCCAATCCTCGCTGGATGTTTCCCTCGTTCGCCTCTCCCTCTCCAAATGTCGCCATCTCATTCTCGCTTCCATATCAATATAGCCCAAACCCCTTCCACTCTCTACTGGCAGCAGCAGTCGTCGATCTGCAACCCTGAGCGAAAAGAAGACCTTGCCAGACTCAAAGCGGCAGGTTCAGTCTCTTTTTCTCTTGTCCATCTGAGAATTCAGCTGTTTTTTTTTTTTTTTTTGGTAACGATTCCGCAGCGTTGCTTCTCGATTTCCCTCAGCCTGCACTTCCTCAGCGAAAAAACCATCAACAATTTACCTTCATCATAGTGGACGGATGGAAGCGGGGGCGGCGAATTGAAGGAAGACATGCAACCAGCTGAACACGCGTCCAGAGGTCACCCAAGATCGACATTTCAGCCAAATGCGCTTGCCGCCTCCTTCCTCCCCTGTCTGACTCCGGCATTGGTGACCAAACACCGTAGTCTCACACGGGGTAGCCATCCTATCGAGCGGGAACCAGAGAGAGTGAGAGAGACTGTGCAGTGTACTTTATTTTTAGTATTTTATTCTGTGTGTGGACTTTCCATTGCGGTTTTTTTTATTTTTTATTATTATTTTTTTATTTTTCCCATCTCTCCCGCCTTTGCTCAGCTTGCCTCCTTTCTTCCCTGATCATTGCCCTTCACACATAGCTCATGCATTTGCTCATAAACCCCACCATCTCTTCCGTTGCTGTGCGCATTGTCGCGCATCCGTCGTCCGTCTTGATACTCACTTTTTGTTTTTCATGATTTCCATGATTCGCTGGATCTGCAGACCTAAATCCCACTCTTTCTCTCACTTCCCAGTCTTTTTTCTTTTCTTCCTTCTCTCGTTTCCCATTCCGTCAACTCTTCCCTGGTCTTCTTCTCATCAGCATCAACACCCTCTCTTTACTTTTTGGAAGCCACCGGGATCCTGCTCGTCTTGGATCTAGCTGCAAATGAACCTTGACTTTGACAACGCCGCCCATCTTTCTCAGCTCTCAACTTCGCTTTCGCTTTCTGATTCCGCCGCCGCCGCCGCCACCGCCACCGCCACCGCTCCGTACTACCGCTCACTGCTGACATCGTTTGAAGCCTCGCCGCCCAGCAGCGGCCGCTTTAGCAGCTACAGCAGCAGCACGCATAGCAACAGCACCACGAGTTTCGGCAATCCAAGCACGTCACGATTGTCCCACTCGTCGAGCACGTCCTCGCTGCTTTCGCCGCGCGCCTTCCAGATCGCCTCTGCCGCCTCGCCCCGCTCGTCAATATCGTCCATCCCACCAGCAGCACTTGCGCACCCAGTCGCGCTGCCACATTCGCCGCTCCTGCAAAAGCACCACCCGGTGGTGCTGCTGGGACTGGAGGGGGAGCGCCAAACCGCAGCTCTCGTGGAGGGTTCTCGAATGCGGTTTCCCAGCGCGTTGGACGAGATCTTTGCCCAGTCGCAGCAGATCCCTGCACCACCACCACCGCAGCAGCAGCAGCAGCAGCAGCAGCAGTCAGTAGCAGCAGCAGCTTCTGACATGGGCGGCATGGCACCGGCATATGCATCACTGGCACAGCAGCAGCTACAGCAGCAACGGCAGCAGTTGTTCGGCGGTGTCACATCTGCCGCTTTGGCCAGCGCAGGCACGCCCCTGCTCGCTGCTGCTGCGACAGCCACCCCGTTCCCCACACTCACCGGCATGCCAGACATGGCGCTCGACACACAGCAAAAGTACTCTGGCCTCGCCATGCTCGTTGCGGACATGCTGCCGAATTATCAGCAACAGCAACAACAACAACAACAACCGCAGCCACCGCAACAGCACCCAATGATGCAGCGTCCCATGCAACAACAACAGCAACAACAACAACAGCAAATTCAGCTGCAACTCCAGCCGACATATCCCCAGCAGCAGCAGCAGCAACAGTCCGCCCCGACTTCGTACCTTGCACAGTCGGCTGCCGGCTACCCTGCTGCCGCCCTATCCACGTCGTCGGCACCCGCTGCTCCATCTCTAGTTGATCAGCACTACCTCAAGAATTTGCACACTGGCAACTCTGCTCAATTGCTGCAGCGCCAGCAACATGCATTGGCCATCTCCTCAACCAAGCTCACGATGGCAAATGTGGCGCAGTGGGCGCTTGCCAGTGCCGCCGTGTCGCCAGCTGATCTGCAAAATTCCCCCCGAATGGACCAGCTTGCCGCCGTGTCCGCATCCAGCATGGCAAGCGTCAGTCTCCCAAGCTCTTCGGCTCCGCGCAACAACTTTTCTGCTGCGTCAACGAGTGGCACCTTTGACGAGTATTTGGCTCAAAATCCGACGGCACTCTCCCATGCAGCATCTTTCAACCCTCACCAACAGCACCAGCAGCGACTCTCTCACGTGTCCGTGCTGGATGAGGTCCAGCGCACTCCTGTCGTTACCTCGGCGTCGGAAACGTGGCTCGCAGCATTTCCTGATCATCAGCAGCAGCAACAACATCAGCCCGAGAAACGACGAGGCGAGGATCTGGCATATCCGAGTGACAAGCGCGGCCGTTTCGACGGGCAGCACCCGCTTGAAGCATCGTTCGCTTTGCAACAACAAGCGTTTGCACCCCAGGTTTACGGCAATCCCAGCGGTCTGTCTCAGGTGTATCAGCAGCAGCTGCAGTCCTATCTGCCTCAACAGCAGCAGCAGCAGCAGCAGCAGCAGCAGCAGCAGCAGCAGCAGCAGCAGCAGCAGCAGCAGCAGCAGCAGCAGCAGCAGCAGCAGCAGCAGCAGCAGCAGCAGCTTCAGCTTCAACAGCTCCAACAGCTCCAACAACTCCAACTTTTGCAGCAACAGGCATACGGACTCATGCCGCCAGCAGTGTCGTACCTGACGCCCATGCCAGCAACCAATCCGTTGGACGTCGCTACAGCACAGCTTCATCCACCCTCCGACGACCCGGCCGCTTTCGGCATGGCAGCTCAGCAACTAGTGCGCTCGCAGTCCGCCACAACTTTGCCTTCGGAGGAGGATGGCACTGGCTCGTCCGCGTCCTTGTCGCCGACGGAAACCATTGCTGCAAACGTGCTCGAACCCGTGCGGCTGCATCGCATGGGCAGCAAAGGTCGGTTGAAAACCTTCCACATCTGCCCGTATCCGGATTGCGGCAAGAGCTATGGCAAGAGCTCCCACCTCAAGGCGCACATGCGTGGCCACACTGGCGAAAAGCCCTACTGCTGCCGCTGGCCGGACTGCACGCAGCGCTTTACCCGTTCCGACGAGTTGACGCGCCATCGCCGCAAACACAGCGGTGCCAAGCCGTTTGTTTGCAGTCACTGCACCAAGCGCTTTTCGCGATCCGACCACCTGACGTCCCATCAGCGCGTTCACACTCGTGGCGGCGCGCGTTCGTCCGCATCAGAAGTCCAAACTCCAATGCCTCCTGCGAGCCCAGACCAAAACTAAAACACAAACAACCCCAAAAAACAACCAGTAGTATCGTCAACTCGTTTGATTTACTTTGTGTCGTACGCTTTCTTCGTTTTTTGATCGATTGTCAGTATCCTTGCGTTGTTATTGTTTAACAATGCGATCGGTTTCTTTTTCGTTTTTTTTTTTTGTGAGTGGTTGTGCTTGTGATATTGTCTTGTAACAATGCACTCGGTTGAATCTTAAGCAACAATACTGCAGACCACCACGCTATGACATCTGGATGTTTCGGTGTCCTAGTCCCTGATTGTGAGTCGTTGGAGGATGGATGGAATGGAAAAAGCAGCGGAACTAACTGCGCGTAAAATACATGATGAAACCAGGGTTTTAGTACAGGTATGATAACACACGCCACGATCCGACGACAGCAGTAGCAGTTGCAGCAGCAGCAGCAGTAAGCAGCTGCAGTGCACAATGCGTTATTGGCTTCCGCTGCGCGACTGGTTGGATTCCTTGATTTTAGCTTTGCTCTGTTTCCGCCACCAAGCACGCGACGCGGGCGTCAATACACGAGGAGCACTAGCAGCAGCACCGCCAACAGGCGTCGTTGGCAGCGTGTACAGCCATTCCGGGTACTGATCGTGCGGCTTGAGCGCGGGGTCCTTTTGGCCTTGCAAGATGTTGAGCCCGTAGCACGTCGTCGACAGGATTTGCGGATCAATATCTGTGCATGAACGCAAGCGATCATTTTGTGATGAGTCATTCAAGTGTGCAGTGTCGCGAAGTGAGTTACAGCAGTACATGTACAGTCGTATGGAAGGTGCATTAGAGAGACAGAGCGGCCGTCTCTGCTCCATAGACACCCCCCCCACCCTACCCGACCCAACCCAACCCCCCCTCCACTCGTCGAACGAACGAGCGAACGAATGAACGTACGGAGGGACGGATCGACGGCCGCCTTGGTCTTGCTGGCCTTCTTCTTGTCTGCTGGAGCAGCGTATCCGCGCGCGTGGCTCGGCTGCATCGACCACCCGGCAGCACTGCCCGTCACAGCGCTCGCATTGATCAGCATTGCAGCAGCAGCAGCAGCAGCAGCAGCAGCAGCAGCGGCGGCCGAGGGCAGCGACGCGCGAGGGCTTCGTAGCAAAGCAGCCAGCAGCATGTGGTCAAGTCTGAGAAACAACGACTGAGCAACATTTGGAAAAAAACGAAGAAGAGCAAAAAAAAAAAGGTCGTAAAATCAAATGGTTGAATTTTGACTCAAAAGAGAAAAGAAAATCTGAGAATTTTACAATCAATGTTGACATTATTTAGTGAGAATTGTGGTTTTTGTTTGACAAACGATACTCGAATTCACCAAAAACAGAAGCCTTCTTTTACAAAAGACCATCGAGTGAAGACGTTTGCTATGAGTTTGGACAAACACCGATACTGGAACTCACCAAAGTGATTTGTTTTGCAGGCGATTTTTCAGTTTGTTCTAGTATTGAAACTGGCAAATGCTTTTGTTTTTGTTTTGTTTTACAACCTGCTACTCTTCTTCACCAGCCGCAGTCCATCTTTTCCACCCCCCTTTTTTTCCTTTTTGTTGAACTTTACTTGCCAATGCGACTGCCAGCCACGTCTCGCTCTTCGCCCGCCGCCGCGTCCGCACCGCCATCCACTATGATGCTGATGATGATGATGATGCTGGTGCTGATGCTGTCGCCGCTGCTGCTGGTGAGCGCGGATCGCCGCATTGTCGCGTCCATGGAGTGCTCGTCCAGCCTGGCCGTGGTCCGCTCGATCGGCCTGCCCAACCCCGACTCTGCTGATGCTGCTAATGCTGATGCTGCTAATACTATGGGCGGCGATCTGATCACGTCGTTCTGGTCGTCGCTGGGCTCTGCGCCGTCGCTCGCCGTCGCCTACCATCCCAACGCAAGCGACCCCGGCACCGTCCCCACCATTGACTGCGACGCCCTCGCGCGGTTTGACGCGGCCAAGGCAATCACGTTTGGAACACAGCCGAGCTTCATGTCCGCGGTCGTCATTGACAAGCTCATCGAGTTTGACGACAAGGGCCAGACCGGCCTCTACGACCCTCCAAGCACCCGCACATGCAGCGTCCTCGACCTCACATCGCTCACCTGGGAAAGCCAGCTCACAGTCCCAAAGAACAAGCCATTCACGACCACCGCAGTCGCGAGCTATCTGTCAAAGTACACCAACATTACCGTCCAGGTAACGAACTGCAACAACCATTGTGACAACAACAACGCATTAGAAGTACGTGTCTCACTTCACTGGATGATTTTTGTTTGTTGGTTGGTGATGCTTTGCGGGCTGCAGTTCACAGTCACGCCATCGACGTTCAGGAATGGAAACCCGCCGGGCGATTTGATCAGCGAAAACGCAGTCAAGATCGATCTCTTCGTCTCCAACTTTACCTACACAAAGTCCTGCTCCAACACGACCAAGCTGGCCGCTGGCCTCGTGTTTGCAGACGGCAACGGACCAGTCGCCACACCAAACCAACTCGTCATGTCGGCGCCATCGTCCATTGACGACGAGTACACGCCCACCATCTTCCACATGGTCCAGATCGACGTTCCGCCAGCAAAGGTGTACCCGCAGTCCACCCATGGCTTTTTGAGCTGGAAGCCAATCGCCTTCACCGACACAGGCCGCAGTATTGCCAACGGAGGCTTTGCGCGCACCATCAACGACGAGTTTAATCCCTTCAATCCCAACGACACGCTGCCCCAGTCTGTGCCCTCCCTGCTCCTTGATGGGCGTCTTCGCGACCTCCGCACTGCCAACATTTCGTTCGGCACTCCAGAGGATGGCATTTACCAGCCACCAGTGCTCTTGTGGTAAGCGCGACCAAAACATTGTTGCTCGTTTGAAAAAAAAAAAAAAGCGAACAAGTTGGGAGAGCAAAATCGACTAACGTGAGGTACGGCTTGAATTTTGTCGCTGCTCATCCATTCGCGCAGGGGTCTCTCAATTGGCATCGGTGCAGCGCCCACGGACGACATTTCAGTCGCCGTCCTGCTGGCCATTTCCTTCGGTTTCGGTGTCCCTGGCGTTCTCTTGATCGTAGGGTCCATCATCACTTTTTTCCGTCGTGCCCGCGCACGGCGTTCCGGCTACACTGCCATCAACTAATTGCGTGGCGGCTGTGTCCTTTTTTTTTTGTTTTGTCTTGTGATGTTCTTATCATTGTTCAATTCAACAATCCATTCATTGTTCTTGGTCATTGTAGCACCCCAGCGTCCCCCCGCCAAACGAAACGAAAAAGCGAAAACAAACACAACGTACCAATCTAATCGAACAAACAAACAACAACAACAAGAACCACCAACCAACAATAACGACGTCATTTTTTTTGTTTTGCTTTGCTTTCATTGCTGTGCGTGTTCAAACAAGGACTGGGTTGTTCAGCACAATATGTTCTGCGCCCTTAATGTTCAGTCGGTGCTGCGAGTAGTGCGCAATCATTAGCGGCACAGTGTCGAAAGGCTTGCTGTGCTCGCCAAGAATATACGTGTTGTCTGGTCGCGGCTTGATGCGCATATGAATAACATCCGCTCCATTCCTGTCAAAGTCGCAGACACACAAAAGTCAGACCTCCATAACTAACGAATCGCACCCCGGGGGGAGGGGGACAAGACGAACAAAGCACAACAAAGCACGCAGCAACACAACCAAACGCATACTTGATGGACAATGAGCATTCGTTGGATTTGCTCTCGCTGGCGCGCACAAGGAAGCTGCCATCGGGACGGCTGATCAAGAGTGAATGTGCCTGATTTCGATTGATGGCGCCATGGAACCACCTGCACAAAATTTCAAAGACAACAATGAGTAACGTTTTCGCAGATACAAAAATCTCCATCGCCTCGGTGGTGGTGTCCCAGACTTACAACTGCGACTCGAGCGAGTCCTGGGGGCCTGGTGCGTTGTTGAAGGTTGGGAGAGAGGGGCGCGATGAGACGGGGACTGGAGGAGCGAAATTCTGCGAGCCAGCCCGACCAACGGAACCGGGCATGCCCGAGCGGCCAACAGTTCCGGGCGGGCCGCCAGCAGGAAGGGGCGGAGGGGCTTGTGTGGCGGCGGCAGCCGCAAGCGCAGCCGCTCCCGCACGCCCGACGGTACTGGGTCGGGTGGTGATTGGTGGCGGGGGGTTGGCAGCAGGCCGCCCTTGGTTTTGGGGAACTCGGGGCGGAGGCTCGTTGAAATCCTGAATGTAGTTGTCTGATGGGTTTGCTGGCGTTGGGGCGGCAGGGAAGCGGGGTGGTTGTTGGGCGGTTGGGGAAGGGCCGCCTCGTGGGGCAACTGGCGTGGACACTGGCGATTGCGGGCCCGGGGAGGGTCGCCGAATACCTCCGGCACCGGCGGCTGCAGGGACGAACGAGCGCGGAGGGGCGGGTACGGGGCCTCGGACGACCGCCGACGGCTGCTGCGGCTGCTGAGGCTGTGGTTGGGCGTCCCAGGGGTCGTCATAGTCTGAATTGGCAGCGGCGGGCGCAGGAGCCTGTGCTGCTTGTCGGGGAGCTGCAGCGTGCGAAGGCACTGGGGCGGGGTTTCCGCGGCCAAGATTGAGTGTCGGTTGGGCGTCCCACGGGTCGTCGTAATCAGAGTTGGCTGCGGTTGTAGGGGCGGCACGCGCGGCGACGGGTGCCGGCGCATGTGGTTGGGCAGGGGTTTGCGCATCCCACGGGTCGTCATAGTCGGAGCTGGACTCGGTCGTAGCGGCTTTGCTGGGCTTGGGTGGCTTGGGCCCCTTGTTGGCAGAGGCCGCCGAGTGAGGCGGGAGTGGCTGCGTGCCGATAACGCCACCGCGTACTGGCACGGCAGGCGCGGCTGCATCCCAAGGGTCGTCGTAATCGTCGCCGCCCGGACGAGCAGCAGCAGCAGCAGCAGCAGGCTGCGACGGGAGAGCTGCAGGTTGCGCTTTGCGCGCCACCGCCGCCGAGTTGCGAAGCTTGGCGCGCTGGTCGTCGTCGGGTGCATCGTACAGGTCGTTCGCGGGGGCTGTCGAGTCCCACGGGTCGTCGTAATCGGACGACGCTGCGCCTCCAGCTGCTGCTACTGCTGGGCGCTGTGCTTGGGGCACCGTCTGAGGAGGGGGACCGCCTCGCGATGGGAAGGCTGGTGGCGCGTGCTGCTGTGGGTAATTTGGCGAGCGTTTGAGCAGTGCTTCTCTTGGCGGTGCAATGTAGTTGTCCTGGTCTTCGTTGGGATCGATGTACAGGTCTGACGCGGGTGGTGCTGCCGGGCGCGCGGCGACAGGCGGTTGGCCGGCAACCGAGACGCCTGATCGGGGCATCGTGGGTGGTGGTGTTCCCGCATCGCTCTGCAAGTGATTCAATGATAAAAAGGGATGTGAGTATGAGCCTTATCATGTGTGTTTGGAGGATGAGCTTGATCGTGTGATCGGAGTCCGCAAAGTCGGTTCTTGAGCAGGCGTGTGTGTTTTTTGAAGGTTGTTCCTCTCGCTCTTCTATCTCGAATCACCGCATATCGTTTGAAGCTGAAGCAGAGAGCAATGTCTTTGACATGTCTTTTTTCTTTTGAGCGGTCTTGCTGAGGGTGGTGCGACAGACTGGAGGTTTCCCGCCATTTTTGATCCGCCGTTCCGGGTCCAGCCTCCCCCCCAACCCCGCTCGCCCCACCTTTCGCTCGCACTTTGTTCACTCGTTCATTCTGTCATTCAATCACACCCACGTTGCACAAACGAGCGGCGTTTTTTAGTTTCATTCTCCGTTCAAAATCCATTTTAAGGTCGCGTTTGACTTTTTATGGGTAAAATAAAATAGAAAAAAAAATAAAAAATAAAAAATAGAATAAAAAATAAAAAATAAAAAACAAAAAAGGGTTGCTTTGTTTCAATGGTTTCGTTCGTTTCGTTGCTTCGCTTGCCGTGTTTGACTTGCTGCTGGAGGTTTGTTGCAGGTTGCGATGGACGCAACGTGATGCAATGGAAACAGACAAGAATCGAACCGAGCGACGAAAGCATGGTGTGGATGAGAAGGAGTGGGGAAGCGCGATGGATGGATGGCTGACTACAGCACATCATTCACGTCTGTCTGCGACTCGCTGACGAAACGGTTGAAGTGGGAGCTGCTCGTGTCTGCTGATGCCAACGCTGCTGCTCCTTCAAAGAGAGAGAGAGAGAGAGAGAGAGAGAGAGAGAGAGAGAGAGAGAGAGAGAGAGAGAGAGAGAGAGAGAGAGAGAACTCGAGCGAGAGGAGCAAGAGCAACGGGACCATTGGATGTGAGTGAAGAAGAAGATGAAGAAGAAGAAGAAAAAAAAGTGCAAGGATTCGCAAAGCAAGCGAGTGAATCGTGCGTGGAGAGAGAGAGAAGGAGAGAGAGAAGGAGAGAGAGAAGGAGAGAAGGAGAGAGAAGGAGGCTAGCTGGGGCACAAGTAACAAACAATGGAGAGACAGAGCAACACGAGACGAAGTGGGAAGCAAAAAGGAAACAGAACAAAAAAAAAAAAAAAAAAAAGAAAGCTCCACTAAAGCAGCAAACGAGAGTTAGCAGCGGTTTTGTGTGTGTGCGTGTGTGTGTGTGTGAGCGAGGAGGCCACTCACGGGGCGGATGGGCTGCTTGATGCCTGGAAGAGCGCCGAGCGAGCCCCGGGCGTCCAGCGGCGGCGTCGGCTGCTGCTGGGGCAGGGTGAAGGACGAGGTGCCTGCGAAGGTCTGCCGCTGGTTGCTGCTGCCGTTGCTGCCCACGGACGACCCGGACGAGCTCGAGCCCGGCGATTGCGGGTTGCCGTGGCTGCCGCTCAGCGTCGACGCAAGCGGCGCAGGAGGCCCGCTGTCCTCCTTCTTGCGGAAAAAGTTGACCATGGTGGTTGTCAAAGGTAGTTAAAAAAAAAAAAAAAAAAGATTGAAAAAAAAACAAAGAGTGAAAAAAAAAATCAAAATCAAAAAAAAAAAAAAAAAAATCAAAAATCAAAAAAATCAAAGGATTTGTGTTTGCTCGACTTGAAGCAAATCTGCTCTGTTGGGTGCTCTCGTCCTCGTGGGATGGACCCCCCGACTGCAAGTGGTACACTCGTAGTGCACAGCAACTCAAGACAAAAGCGCATCCTGGTGGCCGACGTCTGCACACCTTGGCAACGAGCTTCCCAAAGGCGCTTGTTTTGGCCGATTTCTGAAACTTCCAGTTGCAATTCTGTTTCTGATTTTTGCGTCTGAGTTTTTTTTTTGCATTTTTCCACAACTCACCACGCGAGGCTCTTCCTTTTGCTCGCGCGCTCTCTCTCTCTCTCTCTTTTTTCTATTTTTCTCATTTCTATTTTGTTTGAGAGATTCAGAGCGGGAACAAAGAAGGAGGAGCCCCGAAAATCCCCATCACTCAATCGATCGACTCACTCCTAACTCAAACCTCGAACGGGGATGCTCTCGCGATTCCGGCGGCGGAGTGGCTCAGCGTCGTCGTCGTCGTCGTCTGCGGCTACTGCGCCTGGACCGGCCGCCAGAGCAGCAGCAGCAGCAACAGCAGCAGCAACACCAGCAGCAGAGGCACCCGCATTAGATCCGTCGTCGGCGTCGGCGGTTGCTCATGACGATGACGGTCGCTCCAACGCGTCTCAGCCGGTGCCCTCGTCCCAGCCGCAGCCGCCGCCGCAGCAGCCACACGCAAGCCCAGTGCCGCTGCAGCCATCAGAGCACCCCTCATCAGCCGCCACACTGCTGCAGAACACTGCAACGACAGCCGCCAACTACAATGTAACAAAAAGTGTTTGGATTTTTTTTTCATATTTTCCGGTTTGTTGTGTTTGTGGCTCGAGTCCCACACACACTCACACTCACCACTCACATCGCACTCTGCTCGCCCTTCCCCTTCGATGACTCGCCCGTTGTTCGTTTGTGCGTCGCTGTCGTCGCTCAAGTGCATCGCGTCGCAACAACGGACGCAGCGTCAGAAGCTCAAAGAGCAAAATGGAAAAAAAAAGAAAAAAATAAAGAAAAAAAAAAAAAACAGTTGAATGAATGTTCGGGTGATATTCGTGAGCGCAGATCGCGTGCAGAATGAACTCACACCGAGGAAGAAGAAGGGAGGGGGGGGGGGAGCGTGGAAGGTCACAAGTGAATGGGGATTTGGGAATGTGCGTGTCTGAGGAGGGGAGGCGGGGTTGGCTGATGCGATGGAAGAATTTAAACAAAAAAGAGGGAAAAGGGCAACTCCCCCCCCCCGACGACGTCGTGTCAGCGTCAGCCTGCAGCAGTCCCAACAGTCGCTTACGACGAGACTTTGCTTACAAGAGAAATATGGACGGTCGTCACAAACAGCGGCTGCTTCAACGCATTTTCGAAGCGCTCTCGTTCTGCCGTTTGAGAATTCTCCCATTTATGGCCCAGTTTCTGCATTCTGCTTTGAATGATTGGTAAATCTTCGTCACAACTTGTTGCAAGAGACTCACTCAATCGTGTCTCTATTTTTTGTTGTTAAAAACCATCCAGAAATCTTTGCCCCCTGCCCGCGGACGAAGCTCAACTGGCGGGAAGGAAAGCGGAAAGTTGAGGACGCCTGCCAGTGCGCCCGGAGCATCGACGGCGACAGAGTACACGCCCCCTGTAATGCGACAACGGAGTCGCAGCTTTTACGACCTGGTTACCCCGTCGTCCGGTCGATCTGGCAGCCGAGACATGTCTGCAACCACTTCCACCAGCTCGTTGCTCATGTATGACTCGACTGACTCGTCGACAGCGTCGTCCATCGTTCGAGAGACAACTAGCATGCTGCAGGAGGTGGACTCTGCCACTGGGCGCAAAATGCTCAACGAGTACGTTGTCTTGTCCGGCCTTGGGCGCGGATCGTTTGGTAAAGTCAAGCTTGTCACCCACCGCGAGACAAATCAGCAGTTTGCGCTAAAGATGTGCAACAAGCAGCGCCTGCGCAATCATCGACGAAGCCTACAGGGACCAGCCTTCATGGCGGCGACCTGTGGGTTGGGAAATGCGTCGCCGAGCAACTCTTCTCCGCGTTCCAGCTGGCTGCAACGCGCGAACGATAATGCGAGTGACATTTTAATCAATGGTGGCGGCAATCGCTTTCCATCAGCCGCTGGCACGGAGACTAGCTTTGCTGCACAGCTACTCGCACACGCGACTCTGGCTGTCGGTTCGCCCAGTCATGCCCCGCCAAAATCACCATCGCACGACTCGGGTGCTGTTCCTTCTGCCTCTTCTGCTGCATTTGCTGGCGGTGGTAGTGGCGGGCAAAACTCGTTCGTGACCACAACCGCGGCCGCAGATGGTGTCCTGCCCAACGGTATTCCCATCGCTTTGCTGACACGATCGCCGTCTCAGCAACGCTCTCTCTATCACCGCGCCGCATCGCTGTCAACCACCTCCAACTCGAGTACCTCGCGCAATTCTGGTGATTTCTCGAACACCAACTTTTCGAGTACACCGACGCCGCCTCCAACCGCTGCCGGTGCTTCTCAGACATTGCCGTCTATCGTTGCTTCAAGCGCAGCTGCTGCAGCTGCAACTCCACCACCAACCGCACCGGCGTCTTGTCCACCCGGTTTGTCAGCTGGCGGTCGAGTGGCTCGAGCACAGTTGACCCCGACCCACCTCGACGCGTTCGATCCCGTTCACCAAGAGATTGCTGTCATGAAGCGACTGTTGCACCCATGCCTGGTTCGGCTCTTTGAGGTGATTGATGACCCCGAGAACAATTTCATCTGTCTGGTGCTCGAGTACGTTCCTGGCGGCTCGCTGCAAGACATGCTGCGCCGTGTGCCAGACCGACCGCTTGTGCTGGAGCGTGCGCGCTCCATCTTTCGCGATGTGCTGCAGGGAATGCAGTACTTGCACTACCACCGTATCATCCATCGCGACATCAAGCCGGACAATTTGCTGTTGACGCTGGAAGGCCGAGTGAAAATCACCGACTTTGGCGTGTCCCGCATCGTCAATCCGACCAGCAACGTCATGCGAGATACTGCTGGCACTCCCGCCTTCCATGCACCCGAGATGACCACAGGAGCCATGTTTGACGGATTCCGGTGCGACATCTGGGCACTCGGCTGTGTGTTGCACGTCATGACCACTGGCCATGTTCCCTTCACGGGCGACTCACTGTTCAAGCTGTACGAAAACATTCAAACACAAGAGCTGCCGCCCTTCCCCGACACAGTGGTCCTTTCTCGTCGCGTCCTCGAGTTTGCCAATCCTCACGACACGAGCGAACTCGCGCCACAGCAATCTCCACAACAACGAGCACAATCGCCAGCACCGGTGCAGTCGTCGCTGCAAGTGCCTCAAGAGCAACATCGACCGCACTCGCCGCCGGCTCTCGCCAAGGTTGGCCGGTCGTACTCGTCCGCTTCCAAACGACCCGTCAAAGCTGCTAAAGCCGTGGAAGTCACACCGACTCCGCTGGTTGTGGATGATACCTTTGCTGAGACGCCACCCGAGCTCAGAGACTTGATTACACGACTCTTGTCCAAAGATCCCGATCAACGCCCCACCGCCTCCGAGGCCCTCGAAGATCCTTGGGTGACCGATCATGGCGTTTGGCAAGTTGAGCCGGAAGCGCAAATCAAGCCCTTCGACCCGCCCGCGTTCGAAATTTCCCCGGAAGAGGTCTCGCGAGCCGTAACGCGCCGAGGAGTGCTCCTGACCAAGATGAAAAAGTTTCGCGACCGCGTCATGCGCCGTTCTGCATCCGAGTATACACGGCGCTCTGGCGGCGGCGACACCACCGTCTCGCACAGTCCGTCCTCTGGGTCTGTCTTTGGGTCGAACGTTCGGTTGAGCTGAGGCGCCAATCCAGCCTTTTTTTTTTTGCTTTTTGGATCTGTTCTTTTTTGCTTTTGTTTTTAGGATTGTTGTCTTTTTGTTTCTTGTCTTCATTTACGGTTTGTCTTTTTTTGTCCAAGCTCAGTTTTTTTTGTCTCAGATCATCAAAATCCCCATTTTGTCTCTCCTTTGATTTGAGAATCTCCGATTTCAGACTTTTACTCTTTTACTCGTTGTTGCACTGCAGCACGCACGACTTGACACTTCTTCAAGATGGCTGCCGAGGCTGCGCGAGTCGCACTCCGCTGCAACGATGCGTGGTCGACTGGACAGCTCGACCTGAGCGCGTGCCAGCTCACGTCGCTCCCGCTCGGCGTCTTCACGCTCGTCCGCGAGGTCAAAGTCACGTCCGTTGATCTGAGCGACAACATCATGTCCAAGCTGACCCCCAAGATTGCGCAGCTGGCCCACGTCCAAGGTGTGGACTTGGGCTCGAATTGAGTAGTGGGGATTGAACCAAGAGTGCTCACCCTTTGACTTCCCCCCCCCCAATCGAACAGTGCTCAGTCTCGCGCGAAACAAGCTCACAAGTCTACCCGACGAAATGGGCGCGCTGTCAGAGCTGCGATCGCTCAATCTGGCGGGAAACAAGCTCACACAACTTCCAGACGTGATTTCCACGCTCACTGGACTCGAGTCACTCGATCTCAGTGGCAATGACATTGTCAGCATTGATGTACCAACTGTGCTCGGGCCGCTGAAATCGCTCAATGTGCTCAACATCAACGGAAACTGTCTCGACGCGAACACCATCTCCAGCTTGTGGCAACTTCGATGCAATACGACCATTGATGATAATCGCACGCCACCACAGCCCGGAGATTTGCCAATCACACACACAACCACGCGCCATACACAGTTATCGTACAAATAAACTTTGCACACGCTTCTGTCCGTTGAAACAATGTAAATTTCAAATGCTTGCACTAAAACCGCTGTTGTATTGCGATTGGATGACCACCTTCGTCCCCCCCCCCCACAATAATCCAGTGCTCGTGACAATCATCAGTGGAACGGGAAGCCAGGACCAGAGTACTTGACCACAAGCTGCTGACAATCCGTCAGCAAGGCCTGGTCGTCGGCCGACCGTTCCTGAGCCGTTGGGGCAGCGAGAAGCGCAGCAAGAGTGTGGGCTGCGAGCGGGGACAGCGGAGGTTCGGAGCGGGAAACGCTGCTTTGCAGGAAGCGTTTGGCTGCTTTCAGGTCCGCCGCCGCAGTGCCTTGACTGGCAAGCCATCCACGCAAGAACGCAAGCAACGGCGATGCACCATCAAGTCTGGCGGCTTCTCGCTCGCTTTCTTGCGCCAGAGAAGCCTTGCCAGCCCTGACAGCAATGACGCACAATCGTGCCAGGATGGCCACGCGCCTCGGAACATCAGTGGGCGCGGACGCTCGCAACGCCGTGCGCAGACAGAGCTCTGCGGCAACAAACTGCCGACTAGCAGCGTACTCGACGGCAAGGTCCTGCCACGTGCCAAGATCCGCTGGATTCAGGTTTACACACTGCTTGAGCGAGCCAAGCCCGAATTCCCGTCGGCCTCCGACCAGCAAGGTGCGCGCCAACTGGCGCTGAGCAAGCTGCGCTGTTGCCACGTCTTGGCTGGCGATCGCGTCGTGCAGTACAGAATTGACGGCTTGAAGGGCACCATCAAGCAAGGCATCGCCATCCGCGCGGTTGCCAGACGTCCAAGCACCAAGAAGGGACTCTGCGCGCATCAAGATGACCTTGTGTCGCAGCTTTTTCAACAACTGAGTCGTGTGCTGCAGAACTGGCCGCGCTGCAGAGGTTGACAACATGGATTGCGTAGCCACGGCAGCTTCGCATGCACTATCGACACTCTTGGCGACTTTGGCTCCAATCGCAGCCGGCGGGGCGTGCCACGGTGCCGCCGCACCCACCGCCGTCTCTCGACTTGCAGCCGTGCGGTAGCCGTGAGCAATATCAGCGGCCAAGGTTGCGGCTGCAAGATCCGCCCACGCAACCAGATTGCTAGGGTTGGTGTGGACGGCCATCTGGGCAGCGGCGAGCGCGTCACGCAGAGGGTCTTGAATGTGCCCGCGATGCGTCGAGCGGCCCGAAACAAGCAGGGCCTCTGCAAGGACGGTCGGAGAGGCAAGCGTCGAGTTTCCATCGCGACCCGTCTGAACAAGCGCAAAGTGGGCCTCTCGGTTTAACCAAGGGCCCGCCAAAGCGCTGCTTCCGCCCGCCACTCGATTGGAGGTCGACTCTGTATTCTTGCACCCATGACGCGCGCAGGCAACAATGGCAGACGACACGTGGATGGGCTGTCCGCGAGGCGAAAGCGCAAAGTGACTAGCGGATGCTGCGGCAGACTTGTCGTACTCGACCAAGAAGTTTGCGAGTGACGTCCAGAGCTGGGGTCGATGCGGGAAGAAGAAGACGAGTCTTGAGAGGAAGCCCTTCGACGCAGCAGCATCGCCCTGAAAGCAAGGAAGCAACAATAGAGCAAAAAAAAAAAAAAATGACTTTTCCAATGACACCGCAAGTGTGGCTCGTTTCGAGATTGTAGAATCCCCGTCTTTGGTACCTGTAGTAGTGACAAACAGGCATGAAGGAAGCCAGCACTGCAGATCTCGGCCTCGGCTTGAAGATTCGGGGCAATCCTTCCAAAGTCGTTCAGACCAGCCTGAGCAAGAGTAAAGTCGTTATGAAGCAGGCCAAGAGCGCTCATCAAGAGCAGAGCGCTTTGGAAGCCACTGTCAATTTGGAGACTAACCGAGAGCGGCGCGGATTGGATGACAAATGTGAGCAACTTGCATACCCACGTCAACATGTCCTGCCTCAGTCTAAAACATCATCAACTCACCAACGGAACAGGTGATTTCTGGCGGCAGGTACATCACCCAGGCGGTAGCTGCACAGCGCGAGCGCAACTGTACAGGTGCAGGCAAGCTGGAGCTGCTTGGACGAAACCGCCGCATCGAGAGCCTGGGCATAGACTGCAGCACTATTCGCCCACTGACATGCCTCAAACAGCAGCCGGGCGCGCGAGGCGAGCACAAAGGCATCCACAGGAGCCGCTCCGAGCCGATCAAACAGGGCTTGACCTTCGGCAAGGCGATCGAGCCGAACCAACACACGCGCGTGGTTGGCAATCACTTTGGGAAGGCAGTCAGCCGATGCTTCCGTGGACTGCAGAGCCAGAATGAGCTGAGCGGTAGCGAATTCGTCCGCAGCGGCAGCATAAAGACCCTGGAGCTCCAGCAACGCGCCGTACAGATTGCGAGCAGCAGCATTGTGCGTTTCGCGCGCAACATAGCGACCAAGGGCCGTGGTGGCGAGAGACAGTGGCGCGCGAGCCGCAGTGACCTTGGCACTGTTATGGAAGCGATACGCATAGTTTGCGTATCCTGCGTCTGCCTCAGGCTGCAGCAACAAAACCAACAGTTAGATAGAGACTCGACGAGAGACACCTGACTTGGGGTTGCATTTTTTGAAACACTTACGTTTTGATCCAGCTCGGACGCATGACGAAGCAAATCTCCAGCCTCTTCCTCCATGCCAAAGCGCTCTGCCACCAACGATTGACCAATCCAGGCCGGCGAGTATGACGGTTGGATGGCCTGCACAGCCTTGAACGCAAAGTTGGCTGGCTCGAGCACCGAAAGGTGCGTGTACAGCAAGCCCAGATTGGTCCACGCAGCAGGATTCTGTTTTGAAGAGCACACACACAAAGAAAGTCAATTGAGAATTTGAGATTTCCCGCTCCCCACCCCCCGCCCCCATTCGCTATAAACTACGTACTGTGTGCTCCAGCTTGATGGATGTCAGCAACGCATGCTGTGCCTGTTGGGCCTTGCCAAGCGCCATATACAGAGCACCAGCAATGTTCCAGTAAACGGGCGAGCCTGGTTGCAACGTCAGCGCTCGCCCAGCGGCGGTCAACGCGCGGTCAATCAGTTCCGACGACGACGGACTGGCAGCAAGCTGGACGTGAGAAAAGCCTCTGCGATTGGCGTACACCCGATAGAGAGCCACAGCCAGATCGGCAAACGCAGAGTCGTCTGACGCACAAGCGTTCGTGATGCTGGCAAAGACAGATACTGCACATTGCAGAATGGCCTCTTTGGATGCCACTGCCGCGGCCAATGCGCTGGCAGACGCCAAAGTCGCTTGCACAGCGGCAGCATCACGCGGTGTGCCGCGAGCGCGCGTCCACGTCGTACAGTCGACGCCAATGCACTCGCTGACGGGCAGCCCAGCGAATTGCAGAATAATGTCTCCACGAAGCTTTGCCAAGGACAGCAGAGGAGCATTGTTGTGGGCGAGGGGTGCGTCGTTCAGCACGTGAAGTGCATGCAGCAAGTGGTCTGCAGCCTTGCCGACGCGCCCAACTGCAACACACTGCTGAGCGCTCGTGAGTAGCGCCTCGGCCAGACCCTTGAGAGCCGGCACAAACCAGTGGGTTGGGCGAGCGGCATCAACTGCGCCGAGGTACTGCGCAATGGCAGTATCGCTGGCGCCCAGCATGAGGTGGATGCGACCGATCTGCAGCATGGCGTACACGGCGCTCGGCTCGAGCTCCAGCGATCGCTGGAAGGCACGCAACGAGGCAATGTACTTGCCCTGGGCAATATACGTGTCTGCGAGACAGCGCCACGCGGCCGAATTTTTCGAGTCGCCGCGCAGGGCCGACTGCAAGGAGACGACAGCATCGCTAAACTGGCCCAGTGCGAACAGCTCGATACCTCGGCGGAGCCATGCCCACGGCGCGCGCCCAACTCCGGCTGCGTTGGCAACGTTCGTGTGCAGTTCGAGAGCAGCTTGGCGCAGGGCAGTCTCTTGCACTTGCAGCGCAGTGACAACGCTGTCCGTTTCACTGAGCGTTTGCAGCTTTTCCGTGCGCTGCTGCCATGCCGCGCGAATATCCACCGTGTAGAGGTCGCTGAGCTGTGACGCTGCGGCTTCGTGCAAGGGATTCAAGCCAACCGCCTTCAGAAGGCACTTTTTGGCGCTCTCTGGCTGCTTCCGAACAGTCAGCAACAAGAGACCAAGCTGGGCAAAGATTTCAGCATCAGCCGCGTTGAAGCGCGCGGCAGCCAGCAAATGCGAGTAAACGCGGTCGTAGATGGGTGCTGGGTTGCTGTCCTTGGTCTGATCGGCAACGGCCCAGAGACAGAGAGCCAGACGGAATTGCAACTGAGAATCCGAGGGACGGGCAGCAACTGCTGCTTCCAAGAGGGATTGCGCTGTCGTTAGCGGCTGCGGATGCGACCAAGACGCTGGCGGCAGGGTTTTCGCTTGCTGCACGAGACTCCATGCAAGGGCTGCTTGACCTCTCGCGTGCAAAGGCACAGCGGCGAGTACCTTGTTGAACGTTGCAGCGGCGGCCGGATAGTCGGCAGCGACCATGTGCAGTTCGCCTCGGACGAGCAACGCCTGAAGGCTGAGCGGAGCGGCAGGCGAAGAGGATTGTTGAATAGCAGGGGCATTGACAAATGACTCGACAGAAGCACACAGTTCCAGAGTCTTGGCGCGCAAAGCATCGTCCTGGATCAACAGGTAGGCTTCGGCGAGCACAAGTTCAAGCGCGTGGCGGTATGCAGCCACGACGTGCGCTGGCTGTTCGTTGGCAAAGGTTGACGGCACGACAGCAGCAGCGGGGGCAGTCGATGTTGATGCGGAAATGCGGAAGCCTGCTGGCAAGCGCGGGGCCGCCGCCGTTGACGCTGTCGCCGAAGCCGAGGTCGGGCGAGGAGGGGCGGAGGAAGAGGAGGTCGGCAGCCAAGACCCTGGCGTGCACTGGCCAAGGACGCCTTTGGCTGTTTCAATGGCGGCCGTACCATCACCGCTGGCGAGCTGAGCACGGGAGGTGAGAAGGGCCAGTGGAAGCCAGGATTTGGGAGTGAGAGGCGACTCCCACAACTCTGCAAGCGGCTGCAGCGGAGGCTGGAAGGGGTCGAGCAAAAGCAGACTGGCAGCCTTTCCCGCGAGTGAAGTTGGGTGGTGAGCGACAAGCTGGGACCAGCTGGTGCGAGCTTCGGCGCAGGACGGCGAAGGTGTGTCCATTGCTGCCAGTCCAACCAATTCGCGGTGAGCTTGGCCGAAGGAAAGCACCAATGAGACTTCGCCAGCAAGAGCATCCTCGGGAGACTGAGCAAGGAGATGCTTGACGGCTTGGGCGAGCTGCGATGTGATTGAGTTGCTTGTTTGCTGCGAGTTGGAAGAGCTGGGCTGAGACCACGCTGCGCCGAGTGCTGTGCAGCGGGCTTCCCGCAGGTATGTGACGAGCGCCCGATGGTAGTCGAGGTTTGCTGCCGTCTCTGGATTGACGGTGGCGGGTTGCAGGTAGAATGCGACTTGTTCCAGAGTGGGAATGGCGGGCGCTGGAGTTGTTCCCAATGGCTTTGGGGCACCCAGCCACAAGACCATCAGATCCGCGGCCGCCTTCTCGAGGAGTGCAACAGGCAGCACGGCTGTCTCTTGGCTTGGGCTTGGGGCAGACGTAGACGGAGCAGCAGAAGAGGATGGTGGCAACGGCACGAGTTGAGCGACGAGATCGAACGCGGCCTGCCAGTTCCCGCTTGCCAGGGACTGACTAACGAGTCTGTTGAACGCATCCACGGCCTTGGCGAGGTCGTTGGCAGCGAGGAAGGCCAGAGTGAGCTGCGCCAGGACGGCGAGCATCGGTGCTCCACTCGCCCCTTGTCCTTGTCCTTGTCCCTGCTGTCCCTGCTGCGATTGGGATTGCTTGGTGAGGAGCTTGTCGAGCCCTTGCCAAGCGAGCGGGTTGCGCGGCTGGAGTGCAGCAGCGCGTCGGTAGCTCTGCTCTGCCTCCTGCATTGCGCCAGTTGATCCCGCAGCAGCAGATCCAGCAGCAGCAGATCCAGCAGCAGCAGCAGCAGCAGCGGTGGCCTCGAGTGCAGCGCCTAGGAAGACGAGCGCAGTGTACTGTGCGTCTTGAGGGACGGGCAAAGTCTTGTCGTTGAGGATGTCTCTGCAGCACTGCACCGCTTCAGCGGGGTCGCTCGAGAGCAGCTTGCGAGCGCGCTTGAGCTCGGCGCGGTGGTCCATTTGTTTGAGATGGGAAGTGTGAGGTGTGTGCGTGTGGTGGTGTGTGTGTGTGTGAAGTTTGGTTTTTTTGAGAATGAGTGACTGAGAGCGATGGAAGAACAAACTCAGAAAGACAGGACTGCGTTGTTATTTGCAAAAGGGAATGGAGTGAGATTGAATGTGAGATTGAATGTGAGATTGAATGTGAGATTGAGAGAGAGAGAGTGAGAGAGATTGAGAGAGATGGACTTTGAGCCTTTTTGAGCCTTTTGAGCTCCTTCTTTGCAGAGAGAGAGAGAGAGAGAGAGAGAGAGAGAGAGAGAGAGAGAGAGAGAGAGAGAGAGAGAGAGAGAGAGAGAGAGAGAGAGAGAGAGAGAGAGTGAGAGAGATTGAGAGAGATGGACTTTGAGCCTTTTTGAGCCTTTTGAGCTCCTTCTTTGCACTTTGCAATACCGCTCTCTCTCTTCTCTCTATCTCTCTGCTCTCTTCCCTATTTCACTTTCCCCACTGTTTGATCTTTTATTCTTTCTTTCTGAGCTTCTCATCCTTATTCAGTCCTCTCTTTTTCCCTCTCTCTCTCACTCACCCACTCTCTCACTCTCTCACTCTCACTCTCACTTTCTCTTTCTCTCTTTCTCACGATGGGCTTTCCGCGGTTCCTTCGCGCCGGTTCGTTCGGCCACGCGTTCCAGCAGTCGACCGTGTACATGCGCAAGATGCTGCTCGGGATGCACATGCGCCACCTGCGCAAGATCAAAAAGCTCGACCTGCTCACCCCGCACCTCGTCCCAAAGCCAAAGCTGCGCAAGGGCGACAAGGTAATGAAGGAAGAGGGGGGAGGGAGGAGGGAAGAGGGAAGGAGGAGGAGGAAGAGGAGGAAGACAGCTGGAAGAGCAATGGAACAGAGCCAGAAGCCAGGAGCAGCCACCGAGAGATAGAGAGGGCACTGACGAGTGAATCGAGCAATGGAGTGATGGAGTGATTGAGTGTGACTGCGAGTGAGTGAGAGTCGGGTGGAGTGGGAGAGAGCGAGACAGAGAGAGTGGAGAATGGCAGAGATCGCTCCTTTTGCCTCTCCTCGCGGCTCTCGCTCACTTTCACTCACTCTCACTCTCACTCTCATAACACTCGACCATGCATGCATACATCATCATACATCATCATCAACAAAATCATTTTTTTTTTTTTTTTTTTTTTTTTTTTTTTTTTTTTTTTGGCTTTGGAGCGCCGTCGCGTTCGATTGTGCTCGGAAGTGAACACAATTCCAAGACAGCAATCATACACAACTGGAAGAGAGCAGCAACGGAAGAGAAGAGAAAGAAGCACGAAACAGAAAAAAATGCAGAAGAAACGCAGAAAGAAAAAAAAAACATCCTAAAATTCTGAGATTGACAGGTCTGAAATTGTCACAACACCCGTTCCGTTCGTGTGAATCTCCAACTCACTGTTCTGGGACTTGTTTATTGACAGGTGCAAATCGTCGGCGGTCCGCACATTGGCCAACGCGGCGAAGTCGTCTCCATCTACCGTCGCAGCGGCCGCATCACCGTCGCAGGCGTGAACATGGCAAGTCCGAAAAAATGCGTCGCTGCTGGCTGAATCAAGCAGCAAAGGTTGATTCGCCATAGAAACTCGGTTCTCACCTCGTATTGGTTTTTTTTGGGTTTCGTTTTGGTGTTGCAGGTCAACCGTACCTTGAAGACTGAAGCCATCGGCGTGCCAATGAAGATGCCATCGCCAATCTTGTACAAGCACGTCAACGTTATCGACCCGGTGCTCGAGTGCGTTTTTGTCGTTGCGCGATGTTGAATGCCTCTCCATGTGTTCTTTTGTTTTTGTTTGCTGACCCCGTGAGATTTTGCTGAAACCAGCATCCCGACGCGTATTCGGTACGCTCGAGCACCGTCTGGCAAGCGAATCCGCATCGCTGTCAAGTCTGGAGCATTCCTCAAGTCCAACAAGAAGCAGCGCATCCTGAAACATGCTTCTCAACTGACCTGGACAGACAAAAGTGAGACCACTTCCCTCGCCTTTTAGCCAACGATTTCCGTGGACTTGCCCCTAAACAGTGCTTACATTTTCCTTTTTGATTTTGTTTTTGCCTTTTTGTTTTTGACTTTTTGTTTTGACTTTTTTTTGCTTCGTCCTTTTTCTTGGAATTTGCTCCACCTTCTTGCTGGCCCGTCTCGCTTCAGACTCGTACAAGACTTCATCCGGCTTGGACGCTAGGGAAAAGACTTTTGTTGTTGACACCGTTCCATTCCACGCTGCCATCGTCAAGTCTATCGGCGCTCATCTGCGCCACGTCGAACAAGGCTTGCACGCCGCTCAGCAGACCTCCGAAGCGTCTACATCAGCAACGTCGTCTCCATTCAAACTCAGTCCAGAGGCCACAATGCGACTTGCAAAGCGCTTGCCGGTCGCCGCTGCTTCTGTTGCTTCACAACGCGAGCCAATGAACGCGCCGCGACTACCAGCTCGCAAACGTCCCTCTGCCTCCTCTGCAAAGCCATCTCCTCGGGATTCAAGTTCACTGCCTCGTTTGTAACAATGCCAAACTATTTTGTACAAGAACAATGTCATAGCTTTCCATAAAAAGAGTGGCTCAGAATAATTCATTGGGACGGTTTGACGCCTTCACAATGCAGCTCAGCTCGGACACAGCTTGAGACTGCCTAGCAGGGTCCGTCTTGACAGAAAAAAAAATACCCCACGCAAAGCAAAGGTGGCACGGAACGACCGCGCCCCTTCCAAAACGGAAACCCAAATCAGACCTGTCGCTTCTACTGCTGTTGCCCACCTATTGTCTTTCAGTTACGGCCATATCTGGTGGAATGCACCGCATCCCGTTCCGCTCTGCGAAGTTAAACCACCATGAGAGTAGTTAGTACTGCGGTGGGAGACCACGCGGGAATACTGCTTGTTGTAACTCTTTTTGTTTTTTTTGTTGTGGCCCTTTTTTGTTGCACGAAACACTCCAGCCGATCAAGTTTTATCTTCTAGGAGGGTTGATTCGACAATAATTGTGTATTACCGCAAGCGAATTGCAACATAACTTTTGGGCAACGCAATAACGACCTCGCTCGCAGCAACGATTTGCACGAGGCAGCAACGTATCAAACGAAGCCGCAACGTATGAACCGAGTACCGCAAGACAAGGAACATTGGACAGGAGCGGAGCATAAAAACAGACACATAAAAAATGAGGACCAGTACACAAATAATAAAGAACCAGCAAACAAAAACACACAAACAGACACACACAAAGATCAGGCCCCGCCGAAATTACACGGCTTCGCCAGGGATCGTTCCAGTAGTGGGAATCGCTGCTGTTGTCCTGGAACTCGGGCATGACCACACGGCTGTCTTGGGGTAGAACATACTGAAGACTCGTTTTCGTGGCTGACGTCGACCGTAACGGTCCCGTCTCGGCGCTTTTGTGCAGCGGTTGATTCCATTCGATGGCGCATCTCTACGGATGAAAACTGGGCATCCTGCGTCAACGAGTAGTCGCCCGTGTCTTGCGAGCCGAGGGCTGTTGCTGCCGAGACCGATGCCTCGGCCGACGCTCGACTCACGTCTCCTGCCACGATGAGCGTGTGGGAGGAGGCACCCACCTTGCTGAGGGAGTCCTCACTTCCAGAATGCTTGAGAGCAACAGTGACCTCGCCGCGTCGAATGATTTCGGCGACGGAAAGCGGCGTCGTGTCGCTTGAGCTGGCCGAGAGTTCGCCTTCAGTAGAGGAGCCGGGAGATGGGGTGATTTCCAGGTAGTGGCTCAATGATGATGGAACCACGTCAGGGTGCTCGAAAATGTCGTTCATCGCGCGGGAGATGGTCTCAAAGCGCGGGCGGTTGTTGGCGTTGAATTGCCAACACGTGAGCATGAGCCCGTACAGGCTGACGGGGCAGCCAACCGGTCGCTGCAGGCGCTTGCCAGCCATCAAATAGTCGAGCAAGTCAGACGTCGCAATGTGACCATACGGCAGCTGTGCGACGCTCAAGACTTCGTAGCAGACCACACCAAAGCTCCAGACGTCCGTCTTTTCAGAGTACTTGCGACTGGAAAGAGCCTCTGGAGCCATCCACCTCAACGGTACTGTTGTAAAGAAAAGCAAACACAAGAAAAAACAAATAAAAGCCAGGAAACAAGAATACAAGTTAGCACAAACAACAACAACAAAACCGTTCACCCCCCCCCTACTCGACCATTGTGTTCGCAAGTCAAAAAGAACAAGCAAAAACATACCCTTGTCAACGCCAGCCTTCTTGTAATAGTCAGACTCGTAAATGTCGCGAGACATGCCAAAGTCTGCTACTTTGGCAACGAGCTGCCCAGTGGACGACTCGACGAGCATGCAGTTGCGAGCGGCCAAGTCACGGTGAACAAAGTGACGGCTGGCAAGATAGGTCATGCCACGAGCCACGTCTCGAACAAATCCAAGCATTTGCTGCAACGGCACGCTGGAAGGCGGGGCAGTTTGGTTGGGCGGGAGCTTGGCCAGAGCTTCCTCCGACAGCTCGCTCATCTTGATGTACTTTTTCAAGTCACCTTGATGCGCAAACTCGAGCACAATCATCAGCTTGGTCGGGTCTGCTGTCACGGCGCCAATCAAGCGAATGACATTCTCGTGGTCAAAGTCTTTCATGATGCTCGCTTCTTTCAAAAAGTCGTTTCGTTCGCGTTGAGAAGCATCGGAATGCAGCATCTACATGAAATGGCAGAGCGAGCGCAGCGCAAGATGAGCAACAAGACCCGACCGTTTGTCCTTCTCGCCGCAAGACCAAAAACAAACAAAAAGACCCCAGTACAATCTCCACGCCACACGCACCCACCCAGCCAACAACAACAACTGTAACAACCAGCAAAACATTGTTACCTTGACGGCAACCTTGGTACCGGAGGGTGCGACAGCGACGGCAGTGCTGAGGGCTGCCGCTGGCTTGTCGGTTGGGAGAGCAAGCGGGTCGATGGTGCGATCAAGGAAGGCAATGTAGACTTTGCCAAACTCGCCTTGGCCAATGGTTTCCTTCAAATCGAGCCAGTCGCGGTGGATTTGCAAAGCACCTTGGAAGGACGCCAACAAGGCCTGGGACTCTGGGTCCATCATTTCCGCAGCCTTCGACCGCGTCAGGCTGCCAGGATCGCCCATCCACGCGTACGCAAGCCCACCCTGCGGTCCGACGGTTTTGCGACGACGCAGCACAAGAATGATGATAAAGAGAACCACGGCCAGACCAGCAATGCCAGTGATGACACCAATGGTGACGGCAGACGAGTCGCTCGAGTCTTCCGGCGTTTCCACCGCCATAAAGCCAGGGCCAGCACGACAATCGTCCTTGAAGTCGTACGTGCCCGAGGTCTGGTTGAGCGCAATGGAGCGGAATTTGTGCAAGGGCAGACCTTCGTCAACAGCTCCAGAGCAGTTGTCGTCAATCCAGTTGCACACCTCGGTCGCGTTGGGATGAACGCTGGCATCTGTATCGTTGCAGTCGGTCGACAGAAGAGAAAACCCGACAGACACGGCGCAAGTCATGAAGGGGTAGTTGACATCGCCAAAACCGTCGAGATCGGAATCTGGACGAAAGAATACGCGCCCAAATCACATGCCCACAAGAAACCAAAGGGGTGGGTGGGTGTGTGAGCATTGTCATCAAAAAGCGAGCATCCCTGCATATGAAAGCCTGTACGACTCTACCTTGGAAGACCTCAATTTGCACATTCTCGTCAATGTGCGTGTCACAGTTGTTGTCCAACTCATCACACACCTCGGGCGCGCCCGGGTAGCACGATGAGCAGCTGTCATTGCAATCGGTGTTGCTAACCACATAGCCGGGAGGGGCTTCGCACAATGGGCTCGACGGCGTGGACGCGTCTCCATACGAATCGTTGTCAGCATCTGCGAACGAAACAAACCAGACCAAAACAAAACAAAGCAACAACAACACAACAGCAACAAAAAACAAAATGAATGCAAAAACAACATCAGAGGTGAGTGCTGCGAAAGCATGCCGGGCAGCGCTAGACAGAATCTTCGCGACTTGCCTCGGAAATACACGACGGTGAGACCCTCATCGATTTGGTTGTTGCAATTGTTGTCCAAGTAGTCGCAAACCTCGGTTGCGCCAGGATGGCAAGTGAAGCAGTTGTCATTGCAATCATCAGAGGATGTGGCGTAGCCTGCAGGGAGAGCGCAGGCGACGATCTTGTCCGAGAAATTGCCATGCGAGTCTCCATCGAAATCTAGGCGGACAACAAGTTTCCAACAAACAAACAAAAAAAAAAACCCAACAAAAATGTGAGAACAACACGTTGATGCCGCAAAAGCTACACTTTCAAAGCAGATTGTCTTCCATACCGCGATAATATGTGATGTTGACTCCTTCATCAACATAGCCGTCGCAGTCATTGTCCAGATAGTCGCAAACCTCGGTAGCTCCAGGGTGGCAAGAGGAGCAGTTATCGTTACAGTCGGTGTGGTCGACTGTGTAACCAGGAGCGCTTGGGGTGCACGTGTCGACAAGGTTGCTAGGATTTCCAAATCCGTCAAGATCCACTGTTGTTGGCAAACAATGCAGGCCAAAATGGGCAGACGCAGTATTTTTGAGTTTTTCAGTCCAAGACGAAAGAACGAAAGCGCCCCCCCCCCATCAGCCAGACAAAACTAAACCGCCAATGGACTACGTACAATCGCGATAGCGCTGAACGGGACTGAGAAGCGCGGCATTGTACGGGCACCCATCGTTGCAATCCATCACGCCGTCTCCGTCGGAATCGTCCCAACTGGTAAAATTCACATACGCAATCAAATCATTGTTGGGATAGGAGGTTGCATCCAGAATAGTTGTGGCGGTGCAGGCCATTTGGACAGTCGTTGCGTCGGGCGCGACATTCGTGCTGGACACTGCTCAATGTTGAGCAAACAAACAAACAAACAAAAACAAACCGACGAAACGTTCAAAAAAAGCGTAAGAAACAATCCAACAGTATCAGGCCACATACAAAACACTTGGGGGAAACAGTAGACACCAAACAACAACGTTCACTTACAGAGCCAGTTCCCATTGGGACCAGCAAACTTATGCACTCGCAAGTAGTACGTGTCGGGTTGTAAAGTCACCATGGGAGACACATCAAAGATACGCAAACCCGCACCTGTTCCAGCGTTGATCTGAATGTCGAAAAACTGGGTGAAGGCGCTGTTGAAAAGCGCAGCCTTCCAGAGTCGTGTACCAATACCACTGCCCGCGTCGCCGTAAGCCGAGACGGACGAGACGTTTCTGGCAGCGCTGATGCTGAATTTGGTCGCATAACATGAAGCCTGCGAGAGTACAACCGTTGACATGGATGGGGAGTACTGGGCGCCGGGTCCGCTGTACACACATTGGGCTGTCAAATCAAAGTACCAAACAGAGAAAAGGAGGGGGGAGGGCGAGACGAACCGGTGTCGTGAGCAAACAAAAGCCATGGTCGTGTGTTGAAAAGTCGTCCACATCTGGAAAAGAAAAGGACGCGTGCGTGGTGGAACGGAGTGGGCGGGTTGGATGAGAGGAGCAATAAAAAACCAACAAACGGAGACTCAATCAAGACGGCAGAGTAGATGAAAGGAAGGTGAGAAGCCCAGCGCCGAGGGGCGGAACTGGGGGGAAAAACATCAGACTGATCACAACATTGACACATCTCATTTCGAGATTGCGCTGCCAATCCAAAAAAACGACTCCAATGGTCGTCCGCTACACACTCGCGCATCAACATCGATGCCGGGCAAACGTCGTTGCCGCTCATCGGGACTGGCGATCTGATCCACGGCATGGTCGGTGGAGCAAAGTGCTTGTTTTTGTTTTTGTCTTCCTTTCTTGTGTTTTGCTTTTGTTGGGCTTTTTTTTTTTTTTGAAAGCGGGGGGTTTGTTTTTGTTCCGATTCATGCAGGCACACCATTGCACTGCGCACAAAGTACTCGACATCGCCAACAAAAACCAGATCTGAAGTCAAATGCGAATCTTGTTTGAAAGACTCTTTTTTTTTTTTTTTTTTTTTTTTTTCTTCAGCTGCGGTTCCGATGCATCAAAACATAAACAAAAAACAAGAAAAGACGGTGAAAAAGGGCACACCTCGGCGCGTTTTTGATTTTTCACGAAGCGGCACAAAGCTGACAGAAGCGACGTTGTGTGTGTGTGTGTTGTGTCGAGTGCGTGTTGCCTTTGAAAGCGACCGCAATGGAAGGAAGCGGGGCGACAAAACAGCATCGATACCAAAAAAAAAAAAAAAAAAACAAAAAAAAAAAAAAAAAACAATACAGACAAAAATGCCTTTCCTTTTTTTTTTTTTTTTTTTTTTTTTTTTTTTTTGGGTTGGGTGTGTTGCCGCAATGATGCTTGGCGACGTTTGCTGGAAGAATGGGGGAAGAGAGAACAACTTGCTGCAACCGTGTGATACTCACCTGAGACGCAGTGTGTCAGCGCGAGGGCCAGCAGAAGCGCTGCAAACAATTGCCGAGGCATCTCTCTGGCGTCAAAGCGAGCAGCGTTGTTGTTTACGATGCGGGATGATTGTTTTTGTGGTCGACAGGACGCCAGCCGCACGACAAGGACGAGCTGTTCAACGAGGTGACGAATGATGGTTGCTTTGCAGAGGTTGTTTCGAAGCCGATGTGATGCTGGCAAGGAAAGCGGGCAACGGGAAGCGAGCTGTCAAAAGCACCAAAAAAAAAAAACCCAACGAAAAAAAAAAGAATAAAAAAAAAAAAAAAAAGAAGAATAGCACGAAATCAATTTGGTGGAGACACAAATGCAACATTCAAAAGAGACCTTGGCCAACGACATGTGCAGACAGCTCAAGGCGGGCTTTCGGGAGGGCGCTGGTGCGAGCTTGGTCATGCACAGTGGCCAATGGATTCCTTGGGGAGAGAGAAGAGCAGAAGGAAACGCAAAAGTGTGCACGAGGTTTTTGTCGAGGTAGCGCCCGCCTTTTGCGTTTTAAGTATTATTCGAGTTGCGAATGTCTCACCGTCATCATGTGGCTGGACTGTTTTGGTTGTTGCGATTGAGCCGCAAATGAGTTAGTTAATTTTGTGTTGAAAAAAAGCAACAAAATAAAATAAAAAACAAAAACAGAAAAAAATATTAACGCTGCCTTTATTTTTTTTATTTATTTGGCCGAACGGTACATGGCACGTTGCCTAGACACAGGCAGGGGCGAGGAAACAGAAGGCTTTCAAGGGTGGAGAAGAGGGAGGTGAGCGACCGGGGTCGTGTGGAGGTCGAACGCGAGCAGGAGAGGCTGGGGGGAAGCGGCGGGATGACGTTAAAACGGCAAATCGAACGCGAAACAAAATCCCTTGCCCGTCATGTAGAGTCAGCCTGCTCGCGATTGGAGGGATCTGCGCCCCTGGTGAGCCGGACTGTGCCCAAAATCGGGCATCGAGAGTCAGGCAGCTCGACTTTCAGGGCTTTGAAATGCCAAAGAAAGCCCGATGTTGGGAATGGTATGTTGCAGAAAAGAAAAAAAAACAAAAAATAATAATAAAGGGGAAAAATACAGAAAATACTCAAGATCAACGCTGGGATTGGCAACAAACACTTTGTGTCAGCACTTTGGGTTGGTTGGTTGGCACAAAGCAAGCCAAAAAACGAGCGAAACAGTGCACGAGATAATGGCAGAGCGTGAGAGGGGGGTGGGGGAGACCCAAGCTTGAACGCAAGGGTAGTAGCGATAGCAGGAGAGAACGACCAAAAAAAAAAAAAAAAAAAAAAAAAAAAAAAAAAAAACCGGGAAAAATCATGCGGTTTGGGATCACTTTTCTGTTTCAACGTTACTTTCAGCACGCGTGTGATCTCTCTCCCGCCTTCCGCTCGCCCAACCCGTCAGCATCAGCGCCGTCCTACTCGAAAACGAAAGCATCGGCGTCGATCGATAGACGCGGCATGGGAATCGGACACTGCTTATTTACTGCCGGTTGATGAAAGGTATGAAAATCGGAGGTGTGGGATTTGGGCGAACGCAAAAAAAAAAAAAAAAAAAAAGCGTGACATTCGCGGGTGGCCGCGTTGGGTGAGTCAGTCAGACGGGTAGCAGCACCAACGGACTGGACGATGTCGTGTCATCATCGAGCGAGAGAGGCAGAGCGAGAGAGTGAGAGAGTGAGTGACAGAGGGGGAGTCAGGAAGGAGGAATTTTTGACGTGCACGAGCGACACAAACAAAAAACACAAAACCCCGCACCAAAAAATCCGATCGGAATGGTATGAGTGAGAAAAAGTCAGGTGAAAAAAAAAAAACAAAAAACAACAGAACAGAAAGAAACCGCAGCACAGGCAAAATGAAAGCTATGCAATTGAGTCAAACGCAATAAAAGAAAAAAGGAGGGAAGGAGAGAGACAGAGAGAGCGAGCGAACGAGGGTGGCGGGGGAGCACCCACCCCACCCCACCCGACCACTGACTCGCCAAACCCAAACCTCGGGTCACTCAAAGAGCAACGTCATGACAAACGACACCCTCATCTGCCAGATTTAGTCGCGAGTTTTTTTTTTATTTCACTTGGAATGCGAGTCAAGAGCGAGTTCACACATAACCGAAAATGGAAAGCTCACCCGAAAGATAAAAAAACCCCCTCAAACCGCAAAGCATCACGATCGAGAAGAGCAGCGTAAAAAATGAAACGCCAATGAATGAAAAGGTTTAAATGCGAGTACAAAGCAGGGCGAAAGAGGGGCGGGAAGCTGAAGGGCGGTGGTGGATGGGGGAGGGGACGTACCACTGTAAGTTGCTGCCCTTCTTGCAAATCCGCACCTTCATACGAATAGGAATCAAAAGGCTCAACAAGCGCAACAAGCGTGAAAAGTACGAAATAAAAACACAACAATAACACGAAAAAACCGAAAAAACCGAAAAAAACGAAAAAAACGAAAAGGAACCGAAATGAAGTTGGGAATTGTTTCGCCGTCCTCTGCATCCACCTCAGGCGTCGGTCGCTAGCCTTCCACCGCAACACGACATAAAAATGGCGCAAATTCCGCAAATTTAAGAAGAGTGATGCTGGACTCCTTCCAAAAGCAACCACGCCTGAATACTGCTGCGTTCTTTTCACTTTGAGCATACTTTTTGTATTTTTTTTTTGCCAATATCGAGCGAGGCATACTTGCGGTTTCCCGGCTGGCCAACCAAAAACACGACACTCTTTCAAAGGGCACATCATAATGAGAAGGGCCTGACACACATCGTGAGACGATATTTGCTCTTTTGTTTATCTTTTTTATTCTTTTTTTTTTTTTATTGAGTTTCTCTTTTGGTGCTTTGTCTGCGTTCATTCATTTTTTTTCTGATTCATCTTTTTTTGTTTCTTCTCCTTGTGCTTTGACTCTTTCTTTGGTTTCGACGCTGTGCTTGTCCTAGGTGCGTTGCTTGTTCGGATACCATCTTCGCTCCTGTTGTTTGTCTGTGTTGCAGTACGGTCCTCCACCCCCGCCTCGTATCTGCCTCGCAAATCCGCAAAGCGTGCCGAGTTTGCTCCCCAATGCGTTTCATTGAATAGGCAATCTTGCGGCTTTTTGCATCGCCCTTCTTTTGTGTGTCAGCTTTATGGCAGCACTCGTCCCCCGGCTTTCTCTCGCGCGCTGTATTCTCTCCCTGTCTCTCACTCTCTTTCCCCTCCCCCCGGCTTTCTTCGGTTGAACTCCTCGCTTCCGTCTGGTACTCACTCCTTCATGGACTGAGTTTCGAGCTTTCCAGAGTTTTCATCTTGACGGGAGACGTTTTTTTGTTGTCGTTCTGATCATTTTCGTATCATTTCGTCGCGCGTTTTTTTTTCTCCAAACCACAAACCAAAACAACGCACAGCAAAACAAAAACAAAAACAAAAACAAAAAACAAAAGCAAAATAAAACAACAAAAAATACGAAATACCGACTCGGACTGTCTCGTTTGGTAACAAGATTTGTTCCAAACTTGGAAATGCAAGGTTTGGCTTCTGGGTTGACAAAACCTTTTTTTCTTTCTTATGTTTTTATGTTGTTGATGTTTGTTCTTGGTTGAAAATGACGGCTAACCTCCTTCTTCATCATCCATTTTGTTCTGAAAATACAGTGCACAAACAAACAAAAATGACAATCACCGCTCGAGTGCTTTTCTGCTTGGCCGGGTTGCTCTGCCTGCTTGGACTTGCGCAGGGTGCAAGCCAACCGCTCGTCCTGGAGTCCGGCTATGTTCGCACCGACTTGTCGTGGAACTCTCGGCTTTTCGTCACTCAAGCTCAGAAAACAAACGGAATGCCCTTGTTCACCTACGGTCAAATCTTTGACTGGCCGCTGGCTGCCGACACCTTGGAGCAGTACGACTTTACCACCGGCGCCTGGTCATCGACCCTCATCCCGGGAGGCGCCCGTTGGGGTGCATGCACCGGAAAATTCGGCAACAAGCACTTCTTCTACGGCGGCGAGCGCATGAATAGCAACTGGTACATTGAGATGGACGACAGTTTAAGAGTGTACGACGAAGACACTGGGTTGTGGTCAAACCCGGTCTTCTCGCTTGGGTTCAACATTAGCCGCGCGGCGTGCGCAAGCGCGGATGGCATCCTGTACATGGCGAGTGGCATTAGCGAGCTCGACACGAATCTGCTGCCTGATCTGTACGTGATCAATCTCGAAACGCTGACATGGCGCAATGTGAGCCTGCCCCATGCCCACGTTCAGGGCGCTGCGGCAGTGGTCGCGGGCAAGCTGGTGGTTGCTGGTGGGACATCTAATGCTCTCGGCGATTCTTCGCCCATGGTCGATGTGCTTGACCTTGCGACCGAGACTTGGACGAGCAAGCTCATGCCACTGTCCACCAACAATATGACGGGTGGCTACCTGAATCTGCTTGCGCAGGTTTACGGCGACAAAGTGTTCCTCGGCTGCGGCGCCCACGCGACTGGGCCGTTAGGAATGGAACTGTTCGTGTATGATGGAGCTACCGACAGCGTGTCGGTCATCCATCTTGATCACCTTCGGAGCTACTGCTCATTTGTCATCGTTGAAGATCGCTACCTGGTGCTGTACGGCGGATCCAACCACGACATGAGCGCGACGGAGACGACCATGGCCGCAGTCGATCTGGAGACGTACGAGGTGACCACCATCCAGAATCCAGGAGGTCGAAGCAGTAGCGCCGCCCCAGCTTTGGCGACTTGGACCAACCCCGCCAACGGCTCAACGTCTGTTTTGGTGCTGCAAGGTCAGGTTGAGAACGCCATGTCCCCTGTCGTGGAAGTGCTCCAGTTTGCTCCATATGTGACGTCCGTCACTGGCATTTCGCACATTCACGGAGGCCGCGCTGGTGGCCTTGTGGTCTCGTTGAAAGGCAATCGGCTCTTCGGCCCCAACTATGACTCTGCGTCCACACTCACTGTCAAGCTGAACGGCGTCCCGGCCGAAGTGCTGAGCTTTAGCATCACCCACATTGACTTTAAGACGGCCGCGTGCACCACGTCGAGCTGCGTCGGCCTTGGCAATATTGAGGTTCGCGCGGACGGTCGCTTGGTCCGCTTCCGCTCGCTGGAAACCTCGAGCGTGCCTGTGCAACTCGTGGAGCCCCTGCTTGGCCAGCTGCCTTGGTACTACTCGGACGTGGACGGCGATTCCTTGTCGTTTGATCACTCGGGCGCCCTGGCCGAGGGCTCGACTGTCGGCAATCTCGCCAGCGATGGATTCTTTGCCTTGCATCTTGCCAGCTTGCTGCCTGCCAGCTGGTCTTCCCTCGTGGGCACAGCAACATGGACAATTTATGGCCACGATGGTGGCGCTGCGTTGTACGATTCGCTGTCCAATGGCGATCGTGATGCAACCAAGCCGATTCCGTCTGGCGGTGCCGCCGTGTTGTCACAGTGGCACGGCATTGTCCATCTCGAGGCCACCCCCGCGACCAGCGACACGACCCACTACGTGCTCTTCTCTGTGGTGGTCCCGTCCGATCCCGACAACGTCTTCCACGGAGCAGTGTCCATTCGCCAGTACAGCCAGGCATCTTGCCCAGACCTGCAACGCCTCGGCCCCGGTGCGACGCCGTCCACCCCGTACGACACTGACTTTGCCGTTTCGTACGATGTCGCCACCGACACGTTCCACTTTGAGCTCGCGCTTCCGTACATTTCGGACGGCTATTCCTTTGTCGCCGACTTGGCCGAGTTCAACCCCCATACGAGTGACGCAGGCTCCATTCGGTCGCAGACCAAGTGCGCTCATCGCCGTGTCACTGCGGGCAACGGCGTTCCGTACGAGCTGCTTTTCACATCGCAGCCTACCGCTGATTTCGGTGGCTCCGAGTTCCCGGCGCTCAACAACGATGCCTGGTTTTACCCGTACGAGTCGGCCGCCACTGCCGCTGACGGCTTTTCTGGCAGCTGGACGCTGAGCGCGTCCTCCTGCTCGCGCATCCAGCTCTCCGCAACGTTTACATCGAGTGAGCTCTCGAGCTGTCGCGAGGCGGACGGCGAAACGCAAGCGCTTTCTGTCGGTCACGAGGCTTCGGATGACATTGCCGGGGCGTCGGATCTTGTCTACTCTGGTGTCATCCATGTCGTGTACTTCCGCCCGGTCGACCGCCACAACCCGGAGAGCAGTCTGTTTACCACCTCCACCGCTCGCTACCCTTTCAGCTTCCGCTTTGCCAGTGACCTGTCGGGCGTTCACGGCGATCTCTCGACGCAGCAGACCTTCTCTGTGGGCACCGAGTCCAACACACTCGACGAAGCCGGCCTCCTGTCCGTGCGCTTGCACACAACGTACAACCCGACTGCTGCTCTCTCGAGCACGATGGCCAACCGCTATGTTGTTGTTTCCAACCCCGTCTCTGCCGTCTTTGCAGGTTCGAGCGCAACCATCACCTGCACGGAGGACGAGTCTGCGCGCGGGGGCCTTGCGTGCTCGAATTCATCCGTCACCTCCGAGGCTTGCGACCAGTTCTTTGACTGCACGTCGACCGGCGTTTGGAATGGAACCACCGACAATGGCATGTACCGCTTTGTGTTTGAGAACGAGCTTGCGCGCGAGGTCATGGCGGACATTTCTCTCAACCACAACATTGTGCGCCGCGCCACTGTCGATGGCGCTGCTGTTGGCGACTTTTCACTCGTGGTCCGCACCTTTGCCTCTGCCGAGGCCTTCAACGAAGGCAGCAACGACGTTGGTGCGTTTGAAGCCGGCGATTTCGTCTACCTCCGCACAGATGTGGTCGTGCCCATCAATGGCAGCTTCCGAAACCTGGAGATGGACTATGTTGCCGTCTACGTGTGCGCGCCGCCACCCTTCTTTGTCATTTCACTGGAAGAGGGCCACCATGGCTGTCTCGATACCGCCATCTCGTCCTTGTACCGCGGCCTTGTGTATGGCTCTGCTCCTGCCGGTGCTCCGCTGGCCCAGCTGTCCATGTCCGCCGCCCATCCCGAGGTTTTGGCCCCGAGTGGTGGTGCCGCGGCGTCCTTGACTGGAAGCCTTGGTTTGCGCTTCAACGCCAGTCCGCTCGCTGCTTCTGCGACCACTTGGTACGTGCATGTGATTGGCAGCGTGTCGAGCGTCATTGGCCACGGTGGCAGCAGCCAGCAGCGTCGCAATGTGCAGTTTATTGCCAGCGGCTCGGACAAGACGCACCGCAAGGCTGCTCCTGGCTTCCGTGCCATGAGCAACACCCTGCAAGTCCGTGCGCAGAACGACGCTAGTGTGGCTCAGCTCACTGTCGATCGCCAGTTTGGTGCTGGCCAGCTGCGCGAGTCCAGCGCCCAATACATGTACAGCACCATGGCCATTGTGTCTGTGTCATCGGCCTTCATTGTTCTTGTGATGGTTCTCGGCGTCCAAAGCATTGCCTTCCGTCTGCGTCGCGTCGAGTCTCCCAAGCAGCACACTTTGGTGTCTGACGTCTAAAAAGCAATGCATTGCCTTTTGCTTTTGCGTCTTTGTGGGTGTCGTTTGTCGATGTGTGCAGTTGTTTTTCTATCCTGAAGGTGACTAACACGTTTTACGCATACATCTCGTTTGCGGTTGATCTGCCAAAGCGGAAAGGGGGGCTTGGTTCCCCTCCTCCTTCTTTGTATGTTGACGATGCGATAATGTGCTTAGCCTGTTTGTAAAAAGCTGTTGTGTGTGTGTGTGTCCTCTTCGTTTCGCAACTCTTTGTAAAAACCCCGTTTTTTAAACCAATCAACTCGAGCAACCACCAAGCGCCGCTTCTCTTCCGATGTCTGTTGTGTGACTGGGCGGTCGAGCTTGCCGAGCATCAATAGGCAAAGTGTTGTCGAGCGCATTCTTCAAAGCCAAAAGTTGAAATGTTGATCAAACGCGTCGAGCAAGCTCAAGTCCAAACTATCTGAGCGCAAGGCTGTCTGAACATTGCCGCTTCCACAGTCGTGTGTTTTTGGTTCTCTCAATGTAATCTCAGCCTCAGTTTCTTTATGTGTTGGCTTCATTCTTCATTGCTGATTTGTTTATTTGCCAATTCTCAGATTTGCCACACCCTCCTCCTGCACTTCCACACCCTCCCCCAGCGCCGCCCACGTTTCAGCTCAGATCATCTCAGATCATCCCACGCTGAGCGACCTTCCTTCCTTGATAGTGAGATTGCCAGCCAAATGCGAAGAGCAGCGACCCAGCAGAAGGCAGGCCGACCGCCGGAAGTCTCGCCGGCCGAGCTCGCGCGGATTCTGGACCAGAAGCTCGCCCAAAAGGACCCCAAGCTCGCCTCGAGTGTCGCGGGCAATGCAGGCGGAGCGGGCGTGGTCTCTGCAGGCCTAGCAGCAGGCGCAGTCGGAGCGAGGCCCGGTGGCGGATCCAACAACCATGCTCCTGCTGCTCCTAGTGGTAGTGGTAGTGGTAGCAGTAGTAGCAGTAGTGGTACTGGATATGATGCTGCTGATGGTGGACGGCCGCCGTGGGAGACCGGGCGCAGTGCTCGAGGCCAGAAGCGCCCGTACGAGGACGACTACGCCGCGCACACCGCGCACCCGCCGCAGCCGCATCCAAGCGAGCGAGGTCTGTATGGCACGCCCATGCAGCAGCCGGCGCCGTGGCAAGGCGGCCCAGTGCTGGCCGGAGCGGCCCGTCGCCAGGGACTGCTTCCATTGCCAGGCTCGGCAGCGCCCCGACCGCCGTACGCTGAGCCGTATGCTGAGCAGTTCAGTACGAACAATCATGCTCGCGAGTACTCGGCGCACCAGGAGCCGCCGCCGCCGCCGTGGCGCAACGAGTGGCAAGATCGTGGACACCATCATGCAAGCCATGCGAATCAGTTCCAAGGTGACATGTACCGTCACGACAGAGCGCCTCGACAGCAAGATGGACATGCGCATGGCAGTTACGAGCGCGATCGCCGTGAACCTGCACCGCGGAACGAGCCCTCGTGGAGCGAGTCCCGAAGTAGAGATTGGCGGCAACAACATCCAGAGCAAAGGTACGACAACGATTCCCGTCGAGAGCGCGCCTTTGAGTCTCGCGCGTACCATGACAATCCGGCTCTGTTTGCTGGCGCTGAGCGACAGCATGAGCGGTTTGATGAGCGGCAGCAGGAGGAGCGGTCTTTCCCGCCACCGCCTCCACAAGCAGTTCAATTGCCTCATGCGTCGCGCCCAAGAAGCCCACCCCGCCCGCAAGGCGACAGCATGCCCCAAACTGCCATATCGTCGCATTCGCAGGTCGACCCAGAAAGCTCTGCGGATGCCGTCCATGGCGTTTCCGATCAACCCAACACAACAACAACAGCAGCAGCAGCTGTGCCTGCCACTACAGCAAGCACACCATCGACACTAGCATCTCCGACTAGCTCGTCTTTACCGATGCAAGCACCAGAGCCTGTGGCCGCGACCGCAGCTGCCACAGCAGCCTCTTCTCGTTCGACAGCCATGCCTAAAGTGTTTATGACGTCCAATCCAAACCCGAATGTTGCAAAACGTAATGCAACACAGGCACCAGCAGCACGCGACTCGCCTGCGCCACCACCTTGGGCGGACGGCGACGACGCCGAGCCTACAGCGCCACCGAATCCCAGCCACGCCTCTCCGACTGCCCCTCAGCCTCCATTCAACGCACCGTCCGCTCCGCCCGGCCGCCACCTCCCTGCACCACAACAGTTTCACTCGAATCGTCGGCCGGTGCAGGCCAGGCGACCGATCGATCGCGACCTAGACGAGGCCAAGTTTGCCCACATTCTCGATCCAGAGGAGCGCCAAGTGGCCATCCGCTCACACAAACAACACCTTCGTCGCATGCAAGAGATGGAGGGCTCTGCTGGTACAGCATTTTTCTGATGGTTGGTTGGAACTTTGTGCTTGATTTTCAGTTTGGTGCTCACTCTTGGAGTGCTTAATCTTTGTGTGCGTATGCTTTTTGATGCCGCAGCCTCCGAAGTTGAATTCAAACATCTGTCGCAGTACCTACCAGCCGAGGTCGAGCGGCGATTTGCACAGCAAATGCAGCAACTCCAGGAAGGCAAACGCGTCACGCCGGCATCGAGTGCGGTCGACGACGCCCAACAACTGTCATCCGCCAACAAGGGCTACCAGATGCTGCAGCGTTCTGGTTGGTCTGAGGGTCAAGGGCTGGGAGCTCAGGAGCATGGGCAAGTCGCTCCAGTTCAAGCGTACGTGCGCCCATTTGTTTTGAACGTTTTTTTTTTTTTTTTTTTTTGTTTTTGGGTTGGACGAAGCAATTGCTGATTGCTTTTTTTGTGTGTTGGATTGGTTCACTACAGAGCCCAACGAACATCCACCGCTGGTTTGGGTGTGACGGATCCCACAGAAGTGACAGGCGAGGACGACATTTACTCGTTGTATCGCAAGAAGCTCATGGTGGCGTACCAGCACCGATCGAATCCTTTGTGAGTTGTTTGTTTTTCTGTTTTTGTTTTTTGAGAGTGGCGTCACACGTTTATGTTTTGCCCATCGCCTCTCACTGACTTCCGACTGTCCTCTGGTCTTGGCTTGGTTTTGGCAGAAACAACCCGAGGCGAAAGTACTAACCAGACCAAGTACAAATAATGGATGTTGTCGCGCAACAAATGATACAAGAAGAAAAAAAAACACGACATTATTTACAAATACAATAACAAAAATTTCTGATAACACCGAAAAACCGCAATCAAATTTACTTGGCCAGCTGGCGCAACTTGGTCCGGCGGCTGCAGGTAAAGTTGCGCTCACCGAAGGTCGACCACTTCCATTGCTTGCTATGGTTTGTCTTTGTTTCACGACCGAGTTGGTCACGAGTCTTGGCCATATCGTACTCGAGCCAGTTGGTCGATTCTGCGAGCTGGGCATCAGATGGAGCCTGAGCAGCGAGCCGAACGAGGGACACGTGCGGCTTGAGGTGAACCGAGGCCCTGTGGGCGTTGCGCAGTGCCATCTCGGCGTACGTGTGCACCGCGAGAGCGCGTGCGACAGGGGTTAGAGGACGAAGGGCAGCTGCAGGAGAAGTCACGCCGGCAGCGTCGACATCCTCCCACACATCCAAATCTTCCAGCATGGCGACATCGTTGGTGTTGATTTGCGAAAAGGACTCGGTGCCAGTCGAAGCGGACGACACCACGTCCCAGCAATCGTCCTCGACCGTACGGCCTGCAGCGCGAGATGCCACAGAAGCAGCCATAATGCCGTTCCAATCGGCAGAGTTCGAAGGGGCAACTGCTGCTGCTGTGATGGTCTTGGCCACGGGAGAGGAGGTCTTACCGGCAGCCTTGGCGCCGCCAAGAGGTGGAAAGTCCAGAGCATCCAACTGGAAGCCAGATCGAGACGCAGGCGCAGGGGCTGCTGCTGCTACAACAGCTCGATTGCCTTCGAGCTCCGACAGCTCGACTGCAACTTGCACATCAATCAACTGCTGAGCGGCGATTTCAGCGTTGCCGTTGGCGGACTTGAGCGTCTCGGCAATGGCGTCTGCGCTCAAACCGGGGAACATGGCCTGGAGCTGGCAGAAGGCGGCGTAGAACGGGACAGAAGTAGAGGTAGAAGCAGACGCAGAGGTAGAGGCTGAAGCAGAAGCAGTCTTCTTGTCGCCCTTGCGCTCGGCTTTCGCCACCGTCACAGCCGCGGCGGCGGGAGAATCTTTGGCAGGGCCCTTGCCTGCGCGAGGCTTGGACTTGCCGACCGCCTCGTCCACCTCCACCCAATCGTCATCCTCCTGGCCGGCCTTGCTCTTGTTCAGAGCGGCAGCTTCACGCTCGGCCTTCTTGGCGGCCTTGCGAGCAATTCGTGCAGCCTGGGCGACCGCGGCAGCAGCGAGCTTTTGGCGGTTGCGCTCTTCGATGCGCATGGTGATGGCGTCGTCGAGAAAATCGCGAGGATCGGCGCCAGACTCGAGGTCGAGGGAGAGAATAGCCTCTGATGCGGACATGCGAGGATCAACAATGACATCGCGAGCGAGAGTCGGGCGACGCTGGGTGATTCGGCGAAGCAAGCGCTCCTCACGAAGCTGCTTGCGCCAGGCTTCCAGCGCCTTCGAGCGCTCCCAATGGCTGTCAAAGTAAACCCACCGACCGTTGATGAATGCCTCGCATCGTTCGCTCTTGATTGCGCTGGACTGGTTGCTCGTGAATGCCTTGGTGGACGGGTAGTTGATGACAGTCTTGTAATACACTCGGCGAGGCTTCACGCGCGAGGTGCTGCTACGATTGGCAGTGTTGCTCGAGCCGCCGCCGCTGCCATTCAGCGAGGAGCGAGCGTTGCGGAAGAGGGATCGACAAGCGCCGTTGAGAGAGTTCCACCAGCAGCGGTCGATGGAGACGGCTCCGCGGCGCTGCAAGTATCCAATAATCTTCTCGTGGCCGCAGAGGGCAGCATAGTAGAGCGGAGAGCAGTCAAAGTCATCAAACTGATTGACAGCGACGTGCATGTTCTCGACAAAGTGGACAACGCGGAGGTAGTCGCCTCGGCGAGCAGCGTGGAAGAGGTTGTCGCGCTCCACGGGCGGACGCGCCATGGAGAAGTCCTCCACGGTGAGATTGTGAGTGACGGCGTTCATGGTGCGGACCTCCGGGTAGGGAGACTGGCGCTGGAAGGTGAGTGCGGCGTTGTCGACCATTGCGGCTGCCTGCTCCTCGGTGAGCTGCTCTCCGGTCGTTGCGGTGGTTGCCTGCATCACAGCCATCAAAGCAGACGCCGGCAGAGTCGCGGTCGCAGCAGTCGCAGTAGTATCAGTCATCATAATAGTGCAAGTATCAGTGCTGGCAGTGCTCGTGATGGTCGTCGTATACGAGTCACCAAGAGTGACGTCTGCAGAAGAGCAAGTTGTTGAAATCGAAGCAGCCATTTTGTAGGTTTTTTGTCTTGTTGAAGTAGAACAATCTGCAGACAAAAAGAAAGAAACACGGTGAGTAACAACAACGACTTGTATGAAGCAGAGTGAGCAAAGCAATCGAGATGAGTGGAGTTGAGTGATGGATGGAAGTTGAGTTGTTAGAAAAGTGACGTGAGATTGGTTTCAACGTCATCAGATTTTGTTTGCATAACCAGCGAAAATGAGAACGAGAGACAGAGAGAGAGAGAAGGGAGAAGAAGGGTGAGAATGGGGGGGGGGGGAACAGCAAATCAAAGAGAGAGAGAGAGTTCAGAGCGACAAGGGAGAGAGAGAGATTGAGACAAGAGATTGAGAGTCAAAACTGACGAGATTTGTTGAAATGATGCAAACGGAAGACTGAGATTAGATTGCTGAAAAGGCAGATTGGATGAGCGTTTTATAAGAAAGGAGAGTATTACGTAATGCAAAGTGCAAATTGACACATTTCAACAAAGCAGCATCGCTGAAGCAGCAGCAGCAGCAGCAGCAGCAGCAGTGAAGCAACAAACGAAACGCATCCGAATGCAAATGCAAAAGAGATCAACAGTGCAGTAGAGCAGCATGACAAGGTCCACACGCAACGCCAACTCCAAGTCTTTTTGATGTCTTTGCTTGATTTTTATTGCTGAGAAACGACAAAGTAAAGGCTCAGTCTTAGAAATCCACCCCGTCGAGCAAAAACAGAACAAACACAATGTCAAAGCGAAAGTCGGAAGACGCCGCCGCGAGCGCCAAAGTAAACAAAACCAAATAACAGATCACAATAACAGATGCGCAAAGTGAGAATATGGAGAGAGTGAGAGAGTGAGGGTGATGGTGATGGTGATTGGTGGAGAGTGAGCCCTTGCATTTTGCATGTGGCTCAAAGCGATGGCGCTTCGGTTCCATGCAACTCTGACAGACTGTGATGTCCTTTGCAGTGACATTTGGGAATCGAGGTCTGATGCGTGGGTGGTGGTGGTGGTGGTGGTGGAGTAGGGTTGACTAGGGGTTGGATTGGATGTGGAGAGCAGAGCAGCAGTCCATGTGGCGCTGGCTGAGCATTGCCATTGCCATTGCCATTGGGGGACAGGCACCCTCTCTGCTGATGCTGCTCTTTCACTACTCGAGCTGAATAATGTGTGTGTGGTACGAGTGCATATACAAGTGTGTGGATGAGGGTTGCGTTGGGGAAGGATCGCAACTCCCAATGCAACTCCCAATGCAACACTCCCAATGCAACTCTTATACAAACTCACTTGTGCTTGATCTGTGTGTGTGTGTGTGTGTGTGCTGTCTTAGGCAAAGGCGCCGCGGTTTCTGACTCCAGAGACAGTCGAGGACTCGGACAGTGACAATGAAGGCGATGGCTCGCGCACAATGAGGTACCAAAGGCACTTGCTGCTGCTTAGTGGAACAAACTCGATTTGGAGCTGTGCAACGAACGAGACGATGGCATATCAGTCAACGCACAATGCATACGCACAACACTAATGCTTGAAGAGCATTGTGTTCAGTCACGAAACAACCGACGCGACATTGTTGTTTGTGTACCTCACTGTTGTACTTCAATTCGTCGTCCCTTGCAGCTTTGCCGCACCGTCAGGGTATGCACACAACCCCAGCATTGCCGGAACCATCAAGGGCAACTTTAACGTGTCTGGCGACAAGGAGCTGTGGCTTATTCGCGTCCCTCGCACTGTACGTTTGCCGTCAGTTTCAAGAGTGTTCGCGGGGTGCGTGCATCAACGTCGTCAATCCCCAATCTCACATTTCATGTCTGCCTTCGTAGTTTAAAGCAAAAAACCTCGACGGTGCTTCCATCAAGCTCCGAGACGACACAATCTTCACTGGCGCAGAAACCAAGGAGCGGTTTCAGGTTTCCAGCGTGAACAAAAACCATCTTGTTGCCCTGACGCGCAACCCAAACCACCCTGCCATGAAGGAATTCTCGAATCTGATTGCAGTCACGTCTACCGACGGCAAGCTTGGATTTGGTACGTCTGCATGCCTGTTTTTGGGCTGTTTTTTATTTTTAAAAAAAAAACTTTCTGTGTGCCGAATTTCTTACCTTCTCGTCGCTTGCAGGTGGCCACTTTGAGGAAGAGATTGTTATTTCGGCCGCGCTCGATGCACTGCCGGCCGCAGCACCGGCCATGTACAAGCCGCGCGTGGTAAAACAGCTGCCTGGTCTTCGCCAACGAATTACCGCCTTTGGCGCAGGTGAGGAATTTTTGTGCTTTGCTTTTGGTGTTTGAGGTGCAACCCCCGCTCACGCAATGCGGTGCTGCGTCGTCTTGCCAGGGTTTGCGGCTCCTGAGGACGCGGCAACTGCTGCGAACGACGATGCAGCAGCCGACGAGGCCGAGAGCACACCCGTGGCCATGGACACAACGTCCAAGAAGGACAAGAAGGACAAGAAGGACAAGAAGGACAAGAAAGACAAGAAGGACAAGAAGGACAAGTCCAGTCGATCATGAGAGAGCGAGAATCCGTTGTTGTGTTGTTCACCCCGTCGTAATCCAATCCGGTGCGATTCTTTGAAATCCATGTATGTTCATGTTGCTCCATAACTGCATGATTCAGTCCACTTGTTTGCCTTTCCATCCAAAATGCTTGCGTGAGTTGAACTTGAGCTGAGCTGAATCGCACTTCCCGACCCATCGAATCGCTCACTCACTCACTCTCTCCTTCATCCTCATTCTGTCTTTACACTAAGCAGTAGTGCGCGCATCTCTGTCGCTTTGTGCAATCCGCCGCCGCCGCCGCTGATGCTGCTTCGTCCGACTCTGACTGCTGCTGCTCCAGTCGCAGTCGCGTGGCGCACTCACCATCGTCACAGTCACAGTCACTCTGACAGTCACAGTCGCCGGCTGCACTCATCTGCTGCTCCATTCTCATCACTACTGAGCTCGTCGTCGTCGTCGTCATCGTCATTGCTGGGCGGCCGTCGACTCCGCTCTGAAGCTGAAGCCGCTCCGTCTGTCTCAAGCAGCAGATGGCCGCAATGCACTTCCAGCAAGACCACCACTCCAAGGCTCAGTGACGCAACGACGCGAGTCATCATCGCTCGACACGCATCGACGAGCACATCTGCATTGAATCAGGCATCATCGGCTTCATCAAGCATGCAGAGTGATGCTGCAGAGTCAAAGCAAATCCACTCGGATCACTCTACTACTCTGCCTCATCATCATCATCATCACCATCACCATCACCACCATCAAACTCATGCAAGTCATCAAGCAGGCACTCACAATGCGGGTCCAATGGAAGTCTACCTGTCAAAAGTCAACTCGGGCGAGCTAAAGTACGTTCCATTTTGA